ACATCTCTCTAAAATGAGTCAACTTGAATATTACGAACTAAATATTTAGTTTTAAACATGCAGTATCGTTGTATTAAGGTTAAAAACATTTTGTTTGCTTGTTGAATAAAACTATAGACTTGCTTTCTATTTTAAACTTAAACACTGTTTATAAGCTAAACGGGCTTGATACAACCGGCCCCAGGGGTATGCAACAAAATTAAGAAATGCACGTAATCATTTATTGCCGTACCTTATAGCAAACCGTCAGTAAAGGATGTCTTATTAATCCAGCATGCATGCGTCTTGAATGCATTAAAGATTTGGTCGGTTTAACAATATATACACCTTCTCCTTGTAGACCTTATACTTTGTATACTAATGATAATATTTATTTTCTTTGACACCAATTACAGTCGCATGTAGACCGATTCAAATTGAACAACTTAATTGCGCCCATTAAATAGCTTTGCCTATAAATATATGACAGAGAAAACATGAAATGTATATGTTAAAAGACCTGCAAGGAAGGTTTCTCGGGAGTGTATACATGTATGCATGCGAGTTCTTGGTGTGCATGCAGCGACGCATATTTCAAGAATATTTTGGGAATTTTCTCCCACTTTTGGTTTTTACATCTACTACAGCATTTCCGGATAAAAAAGGGGACATGTCTTGAAATCTGAGGCTATTTACGTCGAAAAGATTTTGTCGATTTTACAGGCAAATTTACCACATTTGAAGTTAGCGAAGAGGACATTGACAGTTATAATACTGAGCCTAAATTGATAAAGCCTCCTCGCTTTTTTCAAAACTTCACAACTTGATTGATCCGCTGTACCTGGTTTTAGAAGTGCTAGATCCGCTCCTTTGCGGTTTCTCTACATTATAACCTCCATTGGTGCACGCCTGACGAAACTGCAACGATGCTCTTTGAGCACCCAGGCGCGTGGCAACAGGGGGGGGGAGGGGTTGTACCTCTATAATGATATAAAATGGTTTGTTTGCTGAATGCAGAATGCTCACAAAAAAATTGCGTAAAGTGCCAAATATCCATACGTATATTACGAATACACTTAAAGCTGTTTCCGAATATCTAAATGCTTAGAATTGGGAAATGATTTTCTGCCTCCGCATCAACCATATAAGGGAGTATATATATAGCGGTGCTTCGTGAGCATATTCATGACAACAAATTACTTCCTATAAGGCATTTTGGAGACGAAATTTTGAAGCAGATAGTGGGATCGACAAATGACTTAATCTCCTACTGCTTTTGTCCGTATAGTCAAAATTATTATAAATGCTGCTGAGACTATAACCAATTCAATTGAATTTAGTCCGTAAACCTATGTGTTGGCTGTCAAACAGCTGTCTTTTCGATAACTTGTACAAAGCGAAAATGACAATTTGAGCAGTATTTTTCAAATGAGTTGCTTGGAATGCAATACCAAAGATGATTTTCTCATATCAAATTTATCAAATCACGAATCTCAATCCAACATTAAGTGATGCATGATATATCGCATGGACAAATTACAACTAGTGTTTTCTTATTGCAGAGACTCTACATTGATAGCCTAATTTTGCCTTTGCTAAAAACATGCGGCGTTTTCACATGAGTGCAAAGAGCTGAAGCTTAGTTAAAAGTTCCATTTTCTATGGCAGTTTTTTGAGCACGTCATGCCTTTTAAACTTTCATCCAGACAGCTGGCGACAATATTATTAAAATTAAAAAAGGTTTTAACGTCAGCAAGCACTAAGTATGGCTTATTCAAATAAATGCCTCGAGGGAATGTTAATAGCACAGTAATGTAGGATTAGTGTTGACAACATGCACAAAGTAGTTCAATGTTATGACACGAATGAATAAAGAAACGCCCCATGGCTATATGCTGAGAAAAATATAAAGCGGAACTTCATCAACAAAACAACAGCGAACGAAATGAGAACAAAATGTAAAAAAATCGAAATTGAAATGATAACGGAATGCGAGGAATGCGGGTTAGAGGTTGGATCGAATTGGATGAAAACAGAATGTTTAACGGAGTTGAAATGACGACAAAAATTGAAAGGAATAACGAATCGAAAAACAACAGAATATGAAAGAACGAAGTTAGAATGGCAACAGAATGTGAAAAAACGGAAGTGGAATGATAACTGAAAGTGAAAGAAGGGACAACAAGTAATCAAAGGAAATAACGAATCGAATAACAACAGAATGTGAAAGAACAGAATTGGAATGACAACCGAGAATGTGAATGAACAGAATTGGAATGACAACAGAATGTGAATGAACAGAATTGGAATGACAACAGAATGTGAATGAACAGAATTGGAATGACAACAGAATATGAATGAGCAGAATTGGAATGACAACAGAATGTGAATGAACAGAATTGAAATGACAACAGAATGTGAATGAACAGAATTGGAATGACAACAGAATGTGAATGAACAGAATTGGAATGACAACAGAATGTGAAAGAACGGAAGTGGAATGACATGAAAGTCAAAGGAAATAACGAATTGAACGACAATTCACCTGTGAAATGTGAAAGGACAGATGATATTGGAATAACAAAAAAAAAGTCCAAGAACGAACTGAAATGACAACAGGAGAAAAAACAAACTGAAATGACAACAGAATGTGAAAACTGGAATGAATAGTATGTAAAAATAGCCAAAGAAAAGAATGTGAAAGAAAAGAATTGGAACGGACAACAACTGAAAGCAAAACAAGCACAAAGTCTGGAGAGAAACGTACTGACAACCGAATAAAATCCAATAAAAGACGTCATTATAGAACTAAGAACGGAAATGACAAAAAGAAAAAATAAAGCAACGGCCGGCGTGATACACTGAGTCATTATTTGGACCTTATCATAATTAGGTCGTGTATTTTCGAGTTAACAACGAAAGAATCTTCTGTTTTAGAAGTTGTGATATATAATTTGCATTATGTCCTCGTTAGGAAAGAGACACAACTTATAAATAATAAGGGTTTTATTTCTAGATTATCCAAAGGTTATATAAGCGATCCAGAGTGTAAAAGATGGGAAAGATATTCATTTATACCATGCTTGGCAGTCGGCATGAACTTCCCGTCGCCTTGGCGTCGTTGCGGAATGCGAATCAATTCGATAAAAGGAAATAAATATACGTTAACAGGGAATCTAGTAAACACAGCGTTCCTGGGGTTTTGACAAGCTGTGAATAGTACTAATGCAGATTAATCTTTTGCAATAATCTTTTGAGATAAATGTTAATTACTGACAAAACCACGCATTTCCGTATATGTATAACATGTGATAGATAACTTCTATAAAGCAATCAAATTGAAGTCGCAAGTTTCGATCAAGCATATATGGAATTATAAAGCTCACGGCGTAGTAAGATCATGATATTCATAAAATTGCACCGAAGTGTGCCTGGTTTTTGCCCAGCTCGCTTCATTTTGATCCGTTATTCTAGCCCGCGTTTTATTCCTGGCCTCATTGTCTGCTCTTAAGTACAGTTTTGCTGATTGACTATACAGAGGTTAGATCATAAAATCATTTGTTATTGAGATGTAAAATATTTCAACGCATATTAAAAACCTCTTCGTTATCGGCACACCTTTCAGTGTTTTACTTGAATACAGCAGTTCGCAGTTTCCTAACTTTCGCAAAACAGAACATGTTGTTGTTTCGTGTTCCATAACGACGCATCAACATATTTTAACTACATATCATTACAGCTTTTCGGCACAACCCCGTTAGATTACAGCTCTCGTCGACTTTCATTAATGATCCTGGTGATAATGTATGCAGGACAAATTTGGTCACATTCTCTGGATGACTTCAATCTGTTCACACTATGTCGGCACGTAAACACTTATCGAGCACTTGTAAGATACTCATTTTATCGCCTTACCACTTGCAAAATGTTTTATCACATTATCGCTTATACTGAATATTGTGACCGTACGTACGGCAGTATATATGTAAACGCAACCATTTCAAATTTTTCTGGCAATTGGAGGTTGAGTCGTCACAGCCCAAATAGCTCATAATTTACGTTATTTCCACCCTAGACCCACATATAATAAGTATTATGCACCAACACAGAACACCAGATAATTGTACTGTGAAATTTTAGTGAATTAAACCTATGAATAGTGGAACTGTGCATGGAAACGTCTATATTTACACTTCAGGACTGCATGGTTGAAGTGCAGTTCCGAGGCGAAGCAAGACTGTATATTACCTCCAAGCTTCACAGGAAACTGCACAAGTTGACGATTGGATTAGATATATTAAGATTAAGTACCTATAGTTGGTATGTACTTGATCATCGTCAGACTTCTTTATAAGCTTGGCATCCATATTTGAAGGTTAAATAGTTTCGTGAATTAAAAAAATGAATTTCTATATGGCAATTTAATTCATATCTATGCTGACCATATACTCAAGTTGAATCCGAATACCCTAGCTATATGATCAACTGCGCGATCTCGTCGCTCGTACGTTAGTAACGTCACGTACAATTTTCAGTGATCTCTCAGTTTTTATCACATGCAATGAGTGATAGCTATTATTGATTCTTAATTTGAGGCTAGTTTCCATCTAGGTCAGTTTTTGCACAGGATGGCCTGTATATCATCAAGTACGACAAAAAGATCAAAATTTGTATCGCCGCCAGAAACAATTGCTGTACCCACCACAGGTTCAAGGTTTGCCTGTGCTTTTTCAAGTGGGTGCATGATTCGAATTACTACATCGGTACAACATCTTCATCAGTTCAACTGTAAAATTTATAGTTATAACAATTTAAGTAAACGAAATTATTATACATATTGAACGTATACATATCTAGGGTATTTTATTATGAGGAGTCGATTTTGATGGCTGTGCAATGGGCGAACAAGGTGAACAAAATTGGATTAAGTCCGGTCAGGTGCATGTTTACGAAATGAAATGATAGGTAAACACGCTTGTGCTTTTCTAATTGAAGGCTGGAGCCAAAGGGCAAACTGATTATCTGCGGTAAAACCCCACGATAATATACTAGTACTACACCCATCTCCTCCTACACAATTGAGCAAAATTTTTCACCCATCAGTGAAATGATTACGACGCAGCGTTGGTCCTCTGGCTCTGTTGTAGATGCATCAAGTCGATGGAAAAATTTATGAAGTCCGCCTGCCGGTAGATGTAGCTTTCATCATGCATGCAATGAGAATGTAACTGTTTCAAAGCAATTGACATATTTGCAATTAATTATATCAACACACAGCAACCGAATTGCCTGTTGACGTTTGAACAGGAACTATCATATGTTCACACTGTTGATAATATAAACCGACGATTGTCACGATATCTGTACAAATTCTTTGCACAATATTCTTCGTTATCATTCGCATCTAAATCTGCCGTGTAGTCGCCGTCTCGCCGAGTGTGAGAGGCAGCAAGTGCAAAGCTATTAGGTAGCCTTATTTTGTCTTAGGGTAACAAAACACGGGTTATCTCAACAGGGTATTTATTCTATCTTTATTCTAATACCCTGAAGTCGTGTCGATCGATTTAAAACGACAGAAGCGTAGATTGGAAGTCCACCGAATCAATGCCAATGCCGTTGAAGAAGTTGTAACGACGACAACCTCAGTTCGCTTGGGTAAGATTATTGGTGAGTTTGCAATAATGATGTTGGTTCGTGATCAAGCGAAACGTTCATGTGTAGAGAATAGCGAGATTGAGAATAATTTTTTGGTGCGTCATTATCTATAGAATCCACGGTCCGAGAATCAATTCAACAATCCACGCGAGCGTCTTCTGAAAATAGAGAGTCTTTGTCTTCAACTAGTTATAAATATATGAATATTTTTAAAACTGGCTGGTCATGTCGTTACGACATATTACGCTATACACAACAACTATGCGGAAATTTAACACATTTCTTTTGGATGATAGCGTTATCTATAACCGTTAATTTCAAATACTTTTCGTTTTTAACAGCATCATATAAAAATTCGGCATGCCACTGCAGTGTTCAAATGTTAAATTTAATGGCTCGTGGCCCGACGACATGTAGGCTTATTGTTACCAATCAATCCGATCGGCTCAATGTGGCTAAGATGGCCTTCTCGATCGTCTCGAAGCCGAAGGGCACCGACAAATTACTTGTACAATCAATCGTGAAGATATAATTTATGATAGCGCGTATTACCTTTTTTAACATAATGCTATATAGCTCTATATGGTGGGATTAATCGCTTTCCACTCATTCAATGAATGAAATTATTGAGACAATTTGGGCGAAATATGCTTGAAGCGACATGAGGCGACCTCTGATGGATACCCAGCATGATGTGTGGATATCCCGCAGTATTTCGACAGTTGAGATCCCCCGTCATCGTTAAGGTTACGTCTTGGCCCATGGACATAAAAGGTAGAAACTGCAAACATTCCTAAACTAAAAGGCAGGACGTAAAACCAAGTGACCGTATTGTGTATCAAAACATCAGATATATCACAGCCTGTTTTGTTTACCTTTGCGCTTTCCCTTCACCTCGCAGTTTGTTTGCAGTGTAAATGGATTGTTTACAGTACAGTCGAAACCCGAATATTTTTCTCCGTTCATGAGCTATTTTTAGATCAATGATTATTAGATGAATGAGCTCTCGAGCATTTTCCAAAATTTCTGTCAATTTGAAACAAAGCAGGGATTTGTGTCGTTCAACATAATCCGCGCATCGCCCGCGCTTGGCGTTCGCTCGATATGCGGCCGACATTTCCCAAAGGTAGATTAGATTTTGAAAAAAAAACGCTACATTTCCAAGTAAGGAATGCGAAAATTGTCGTATATAATATACATGGAGTGATTAGGAATTTAAAAATGATAATTGTCTTCACCGTCATTAGAATACAATTCCAATCATGCAGAGTTAGTTAGGGCCGATTGTACATAAGTAGGAAGAGTATTTGAGCGTAATCACATTTCGTTAGCACTCCGTCAAGTGAATACCTCTTCGCGAGCACTTTTGTTTTTGTTCGGAAATCTAGCTATTCATCTGAAGAGGATATAGACCATAGTTATAGTTCTAACAAGGGGATTCTAAAATAAATCCAGGCACTTGAACGCTCGATTAACCAGAATCAATACTAAAATCATCAAAGGCGTCTCTAATTCGCAAGTGTACGGCTTATTTCAGGTTCGAAATTTCTTGAACGCAGGATGTTGACAACAGAACAGAACAGAGCCTATGTCGTAGCGGCAGCCTTTATTTTCCTCAGCCTAATGGCATTTGGTAAAGTGGAAACAACAGATGGTTCGCCAGTGAATTCCTCGGTCAGTGATCAAGAGGAACTTCCATGGGATATTTCAACGGACAACGTCGCCGCGTATAGTGTTTTATCGACGTTCGATCTCGAGTCTTTGGTGAAGGGACAGTCGGGAACATTATCGTCGAGACGAAAAAGAGCGACGAAGATGAATAATCCTGTATTTAAACCGGTCACATCATCGGACATCAGGAAACTACCGTATCATGCTGCTGTTCATATTTCTGCGCAATGCAGTGGGATATTGATAAGCGAAAGCCATGTACTAACTGCAGCGCATTGTTTGCATGACGGAAAGAAATTTCTCATCAAACCATCGAAGCTCAGAATTGGTAAGTAGTTTACCAGTTGTAATCTAGTTGACCAATACATCACTATATACAATCTACCTCCTCTGTTTTTTTCGTGCTTTTTTTTTCAACGAGCTGTGGCAATATAGGTTCCTTCCTATATTCTTATAAATATAAAAATATTCGGATGGTCGAGGTTTGAAGTGAAAAAGAAAACGGAATAGGAACTACGACGTTTTTAGTGTCAAGACCCTCTGTCCTTAAAGTATATAGGATGATAGGTGGATGAAGACCACAATAAGGTTCTTATATATTAAAGTGTCGATCCTCAGTTTCACGAAATATTTGAGAATTCATATGTGTTCAATATAATTAAGTGATAACATTAAGATCAACTTGATAATATAATAGGATGCTGGCTTATCTATGCCAAACCGTCGGTTTCGGCCTCAAATTGAACCAACATGCAGCCGTAAACTTGCTGAGGATTCGGTTTTGGTTGAAACCATGTAGATTTGGAGGCAAGCCAACTGGCATTGGTTTTCTGAGCCTCTCTGATATTCTCTAGAATGCTTATCCTTTTTCACTTTGATTATAAGACGTGGGAGGCGTTTTAAGTGCATGAGAATTCATAAATACGGATTAATGGAATAATCCGACCGTGAGCATGGTTGAACGAATGGTATGATAGGCGCACGGAATATATCCTAGAGTGCACGGATTACGTTATTCGCTCAAGAGGGTTAAAAGTACCAGTGGCATCGCAAGAATATATAAAGCAGTGTTGCCGCCAGCTACATGACCCATTAATAACACATCGTAGTAGTTCGCCATTAGATGTTGCATGGAAACTCGTCTAGTCTTATATGAAATGGAGTAAAACCTCTTTTTTAAAAAACACTGCATGTAAATTGTATCTGCTTTTTCTCCATTTTCCTTTTGTAGTTTATATACAACACTTTCATTATTTTGCATGACCAGAAGATAGTGGTTGCCACCTTGTTAATAATTTGCTATTCATGCATGTTTTTCGTGTTTGTCAAAACAGCTTTTATTTCTACACCACACCTCAGGGATTTATAATAACTGAGAAAAATTTAAAGTGTCTTATGGGTTGGATTAAAATGAATGAAGGTGCAGTTTATAGGCAGGGTCAGTGTATAGAGCGTCTAACATCAATCTAGTTTAGATCAAGCTATGATACGATATATACTTAAGCTGATATACTATGTATAATAACTGTTGGGCCATGCATGCATGTATACAAGTCTCAATTAACTGCATTCTTGGCAGTTTTTCCTATATGCCATAAAGGATCCTGTGACGCTTTTCTAAAGTCTGTCTTCATTATGAACGCAAGCGAAATGTTATCACCAATTTACGTCTCGCCACTCGACAATTCAATAATGAAATAGTCATGAAGATTAACCTAGGCGACAAGAGGACTGCTTAAAAAACAACGTTTTAGGAAACGCGATTGGCTTCTATAAATAACTAAATGTTTTTGTCGCTAGATTGCTGAAGAATTGCTCAATCATGTGAACTTTCTATTAAGCAAGAAAAGTTTAATTATCGCCTTCCCGTGCCATCTCGATGACGCGACTGTTGCATGGTTGTTTAGGTTTCTTCACATTAAAGGCAGCACGCATGCGTATATTCCTCCGTAAAACTTGAGTTTGAGAAGAACGAACTGGGTTAAATTTGCTCGAGTTCTCTTATTTAAAGGATTTAAGCTGAAACACTGCGGTGTATGAACATTAACAAGGTCCGCATTTTTCTCTGCATCGATAGTTTCAATCCGCGGTACAATTATTTGCTTGTGCATGTCTTGCTGTGTGCACGATGCTATTTTCAGATTTGTTGTTGGTTTTTCAAATTATCAGCCTGCTACCTTTTGAATGGGGTCAAACTTTTCAAAAATAGATGTATTTATTTGATTTGATAGGTTTTGGTAAATAGTCGCAGGCTGGCGGGTATTATTCACTTCAGAGCATCCACTAACGCAATAGCCATTATTGTCGATATAACCATCGGCTTCCGCGCGGCCCTCAGACCTAGATATGTCCAGATTAGAATAAGCTCTTCTTAGCACACGCGGGTTTAATCCACACAACTTAGTATCATGATTTGTCCTATGGCGATGCTTTGACCCTTGTCGTCTTTTTAGGGCTACCAAGAGCATCGGGCCATTTTGCTTGGAAAAAAGTCAGCTCACAGGTTTACATCCCCAGAGCATGGAGGAGGTGCAAATACAGAAAGAGCTGCTCACTGGATACGGACTTTGCAGTGTTGAAAATGAGACATTTACACGGACAAAAATACCTGACTCCGAAAGCAAGCAGGGATCGAGTGAGTTCAACGATCAAATTTAATGCCTATCCAGGACTCAAGGGAGGAGAATTGTGGCATTCTTCCTGTGCTGTTGAAACTCACAGCAAGGGAAAGTTACTCATAAGTCGATGCTTTGTATCAAAAGGCAGTTCTGGAGCTGGCGTCTACGAGTCACTTGGTTTTGGAGAATACGCGGTCACGGGCGTAGTCAGCGCCATTTTAAAATTCCCCCGGAGAGGCAAATTTGCCATTACAAATAAACTGACACCAGCTAAAGTGAAGAAAATATGCCGTTGGGTAGGAAGGAAGGACTGTTAATGAAATAAATGTGGAGAGTGAGACATAATTTTCATGCAGTAACGTATAGAATGTAATGTTCAGTCATATAAATTATAGTTGAACTGGCATTATAAAATAGTATAACTCACTCGGCTGTTTCGTCGACATTGCGACTGCACTGAAATTTTAATAAACGAAAACTAGACAAAAATCGAGTTTGTCGATCTCTTGTGTACCTACAGTCCGTTTAAAAAAGCCCTGATATCGAAATATCAATACCATTCGACAGGGCATTTACTTTTTATGGTAAAACACGTAATTGGCCATCCCCAAAAAGGTGATGTTTTGCAGCCAGTGTTTTGAACGCCAGGCGCTAAAAAGTAAACATTTTCGTTTTCAAATTTCACAATATAAGATGATTTGCCTACCATCTTTCCCGTCATTCTAAGTAAAGCATGCTAGGGCCGGTTGTTCGAAAGGCGTTAAGCCTAAATGGTGGATAAGCCAAAGTTTCGTTGCGAAATATTGAAAATTGTGAAAAATACCGTCGTGTTGGCAATAGCAAGTTTAAGATGCACCAAATCTACGACGCGGACGTGACATGACATGAAAACAGCCGCTAGTGTTAGGAACCCATGCAGTTTTAATTTGTTTACATATACTTTTTTCACAAAAAGAGAAACATTTATTCTATTTATATCCCTGGAAATTAATAACGGCGGTATTACTTCACGTCCGCGTCGTAGATTTAGTGCATCTTTAACCAGTGGCATAGCCAGCCTGACGATTTTGTCCCGCTATGTAAATTTCGAGCTATTATAAATATTCATTTCTTTGAGAAATTTATTGTTTTCACAGTCAATGAACACCAAAATATTAGCATAGCGGGACAAATCGTCAGGTTGGCTACGCTACTGTCTTTAACTAACTATAATATAGCTATACTGGCCAATATGCTGGTCTGAGCCCACGGTTTTAACTGTAACACCCAAGAAAACTAGCAAAAAGCTATAACAATGTCAAATGTACTGAGTGTACTGCAAAACGGACTTTTTTAACATGTACATAGTCATAAAGTGCAGTTATTCAATAAAGATAATTTTGAATTATAAACAATGATAAAAACTATAGATTGTGAAATTGTACTCTTAACAATTTTGTAAACGCGTTTTTGTAAATATACGTATATATATTATATATATATATATATATATATATATATATATATATATATATATATATATATATATATATATCTGTTTAAATAATTTCTGAAGAATCTGTTTAAATAATTTCTTAAAGAAATGCAGAAATACTGTTTTCATGCAGGGTTCGCGAGGTCATCTTGCTTCTGGTTCACCTTCTATACACTATAATTTGCAGGTGTGGAAATGCATTACAAAGCACTACCCACAAAATATCACCGCCCGCCATATTTGCCCGAAAAGGGCCTGCGGAGGAGGTAGTACAAAGCACATGTGGCAAAAACAGCGGCGCGAAACCATAATTCGCGTTTGGTTTACATTTTCAGAACAGGTGGGCCAAAAATCGAAAGGATCAAAGCGATTTTCAGTAGGAAGTTGTGCTTCACGTGGGATGGAATAGTTGACTTTTGGGCTTATAATTTTTCCATTAACTGCATTAAACCGCTTTTGTTTGGATTAATCATCTCACGTTTTGCATCAGTTCAGGACGATAAAAAATCCTTTTTGCTACTTAGGTTAAAATCACTATTTCTTTCGTTATGTTTAATTAGAAACGTTTTGTTGACTTAGAAACAATTCCTTGTTGGATTCATTTGGAAATAATCATCTGAAACAAACCATGTTATAGATTAGAAACGATATCTCTTCGACGGATTAGAACGAAACCATGCATGCACATACTTTTGTCAAATCTAAATACAATCCTTCGTTTGATAAAAAAATTCTCTTGTTAGTTTAGATATTGCAAGATTAGATTGCAATGATTCATTTAGTTGTCAGAAACAATCTTAAGTTAAAATACAAATAATTTATTTGTTATAAAACATCGCTTTGTTAGGTTATAAACAATAGATATGTACAATCGGAGACCATGCATGCAACTACATAATGTCAGTTTGATGGAAATGATCATTTTGATGGATTAAAAAGAATTAATCCCCTTGCTTTTAAAAAATGTCTGTCATATGTGGAAAGAAAGAGGATATAAACATGCGCATATGCATGAACCACCGCTTTTTCCAACAGCCCCCCTTCCTTAAATATAATTATGCCCCCTTGTATAGGCCTGCCTTGTAAGGCTTTGATCACTGCACTTGCCAAGGGGTTATCAAAGTTTTGCTAGCATATGACATATATTTGCTTTCAAGTTATTCATCGTAAGTGTTTCCCAAAATCTGCTTTTTTCAAAATCATAAACACATTCTTAGACATAAAAACTATAGTTGAACTAATCCTTTGAGTGAATACAGCTGACGCATTAGTCGCTACATTTTATATTGTATTCTGCAGTGTTGTATTAGGCATTAAAGTATGATTTATGTTTCTGAAGCACACTTAAGTTGCTTATCTTTCATTTTTTTTAAGCAACGTGTGCAGACTATGAAATTAAAGATAATGGACGCGTGCTTCAAAAACAGACTGTCGATCATGTATATGGCTTTTAGGCATACCAACAACATTTAATCTATACTAACGGATGTTTCAAACCCAGCTAGTGTTTTTATTATATATAATTGATTTTCGTATGCATGAATATATTTCAACAATTAAAGCCAGTCTTTTGATAACTCTAAACGTTTAACTCGGAGTGCGAAGGCTTATGCGGGCTACATTATGCCCTAGTCAAAAAATTGCTTCTAGAACAAGCGATTTTTTGTCAAAAATTTCCAGTTGGCGAATCAAAATAAGCATGCAACGACCATCATCCAGTGCGCGCTCAAATATTAGGTTCAATGGTCGAAGGACCTTCGTTGTATTAATGCATATAAAGTGACCTTTAGTTAAGTGGACGGGGTATGTCATAATTGTCAATCTGCATACTGTTTACAGCTCAGCATTTAAATACAGTTGAAGAGGAGAATGTAATGTTTTGACTAGCATTAATTTAGCAACTACATATAGTACACGTGTGCGTGCGCAGGCTAGGGATAAATTGGGATATTATTTTGTGTTTAATACTGTCTATATTAAATACAGATGATGGTTTGCATGGGAAAGGGAGGAAATCGAAACATATACGATTCAGCCACAACCTAAAATGAGCCTCGTTATTAGAAATGCAAGCTAGGTGACTCGAATACTACATGTATCATGTTGTAACGTTTTTTGCGCCCCAAAATTCCCGAGAATTCGAGTGCTTTTTTAAATTTAAATTCCAGGAAGACAAGCTTCTAAAATTACAAACAAGTTCACTTGGTGTTCCAAGGAAAGGCGTAACCGCCCTTACAGAGGCGCCTTATAATTCCCTTTAGGGACGTAATATTTTTTTATGAGGCATGCTGGTATAACATGCATTACAATGAAAGTAAGCTTCGCCTTAAATGGCCCTAACAACTGTGCAATATATCGTACAAATAAGCAGCCTGTTGTGACAATTACTTACACAATGAACACCATATTTAGCACTGCGGCGATAAGAGCTAAAGCGGCTATGATGAGTTTTGACAGTAACAGAAATGAGCATAAATTCACAAACTGTGAAGAATGAATTAACGCCAGCATGCACTTAAACATTTCAAAAGTTTCCGTTTGAGTTTGTTTTACAAAAGAGGAGGCTCTCTTGGACCGGCATGACATGCTGTGAGGTAATTAATGAATTATTTTACAGCAAAGAGAGAAGCTTGTGATCGCGTGTCCGAGATGTCAACACGTAATTAGTTGAATAACGTTATAATTATGAATCAAAGTTCAACACGATGAAATGCCATTTGTCACATAAACAAGCACTGTTTATGTGCTGCAGAAATAAGCTAAAAATAAGTTTATCATACGATTTCCAAAATATATCGGAAGACGTGGCGGTCTGGTGAAAAGAAGAGGAAACTGCATGTGATTTCTAACAAAATATTGGGCGCAGTATCATCGTCAGGTAAAAAAGATAATATAAATTTATATGTTGGGAAACTGCATGAAAATAAAGATGGAAAAATAGGTAGAAAAAGGGGAATATAATTATGCTCTTATTCGACCCAGATAAAACCGACGTTGCATGGCGTCAAAGAAAGAGGTGAAATGGAATGTAATTACGTCCTCATTTAGCTCGAAACAGCGAGTTTCAACATATTGAATGACGTGGCTGTCTGGTAAAAAAGTGAGGTGGGATGTAATTATGCAATCATTTGCCAAAGAACTGTGTGTTCTAGATGAAAGTATTAAACGCCCTCAATGGAAATATTGAATGACGTTGGCGTGATGGATAAAAAGTGAAGTGGAATGTGTATAATTACGCTGTCATTACGCCAAAAGCAGCGAGTTCCATGCAAATGAAATAATGAATGACGTTGGCGTCAAAGAAGTTAAGCGGAATGTAATTATGCTCTGATTGCTCTCTGTTGGAGAAAACGGAAAAAAAATTTTAAAAGTTTAAGAAAATTTGAAAATGAAAATAATAAGGACGCACTGGCCAGATAAAAAAGTGAAGTGTAATGTAGTTATGCCTTTATTTACTGAAAAACGTTGAGTTGAAAATATTGCATAAACGAAGTACAAAGCTGCATGTTTTCATGTGTAATATGTAAAAGTGCATGGTATGTAATATTATGCGCTACATAGCTTTAGTATATATATTTAGCGGGGAAACATTGAGAATATATTCCGTGGTCGACAATTTCATTCCTAAAATAATATGTTTTTATATATTCGATAATGCTTGATGGGTTTTAATTTAGTTAAGAGAGTGCATGTTGTTATTTCACTCTACCGGCGACAGGGGCCGTCTTTGTATCAAGCCCGTTTAGCTTAAACGGCCGGTATGGATAAGTTCAAAATAGGAAGCCAATCTATCGTTTTATTCAACAAGCAAACTAAATGTTTTTAATCTTAATACAAAGATACTGTTTACAACTACATATTCAGTGCATAATATTCAAGTGAACTTATTCAAGAGAGATCTATAAGAGTGTGATTTAACTTTGACTTATCCGCCGTTTAAGCTATAAACGGGCTTAAGCCCAATCAATTGATACAACCGGCCCCAGGCCTATGCCTCTACAAGCTGTACTCGATAAGATCCACTGAACATAGGTGCAATATATGTATTACCAAGAAATTCTAGAGTGGTAACTTACGTTTGACATATCGAATATGTTGTTGATTTACGAAGCAGCAATTCTTTCCAGGATTCTTTTATACTGTGCAATTGTTTCTTGGTAACTTTCCTCGAGGAAGTTTAACTGTTCCCGTTGTAACATGTTCGCAACCGCAGTAGAATATTCATCCGGAGTCAAAACAGAACGAAGCTTTTCGAGATCGGCCTTTTCTTTCTAAAGATGTAAAAAATAAAGAAAGATATCGAGATTGTATACGCATAGAGCGTGAAAGAGTGGAAAGTGGAACTGAGTGAGGCTATATACTATAGACTCTCTTATTTAATATAATGGTACAACTGTTAGGGTATTTCTAAAAACGTGGCCCTGCGGTGAAAAACAATTCACAGAATGTACACGTGGGCTGCATTTACACTATTCCTCTTTCGATATTCATGCCCTACTTCAAATGTCTGAATTCTAACTCAATTTATTATCTACTGGACTTTCTTTTAATGTTTTACTAGATAATGGTGCGAATTAGGTCACAGCAATGCATGACAGAGTGCCACAACTTGTATACCAAAGTCGGAACCATACCTGATATGGCGCATTAAGTCTTTTTTTAATTTCCAGGCGATATCGCCGATGTTCTTCAACATTGCTAAGATTTGTAGCTCGAAGTCGAAGAATTTCATAAACTCGTCGACATTGATGCTAAAAAGAGAAGGAACAGTCACCTCAGCAACTTGCTTCACGACACATGTAGATGGGCAATTTCCTGTGTCAGAGAAGTTTTCTACAACATGTTAAAAAATGAAAAAAAATAATGATGTTATACCTGGTTAATTTTCCGATGTTTTTTAGCAGAATTAACCATTTCTTTTGTGTAGCCATTACGTAAATTTTCAGCTTTAAAAGCAGGTAAAGAAAGACACTTCATGACATCAACATAGTCACGTAAACGTCTAAATTCGTCGACGGGGTCTTCAACTGGAAAAGAAGAAATTTTGTCGGTCAGTCCTGGCCGTTTCCCTAGATCCATCATGGGATTCAAGGTTGCTGAAACGAAGAGAATCGTGCTACGAATTTTCGACAGCTAAGCCTAAGGTCATAATGAAAACTCATAAAATTTACGAAAGCTTTGCATTAATAAAAATACGTGCATGGTGTTAGCTATATTGTTGTTGTTCTGCCTGGAAAATTACAAGAAAAACCTTTTACCTGTCATATCGAGAACCTTTTCGTCTCTGATGTAAAAGTTGTCAACGCATTCAAGTTGTTTTGCTATATAAAGAAAAAACAAAGCATTCCTTAATGCCAGTTTATACCTGATGCAAATCTTGGGAAGCAAGTAATTATGGATACATGTTTATATTTATATGAATGCAGCTGGTTTAAACATCTTTTAAAAAAAACCCGCATCTAAAATCGCAATAAAAACTGCAGGTGTAAACAGGCATTGCAGGTGTAAACATGATTAAGCCCATTTTCCACTACGCGAATTTATTCGCGCAACGCGATAACTGAAATCCGGTGATGTGATTTGTTTGCGAAAAAATTCGCCACGAAAAAGTAGAATCGCTTACCTACTTTTTATCAGATCGCCTAGTGGAAACGGGCTTAAATGCTGGAAAATGCTGTCGCTATATGCAGCAAACTAAGGAATGAGGTATATGTATCCTTCGTATATTTGTATGGGATTTTGTCTGTTTTCGATCACGAGCAATTTTTTTTTCGGGTGAAGAAATTTATTCTTCCACTTTTGGAGCAGAGCTCACGCACACACACACATGCACTGGACGCGATTCGAGAACGCGAATATTTCAAATAAATCAAATTCTGAATGGGAAAAGCGCTCAATGCCTATATAGTTTATACGCTGCGCTTGCTCGCCTCTAATGTGATTTAAACGATAGATAATGAGATGATAATAAGGGTAAAGAAGATTCATAATCTCATTATCTATTAAGTTAATTTGTTCCAAGATGGTTGCAGTAAAAAGCTTTGAAACAAAAAACAAAATGTCGCTTCACACGAAATCTGCTTGAGGTAATAATAATTAGGATCAGGATTACGAAGTTTAAAGTCAATCCAATCCAAGTGACTAGCTTAAGTCAACGACTTACCGCCAAGGCCTTTCTTCCGAAATGGAGGCAGGATGAGAAACTGGCTATCGAAAAAAACAAAATGAAAATGACTTTTCTATTTTATAAACTATAATATTTTATAAAAAGGTCGCATGTGATATAAGAAGTGCAGGTATATACAAAATTGGACTATTTTACACGCAATAAAATCCTTTACAGTATCGTGAATGTATTACACATCCATCCATGATCCATGCCATGCCAAAATGTTTCTTTGGAAAATGCATGATCGGTGAATTCAACCAAATAAAAATAATTTATTAGACGGGTTTTGACAAAATTTGAAACTCTCTAAAATATGTTTTTGTTGGTTTAAATATAATGTTTTCATGAACGAATATAATTCCACAAAATCTCAAACCATTTCGAGGTATTTTGAAACGAATTTTGAAACTTCAAATTGAAAATGAAAATTAGCTACGATTTTTCTTTTGGTCCCACATATAGCTCATTGCCCATTTTCGCAAAATTTTGAGTTTCTCAAAAATATCATTTTATATATTAAAATGTTCAAATATTGCTTTCCTAAAAGAATGTAATACCGCTTAATTTAGAACATTGCACTTCGAGGTTTTTGAAGCAAATTTTGAAATTTCGAAAAATTATTCCTTTGCTCCAGGGCAAAACAGATTTAACACTCCCACTACACAGGAATTTTGGGATAAAAAACACTATTTTTGCAGTATACTGGTAAGAAGTTATAAACATTAGGTGAAGCAATTAATTCTCCTTAATTGGGATAAGAAGTAAAAGAAAAATTACTAAATTAGTACTGATTCACATCATAGTTAAAAAAATCGGAGAATCTATTCTGTATTATTTTCCGTCGGAAAAAAAACTTTATTTACGAATAGTTACAGTGTGAAAAATAGGTTCTTAAGAAAAGATTAAAGTTTAAATTTACCTGATCCTTGGTCGTATCATATCGGGGTAGGCATAATAGCGATATACTGTCGTATACCCCACTATTTTGTACGTCGTTGTTCCAGCCTCTGTGCACTTCTCGTACCTATAACAACCACAAAAATTGTTTACTGTGTGGACAGAGCGAATACCCTGGAAACCAGGTTGGAACAATAAGTTATATTCATTACATCAAGCGCAACATACGGATTATTAACTTATATGTCAGAAGAAATTACATGAGGAAAAAGTCCCATTTATCATCATCCATATCTGGAAGTAAAAGAGATAACATTAAAACTGTTGAGTTAAGAAGCTTACTTTTTTGTCGAGTGTGTAGTTCTGTACATTTAAGTAGGCTGGTGTTGAAAGAGATGACGTAAACGGAAATTTGGCTGTAGCTCAGATGTCCAGTTGAACTGGTACAATGGACCAGGAAAATTACAAATTATTAATGGAATAGAGAATATATGAAAGGAAAAACGATTTAAATATATATAAATGAACTTTGAAGAAAAAGGTGCCATAATGGTCCATCCAGATCTCCTACTTCCAATACAAAGAGGCTTTTGGCGACTGACTGGGAAAATAGCTACACTAGCTCGCTGTCGCTGCATTTGAATACTCATTATTCAAGTGATATGTATTTATCGTGTTGTATGTCATGACTGTACGTGTACAATTGCATACATTGAAATCATCTGGATGCATTTGAACTGAATTTTCATACTGATTTCCAAAAATTTAACAAAAATTAGGATTTTTTAAAATTTTGAAATTCAACAAAAGTGTGTGGTTTTATGTGTTCAAATGTATTGTTTTCATGAAAGAATGCAATTCTACCGAGTTCGAGGTATTTTCGACCGAATTTTAAAATTTCAAAAAATTGACGAAAATTAGAATTTTTTCTATAATAGGCCCTCGTTACCGATTTGACTAAACATCAAAGTATGATTTTATGATTTGTTTTCATTTGAACTGACCTAAAAAAGAAGCTGCATCAATATACCAGAGAACAAATGTTTGCAATCTCTCGTGGTAATTTCTGAAATTGGGTGTTGTGACATCAGTCTACAAAATAATGACGATCGAACATATGAATAGTATTGTGTCTGTCCGGCCAACAATTACTTTAATTATTCACTTTATAGCATTCTCAATTTCATTTGAAAATATCGTGATCTTTCGATATCTCGCTGGTAATTATTACCGCGGATCTATAACTGAAGATTCTATCGTGTTTAAATAAATTTTATTGTATTGTTATTGTATCATACACTTTAAAGAGTACCTTGTATATTTGATACGTTCTTCCTTCATTATCAAAACGTTCTATCATTTCTCCCATGGGAACAAATTTACTTTCTTGGGGTAATTTTGATATAAACTGCTCCAAATTAGTGCAAAAACCTTCGAATTAAAACCATGAAATACAGTAGATAAGTCGTATGAAAATCAGTCAACCTTGTCTCTACTGTTAAAAAATTAAGAAAATTTTGTTTCACCCTTTTAAAAAATGGACCATTGGGTTTGATTTCAAACAAAATTTACGTCCGCAGTTATGTTTTAAGCCCAAGCGTTCTGAGTTCCATAGAATTTGGTCGGACCGTTATTGTAAAGCGTTATTATTATAAGATTAAGATGGAAAAAGTATATACGAACGAGTATACAATGTATGGTATTATCTGGAATACCGTACGTTTTCACTGTTGTCTGGGTATGTAATTTACCTGGAGCTAAAAATTCAGCAACCTTTGAAACAACATCATCCGGCTAGATGGGGAGCAAATTTAATATGTGTTAAAGTCATTGTTTTAAACCGTACAGTACGTGATCCTGCATACATTTAGCTATCTTGCCACTTGCCAATCAGAAGTTTGAAAAACTGTGACAAACGTACGTGACCAATTGATTTACCTCAACATCTTCACAGCACGATTTGTCTATCATTTCATCATACTTTACACCAAGGTATGTGAGTAAACTGCCAGCATGGTAGTATAACTAAAATTAGTAACAAACACTGTAAACGAGTTATGACAAATTTTAGTCAAATGCAGGGCAATGGCATCCATGGGCATTCATCAAACATTAATTAAGGGGAACCATATTCATATATTCTGTTATGCCAGGCTCAATTCTATTGAAAGTAAAATTGTTTTCAAAAGAAATTATAGCCAGGCAATAGCAGAATATATGAATATGATCCTCCATAATTAACGTTCAATTGACGCCAATTATGGTATTTAACTCTTGTATATTGATGAAAATTAATTACCTGAACATTCAAATTTTTATATCCAAAAATAACTTCACTACAGGAAGAAAAATGTTCAAGCTCATCCTTTAGACAGAATGAAAAATTATTTTCAAATATTCAATGATTCACCCATACCTCTCTCCAAAGACCTGATGAGACATATCAGGATAAAAAATTTTTTCCAAGTCCAACACATCTTTTTCATTTTCAACTAAATAAAACGTTAAGGTTTATTGAAAAGTCTTTTTTATACTTTTTTATGATGATGCCCCACCCTCAGCGCGATCAACAAAAACATTAGTTGTGTTGAGAACTTTCACTCTATCACAAAAAAATTCCACCAGTGTTTTTTGTAAACTCATTAATTTTCTACTACTCTATGTAAACTTTTTTGTGTGAAGTAGAATCTTTCTTGATCTTTTGAATAGCACATCACAAAAAATTTGCTCAGATATATTATTTCTTTTATAAAACAATAGCAGCCAGTGAACTCTATAAACACTGGAACAATAACTAATGGTTATTTGGTCAGCATCAATCAAGTTAATTAATCGAAGTTAATTGAGTTAATTGATAGGGACCGAAACTCAGGTAATGTTGGTGTAGTTTTCTCAGTATAAAAATATTGTTAAGGTAAACAACTCTCTTTTGTGAAGATGCCATTTCCATAGCCCTCAGTTAAAGAAATTTAAAAAAATACTATCCCAAGTGTAGATATAAGTAATATATATATATATATATATATATATATATATCCTGAGAGCATACTATACAATAAGGTCTATATATTAATGGCAAATAAACATCAAAGAATTAAAATCAGAGTCAAAATCTCCTGTATCGCAAGAGTTCATTGAATGAGCAACAATCTTGCCTGGTTATGGCATAATATATTATATATATAGCTTCTACAAGTTAATTGGTACATGCTATATTCATACCTAACTTAATATGAAGTGATGAGTTAGCATCGCACTTGTATTCTTCGAACTTACTGTTGGCCAAAGTAACTGTTCAAAAAAAGCGAGCATCAATGAGCATTATAATCGATGGTATATTATTAGCTAGAGTATTATTATAAATGTACGAAAATTATCATTATTATACTTTACTTGCCTGCCATCTTGAACTTCGTAATTAGTTTTCCCGCGGTTTTTGCAAAAAAACGTCATGTAAGAACCACTATATTGTCATTCTGTTATTTGTATTTTTTTCATAATAAAATCAGCCTTTCTGATTTGTAATTTTTATTATATTTATATTGTATGTTCCAGGTGAATGGCGAGAAAGTACTGGCACTAGTTGTCAAATAAAAATCCGTTTCTCCGGCTGAAACGGCGGCTAAAAGCCTAAAACAACTTAAAAACTCTTGACCACTTCCATCAAAAGAATAAAAACCGATTACTGAATACTGCCGAATAGATATCTATCTCGACAACCCTTCTGAGCGCTGATGATGGGCTAAAATACGAAAGCGAGATGACCTGCTTAGCGTACGTTAGTAGTACTGTAATAGTATCTATTTGTATGAAAATTATATTAATATATTATCTATATTCAGTATATTGTCCAATCCGTAAAGAGTAGACTGAGCAGTACCATGAAAGCCTGCTGCGAAGTTTTTTCATTGCTTCATTGAATCTCGAATCTCCTTATCGAATTAATGATAATTAAGTCTGGTTTTTTTTACTTTTCTTCTTCCGAATTATCCGGAACTAAAGAGACCAGCTGTCCATCTTGCCAGCTTACGAGGGGACGGGGGAGGGGGGAGGGGCAAGGAGAGAAGTGGACGCCGATCTTTTTCAACTGAGATTGTATTGCAATTCACTAACAAAGTTTAAAACTGAATGCAGCTAACCAGAGCTTTGGGGTAAGGAAGGAGCGAGAGTAATTCAACTTTAAATTCAAACCAGTTTAATAGCTTCTTCCCCTAAGATGTCGAAATCAAACATTGTTCTTTACCGTCATTGTATACTCCATTAGACAGTTTAGAAAAAGGACTTGATTAACACGGCCTTTGTTTAAGCAGGGAAAAAAGACTCTGGAAATAAATGAATATCAGATAATTTGGGGCATATCTGAGTGATTCTCATCAAGGTCATGTCCGAAAGAGGGTAACATCGATATAAATATAGCCGAGTGAGACTTCTGCATCCTTCGGCCAGTCTTAAAACACATCCATCCACTTCATATCTTGCAAAATGTTCGAATTCAAACATCTCCAACTGAGGACATTGTCTGGAAATAATGTAAAATATGGCATCGGTTACTCCGCCTGTTCTCATTAAACCGACTGACAACTCTAATATAGGAACTTTTTCTAAGAATTCGCGTACGCCAGAGTTCGTTATACGTCGCATTTTTTTGAGATTGATGCATTTCAAAAGTACACAATTCTCGGCAATAATTCTCAAGCCTTGATCTGTGACCTGGTGACAACTCTCAAGACTTATCGTAGTTATGCTCTTACAATTCTTCACTAACAAGGCTTCCAAACCAAAGTCTTGCACTAGTTTGCATCGTCCTAGATTTATGCTCTTAAGATTAGGACAATTCTTTCCAATGTAAATAAGAGAGGCATTTGAAATCCTAGTACATCCTTCCATATTTATATGTTCCAATTTGGGACACGCTTGAACGATTTCTTTCATTCCCTTATCGAGAATTGTTTTTCTACTTGCAACATTGAGATTTTTCAACTGTGGACAATAACGTGAAATATACGTCAAACTACGGTTTCCAACGTTACGACACTTTCTCCCAGACAAGTTGATCTCGCGGATGCTTGTTGTTCTTCTCAAGATATATTTCACTGATTTATTGTTCACTTTTTTAGTATGCATATCCTGTGAAAGATCAAGATTTACCCATAAACGTGAATCATAGCACAATCTATGCCATCTTTTGCAAACAGCGGACGCAATAATCAGTTCTCTTAATTTCAGATACAATAATATTTGAAGTAATATTTGGTCAGGTAGGAACTGGATCGTCGCTTCATCCATAAAATTTCCATATTGCCAAAACTCGTCGTTGATTATGCATCTATATAACGAGACAACGGTTGTGCTGCGTAATTTATATTTTAATTTCATTAGACGAGATATATTACCTGGATAAATAGAGTGACCTTTTCATGCATGCCATAGTACGTGTGTGGTTATCAAATTAATCCTCATGAACAGGTAATTTTTTTGACATCAACGCGCCGGCCTCTTCTATGACCCCGTTTACACTAGAACGAAAGTTTCCGGATTTGTAAAATTTTCCGGATTCATTGTTACACACATGTATCGGATTCGTCAGGTGTTTACACTACACTTCAGTTGTCTCTGTATGCGGATTTGTCCGTTTACACTCACATTACTTTCTTGTTCTTGGAGAATTGTACTAAAATTGAAACTTTTACGGAATAAAAGTTTCCGGATACGGCTTAAAACCTAGTACATTTTCTATCAGATTCGTTGCTGCGTGTGTAAACAGCAACATGAATCCGGTACTAAAACATTCCGCTTTCGTGATTAATCCGGAAACTTTCGTTCTAGTGTAAACGGGGTCTATATAGACCTTAAAATCCATGACGTCAGACTCGATTTACATTCATGCAGCTGAAAATGAGAAGTTTTCTTGTGTGTCAATGTCATTTATTTGCGGTTTATTTTAGCTGTCGTTGTCGCATTGTCGTCCAAATCTTAAGCGTCCTACATTATTCCAACTAACATATGTCAAAAGTCCAAACCAAAATACCGATAAAAGCAACCACTTTCTTTAATATGCAGATACGCTCTGGACGTCCAATCATGCCTATATATATGCCTGCAAACTATAACAAAACTCGATATAATTGATCGATTATATTAACTAAAATTGTGATAATTCTATTTGCAGACTTTTTATTTTGTCTAAGGCTTGGCTGTCTTGGCAGCACCATTGGTAAATAGGTATTTATGACTGGATGGTATATACTCATGCATGGATTAACATTAATTGAATTAATAAAGGCGACGGATGAAAGACGACAACTAGATATTCGAAATCAAACATTACAAACCTGCTATCAGGGGAGGAATCGTCACCACGTTCCCTTGAACGGGGGAATCTAACCAGACGAGACAAACGCTGCAATGGAAGATTGCCCATTACACTATACTGACCACGGCATGATGTGATCTAAATTGTCTGAATTGAAAGCCTGAAATTTAACAATTCCATCTCCATTTGCATGTGGACATGTTATACACATGAATCGAACAGGTTGTTTTGGCATTCAAATGGAATGAACGCGTCCTTTCCCCCCCCCCAAAAAAAAATCAAACCATGATGCCAATAAGCTTGACCAAAATCAACCCATGTCCACGCTGTTTCATAAACAAACAAAAACCAAATTTATTTTCACAAAGAGTAAATTTACTTCTAACAGTAAATAGAGAAAGGATTATTTACGTCTAGATTGTAGGCATCAACTTGTACTTTTTGCCAAACCAAATGTTTCTGATTCGGAGTCTCAACTACACAACTATAAACATTCTCAAGAACAATGAATAAAATATTTTAACCAGTTGTTTTTATTTGATTATGCAAAGAGCTCACAACAAACTATATAATTTAATCTGCTTCGGACTGAGCATGCAAATTTTTCGCGATCTCACCTTGGTTTCATCAACCCGCAAACGAATTCAAACGTGAATTCGTGCAACTACATATTATGGCATGTTTAATCTTGGCAACGTCTGAGCAAGCAACCGTATTTCTTCTTTTTAATCAAGCAAGTTCGAGGAACGTTCCGAATAATAAGAGTTTTTGCTTTGCATAATATAAGCCTGTATTGAATATTTACTTGGCAGCGTCAGCCGGCCTGCATGACAAATATATTTACGTCCATGATTTTGAATATATGTATATACTGATAACATATGCATGATTCTGGGAGTGATGTAGTCATTTTGACAATAGCACGTACGTGCTTGTTTGGTGTTATATCGCCTTATTATCTCAAAATCACTCACAATCCGCGTTGAATCTCGGCTAACTGTGGCCTTGGTTAAACGTCACAATAATTTTGGTTGTGTCGAATGCATTTCAAATGATACCTATTGAGATGATAATGAGGTTTATCATATAATTATCTGTTGTTTATTAAACAACATTCGACGCGACCAAAATGCGACGCATAACCTATAGACCTGTCCCATCTAAACAATCTTTGGCCGTGGTTGCTAGGAAGTTTTAGATTTGATGCAGCTCCCGTTACGGCTATACTACTAATCTCGTCAGATTGACTTGACATTCGTGATATATATTTCCACGAACTGACACAATAGACTCGTATAGCTGACGAGAAAAATTTGTGGACCTTGTCGTCACTACGTGACCGCGTAGACGTCACTACGCGTGAAATAACTGTTTTTCATGACTAGACCGTGAATTATGTGTATTTTTCGAAATGATAAACGTACACTAAGGATTTTCGAAATTATTGATAGTATATAAACGCGGGTTTATTACCGCATGTGTTCCTAAAGGCTTCGCCGGAACGAGGTTGCGTGCATGTGTATGACGATTACAACTCGCGTCTCGCGCCACGATAACAAACTCGTAGCCGTAGCGGGAGCGAGCTTTAAGTTTAGCAGTGACTACGAGTAAGCAAACAACGCGAGAGAATGACGAATTCGTACTGGTAGTCGTCACAACTGTGTATAGTCGTACGTACTCGTAGTCGCTGCTAAACTGCGCTTCCTATAGTCAAATCTAAAGCTCCCTCAAGATCAAACAATGGATTAAGTTATATCATTGATTATTATAGTTTCTAGTTATCGCAAGATTCTTTGCCGGTCTCACTCTGAATGGTTTGACAAACACCCTGGAAAATTGAGATAACGTGTTTTTGAAGATATAGCGCGCGATTGCAAGTATAATTAAAAGTTCCAGCTAGTCAATATCTTTGAATTACTCCATTTAAAACATCTGGCAGTGTATATAGAATTATCAGCAATAATTTTTGCCGACTTTATATAAAAAACACACATAAATAGTTGAATACCGGCATATAAATTATATTTATGTCTGTCATCTTGCGCGAGTAATCTTTGTACTATTTCCTCACATGTCGCCCCATGGATGTTGCATTTCCGCAGCTCGTTACTCGGCATTTTTCCGCGGTCTTAATTACGATTGAAAGAGCCAAACACGAGTTTGGGATATTTTGAGCTAGCCGCTAGGGGTTACAATTACTAAATTATATATAAAAGTGGGAAAAATCGCGCGAAGGTCTAAGAATGAGGTAGGTTTAGAGAATTGTTTATCATTTTGTTTTACAGTTAATAATTGTTTATTGAGATTTTGATATGCTCGATCTGTATATATATTTATAATATGAGCATGAGTATTATACAGAGTTTTAAACCACCGAGAATTAAAAATCGTATTTAAACACTTTTACGTGTAGAAATATCATTTTTGCAAGCCAATCAAAAACCGCGTAAGAAATATGTTTGACCAATCAAAAAATCTCTCTATAGCTCACAGTTTCCGTTCGTTTTTATTTCATTCCATATTTACATACACGTTCAAGAGATTATAACTATAAGCGCATTTTACTGAACATTATGTTATAATGTTATTTTAAATATGTGCCCTTCAATACATATTTGTTTTTGAGTTACTAAAAATTGTCGTTTGCTTATAATTTGTTCATATAATATAAACAGAATATTACATGGTTGCTTGGAACTGAATATGGAATTATTTCTCGTGTTGAAGAGAATATTGCAGTCACTCGTTCACTGCGCTCACTCGTGAGTAATATTCTCTTCAACACTCGAAATAAATCCCATATTTCTGCGCAACCATATAGTATTCTCTCAACATATAAGCGGTTTATATATATATATATGCATCGAGTGTCGTTCAGTCGTTCGTCTGCTGTGCCAAGCGATATATATCCTATATATGCATGGTCTCTTCTTAAACCTATTTGATATGCAATACGTATTCTGTATTAACATTAACATATTTTGTTTTGTCCTTGACTTTTTAACATGCTTTCAGTTTTGAGTATATATATCGTGACTTCTACTGAGCAGATCAGTTTTCGCTTTGGTAATAATAACCTAATTACGCATAGGCGGTATCACATGAATTGTACGGCTGCAGCCGGCAATAAATCCGTCGTCAATGTTTCAAATAAACTTATAGTGCACAAAATATTATAGCTACAGTGCGTATTCGAATTGAACAACCTAATGATTCGTTGATTTGCATGGTTAATCACTTAATCTGAATCAATTTCAAACGTTGTTGACGGGATATTTACTTTTCTAAAAATGTTTACATTTCCAAGGTTTGTAACATTACATGATAGCATGAGCAAATGCAACTACGGGTTCCCAGGTTTTGACTTACGCTTAATTCTGTAATTCACTTCGCAGCAGCTAGGCCGGATCATGCATCCTCGTTCTTCAACGTAGAAACTGAAGTATTCAATTACATATTAACATCTACAATGTTAATATCTTTTTGTTTTCGTATAACTTTTGGATTTCTGCCTCTGTGCATTTCTGTTTTCAATGATTCAAATAGTTACCTTGCGAAATGTTTGCATTTTTTTACTTTTATAAAGAAAATAGTCAACTATTTCGCTAGCGAAACATTCATTTCTCTGCAAATGAAACCGCTTACCCGTTTCCAACATCGCCAAGTCTCCTTTTGTTTGCGTTTTCTCCTGTTTTTATACAAACCCTGCCTGTATGAAACATCTTCACTGATGCAAGGAAAATGGCGGTTCATACTACATATATATCACCAGTAATTATTCGTGAATTTTGTGTGTTTCAAAAGTTTTACGTAGTTACAAAGAACACAAATTGCAACCTGCAAGTTTACTTTACCTATTTTCAATATACGAGTGGGAAATAGCTCTTTTAATAAGATTATCCTGCACAGACATTTTAATTGAGACACCCCACTGAAATTGGAATTCTGTTAATAAGCACTTCTTGCGCTAGTTCATTTATACCCGATATCGCGTGTTTCACGATTGGCACAACGTGCAACGCAACGAACAACGCGTTTAGTGAAACTGTGAAAGTGAGTATAGCCATGCACGCTGCATTCAAGTGTATGTGAATAATATTTCGGTCTGTGGGTTTACAACGAGCGGTTATATAACTGGATTGACGTGTGCAACACTATCACTGCCTTTGTTTTGTTAACATTATATTTGGGGATAATAGACCGAATGGGTTCTTGCGATAACATCGTGATTATACATTTTTTTTTATCTCATAGTCACTTCAGGAAATACGGATGAAGTATAAATAAGCTGATATTGGAATTTTCTGTATACGTGTCGATGGGAGGAGTAAATTGGTTAATTTGAAGTATAACAAATATAACATAGAACAGATATAATACAACGTTTGAAAAGATGACAGATTCCGCCTTTGTTATTCTCGTTGAAGTTCTGTTGTCAATTATACTGGTCGTCATCGTGCTTGGTAATCTTTTTGTCATTGAAGCTGTATGTCGACATGTTCGTCTTAGAACCATACCGAACATTTGTATAGTTTCGCTGGCTGTTGCCGATCTGTTCGTTGGCTTACTCAATATCCCTATGTATATGTACGCCATATACAATGAAAACCATTCGCGTGATTATAATTTGGCGCTCGATTCGTTAGACATGTATTTTGGAGCTTCGTCGATATTGCATCTTGCTTTGATTAGTATGGAGCGTTGTTACGCAATCACGTGTCCGCTAAGACGAAGATTTCTACAAAAAGGTAGGCCAAAGAAATACATATTTCTTAGACTTGTAAAATTAGAACAGAATCGAAAAAAATATGTACCAAAATATATACAAATTGACGTGATTTAAAGGGATATGGCAATAAAAATTATCTTTGTCTATTTTACAAGAACGTCATGATTATGTACAAAATTCGTTTACGGATTTTTGTTAACTTTATTACATTTTTTATTTTCCATCCGCCATTTTGGATATGCATATTCTTGCTCTGATATGCGTTACGTCATAAGCTGGGTGAAAACCGTTCGGTAACTTCAAATTAACGATCCAGCGAAGTGATAGTTCCATGGTATTACACGTATCGCACGTATCTCAAATTATAACGTTTGAATTGTAAGAGTTCTAAACTAAAGCGTAAACATGTAATGTTATATTTTATTCGCGCGACGCGAAGCGATATCTGAAATCCGGTGATGTGATTGGTTTGCGAAAAAATTCGCCGCGAAAAAGTAGAATCGATTCCTACTTTTTATCTGTTCGCGCGAATATATTCGCCTAGTGGAAAACAGGCTTCAACAAAATTCGCGAAAGTGGAAACTGCTGCGATTAAGGAACTCCCACGGAAAAGTTTGTTCGATCTCAATAGTGCACTCCTTAGTAAACAATGTCGCACAGATGTTGGGTTGGATTTTTTTATCACCCACATGTAATATTGTTTTACACAATATGACAATTAAACCAAACAGCTTTCGCTTGTAATGGCGCAATTGTTTTCTTTTCACACAAATGTCAAAATGTTTAGCACTCAATTACGGGCGGGGAGATTTGTTGTAATAATAACATTTGATGCAGAGCGGATGGGATGCACAGTCACACTGGATGGCTGGATCACATCATCACAAAAGTTCAGTGTGATTGAAAAGTTAACGAGCACGTAGTGCGGCATGCGGCATGCCCATGCAGTTCGTGAGCGTAAGACTAAAGCTGGCCCACACAGACCGGACGCGATTTGGCAACACGGCGCGATTTTTCAAAGTTTTTCATTTTCCAAAAGCAAATCAATTTTGAACTATCATATATATTGTTGTAGACTACTTAACGATAATACATTTTGACTGCTCTGGCGTCCATAGTTTCTAATTTTTGCTTCCAGAAATTAATTTATGTGCTCCTAAAAACAGAAAATTCGCGCTGTGTGGGGCTTAAGACCTTTCGCGGCACATTTGCGAAAAAATTCTACTATTATCGGATTTCAGATATTGCTTCGCATCGCGCGAATAAATTCGCCTAGAGCAAAACGGGGTGTACACTTAGCTACTTACGACAATATTGGGTCATCTTTGTTGCATGGCTATAGCTAATAAGCTACTTATAGAATTAGCTACATCAAATGCATGCCAAATACACGACCGATTGAAACAATATTTTCATATAATTTTTTCTTAGACTTGTGATTACGTTTCTCTTGATATATTTTTAATGACTTGTTTGAAGTATAGCAAAGGAGCTATAAAAGAGCTCTTTTCACGCATGCAATTTCATGCATGCATGCTTGCAATTATATCCAATTTACTTTTCAGGCTTGCAAGGAATGCTATAATATATTTGGTAGACGAATATACATGCATGCTGGTTTGCTATCTAGCTATTTCTACTATCGAATGGGGCAAGGAATGGGGCAATGAATGCAGTTTTCCAACTAGACATATGTAATCATCGACTTGAATCACCAGATGCATTGATCTCCCCAGGATTATTTTTTATCATTTCTATATGTATTTGCTCCGGATAACGACGCTTGGCATCCTTGCAAATGATAGTGTTTTGCAGCTTATATATATCTTGCACACGTTATATTACGTTAAAGTAGCCTAATCAACGATTTTATCTGTCAAATTAGCAAAATGGGCAAAACGGCAGATATTAGTGATAGTAAGCATGCATTCCACGCAAATTATACATGATTTAATTGATGCATTTTTATGGGGGTTGACAGTTATTTTCTAATTTCTATTTCGTTTTTATCTTCTGTAATTTCTATTCCATAATTTCTATCAATTTTATGACATGATTTTCAATTTTTTTGGTAGGAACGGTCATAAAGATTCTCATTTTTCTATGGTTGGCAGCAATAACCCCAGTTGTTATTTACGTTTTAAAAGTTCCAAGTTGGCCAGCCCTAGTATTGATTGTCTGTTTTCTTGTTCCACTGATTATTATCGTGACGTCGTACACAATATTGATGATATCCGCAAAAATATCACGGAAAAAAATGGAGAAACATCGAGTGCAACAAACTAGCAATGTAAGAGGGAAAAAATATACCTGGGGAGTGACATATCTAACTTTAGTTATTATTTTAACTACTATTTAATATTTTTTTTAATTAACAACTGTAAATGGCTTTCGCTGCATCCTTAATATAATTTTCAGTTTTCACCTAAAAATGATACGGGAGATAATATATAGGGTGTCTCAAAAAAAACGCAACCACTTAAATATGCAAGAATATTAATATTGTTCGGGTTTGCACCATAGTTCAGCTAAAATGACTTTTAGCATTGTAAATGAAGGATTAAGAGCCATTTTCAATTCCCAGAGGTGCTTATCTATTGCGGTTTAGAGCTGTATTAATGTTCTGCATATTTTAGTGGTTGCTTTTTTTTGGGACACCCTGTATATATTCCTTGGTGATTTTCATACTGAATTAGGCTAATATCGAAATCCGAATATTCATTCCTCACCTTAATTTTACGGTCATTGTATCATATGAAGATGTTATGCAGTTTATAATCAAGGTTTGTGCAAATTAATCGAGAGAAGAATTAACCCTTTAACACTGAGTACCGGGAGTACGGTAGTCAACTTCGTACACGGAAGTGGGGACGATAATTTTTATATTTGAATTCCACTTTATAAAGACATGTGCTTCATTCATTTTTCATTTTATAGGATATAAAATTGGCCAAAACTCTTTGCATCGTCGTCGTGGTTTTCATAACAACTTGGACACCATTCTTCATAGTGCTCGCCAATTTCGTCTATCCTGAACATCTTTCATTAAACTTGACTGTCGGACAACAAACATATTTGTCATATTTCGTCAAGTTCTTTCAATATGCATCATCGGCTTGCAATCCTTTTATATATGCATTTCGTCAACGAGAATTTACTAACGCCCTGCACCACCTTCGCGCAAGCTTAAAGAAGCATAATTGTGAAAGGTCCAGTGACAGTGTTGTTTGTGGAGACAGTCGTGCAACGAGAAAAACGACGACCAAAACCTCATATAATCGATTTTTAAAGCCAAAATCATTTGAGAGGAACGAACAGCTTTCTTTAACCTGTTTAAATGATCAGACATGTCATGGGAATAATAAAAAACATAGCTCAACAAGAAAATGACGTGATAAGTAAATAACACATCATTTTTTAAAATTTTAAACCCAATGCTCAATAGATGTTATTAATGAAATTACATTCAACAAAGCCACATGGCTTACAGAATAAAATATGTTAATATCTTAGCAAGCAAATTTGTTATAATCTTAGCACACATCAAATGTGGTATATAACTGCCTAAAATAGACAAAACACTTCTCGACGTTTCATAGCTCTCGTGCCGAAGGCTCTCAGGTCGAAACGTCGAGAAGTGTTTTGTCTATTTTAGGCAGTTGTTATGCCACATGTGTTGCTAAGTTGTTTGAAGACGCTGCCACGCTGCTCCCTGGTTATATTGGAACGTATATACATTATCTTATAATGATATTTATTTTTTGACAGTGTTTTATGAAATAGGGGATTTTTACTGCAGGATCTATATATTATACTATTATAGTTTAACAGTTACTACCACTATATTATTATTATTATTAGTTACTACTATTACTACTTACATTACCATTAGTGGACATTTTCAGTATTTAAGTTCAGAAGGCGACAAGAGTTTTTCGACGGTCGAAAATTGACGATTGGTAAGAGTCGAAGAATTCTGTTACGACTCGTAAAGGATAAAGGGCGACTCGACAAATGTTATTTAATATGGCTTTGTAGTGTCTAGTGATATTCACTCCATCAAATTTCAAATTACACTTTCAAAAACACTTTTTGAAGTTGAAGCGATATGTGTGAGTTGGTTATGCCTTGCAAAACGACATACCATGCGCAAAGTTATATGATATATACGTTATAATAAATATTTTTAAAAAAATAATAAACTGAAATAAATTGTAAAAATAAGTCTAAAGGCGCACTTGTTTGATGGATACGTACCAGGTGAATATATAATCTTAATGCAATCTCACAAAACAGACTTTTCTAATCTATCCACATGCAACGTCACAGTTCGACGAATCGACAGATCGTTTCGAGGGTCAATAAATGATGCATGATTTCCATTTAGTCGTGAACATGTCAAGGTGGCTGATGTGATAGGATATTGCTATATATGTGTGCGGTCAACATTGTCCGATTAAAATACATAAATACAAATTTACATCCTGAATATTTTTCACGGATGAAAATGACTTGTTCATAGAAATTACGACTAAATGGAAACCAATGTATGGTATAGTAAATTAACATTAGGTGGCATTGGGAACATTTTCATATATTCTGTTATGCCAGGCTGATTTCTATTGAAAGTGAAGTTGTTTTGAAAAGACATTAGCCAGATTAAAGGACTCACACGTGCACCAAACTGATTCTATACAATTCTCTGATTTTATCGCATGCATACAACGCTCGTGACATTTATCTTTTACGAGTCGTCAAAGAATTCGTCGATTCGTTTGGTTGACGCGAATGTTAGGTGGTATATTCAAGATAATTGAGAGCTCGTACAATTCTGCCTTCTAAATCCCAAAGATTATAGTTAAATAAACCATACATCAACCATCATCCCGGAATTGTATATTTTCCCGGAAACAACTCGTGAAAACAAAATGTAAACGCGAAATGCATCATGGGTGCCACAACGGCATGCATCATTTGTACAAATAATAGTCTGTTAGAACGGACTGATGTCTGTCAGCAAAAATTAGGTTTTTGAAGTCTTGGTTTAATGTGATGCGCACATATCACATCTAAAACAAAAACTATAATATAACTATTTTTTGACAAAATGGTGAATATAAAATTATCGAGAATACTAATGTTGTACCTTGGAGTAGTGGCAGTGTCAGTTATCACATTTACAATGCTGGTCAATGACAATGTTTTGGAAAACATAAACCCGACTCGGGCATTGCACATTCCTAGTTTGATGTTGGATATCCATCACAATCAAGGAAACCACATAAGAGGTAAGAAAATCGTAAAGATAAATCACGGTTTCACATTTCATTTTTGTCTACATAAAGGTTTATAATATTAGTTTGGCATGTTGATCTCACTTCTATCAACTTTGATGCATGGCTATACTAGTACTGAAAAATACAAAAGATATATGTCGTTAATTTTTTGGCAAATAGTGAATGATAGCTTCGGAACGTTTAAAACTGCATAATGTTGTGACTCTCAATAGAACCGAATCCAAAACTACTCTATTTGATTTTCCGCGCGACGGTTCGTCAGTCGTCACTTTACTTTGACTCTTTGTGTATACAGCTGGCAACGGATAACACTTTACGCAATGCATCATGTAAGGACAGTCTTTTTAGGCTAAGGCAAAGAAATTTAAATGGATTTAACGAAATTCAAGTGGCACAACAAGATGGGCATACTAAAATTTATAAAATGGCAAAGTTTCGTTGCCAAATATTGTACTGAAAGTGCGGAAATAAACCCTTGCATATATATAAAATTATATAGCTCAAATTTAATGTATTTTATTAGTACATAAAATTAGTACCCCCACTGCCTCACACACGCCTAAAAGACTCAAAAATGCGTAACTAGCAATACTTAAACCTTCCAAAGTGCGAAAAATACGAAAAATTGTTTAGTTAAAAGAACTTAGTTGTCAATCAAGATGGTGAACTACAATTCGAGATACTAAGTTGAGATATTCTGCCATTTGTGCTCATTTTTGAACAAAGCCATCGTTACTTTGTAACTTTGATCAAATTGACTCATAATATGTCATTTATTTATACTTCCCTTAATATACAACGGGCGTAGTATGTATATACATGAGTATAATATTGTTCACAAAAGTAATAATAGTATACATAATAGTATAATATTCACAATATTCTTTGTAATAGCGATATATACTCTATCTTAATTAACTTCTCGCATTCCCATTGGTGGAAAGTCTACAGATAATTAATTCATGCTTCTCGCTGCGCACAAAATAAATATCGTATATCTGTAAGTGCAGGTAAGTGCAGGTAAGTGCAGGTAAGTGCATGTGCACATGACTATTCCGCTTTGATTCAAAATTGCTTCATATCGAGTAAAGTTATCGAAATGAAACAACCTTCATTATATAGGTAAAGAAAAGACTATCTTAGATTTTGATATGTTATAATAGATTTATATATGTTCTTTAACGGAAATTCATGGAGATATTACTTTTCAAAATCGATACATTATTTCGGGATGTCTCTAAAATATGCAAAATATGTTGTATGCATGGACGCCCGAAAATATGGAATCTATTTCGAGTGCATGTTGAGAATAATTGGGACACCCGGTAGCGCGCCTAGAAAAAAGAGGAACTGATGAACTATTAAAAGAACTTTCACACTAAATAACACAATGAAATAACATCATAAAGAAAACATAGTGTGAAGTGCTAAAAGAAGAATATAATAACGTGAAACTAACGGACAAAGGACAAACACTGAAAGATGCATATGTCTCAAATAGAGGAAGATATGGCGGCTTCTCACTTTTTCTCACCGGTTCAACTTGTTCTTTTTGCTTCCAGATGATGAACATGTTCGACGAACTTGTCACGTTCCTAAGCCTAGTATCCAATATCCATTTTGCGAAGAAAAGTTTTTGGTATAACTAATGCTACTATATTTTTTCTGAAAAATAAATGTTTTGGTCACATTTTTTAAAAATCATGTACACAGGGTGTCCCCAAAAAAGTCCCCTGTATTGAAATCAAGCCTTTGTTAGAATCTGATTATCTTAATATTATGATAAACCAAATTGAAATGAAGACGCTTTATTTGAATGCCTCAACCTAATAACTATGCTATTTACACACTATACTGCGTTGATCATGCATTGAAATTCCAACAAAAAGCTTCATTTCAATAGGGGGTATTTTTTGGGATACCCTGTATATCGCTGCATAAAAACACCGGAAGGCACTTGTGGTAAAGTAGTACATCTAGTAAAGCAGTAATCCACTGCTTGGCCCAATCGTCCCAATCACAGCTGGTTATTGTACATCAACCGCACCGTGGCACTGCTGGCTGCATGTTGTCTAGATCAATCAAGCCCTGACTGTTGCGTCTTACCTTATTTGACAAATCTTTGATTGCTACTGATAAACATGCGTGCGGTTCTTTTGAATGTTTTTTATAGTATGTAAAAGATAATTGGGAACTACCCTGTTTTGCCAAGGAAAACAACATACGTATGGACAATACATGTTCCATCCTTATCTATTTGAGCGAGGTATGTACGCTGGTCACAATTTTTTTTCTTTATCATCCCATTTCGCATCTATTAGACTCGTATATACACTTTCGTGAAGCACTAAATCTAACCTAGTCAAGGTCACATTGAACTGCTTTATAAAACTATCGTCATAGGTTGAGAAATGGTGTCCACGTTTACCATGGAGAAAATCAGCTTTAAAAACTGTCAATGCTGGTGCTAATAGCAAGGTCCGTTGTTGATCGCTTTTTTGATGTCATGCGGGTTTGATAACATTTCAGCTTATATGAGGGGTTACACTAGTGACTAGAGGGTTCTAGATTGGCGTTTCGGATTAACGCTAACAGCGAACGACTATAATATATCGTTATTAGCGCTTTCACATTGCCGTTAAAAATTCTCTTAAAAATAGAATTGCACAGCAAATTGCATGAAGAATAGCAATGTGTAACTCAGTGGACCTTAATGCTTCATAATTTCGTATGGCCAAGAACTTGTTTTTTGACTTTTGTGAAGCGATCGCGACTATCGATTTGATATCACGTTGATGTCACAGCCGCTATATAAATTTACATTGCCAAACACAAACTATAGAGAATTGCCACAAACAAAATTGGTTATTAAGATGCACATTAGTCATGAAGTTATAAAACGCTAAGGTAAATAAACTACGCGAAGACACACTTCCGGCGTTTGGAACTGTGTTCCCAAAACTTCGAATTAATGGCAAAATTTGAAAGCTGTGGTTTGCAGTTGTGTTCTAAAACTCTCTAATCTACATGTTTATATGTCGAATGTGCAGAAGCCATTAATAATGCGACTTTTTCAGATTAAAATTCGGCTAACTGTCGATAAACTAATTACAAAATGGTTCAACGATCCAAATTACCGGTGGATGAAAAACCGTATCACATCGATGAAAAAGGACTGGGTATCAGCTCTTCTTTCTCTTAATAAAAAGAGATCGTTGCAAAAACGTACAAAAAAGAAGGTATTTTCTTATTGTGTTGAAAATTATAAACGATTATGCTTTCGGAAATGTTTCACAATCGTGAATTCTTTTATAATTGGCTTGCTGGATGCAGGACGGTCGCTGGAATCGGGATAGCTTAGTCAGTTTGATGGGCAAATCATAGATGACAATCGTAAAAAAATTACCAACCGTCTCTCCTACTCCTCTAGCTCCATTAGATTCCCGACTTCCTATAAATATGTCCGAAACATTATTTAATTGCTATTCAGTATGCGTTGAGCGTTAAATTAAATCAATTGGCATTTATAAATGGTAAATCGTACCATACACGATCGATACATCCACACATGCAGGCTCTCCTCATTCGTGCTGCTAATATTTATCATATCCCGAAACCTTCCATTTTCCGCCGTTTGTTTTAGCCGACAATAATAACGGGATAAGTAGATATTTGCAGCAAGAATAAAGAGAGCCTGCTGGGGGTATTAGTGTATACCAGAACAATTTTTTATGGAAGAAATTATGGAAGAAATAATGCACTGATGTTTTTCCTCGTATATCAATCAACTTGACAATAGACCTTTTTCATAATGACGTCAAACGCGGAAAGTATGATGTTACACGAAGTTTGATTGGCTCGATAGTTTTGTGGAGCCAATCAAATTTCATATAACATCATACTTTCCGCATGACGTCATTATAAGAAAGGTCTATTGACTTAAATAACTGGATGTGCCTGTCGTGTATGTCACGAAGTACCATTTTTATGTCATTATATGCTATTTTTAATGATTTAATATATTTCACTTAATAAACTACAAGGACAAGGTGAATTGAAATATTAAATGACGTTGAACACCCATAGAATGGAAAATAAATTGAATAATTTTATAAATAGCAACCTTTGTGATAAGCAAGCTGTATACCGTATTGCCCTTGTAAGACAGCCTACATTTAATTTTACCATTTCGGATCGCAGTTCAACAAGACAAAGATTATCACGATCGTCACGTCAGCAGAGAAAAAAATGACCAATCACGAACAAGATTAAAGTTTCGGCATTAAAATACGTGATAATGGTGCTAGATTGAATGAAATAACGACCCAAACGATTGTTATATACCTTCTTTAACTACAGATTGTCGTATATCTTGGAGCGTTTGCCTACGAGCCTTGGCTCTTGAAAGGTGCATTCTCTGGTGGTCCCCTGGGAGAGTTGGTTCAATGGAGTGATGTAATCACGTCTTTATATCTTCTGGGACATGACATCACTATTATTAAATACGAGAATGATTTGCAAAAGTATATAATATGAGTTTCTTTGCTCCGTAAAAACAGATTTTTAAAACAGCTAATTTAAAATTGGGTGACTGACTCAGATTCATATCTTTTTGATCAAATTTACTTTACGATTCTGGTGTGACCCGATTTGCCATTAAATCAAGGTAATTAAGGTAAGTAATATGTTCATGATTTTATTTTTATTTCAGATATATACCTGGACCAAACAAAAATGGTTGTATCAATAGCAGTACAGTGCAGAGATTTGGGTATGACTTGTTATACACAGATATCGTTGGCGCCGTATTTGTTATAAGAAGGGCTGGCCCAAATTGGTCAGAACTAAGGTAATATTATATGACATTTTAAATATACATCATCCACTTTGTTCACGATTATATTACTGCTCGAAAAGACCTCGATTACTTTCAGCACATTTTGCATGGTTGCATAGCGTGGTAAAAACATTAGCCTCAGCCGGATAATAGTTTTATGCAACATGGATCAAAAAGTGCTATAGAAAGTACTGAATAACAACTACAAACTGATTAACCCTGTACAAATAAATATCAGTCCGAGGCCCGTTGCAACACAACCAACAGGCTAAATTTACTGACAATGTACTCGTTCCGGACCAGCGTAGAGCATGCAGTTTAGTTATTTTCATTTGATATATTTCTAGCTGAATCATAGCTTGCATGGTTTATATAAATACTTTAAACTAAACACAAAATACTGATCCTTTCAGATGCAAGATGAGGATAGTGGATTCATTTGGTACCGAAGCTGAATTCAACTATATAAAACTTAGTCGGACCGACAAAAAGTACAGATCTGGTTACGGAAATCTAGAGTTAAACTTGAGACAGTTTATGACCATGTTTCGTATGTCTTCACGATATTATATTATTATTTGTTTTTATTTAAAACAATCTCAAGACACCTGTCCAAGTTGACACGAGTAGAATTCACGTATAGTTTACAATCTTAGTCCTTAGAAACTTATATCATGAATAAAAATTTATGTCTAATAGACCTATTATAAAATCAGGAGGTATTCATAATTATATTCGTCTTTGTATGAATATAACCAAAATATACGTGTTCCTTATCGGGCGTATCCATTGACTCGACCTACATCTTGTTACTACTAGGTTGCGTCCCATTTCTTACCCGACTCGCATATACTTTTTAGCTCACAGTCCAGACAATTCATTCCTTGGTTTCGTTTCTGGTGCGGCACAACGAACATCAAAGAAAAGCAAAACTTATGCAAAACGAAATATGGCTTTGGTGTATGCAAAACTGGATAGCTACTGGAAAGTAAGTTGCGTTAATTTTCACATCATGCAACGATTAAGCTATTCTGAAAAAAACATGATTTACATGATATTACATGCAGGACAATTACATGCAGGACAATCATGGAAGTTGCAACAATCAAGTATCGCGGTGTGTTAAAAATGGAAAATCAATTTGTATCCCATGTAGGCTGGAAATAGGGCATATCTGGACAAAATTCATGAATATGTGGAGATTCACGGTACTTTTAACGTAAGATAATATAACTTAATTTCTTGATGTGGAAATAGAATTAGACAAGTTTGAAATCGCACTATGCATAGGACATATAGTTACCATAATAGCGCGAACGATGGATGTCTTTACTTTCTTTGCCGTTACGGCGGAGCTATAACTTCAAAGCGGCGTTAACATGGCCGGACATGCAAAGATATAAGTCAGTTGTTCATTTTACCTCAAAATCAATTAAGGCGACTTAATTTTGACGTAATTTGGGGTAAAATAATGGAAGTTCATATTTGTGATAACTTAGAATTGATAAAAAAAATTTCATATCATTTCGTCATGCTGTAGTATCGAAAATTGTGGCGACTGATTGGTCGAGCGACTCGATCGGTTTATTTTGCGATAAGCACATGAGCGGTTTTTTTTCAAAGAACATACAAGATATTTTAGATGACATCATGTACGATTACCAATTGACATGTTTATATTTCCTTCCTTGGTTAGCGAACACTTGTTGACTTGCGGTCGCATTACATACCAAAATACGTGATCAACCACGGAGTCGTGAATGGTACCACCATAGAAAAATTATTACAACAATCAAAGGTATACTTTACCGTAAAGTGGAGGTCATTTTATGTGTGTTGACCGTCGTGAAGTTATTAAATATATTATTATCCTTTAGCCGAGGAGCAGTGTTTCCATGCAGTATCTATAGTATAGGTCCGACCTGGAACTCAAAATTCAGATTTTCGGTTTTAATTTTGAGTCATCCTGTCATAATCACTGAATTAGGCTTTTTTTTATCCAGGTTTTTGTTGGTCTTGGATTTCCATTTGAAGGACCAGCGCCTCTGGAAGCTGTTGCAAATGGGGCAGCGTTCTTGAACCCGAAGGTGAGTTTGAGTTTGGCATACACTTTTTTAGCTGAACATCGGTTTAGTATGTTCAATTTTCAACACATGTGCGAATATTTCATAGAAAAGAATTTAAAGTATTGATTACTAGAATGTCAAATTGTCTTTATGCAGTTTGCAGTCCCTCTTAACAGAAACAATTCTGGATTTTTTGCCTCCAAACCAACGAGAAGACTTGTTACATCACAAAACCCGTATGCTGAGCAATTTATAGGAGAACCTTATGTCTATACTATTGATATATCGAATGTCACTGAAGTGGATAGAGTTATGAAGAAAATTATGACAAATAAGGTAAGTTCTGCTCTGTTTTGAACAATTACAGGCATTGAACATTAAAACATTGCCCAATGTCAATTAGTACTTTCGCAAGAAGACGAGGACGACATAAGATGTCTGACATGTATAACCTGCAGTATTTCGTTTAGATCAATACTATTTGGTAAAAACAACGAAAAAATTGTTTTTTAACCAAGATTTAGTTATTTCAACCAATGAAAAATTTGGTGCAATTATCTAAGGCAACCAATTTTTTTAATTGGTACTGTTTTTACAGTGCGATTTCTAAACTATCGAATTATCAATTATGATTATATAGGATTGCACTAAGGTATCTTTAGGGTTAAGTATAGCTAGCTGGACTGTTTAGGTTAGTAGTAAGTGTACCTTTTCGACTATATGTCGTACATTGTACCTGTTATGAGTGTCTGGTTTTATTTTGTTGGATGTATAACCATACAGAATGTGAATATACGCAATTTATACCCGATCTTGAGTAGAATTGCGTCCATTCAACCTTTGTTTTATATAATTTCTTCATTGAATTTCAGTTAAAACCATATCTTCCTTACGAATATACTCACGAAGGAATGTTGGAAAGAATAAGTGCACAAGTAGAACATCTCGTAAGATATTGTTGCATGCTATTTCCTGCTAGTTTATTTAAAGTGGATGTCCGTATGTGAACGAACGTTTTGTTAACATTTTGAACTTTATTATTTCTTAAAATACGATGAGTGTTTGAATATCTAACACTAGAAAGAGCAGCTACGAGGGGGTGCTTGGTAAAGACGCAATAAAATCCCAATGTTAATTGCTGAAATACATTTTCACGCATGCAGGAATTCTGTCGAGACAGCCAATGGCCACCATTACACAATCTGAAAAAAATCGAAGGAAAACTTGGCCAGTCCTGCAAAGATGCATGCTGGGAGAAAGGTTAGAGATTGTTAGAAGAAATTAAATACATCATTTAGATATATTCGCATATACACGTGGCTATATACACGCCTAAAAACGATCAGGTTGATACAGTATTGATATGAACAGGATGGAACAATGCTGTGCTGTCCACAGCTGTTAATGTTGTTGACAAGTGTGAACAATAATGATCCCTGCTGATAAACCGCAGGCTCCGGCAGAGTTTTTAGGCGTGTAGTAAGCTGAAATAATGTTCAATTATATGCAACCATTTTCTACGTAACCTTACTGGACTATAACCGTGTTGCAGGAATGCTATGTGAACCATCATACTGGGACATTTTAAATCAACTCATTTCGTTTAGAAGGTGAGCCCCTGGCAAATTTTATTTATAAGCTGACAATTAGCTAAATTCCAATTGATATGTCTTACCGTCATTAACATCTAAGCGTGTACACGTGAAATATGTTTTAATTAGATTCAAAGTTGTAACGTTTGGGCGGTAAAGACAACTTGTTTCAAGCGCAAACGTTACAACTTTGAATCTATTTAATACATGTTTTGTGATCACGTGTACACGCTTAGATGTTAACGACGGTATATCCAACAGTGAAAAGGAAATATCGATTCACGAACCTATTTAGGCTGTCATACCGTTCACCGTTTGTATTAATGTAATTTCTAATTCATTTTCTAGAGCAAACATAACGTGTGAACTTGTGGAACATGGTAATTTACTTGTTGCACCGTCGTACGATAAGACAAAGACCTGTCACCTCCAACAACAGCCATTGTTACACAGTTGTGTATCCTCCTCTGCCTCACACGTGAGACTTTGTCCATGTCGTGACTACATCAAAGATCAAGTTGCGTTATGCAACAAATGTTGGTGAATGAAGATTCTGTCAATCTTAAATTAGAACAACTAGTACATTTGAATGATCTGGGAACATCATTATTTATTATCAACAAATAGCATGCATGTTTACATGTAAAGACACCGCCAAACCATACGTAAATCTCTACATATGCATATACAGATCTTCAGATCTGTCAATCCTTCAGATCTCTACCGGAAAAAAGTTTGGAGCCGGTCAGGAAGATAATTTCTTCAAAATAGCAAATCGTTTTATTCTCCAGTGAAAGTGATCATCAACAACAATGCATCGGCGAATGTCGTTGATTAATGGGAAACAGGCTTTAGAGACAAGGTCCTACGGGCATCGCGACCATTAGCAAAGGGGACGTTCTCAGCAGCGGCGTGGCGGAAGGGGGTTGCAGCACCTCCAATTTTTGCAAGGTGGAAGTTGGTCGGTAATGGCACCATGCAGGCCTCGGTATCTCGTCTGTTTCTGATTTACATTTACAGTAATTCTATGCACAATTAAAAAACTGACCAAATGGTTATCTGCTTTCTCTGGATGTGCTTCAAGTGCTACGAGTTCGTCGGCAAAACCTCTGTGTTACACTCCCTGAGTTACGATAGTCACGCTCTGCCCCAGGTTCTCAGCCTTGCCTTGTATAAAATTTAGATGGATGCTGATTGCTTTTGCCACTCCACAACCTCACTATGCACACGCTTCGATTCAGTTGAACTGAAGAGTGAAGTCATGGTACTTTCCCTTACTCATACTTTCTTAAAAGGATTTTTTCAAAGATTTAGACTTAGAAGTATTGTATGAATGGTATCAACACATATAGTATTAGTATAATACAGTTTTCATGCCAAGCACCAAAATGAATATAACTTATCACACAGATACTGCTGAGATTTCATTACACTGTTAAATTGAACTTCATGACATCGCAATGTTTTGAAGTCTCTTGATCTTTTATTTAGCAGTTTAGGGTGGAGGATGGAAATACTTCCGTAGGGCAGAGGATGGAATTACTTCCGGATGGAATTACTTCCGTAGTACACTGTAAACGTAGAAATGCTTTTTGAATGGTTTGATTGGGCCAAAATCCATACTTTTTCGTTTGAAAAAAAAGGCAAAGGGTTCAATTTCAGCCCACTCGCAAAACTTGTTTAAAGATTCAGACAATGATTGTTCTGGGATTGTTGGGAGATATTTTGCATGCGAATTACTGCGCGAAATGCACATTGGGTTATAATTGTAATTGGTCATAAAAAGGCCCACACGTCACAGAACTACGTTTATGTCAAAAGTAAAAGCACCAAAACCACATTTTTAAAACAATAATGAAAGTAAAGTTAACGAGAATACTTGTTCTCATACTAATATTACATATCGGAGTAACAGTCATCATATTTACAACGATATTTGATGTTATGGAAAATATAAGCCCAATTAAGGAAATGCACAATCCCATTTTGGTGGTGCGGAGTACTCAAGAACTACAAGAAGGTAAAAAAGGTCAGTAATTAAGCATTGGATGGTTAATCGTGTTTTTCTTTCGGTCATTTCTATTTGCACTTTTCCTTGGCTAAAAATTGGCTTTAATTTTTTCGAACATGTCCCATTATTTCACAATCGACAATGTTAACATCTGCCAACAGTAAACGTATTATTCACATCACCTTGAATAATAAACGAATACGGGGATACGAAGGAGTTCTCCCTAAATGCAATAAATCCCGTTTCCGAGAACCTAAATTTTGCAATTCATCTGCCTCCCAGAATCTTATAGGTTTTTCAGGCCTATATGCCAATATGCAATAAAATAAATAATCCATATTTATACATTTAACATTTTTATTAAATGAATTAATTGAGCTTATAACCACTATATTTGATTTTTTCTAAAGAAGTTGCAACAGATCCCTACCTGCATATCAAAATTGATACGTCCAGGATCCTGCAAGATATTTTCAGACCCGATGATGAAAAATTGAATGGGCGTTTGAAATACCTGCTGCAAGGGAAATTTATGTGCATGTAATCTACCTGTTCCAATATTTGACAAGCCAGTGTTTGAATATTTTTTTGTAACTGCACATACGTGTGATATTTACATTTCCAGAAATTTGTGACATGGTGATTTGCATAACAACAATAATGGTCTTTAACTTTTACTATTAAATACGTTTAGCAAAAGTACAACACCTAAAATTGCCGTTGGCCTGGATGTTGCCCACTGTTTGCCGACCTCTGGATCAATAGAACAGCCATTTTACAACGTTTTGACGATCGAATTACTTACCTTGGGTGTTTCTACGTTCCGCCAACCGACTGTGTTCAAATGTGTATATACGCTTTGTATGGTTGAACTTCCTTATGAGACTGATAATATCTTTTAAAGTGCAACTGCAGAAAAATCCGGACCGTAATCGAAAATTCATATTAGGAATACGAAATACAATATATTTAACATAATTTCTTGGGATATTACACGTGAATTCATCAACAATCCAAATCGAAATGTTCGTATGAATGTGAGCGATTTTATAAGTTCTTAAATTTGGCGGCCTGCAGAAATACCCAAGGTAAAAAATTCGGTTACGAAAACGTTTCTAAACAGCTGCTCTATCCATCTAGAGGTCGGCAAACAGTGCTCCAAGTCTGTGGCTCTGACGTTACGACGTTTTACATTTTCACTCAATGTATTTTATAGTAAAACTTGATTAGTAAAACTAGGCCATTATGTATATGGATTAAATGCAAATTAGCGCACAAGCGACAGACATTTTGTCACCAATTTCTGTTGATGAATATAATACCTGCACATAAATCGCATCCTGAAAACATGTGTTTGCATGTATACATGATAAAACCTCCATAGGCAACCAGACCGTCGTCATACTCATTTTGAAGAAAAACTGATTGGCGGGAACTTCTCGCTTTATCTTCGAAACAGGCTTATAGTGTGCTGTGTACATGTATGATGAAATCGTTCTGACAAATACGCCATACATACATGAATGCATGCAGACTGGATTACAAGCAGCAGTAATGATCTCTTTCAAAATTAAAAAAACCGGGATTAATTGCGTGCTATGATTCTTTTAACCTCATCAAGTAATGGAATATTGAAAATCCCGAGTGCAAGTAACTTGAAAAAGTAAACAACATAAAGTAAAGAGAGCATGCATAAAAAGGTATTTCTAAGGTAACCGTTGTAAGATGGAAGAATTGTCACATCACTTTTCGCGGGACAAACGTGGCGCTCACAAGTGTTATTTTTCGCGCAAAGCAACATTTTGTATGCTTTTGTTAACGAGAACGCTAGAACGACGGAATTAGTGTTATTTAGTTCTAAATATTTGAACTGCTCAACCTCAAATTTAATAAATAAAAATTTTCCAGTATTACACGTTTTACAGGCTATATATACCATAAATATAAAGCGTCTACACTCTATCTAAAATAAACAGTCGCTATCTTACTTAGAGTGAACGGAATACAACACTTTTCGGTTCAAGAAAATTTTTATCAAGTTAACTTTATTACTTTTTGAGTTATCGTGCACGAAAGTAAGGGAGATGAGAATTTTACTTAGAACATTGAAACAATGGAATAAGCCAATGGACCTCTTTTGCCAGCTCAGGGTAAAACCCTAGTAATTTAGTAAAACTTTTCGTTTAATTCTCGCGTTCTTTATATACATTTTTTGAGAAAATCGATTACGAAAACATTTAAGTTTGTATCCCCGGAAATTTTTAAAACAGGATAAATCGTGATTTTCAATGTCTACCACCTTAATATAGAACTTTAATCAACTAAAAAAGTGTGACCAATGTGCACATAAAAAGTGTGACTAATGTAAAAACAAAAAAATGCTATATTCAAGAGTCTTCACACGTAATTTTAACAAAATTAATATATAGAACCCGAGTCATGCTTCTTCTTCGATTTTTTTCCGCAGATGATGAGCATGTCCGAAGATTTTGTCACGTTCCTAAGCCAACTACCGGATATCCATTCTGTGGTTCCAAATTTTTGGTAGCTATAACCAATATTATTTATTTAAAAGAATTCACAGCCTCTGATTGGCTGATAGCCTTGTGTGAAATCGTCATGTCCAACGTGTGACGTCATAACATGTTATACGACTTTTTTCTTGCACGTTACTACGTCATAATGTATGATAAATAGTCGTATCCCACGTTATGACGTCACGCCAATGGCGAAAACATCAACGCCCCAAAGGAGCGGAAATGTGAGATCGACGCAAATCCAAGCGAACAATTCAAAATTGTAATGCTCTTTCTTTTAAATAAATAATAAAACAATCATTGAATTCGGTTTTCACATGATATGAAGAATGATCGCGCCTTAGTTTGTCATTATCATTGATAATTCTTCATATCATGTTCAACCTCATTCAATAATTGTTAATTTAACAGTTTTATATATTCAAATTGCATGTGGCCACTATAATCACGTCCGACCCTACCGTAAATCATGAACCGATTTAGATATTTCTGACAATTTTTGCATTAGCAATCGAGTCCAGAGCAAGGTCCGTAAACAGATAACCTGGCAAGTCATGGTAGATTAATTAACTGACCCAGGACATTGCTATAACCAATGTGCATGAACTGCACGGTCATTGTAGATCCCGAGACACAGCTGGTCCGTTGGCCATCATAATCGTAAATGAACTGAATTCATACACTACTGGTCTGGGACTGGGTTTGTCACGCCATATATTGTATAGATATTTGAACAGTCCAAGATATTCGTTTCTTATTGTATTGCAGTTTGTAAAATACAATTGGAAATCACCATGTTTTGCGATGTATAACGTGCGTATGGAAGATGACTGCTCCGTGCTTATCTATTTGAGCGAGGTATGTAACTTTGAGGTAGCTATATAGCAACTGCATATATAAATACATTTCGCAATTCACTTTCACCAAAACCAGATTCCAAATTTCCGATAGTCAACTCGATGCACTATCCAGACTTAGAAGTTCTTAAAATTTTACTTTGCACCACTGGCTTGCGTTCTCCCAAAAATAATTATTCTTTAATTCTTCATTTCAATAGGTTGAGAGATGGTGTCCACGCTTACCATGGAGAAAAAGTTCTTCACCCAAGTCTGATGATATTGACAGGACGGTCTGTTATACAGGGTGTATAAAAAAAAAGTAGACAATTTTGAAATGTTTAGAAAACTATAAATTTATCAAAATATCTCATAGATTTGTGCTAGTATGGGTACTTTGGTATCTTCAGGTCATTCTAACACTAAAAACAAACAGAAAAAGTAACCTCGAAAAATGGAAGAGCGGTTTGTGGAAGCGTCATTTTGAATGGCTTTTGCAAACATGAATGAGAAGTTTAAAATCCAATTTGAATTCAAGGGTTGAACGTTTGGGTATTTGTTTACAAAGAATCGAAATTTCAGAGATTTTGATGAAAATTAAGTCAGCCGCGCAACTGCGTAAACGTGGGCTTTTTTCCGTTTAACTCGCAGCTTGAGTAACTTTTTTCACCCGAACGATTTCATGCATGAGTGATTGCTCGAGTGATTAAGCTAACATGGGTGAAAAAAGTTACTCAAGCTGCGAGTTAAACGGAGAAAAGCCCACGTTTACGCAGTTGCGCGGCTGACTTAATTTTCATCAAAATTTCTGAAATTTCGATTCTTTGTAAACAAATACCCAAACGTTCAACCCTTGAATTCAAATTGGATTTTAAACTTCTCATTCATGTTTGCAAAAGCCATTCAAAATGACGCTTCCACAAACCGCTCTTCCATTTTTCGAGGTTAATTTTTCTGTTTGTTTTTAGTGTTAGAATGACCTGAAGATACCAAAGTACCCATACTAGCATAAATCTATGAGATATTTTGATAAATTTATAGTTTTCTTAACATTTCAAAATTGTCTACTTTTTTTGATACACTCTGTATGTGTATATCACGCATTCGGTTTTTATGAGCTCTTTGGATTGCATTGATTTGCCTAAGCTAAAGTCGAGATGCATGACCTCAAATTAATAATGTTGAGGATGATAATTTCACTTTAAGACATATTCTTCTGGATGTTAAATCATTTGACATAAAATATTGATGAGCTGGAAATTTTAGAGATCATGAATAACGTATATACATATATAACTTGTCTTTTACAGCGGTTAAAAATTCGCCCAAATCTCGATAGACTTCTTTCACAATGGTTCAGCGATCAAAAGTACCGGTGGATGAGAAACCGTATCTCATCGATGAAAAAAGACTGGGTATCAGCTCTTCTTTCTCTTCATAAGAAGAGACCTTTACTAACAAAACGTACAAAAAAGAAAGTATGTTCTTTTAATAGGAATTATATACGAGCAATACTTGACCATGAATTCTTTCGAAATGTATTCCAATCCATGAGAAACAACTTCCTGAATTATTTGTTTATGCATATTCATGCATGTGCATGTATTCATGTGCATTCATGCATCTGCATGTGTATTATTCTATGCATGTGTATTCATCAAGTTGGTTACCAAGCCCTCTATTAAGGAGACTCCATAAATTACCCGATCAATAATATGTCAGCAGCCGAAATAATATCAGGATTAGCGAGGTACTATGACCAATCACATGCAGGCACAAATAAATTAGACTAGATGATAATATGGTAATTAGTTAAACGAAACAAAGAATCAAACGATATTGATTTCTTCTACAGATTCTCGTATTCTTCGGGGCGTTTGCACTCGAACCTATAATGTTGATAGAAGCGTTTTATGGCGGCCCTCTGGGAGAGTTGGTTCAATGGAGTGATGTAGTCGCATCTTTATATCTCCTTGGACATGATATCACTATAGTCAAATCCTTGAATGAATCAGAGAGGTGATACGTTGCGCGAGTATCCATAATATATAGATAATAGCTTTTTGTTATCTATTTTATAAAGATAGGGTGTTTTAATAGTCCTGTTTTCATAAACCGGGAAAAGCATTTTTGCTGCATGTGCAATTAGGTACATTAAATTGGCATTTCCATAAATTTTTATGTTGGAAACAAAATCATTTAACATTTATATAGTCCTGTCTCCTTATAGGCTAATATTTTATTGCCTTTTCATCAACACTCATGTTATATTACATGATTGCTTATATAATTCATGTCATTGACCTTATCTTATGCACCTTCATAAACATTTGTAGTATTTGATTGATCATTGATTGGTCATTACATTTGTAGAAAATAGCGCATATAGAGTCTGCATAATTCAAGGCAAGAACAATATTAAACACACATATTTATAATTTTTGCGAATACAAAGCGATAAGACTTCTATATATGCACGGTAGTAATTTCATATTACAGATATACACCTGGACCAGACAAAAATGGTTGTATCAATAGCAGTACAGTGCAGCAATTTGAGTATGACTTGATATACACAGATATCATAGGCGCCTTTCATATGAAGTATTTTTCTGGCCCCTATTGGTCCGAGATAAGGTAATTATTTTTATACGAGAGTTTATTACTAAACATTTGGATTTATACATTCCTAAATTTATCAATAAAATTATTATGAATCAGTGACGAAGACATGCATAGAGCAAGTTGAGGCCTGACAATTAAGTTGCTGTAACCTGATCGTGAGGTCCGGCTGTGGTCCGGCGTACATTGTTTTGTCCCGTTTTTATTAATCATGCATGGGAACAACTCCTGCGTGTTTAAGCGCAGGCACGGAAAAACGCTAAAAAGCCCACCTTAAAAATGCAGTAAGAATAATATACCAAGACTGTGTAAACCAAAAGCACTCAGGTTCAACTTTCAAGAGAGTTCAAAACGTCGAAAAACTCTCTATAATAGACTTGAGACTCCAATAGTGATAAAAATCCCTCTATAATCACTCTTATTGCAGTGCCATATATCTCAGTTCTGTAGTTTCATTGCGAAAAAAAATAGCGTTTTTAATTGGTTACTAATTGTTTACACAAGATAAATAATTATCAACTATCACGATTAATTGCATCGACGGTAGTAAATTATCCCAGTTTGTATTCAATGATGTGCTTCTAACACTCGTCACATCTTTGCACCCTCATCCACAGGTGCAAGATGAGGATACTGGATTCATTTGGTACCGAAGCTGAATTCAACTATATAAAACTCGTTGACAACGATAACAAGAAATACAAGTCTTCTTATGGCAAATTGTCGTTGAATTTGAGACAGTTCATGACCATGTTCCGTACGTTTTAAACATTTTATCATGTCCTGATACATACATGCAAATGCTGATCGATGATTGGATCATTTAGTACCCGCACCTAAACCGCGCCATTTTCTTTTGTTTAGGCCCTGCACAATGAACATGGATTAAGTATAATATTAACGTGCACGCGCGTCGTAAATATCTGGCCATGTGAATTAATCCTTGATTTACGGTCGTTTTGGGGCAATGATATTTTTTCACGCTTTACACAAAAATTACCGTTTCCTGGCAATGCATGGTCCTCGACTCTTTAAAATTTGAATAGATGAACATCTACTTCCATGTCATCAATTTTGCTTCACAACCCCCAGCGCGCTTAAAATTTTAATATTTTTTTTAATATACAAATTTCTATATTTCACTGATTTTTTTACCCGCGACTCGAAATATATTTTGTAGCTCACAGTCCAGACAATTCATTCCTTGGTTTCGTTTCTGGTGCGGCACAACGAATATCAAAGAAAAGCAAAACTTATGCAAAAAGAAATATGGCTTTGGTGTATGCAAAACTGGATAGCTACTGGAAAGTAAGTTGCGCTCCAAGATACTTAACAATTATACCACGAGCTCGAGTCGTATATATAAACTGATGAAATAAAAAATTAACTTGCTGGCTATATTGATTTAATTCCAGCCAATCTTTCGCCTGATATTTACATGCATGTTTAATCAAATTTAGAAGGCCGTTTTCATGCATGAGCAAAAAGCTGCTTTTCGTCAGTTCTACAACTACCCCTAAATGATTTTTATTCGTTTTGAATCTCTGGAAAGGAAACTGTACTTTCAAAAAGTGTTTTAATTCCTTCTTCATCACTCCTGGGCAAAACTGTCGGCCATTTTATATTTGCTAGTCACCGTATATGCAGAAATCAATATAGCTCATACATTATTCTGTGAGTAGTTATACTATAGTCCTATACTATAGATATTAGAGAGCATTCGTATATATGTAATAAATCTATTTATATCGTATCTGCAGGTTGATAACCGGGCATACCTCGACAAAATTCATGAATATGTGGAGATTCACGGCACCTTTACAGTAAGAAGATTGTTGACCTTATAATTATACAGATAGTTTCATAATCATGCAGTGATATTTTATTATGATTTGATAATAATCATGTTAAACGTACATGTCTTTAAGTTTGAGTTTAAGTTTGACTTCTAAATACCATCACAACAGCTCGTTGTTTTGGTAGCGCCAGGAATTAGTATGGCCAAACTATAGGGGCGAGCCGTGTTTCAACTAAATTTATGATAGGTGAAAATTTAAATACGGTGAATATATTCCATATGCATGCGATAGTTTTTATAAGCCTTATATAAACTGAGTTACATATTTTCATATTTACCGTCTGTTTTATATGTCTCTATACAGCGAACAGTTGCTAAATCAAAATACATTCCAAAAGACGTCATCAACCACGGGGTCGTCAACCGAACCACCATAGAGAAACTATTACAACAATCAAAGGTAGCTATATACTTTATATAGAACAGAAGATATCATTGCGGTGATTGATCTCATGCAGTTATACCACAGGTTAGACCAGGATATACGCTTACAGATATAAGGATTTTTGTTAGGTTTTTGTCGGTCTTGGCTTTCCATTCGAAGGACCGGCGCCTCTAGAAGCTGTTGCAAATGGGGCAGCGTTCATAAACCCAAAGGTCAGTCTTAACAGACACTTCCCAAAATTTGCTTGAGTGCAAACAAAACAATAGCTTGGAAACGAGGCGGGCAATGTCATCTATTGTTAAGCCGGTTTTCCACTAGCGATATTTTTCGCGCGAATCGACATTTTACTTTTGTTCCAGAGCTCTCAAATGCAACCATCTGGAACAAATTGCTCAAATACAAAGGAATAAAGTCGCTTCGCGCGAAAAATATCGCTAGTGGAAAACCGGCATTATAGTGGGCTGGTTTTCATTGCCCGAGAACAAATTCGGGAAGTGTCAATTTGTCGTGTTTTTGTTATACTTGAACGAAAAACGCTGAGCTGGCAAATATACCAATAATCATGAAATATGAAATTGTTTTCATGCAGTTTGCAGTTCCTCTCAACAGATACAATTCCAAATTTTTCGCCTCTAAACCAACGAGAAGACTTATTACATCACAAAATTCGTATGCTGAGCAATTTATAGGGGAACCTCATGTATATACCATTAATATATCGAATATCACTGAAGTGGATAGAGTTATGAAGAAAATTATGACAAACACGGTACGTTCTGCCGATTAATTTAAAAACATCGCATAGGTTTAAAACAGTTGCAATACTTTCGTTAACGCAACGATATGCACTGCTCGAGTCTCTTAGAAACTGAATCGCAAAACGATAGAACATAAGTCATGTTCAACAATTCAATTCCAAAATAGGTGTAAAGAAGACATTTACAAAGAATCATATAATTTTCAAGCCGATTTGAAGCTGTTATCAACTAAAGTATAGTTCGTATTTGAGTTGAAGTAAAAATCAGAGATTTATGCTCTTGTTATCAGCTTGTAACAAAGAATTCATCATGCAGAGGGTATACTTTTCAGTGCAATGAATGCATGCCTAATGGTTATGTTGCAATTTATCCAACTTAGTTTTCAATGTTTATATATAATTTCCTCATTGAATTTCAGTTAAAACCATATCTTCCTTATGAATATACTCACGAAGGAATGTTGGAAAGAATAAGTGCACAAGTAGAACATCTTGTAAGATATTCATTCTGCATGGTCTTGTAAATTCAAATTTAATTTATACATGCAGTCTTTACTTCATACAGAATTACAGATATACTGTACAAGAGGATGCTACAACTTAAAATATCCTATGTTTACCAGAATGAAAATATTTTCAGGAATTCTGTGAAGACAGCCAATGGCCACCATTACGGAATATGAAAACAATCAAAGGAAAATTGGGCCAGTCTTGTAAAGATGCATGCTGGGAGAACGGTGATAATTAATATATTCTATAAATGTATAATTATTAACATGCCAATCACAACGTGAAATGAGTACTATGTACATTAGTTTATATAATTTTTATTACAGGAATGCTATGTGAACCATCATACTGGAACGTTTTAAATCAACTGAGTACGTTTAAAAGGTAAGGTCTGCATGAAAAACACCTAACAATTATCTGGTAGATAAAATCGGTTAGGGTCTCGGAGACGGACAATTGCATATAGTGAATGCAGTGTCTATAACTGAGGTTTATAAATGGCTGTAGGCTGTAGCATATGCGTGTAGATAAGATGTCGTTTTGTATACATGCAATGGCTTCTTGGATGATTTTTGTCGTGCCAAACGGTGAACCCGTATAGGAATCGAATTAAACGGCCGCTAAACATTTTGTTTTTCTACTTGGGTTTTGGCATGCACTTCTGATGTACTAAAACATATATTACAAATGAAAAATTATTTTTTAGAGAAGGCATATCGTGTAATTTTGTCGAAAATGGTGATTTACTATTTGCACCATCATATGACGCGAAGACAAAGACCTGTCAGTTCCAACAACAGCCAATGTTTTACAGTTGTGTATCTTCCTCTGCCTCGCACGTGAGACTTTGTCCATGTCGTGACTACATCAAAGATCAAGTTGCCCTATGCCAAAAGTGTTGGTGAATGGTTTCTTGCGAAATTTTAAGTCAGTGTAATATATGTTGATACCCTGTTGAGCCACGTGTACATTTACACTTTTCCGTCAAGACAGCGAAGTACTTTTTGTTAGTTAGTTAGTTGATGTACTTGATGTGTATAGCATTATACATCTAAGGAGAAATGCCAGTGAACTCCCTCTCTATATATATGTATTAAATGGAAGGCTCGCGCAAGTTAATTGTGTAATCTAAACTTACGTTTCGTGGAGGTCTGGTTCGGTACCCAAGCAGCCTTCATGATCCGCCATGTTTGGCTTCACACTTTGAACTGGAGCGAGCCTCCATATTATATATATTCATTAGACACTCTCGACCTCTAGCTTATTTAAGGAGTCATCATGCAGACTCGCATCCCTTAATCGCTTTGCTTGCTATCGTTAATTGATTCGATCAGCTAGTTTGAACTTTGAATGCGCATGTTCATGCGGTTGCTTCTAAGCTCTCACTTAGGCTTGTTCTACCATGACAATGTTTTTTGCACGGCCTGATGAAATTCAATAAGATAAGCTTGCCAGAGCGTAGAAAATTATGAAGACATGTCTTCTTCTGTACAGGGTTGGTATAAGTTACTAAATAAAATAAATAAGCGCTAATATTGTTATAAGCAGCCCTTGTTTTTAATAAAGCAAAGAAAACAATGATTTTGTTAATAGTTTTTGGCTTATTTATTCAGAAATATTTCAACCCTGGTGGGAGTGATAATTAAGACTATTGTAGTTCAACATATTCAGTTTGAAATAATTACTCCGGCGTCAGCGACGGAGTTGAAAATTCGCCTCGGTTTTGTTTTGTTTTTTTTTTTTTTTTTTTTTAATTTTTTTTTTTATTATTTTTCGTCGTCGCAAGTCTGTAATGGCGCGAAACATTCTAGTATTTAAAACGTGTATGTGATTGGCTTTATCTATGTCCCAGTCTTGTCTCCCAAGAGTTGTGGTGCACAGCTTTGGCTAATTTTCCGATGCGCGATTCGATTTCGCTCGCATGATACGGCAATTCCTCCAAGAGGAACAAATAAACCGTTCTTTTCATGCTTTTCGATTAAGTTTAGACTGAATTGGGGTAAGAATATATTTAATACATGTAGATTCTGGTCCTATTTTAGTAATATCGCTGCTATTTCGCCGTTTAACAAGATGATGTGGTCGTGTATGGGCGCTTTGACTCGTCGTAGTTTGCACAGGATTGAAGATATAATATATATAAGCGCGAATGCCAAAAGCAAAGTGTAAGACAAAGCGAATGTATCATGCGGTTTATTTACATTTTTGAACAATTGAACTTCTATACTTTTTAAAGTACGATGTGCTTCTGAATTTCGCGATGGAACATTTAGGTTCGCAAGGCGTCTAAATGCGAATATGAACTGCATTGTTTATGTTCAGAAGCTCTATATTGAAGACTGGCACGTGCGCCGGAGTTAACGCCAGAACAGGCGTCTTGTTATACGACAATAGAATTGGTGAAGCACTGCAAAAGGTATTGTGTAAGCAAGTCCTTTGGCTTTGATGTCATTGTATATCAGGCCGTTTATACATCGTGTTTTGGACGCGTCGAATGTAATTCAAACAATAAATAATGAGATAACAAATCTTATATTATCATCTCATTATCTACCGTTTAAATTGCATTTGGCGTATATGTATAACCTTATGCCGAGGCCGCGTCGTATTGAATGTGGTATTCGAGCGAGAGTATATACGAATTATATCAACACCGTTCTTACCCAAATATCCTCATGATACCATGCAAAAATAACCCTTAACAACCTTCGGTTTCCCGTAATAACAATTATGCTTTCTAAGAACTGGGAAGTCAAAACTATGAAATTATACTGACAAAGCAATTTAATGGAGTATATTTCTCAAGAAAATGTTGCGTTCTTTAAATTCTATTTCCTAACTTTTTACGCGTCCTCGACACAAACTTCCCTATGGCGCACTGGAAATCTTACTTACGTGACAAACTTAGCAAAAGAAAGGTAGGTTTTCAAGATGAGAATTGAATCAAAGCTCGTTAATTTACCCGGAATTTATAATACTGCACCAAGGTAACATTATGAAAGATTGGAATAATGAATACCTAGGGTGTTCTTCGTATATATTCTGAATCGTCGTGGTCATATAAAGTCGCCGAGTCGTATAGCTATGTAAAGTGATCGTAAATGTCACATTATACGTAAAACAACGACTACAACAAATTTCGACATGCGCGATAGCCACGAATATAATACATGCATTATATGAAAGGAAAATAATCCCTGAAATTATGAACGACAAAAATGAACAGTTAACGATTTTGAACAACAAGCAAATAGCGCTAATTATTCAGTGGTTGCATTTAATATTCTGCAGTAGACCAATGAAGACAGGAGGGAACCTACCACAGCATTTGAACTCGCATCTTGGGGTATATTACTATATAATCATATGGATATAAAATTACCGACTACCTACACAGTCGTTGCAGTCGATGCGCAGTTTGATAGTCTTGAAAGAAAAACGCAAGGAACATTTTTTGTTAGATCGTCATATAAACTTCTTTCCAACTCGATGTCTATTTTGACATAGGATTATTGTAATTCATTTCAATTATAAGGTAGCTGTAAAATAAATATCATAAAATAGTCTTTGTCCAAGTGTCGAGGTCAAGGATCAAGTCGAGGGTGGAAATATTGTTTCCACTTCAAACTTAACGTATTTTCCAACTTTCTAGTATATAGGTCGATACATGCAGACATGCCATGCATTTCAAATCAAAAATTTCTGCCCGCCTTGACTTCACATACGCGGTGTTCCTGGCGTGTATGGACTTAGCAGCGCTTAATTTAAGCATTTACATAGCATGCAGCAGGCCAATGAATTGACCAATCTTCTAGTCTTTCATAGAGTTCTATATATAGTTCCTGTTCAATTTATTACAGTATGAATACTCGGACATAGCATTAAAAGACGCCACGAACGCGTTAGAAAAGTATCCAACGCTGAAGCCAAACGTGAAACATTTTGGTAAGCAGAAGCCGAAATAAGACATTGTTTGCTAAGAATATATAATAAAATATCTATCCTAATCCTAGGGAGTCTTCTCGTATTTTTTATTTTCCCTTGCAATTGTAGCCGGTACTCATGGTCAGAACAGGGAGCTAGTTTGTCTTGAAGGAACAATACCTGTTTACTATCGAGGTACTTAAACAAATGACATGATATATACGCTTTAAATCCAAATTATGCAAGTAAAGACCTATATCTTTCATTCTAAAGGTTTCACCTATAATTTTCCAATATGTTTATGGCTTCAAGAGAAACATCCAAATGCGCCTCCTTTTGCATATGTTGTGCCCACAGCGGAGATGGAAATAAAACCAGGACTCCATGTTGACGCTCAAGGCAGAGTTTACCTACCATTTTTAACAGAATGGAAGCATGTATGTTTCATTTCAGCAGCCTTCGCCATCTCCGTTGCTATCACCAGATTCGATATCGTCACAATCCACATCATCATAGGTATATGGAGGGAGGGGGGGCGGGGAACCTGGCTTTCCAGAAACATAACTCGGTGTAAGAAAGTTACGCAAATTTTTGTGGATCGAATTCTACCAAAATTGTAGCAATTTTGGCTATAATGAGTGATAAGTCGTTCGGTTCATATTTTTGGTGCTTCAGAGTTAATTGATGCATGGTCTTGTATGCTAATATGTTTGAATTGATACAATACTCGACCGTTAAACTGGTTAAAGTTAAGTTTTCATAGATTATTAATAAGTGGGTACATTATAAACATTGCACCATTGCCTTCACATACAACCATGATGATCACATCATCCCGAGTTCCACTTATTACATCATTATCCTCAAAAATCCTCGTCACAATCATTACTGATATCCTCAGGAAACATTTTTTAAAAATTTTTCAGCCTCAATCAGATATTTATGGCTTGATAGAAGTCTTGCGTCAGGTCTTTTCTGAAGAACCTCCCGTCTATGGTCGCAAACCCACTCCTGCACTAACAAGTTCTCCATCAAGTCATCCTTTGACAAAGAATTCCTCTCCTGAATATATCCAAGCAAGAAAACTAATTCGGAAATTTGTCCTACTGGTCCTGTTCAGACGCCCAGCACTGCGATACCCCAAGGTTTGATATTAAGCTTATAGTATATTAACCACAAAATATATATTCTTATGTCTCGATTCACTAATTAACAAAATACTAACTGCCAATGGAACCAATTATTAATTCAATAACTTTTCCTTTCATGAAAATGTCGAGCTATAGTTGTCGTATATAAGAATGTGCGTGATATCATAATTATCATCATCATACACTTTGAGTATAATTTCTTGCAAACTATGTATTGTGCTCTTTTTCACTATACAAACTTTCTAATGGCACACCCGAAGCTTCCCTGCGTGACAAGTTTATTGAAAAAGGGGTAGGTTTTTGAAATTAGTATTCTTGTTCAGTGTGCAGCATGCAGATATAATGTACAGATATGTCTTAAAAGTATGTCTCCTTAGATATAATCTGTACCGCAGATTTCTAAGTGTTATCTATAGCATATTAACACAATCACAAAGTTTTCTGGTGCAATGCTGCATTCATTACACGACGCTTAGGAAGCAATATGAAACATTGAATATATTTCACTATCCAACGGTCAGTAAGTCAGTTTTCAACGTTGTAAAAAAATGCTTGAAAAGAAATAAAATTACAGATTTTGTCACTTTGAGCTAACAATTGGGTAATTCCCGATTTAGGAACACTAGGTTTAAGCTAGGCTATACCGAACAATGGGCAATTTTGAAGCCATTGAAAAACCACTATCAGGTCTCAGGTATAACAGATGCGTATATAGCTAGCCTACACTTCCTAGTCCATGAAAAAAGTAGGTATGACAATTCTTACTAATAATTTTTACAGTATCTAGAGGCGGACCTAGCATTAAGGGATGCAAAGAGTGCCTTAGAACAACATAGAAACTTGAAGCCATACATAAAACAGTTTGGTAAGTTGAAAACAATTCATATTAAATAAAATATATATATTGTATATTTTTAATTTGTTTAGAATATAGAATATAAACACTAACCCCGTATGTGATATGGGACAGCAAATAAAAACAAATTTTGTCTGCTTGTTTGTTGACTGTAAAAGGAATGGTTTTGCGAAAAAGCATCATAATTATTTTACATTGCTTTAATTCTTGGGTATATCATTAGTGAACATTGATAGAAGAGATTGATTTCTAGTGTGAATGCTATTTCAAAAGCAAATTCTTGTAAGGGCAAATGACTGTTCAATTCTAATCGACGACGAAAGACAATGCAAATTACTATGCAGTATATATAGACAGCTAGGACTCGTAAATACTTATGATATTATAAATTTCTAACTGATCTTGAATACTTGGCGTGTTTTGCCTTATAGCTTATCCTGGTGGTCTGATAAAGGAGCTAGTTTGCCTTGAAGGGACAATATCTATAAACTATAAAGGTATATATCGGTATAATGTCAAAGATAAAACGTCAGAGATATACGTTCACGAAGAGTTAAAGGCTCCAAGGTCACTATATTGTCAGAAAATTCGATGGAATTCCATGAGCCGCTTTTCCATCGAATTTACGAATGAGATACAATGTACATGATTTGGAGGATTATCAACCGATGATTGTCATTCGACGACATCGCTGGTTGGACATAGCTATTGCCCAATCAGAGGCTGTGAATTATTTTTAATAAATAATAATTACTATTACTCTCATTTTTTTACATATGTCGTGTTGGACGTATAAAGTATGACATCTTTGTCGTTTTAAAGGTTGCGACTATAATATTCCAATATGTTTATGGCTTCAAGAGAAACATCCAAATGCGCCTCCTTTTGCATATGTTGTGCCCACAGCGGAGATGGAAATAAAATCAGGACGCCATGTTGACGCTCAAGGCAGAGTTTACCTACTATTTTTAACAGAATGGCGGAAGCATGTATGTGTGTACACATAATTAATAATTACCATAATTATTGCCGGTACCAGATTCACTATGCAACATCACTATCCGATCCTAAATAATTTCCTAGTAAAATTGATGCAAACGAGTAAAATCGGTGATATTTATTTCTAAAATAAGGTGAGTTAAGTAACCAAAATCATAATCATAATCACTATTATTGCTTTCTTACAATGATGATGATCACTATTAGTTTCTATGATCATAACCATCATCAGTTCTTCTTGTCATCATTAGAATCATATCATCATCAACAGCAATATCATCTGCCATTATCAGTGAGCACATTTTTTAAATTTCCAGCCTAAATCAGATCTCAATGGCTTGATCCACGTCTTGTGTCTAATCTTTTCTAAACAACCCCCTGTCTTTTGTTGCAGACCAAAAACCCCTCCTAAACCAAGCCCTTCTCCACCAAGCAATCTTCCACCAAAAACCCTTTCTAAACCAAGTCCTTCTCCACCAAGCAATCTTCCACTAAAAACCCTTCCTAAACCAAGTCCTTCTCCACCAAGCAATCCTCCACCAAAAACCCTTCCTAAACCAAGTCCTTCTCCAACAAGCAATCTTCCATCAAAAACCCTTCCTAAACCAAGTCCTTCTCCACCAAGCAATCTTCCACCAAAAACCCTTCCTAAACCAAGTCCAAGTGAAATTTTAGGTCGAAGGTTGACAGGCAAAATAAAAAAATGGCTTGACTGAATGCGAAGCTTGATGCATGCGACTAAAACGTATTTACTGTTCATATTTAGGGCTGTTTTCCACTGTCGCGTTTTTTGTAGCTACATACGTATACGCACGTAAAAATTCAAAATAATAATTTAATTTTCATTATTTCTGCATGTCCTAGAGAGTTCGGGGATTGCAGCACTCCAGGTGAAATGTGGTTATCGAGACATGTGTGAACGTTTTCTTGAGTCGCAGAATATTCCAGGTATCGTGGAAAAGATTTCATTCATATGATAATATATATACTGAGCGAAATAGGCTTCTGAAAATAAAAGAGTATTTTTTATTAGTTGTTTTTGGTCACTTCAGTACATGTCACATATTCGGTGTACATCAGTGTTAATCACTAAATGCTGCATGTATCAGTGTTGAAAAAGCCCAATTTAGAGACTTTATACTAACATTTTACATTGCAATTTTAGATGAATACTTTGACAAAACTCTAGGTTTTTATAAATGTTTCTGTGAGAATTGTCACAGAGATCGTGGTGATGAAGAATCTATTTCGTGGGAAGCCCGCCAAGAGATACGCTTTACCTATTGGCTGGAGTAGATTTTCCATTAAGTAAGAATGATTTTCTCGAGAACGCTTATTTCATGACGTGTATTTCATTCATCTCTTTAAAATGAACAAAATCGTGCTAAATTGCATTCTTGGGTTTCGTGGTAGTATAATTTTTGGCTGAAATGCAAAACGTGGAATTTTTGAAACTGTCGCACCAGTGGCGGGTTAAGGTATAGCTGAGGCTATTTTTAAATTCAAAATACTTCAATAGCAACGCATTGGTCTTGAATTTCTAAAGAAAATTTTTAAATAGAAATCCATCAATCCGATTGCAAGTTTTGGTAAGCAAGAGCTGTGGTAATTTATTCAGCCTTACCCTGGATCCGCCACTAAGTGGTACCCCTTCATGCACGTAAATGCTACAAATATTCCCGTCGTCAGACATGTTGATGTTGTGTTTTATAGAGTTGCCCAAAACGCAAAAGTACTAAATATCTTCGAGAATTGGCATGTGGGGTTTTATGGAACACAAGCAGCAACCCTCAAGCCAATATTGGATAGCGGTCAATTGCTAATACCAGGTATAATGCATGAAAAATGTCAACGGAATATACTTACAGGACTTACACGACAGATTTGTGTGAACTACTTTTGAATGCATTTTATATCTGCATGCAGGGGATGTGGCCTTAAGAGGAAATAAACTGCGTGAGGGAGAAGGACACTATAACGACCATTGGAAACCAAAGAAGTTTGACACGAAGCAATTTGAATGGTCAACAAAAGAAAGAGGAGCTGTAATTGTGACTGGCGTGTTAGTGAAAATAAAAGAATAAAAATTCATTAACAAAGCTATATTTTATCGACTGCTCCGAACTTTACAGAATATAATGGTATAAATCGTGATAGGATAGAATACGATGTCAATGGTATAAATTTCCTATATAGTGCAGTATAAGCTTAAAGAATGTAAGCAAAATGTTACGATGGAAACATTCTTCTGGTTGTTTGAGGGGTCTTTGCTTGGACAGTCCTTGTTCTGTGTGAGCATGTTGAGCTCAATTTTCTTCCTATTCATTCATTCATATATACTTCGACGAACTGATCAACGACGAATAGTATTCCCGCTACTCGTTTTTTATAAGGTAACAGAAAGATAATATTTTAGCACTCGACAGCGTTTTTACTAATTAGTCCTAAATTCCGAACAGGTATTGCCAAAATCTAAATTCAGTCGGTGATCGTCTTGGTGCGTGTCGAGCTGATAATCTTTATAAACGGGAAACACCAGGGTGCTGCTGCATCTGGAATACCACAAGGTAAACAATTTTTTGCTCCATCGCCGAAAAAATATAATAATCATATGATATATAGACACATAAAAACGGAAAATACAATGCTTTAAAGTCGCATGCATATCAGATGATTGTAAGTGTGGTTTTCTGGGAAGAGAATATTTGGTCTCGTTTACTTAAAACATTCGCTCTATTCATGCTCCTTTGATGGTAAAGATTGTGGTGGTCATATCACAGGAGCTAGATTTCATTGCTTGGTTTGTGAAGACTCTGATCTATGTTATGGTTGTCAAAAGACAAAGAACTGGCCTCCAAGGTCTGGTTGAAAAGTACAGTTGCACTCGAAGTTGTACTCGGTGCTTTAAAAAAATCCAAAACCAGCCAATGTGGTTGAAATATACATCATTGATATAGAATATAAAAAGGCAATATACTAATCATGTATTGTTTATAATTATAATACTTAACGTTTTCCCATGCAGACACAAAGACAGTCATGACGAAAAGTTCAACCCTAATAGGTGAGCGTACAGTTCGATTACTTATAATATACTTCCACCTTTTTCTGGACAAAAGCATTTGCATTTCGTCTTGCTAATTCGGTTAAAAAATAGCTAGGAGGAATTAATCACACAAGGCCACAGATACATGGATGATAATACACTAATTCCATTTATTCATTCAACTTATATTTTCGATTCTGCTTCGATTCCATCATTCAAAGAGCAGGTACGAAGGGGTGCTTGGTAAAGACGCAATAAAATCCCAATGTCAATTGCTGAAAAACATTTTTGCACGTATGCGTAATTCTGTCGAGACAGCCAATGGCCACCATTACACAATATGAAAAAAATCCAAGGAAAACTTGGCCAGTCTTGCAAAGATGCATGCTGGGAGAAAGATTGTTAGAAGAAAATAAATGTATACGTGGCTATATAGTAGCTGAAATAATGTTTTTATTATATGCAAATGCTTTTAGACGTAACGTTAGTAGGCTATATAGACTATAACCGTGTTGCAGGAATGCTATGTTAACCATCATACTGGGACATTTTAAATATTTCGTTTAGAAGGTGAGCACCTGGCAAATTTGATTTATAAGCTGACAATTTATCAGCTAAATTCCAATTGATGTGTCTTACCGTCGTTACTAAGCGTGTACACATAATTGTAACGCTAATGCGGTAAAGACAACTTCAAGCAAGTTTCAAGCACAAACATAAAAGTTTCAATTGCTATACGCGCAATGTATTCACTCAATAAATTTGGAAGAAATTATAGGAAATTTGAAATAGAAATTATAGGTATTTTCTTTCAAATTTATTGACTGAATGCGCTTGAAACAAGTTGTTTTTACCTTTAAATATAACTAAAACATGTTTTATTATGACGGCATACCGTACACCGTTGGTATTAATGTAATTCCTAATTCATTTTCTAGAGCAAACATAACGTGTGAACTTGTTATCATCATCATCATATACTGTAGGCCTATTGCGCCAATAAGACGCACAGGGCCTGACAGGTTTTTGTAATCAGCGATTTTTTACGGGATCAGGTGATTAGCCTGACGCCCAACCCCCAACCTGGAGGGCCAGGGGCTGTCCTTTGTCTGGTCTCTATCGCTCGACCAATCTGGTACGGTTGAACCCACCAGGGACTAGGTCCCCACAGGCATAGCTCTTGGGGTCACTGAAACACACAAGCTTCACCACCGCGGCAAGGTGACAAGCCCAGGGTGAAGTGTGAACTTGTGGAACATGGTAATTTACTTGTTACACCGTCATACGATGAGACAAAGACCAGTCACCTCCAACAACAGCCATTGTTACACAGTTGCGTATCTCTACATATGCATATACAGATCTTCAGATCTATCAATCCTTCAGATCTCTACCGGAAAAAAAGTTTGGAGCCGGTCATGAAGATAATTTCTTCAAAATAGCAAATCATTTTATTCTCCAGTGAAAGTCATCATCAACAACAATACATCGGCGACTGTCATTGATTAATGGGAAACATGCTCTAGAGACAAGGTCCTACGGCATCGCGACCACTAACAAAGAGACGTTCTCAGCAGCGGCGTGGCGGAAGGTGGTTGCTGCACCCCCAGTTTTTGCAAGTTGGAAGTTGGTCGGTAATGGCACCATGAAGGCCTCGGTATATCTCGTCTGTTTCTGATTTACATTTACAGTAATAAAAAGGTTCTATGCACAATTAAAAAACTGACCAAATGGCTATCTGCTTTCTCTGGATGTGCTTCAAGTGCTACGAGTTCGTCGGCAAAACTTCTGTGTTACACCCCCAGAGTTACGATAGTCACGCTCTGCCCCAGGTTCTCAGCCTTGTCTTGTATGAAATTTGGATGGATGCTGATTGCTTTTGCCACTCCAAGGTCAACCTCACTATGCACACGCTTCGATTCTTACTCGTACTTTTTTAACAGGATTTTTTCAAAGCTTTAGACTTGGAAGTATTGTATCAATAGTATCAACACATATAGTATTAATATAATACAATTTCCACGCCAAGCGCATATATAAATATGACTTATATTACGCAGATATTGCCTGAGATTTGAAAAAATTCATTGTATTTTCAATTTTTTAAGAGAGAACGCGTCGTGTGATTTTGTCAATAGGCAATAATATATGCTTGGAACTTATTGTTATTGTTATATGTTGTATTGTTGCTATATTGTTATATGTTGTCATCAAGTTGCAATGACTTGTTTAAGCTTATCAGCCATTGACATTGTCTTGTTCAATATTAAGAACTATTGAATGACTGACGTCGGTCTGATTAATTCTGATATCCTACGATAAGCCAAACTCAATGAAAAATTTTGCCAAATAAGTCATTTTATAGGATTACACATATGATTGTACCGACAGGGAGTTTGAAACGAGGAGAGGCGAAGATTGAAACCAAAAGCAAGTCCGAGTATTTAGTCATTCTAAGCAAATTTCAAATCATCATAATTTATTTCCATTGCCCATTTCCCATGACATGTGAATGCATATTACGGCTTTTACTATATAGAAATATATTCAGTATATAAAACTATTGTTTGCTAGCAACTTTACCGTTCTACTTGATTAAGCGAAATAATTCAATACACGTCCTCTCCGCGCAGAAAATATCTCACTTCTATTGCCACCTAAAGTGTGTTATACTGTAGCCTGATACCCTGCTTTAGTTGCTTAGTGCACTATGACTATGAATTAACAGATGGAAGGTTCTGGTATCCCGACCCAGGCAAAAATCTCCCGGTCAGTGACTTCAGATAATATGCAACGACCACTATGAAGTAGGTCTGAAAAAAATTCAAATTGGGTAGGAATTTATTTTTTATAAAAGAATAAGCGCGCTTATAACATACAGTACCCATATCTAGTGAAACTGTTAGGGGTTTTACTTTATCTGATAGCCTACCACGTCATAGTAAAATCGAAACAAAGTAATGCATAACTATATTGTAATACCAAATGTGCCTGGATGATAATCACTTATGAAGGAAATTATTTTTTTCCGAAAAATTATTTTCTCTACAGTGTACATCAAAGCTGGCAAATTTTGTATAATTTAGTATTATGCGCAAAAAAGCGACACCATTTTTGGACATTTAGTAAAATAGGGAAATGGTCCATTAAGCACATTTTTAAAAAATACAGATATCCATGCATAGGCATTTATACATTGTTCCCTTTCAGCTTGGGAAATCAAATGAACAGAAGAATGAATTAACATTCATATTCAAGTCATGTTAACAAACAACCAATTCGATGCTAATGATTTGAAATATAACTTAATATTGTCGGATTGGATTCGCTACTGCTCAAAGTGTGGTCTATAATGACCTCATTAAGTCCCATGATTTAATAGCGAGTGTTAGATGTTACTTACTTCAAGGGCACACCCAAAACAAGTCAGTCCAATTGTAAGACCAATATCACTAACCTAGAAATGAAATAACAAATATGAAAATGAACCGGAAGTAAGGAAGGAAAAAGGATAAAAAGAGAGGTAGTAGAAATAAAAAAGAATCTAAAAAGAAAAGTAGGAAGGAGAGAGAATGAAAGAAGACAAGAAAACAGGTAGAAAAAAAGGAAGAAAGGGAAGGAAAGGAAGGGAAAGAAGAAATGAAAAAGGTAGGCAGGACGGAAAGAAAGAATACAGGAGGACAGGAAAGAAAGGAAAAAAGAAAATAACGAAAGGAAAGAAAAAGGAAAGAAAGAAACCAGAAAGGATTGGAGAAGGGAAAGAAAAAAAAAGAAAAAGTTGGAGGAAAGGAAGGAATAAACTATAAACGGATAGCACAGTTTCTGAATGAGGAAACGGGTGGTTGGATGATTTTACTATTGAATGAATGAGTGAATAAGCGAACGGACGAATGGATAGAATGAGTACGATTCTTAATTACCCCTAGATGTGCTGGAGATGTTGTACAATATTATTAATAATCAGTCCATCAATAATAAATAACTCTTATAACTCCTCCGATTGAAAATCTGAAAATTAATCTCGAATTACACTCCTTACTCCATTACTTTCAAACAAACAGTCGTGAATATATAGGTATATGAACCCAACAATGCAAAGAACTCTTAAGGACAAAGATGTGCGCCCTTATCTAATTAAATTCTAACACAGAGCTGCATTCATAATAATAAACGGCACTTACGTCTGTGTACACGACTCCACAATAGATAACAACTGCAAGATCCATTAATATATACAACGCTGACGCCGGTAACCACAGGAAAATGAAACCAGAAATTTCCTGAATAGCAATTGAAAACAAGAGGTGTGAATAAACTAAAATGAACGCAACGCTTGCTAAGCGTTATTCGAGCTATAAAAGGAGTGTTTTTGGTCATAACCAGAAATTCAGGACATTAATTACCATAAAAGTTCATAATGCCAGGATTTCGCAATCAAAGATGGCTGCCTTGTTATTATAGAATTATATAACGCACGAGACAAAATTTGAAATTAAAGCAACTTTTGTCTTACATATTGCAGTTGCGGAGCTTGATTTAAGACGGGTAGAAACTCAGTACTGTTATGATCTTTTTTTCATATTTTTATATTACCTTAAAGTCAGCAACTAACTATTATATATACTTGCAACATAATGGTTAGATTGATTATTTTTTTCATATTTTTAATACAATGGTTAGATTGATTAAATTGTCATAACAGTACTGAGTTTCTGCCCGTCTTAAATCAAGCTCCGCAACTGCAATATGTAAGACAGAAGTTGCTTTAATTTAAATTTTGTCTCGTGCCTTATATAATTCTATAATAACAAGGCAGCCATCAAACAATTGGGCCACTTCACTATGCAACATACTCTCGGTGCTGTATATTTAATCAGTTAATCCACCTTATATGGAAATATTATCACCATTGTATACAACAAAAAACATTTGTTATTTGTATACTACAGCACTTACAATAACTTCTATTCTTTAACACTACTACAACTAACCATATAAACATATAGACCATAGAATAATCTCATGTCATATTATTGATTATCTGAATTCATGGCATATCTTAAGTGCAATGCCTCACCTTCCATATTCCAAGGAGCAGAAGCCAACTGAAAAGAAACAACATACTTGCACAAGCAGTACCAACATAAAGGATTTTGAGCAAGTCTAAAATGATCAAAATTCCACAGTGTATTAAAGATTCAACATATTATTATAGTGGCATATGATGGCATAAGTTTCATATTCTTATGTGGTGGATATGCAAGATAAACAACCACTCACCTACACTAATTGCCCAAACACAATCTCAGAGTGTGCATGCAGGTGGGAATTTATGCTAAATGATTCTACCAGGTGAGCATTACACTGCTGATAAAAGACAATTTTGTCGAACATTTTTTTGTCTTTTTTCTTTTATTCATTAAAATATCCTGTCCTCTTATAATTTAATACAAAATACTGCATGTAACATATAATATAGTGTGTGACTATAAAAGACGAATTTTAGAGTAACCAAGTTAGGCCTGTTTCAAACGTCGCATTTTGCATGTGTCGAATACAATTGTTTGAATTATCTGCATGCGAGATGCGACGTATGAAACAATTGAATTCGCCGTTTTTAATTGCGGTCGACCGTGATGCTAAATTCGACTGTTCCGGTCGCATTATGCGAGCTCGGTGCGACGTGGTTTCATAGGTCGCATTTTGCATGTGTCGAATTCAATTCGCTTGAAGAGAAAGGCAAAGAACGTCGTGCATGTTATGATATTGAAAGGCACAAGTAAGGAAATATGGAGGCCGTATAGACAAAAGAAATGAACCAGCACAATCGTATTGTATTACGTGTGCATGAAAGTTGACAAAATACATTTGCCTACCGCGTCTGTTTGTAATGGTTGCGCAGTACACGAACAAAACGAAGAATCCCAAGGCTGGCTTGCTGGAAGCGGCTGGGAAGTAGTTGGATATTGCATAAAGTGCAATATATTTAGGCAAGAGTATTAGGAAAATAATAGCAAGAAAAGGATTTCTAGAAATATGAAATTTTTTATTTACGCCCAAGCGGACTGTCGCTGATCATAAGGAATGGAGCCCGCAACTATTTGAATTCAGCACATGCGAAATGCGACGTTTGAAATGACGGTCGGATTATTGTTTTAGGGTCGAATCTAATTAGAATTATATTCGATGCATGCAAAATGCGACGTTTGAAACAGGCCTTAATCGTCAACAAATCTTTGAACGTTGACCTTAGACCCTTATTGGCAGTTATCAAATCTATATATAAATAAAGTAGAATCAATTTTTTACCCTTTGAATTGATGTGTTTGCAGTTTGAAGCATTTGGCAGTTACAATAGTTCAAAGATTTGACGAATAGACTTAGTTTATATGGCCGATTTGGAGCAAGGAAGTGCAGAGCAAGATTACGAGTTGTTGCTTCACACAGACGAAGATTTTAATAAGCCTACAAGTTTATCGTCTTCTGAGAGAAATATAGATCAAAGCGATGATACGGTACGGCGGGATTCGAAAGCTGGTACATTAAAAGTTGAAGACAATATCAGCGAGCAGTTAAGGCAATTAAGACTGGGAGAAAATTTAAAGCGTTTAAAGAACAGTCGAAGTGGTTCTTTATCGGCAGTTACAGCTAAAAAGAACGAGATTAGTACTCTGATGGCCGAAGACGTTGATGTTAAGTTGGTCATGGAGAAATACGAGAGTTTAAAGCGATTATTTGACAAATATTATGATGCTCATTGAGCGTATCAAAGTGATTTACCCGATGTGGAACGCATAGATCAAGCTGAGAAGCAATACGAAGCTTAAGAGTCGTTATATCGAGAATGTGTGAGTAAAAAACTCAGTGGATTGATACTAAGCAACTCCGATTGAAATCTATTCCTGAGATATCGCCTAGTGACTCTGTAAGTCAAGTTATCTCGAACGTTTCATCAAGACAATCTCCTCGTTCATCCGTGACTTCTCAGTTAAGAGCTAACGAGGCTGTAATGATGGCTGAGCTTAGGGTACAAGTAGAATCTTTGAAGGTTTAACAACGTTTAGAGCAAGAAAAGTTACGAATACAGCAGGAAGAGAATCGCGTTAAGTTGGAGATGGAAATTGCGGAGATGGGAATTGAATAAAATTATAAAAGAGTTTTCGTTACAGCAGAAAAAGAGTACTTGCCACATCCATGAGTTTAGTATTCAAAGGGAATCCTATGGAGCATAAAAATTTTATACGTGCGTTTGAAAATATTATAGAAGCCAAAGTTACTAATTCTTCGGAACGATTGTATTATCTGGAGCAGTTTACAACTGGTCAGGCAAGAGAGTTGGTGAAATCTTGTCATCACATGGCTCCAATATGTGGCTATCATGCAAGAAGCTAGAACTTTATTAAAGAGAAATTATGGAAATGAGTACAAGATCGCTACTGCTTATATGAACAAAGTATTGAAATGGCTGGAATTGAAGCCTGAAAATAACGTGAATTTGCACAAATTTTCAATCCTTCCTGTATGTTGCAAGAATGTTATGGACGGAAACGAATTTATGACCAAATTTGATAACCCAGAGAAAATCCATCAGATCGTGCAGAAATTACCGTTTAGCATGAGATGCAGATGGCGTAGATGCGTAGACGAAATTACCGAAATCAATTGAAGATTAGTGATGTTTCGAGACCTTGCAGATTTTGTGGAAAAGGAAGCTAGAAGTGCCACTCACCCTGTTCTTGGTAATATTTCCACAATCAAGTCACCTGGTGATCGACCAAAGTCTACGAGGCCAAAACCTGGAGGATTAAGCTTTGGTATCCAAGAAAACGAATAAAACTGTCATTACTTACGCATTTCTGGACAACGGTAGTGACTCGTCGTTCTGTACCAAGGATCTAGCTGAGCAGTTGGGTATCAAAGGAGTTGAGACTACGATTTCGTTAAGAACGATGGAGAAAAAGAACAGCATTATCAACAGCTCAATCATCCAGCACTTGGAAGTCTCAGATTTAGATGAGAGCTCTTTGATAGATCTACCTCTTATCTACACTGCATCTGATATTCCAGAGACAAGTAAAGATATTCCAACTCAAGAAGACGTAGATCAATGGCCACGTCTTCAGGGCGTGCAGCTGCCGGTCGTCGATGCTCAGATTGGCATTCTTATCGCAAGTGATATTCCAAAAGCATTAGACCCGCTAGTGATCATAAATAGCGAAAACGGTGGTACGTATGCGACAAAAACATTGTTGGGATGGGCAATCAATGGACCTTTGATGCGTCAGAATAAAAATTCAAGGTATCGGAAGTTTCCTCGTGAATGCGGATGTGAAATTGAATCAAGTAGTGATGGGCGCTAAAAAATAGAGACTTCAATGAATCAATTTCTGATGTCAAAACTGAAATGTCTCAAGAAGAAGCACAGTTCATAGCTAATGTGAAAAGTACAGCCACTTTGAATAACGCTCATTATGTTGTCGCATTACCATTCAAGAATCCAGATTGTCGAAAGGCCAAATAACAAGAAACAGGTGGAACAACGAGCTAAGGTTTTGAAAGCTACAGCTGATAAGAAAGGTTTAGTACATCAAGTTCATGCAAGTTAAAACAAAGACTAGCATGTTGAAAAGACCAATCGATAAGCTAGTATTATTACTGGAAACGGATGGTGTTGATAAATAGTGTTTAAATTAAGTTAAATTAATTGTTTCATAGTTTTGCACACTTAAGGGGCTGGTGTATAACATATAATAGCCCATTAAGTGTTCTTTATGCTAATTATGTTAATTTGTCTGTGTGACTATAAAAGACGAATTTTAGATAGCTTAGTTAATCATCAACAAATCTTTGAACGTTGGCCTTAGAGCCTTATTGGCAGTTATCAAATCTATATATATATATATATATATATATATATATATATATATATATATATATATATATATATAAATAAAGTAGAATCAATTTTTTACCCTTTGGATTGATGTGTTTGCAGTTTGAAGCATTTGGCAGTTAAAATACATACATACAAATACCTTGTCCTCTTATAATAATATAAACTAATTTACAAGCTTTGACATATTTCTTTTCCCGTAAAACATAACCAATTGCTCACCTGGTATAGCATTGCTGGGTAAATCTGATGAACCATCTTCATCTTCTATACTCTTTAGGGCAGTTATCATGGTTACATCTTTGATGATTCGATATATTGAGAAAAACTGAAATTGAAATATCAATAACATATAGCAATGACCAGGCATGATAAGATAGAATCATCTTCATTTTCTATACTATTCAGGAGCCAGAATGAAGACTGGATATACAGTGAGATTTACCAGATGATGATTTCTTCAACCAATGTAAAAATGCTGGAAAAACAATAAAATTACAGCTCTGGAATTCATTGCAAACTATTAAAGAGAATCCCCAATTTAAAATTCTGAACAGAAATGGTAATACTTTAACTGAAAGAGCTTTCCTAGGTCATGATTTTTTATCTTTCAAAATTCTTTATATATGTAATGGTATTTCAATTTGTTTGAATTTTTTGTTTTCTATTAGTTCATTCCTATCATATGTGTTTTACCCCATACAAAACATGTGCTTAGTCTTACTTCTGTACTCCCCAGCAGTGTAAAGGCCTAGCTGACATTATTAACATTGTAAAAGAGCTCAAGGTGTTCATTATGTGTATATATGGCATCAAATTTGTTGCGGTTAGATCCATGGAGTTCCAGAGAGTGCTCAATAACATACACATAGAGCAAACACATGATTTTGATCACCAAAATTTATCTACTTCAGTCTGCTACGTCCATATAGGAATTATATAGGAAGTTTTTCGCAAAGTCATGGTCAGGTGTTTTTGTTATATAATGTATAAATGTATATAATAGGTAAAAGAGTGGAGAGTTTGGCAAAGTATCACCAAGAAGAGTCAGAGTAATGTAATTTCTTCCGTGTCTAGGGTTAATCTGTCAGTTCCCCCGGCTCTATATTCAGTATTTAATATTCTATAAAGAAATCAATACTGTGTTGTGTATAAAAATGATCAATAAAGGTTTAAAATTAAAAAATTAAACTTTTCAGACGATTATTTCATTCTTACCTATACTGTTATTATTATTTTTGGACAAAGAAAGAGATCGAGTCAGTTCTTTAGGTAACTAACATATCGCGTTCGTTTAAATCACAAATGTAATTTGATTTTAATATATAGCCTATATAAACATAAAAATACTTACTATTGAAAAACAGCCGATCACAATTGTGGCAGATTTCAAGTTTAAACCACAATGCTCCAAAAGAAGCGGCATGTTTGGTTAAAGCTTCTAAAATTAAAACCAGTATTATTATTATAAAACAGTCGTCGCTCAGCGCCTCAGCCCTGAGTCTCGGACTATCGAAACTCATTTCGAAACAATTCGAAACTCAATAATCGGCCCATGCATGTGAGCCTTGTGAGGTCATCCGGAATCCGATATCTTTAAAACGCGGAATGGGAAATCGGAGAATGGGACGTGAAAATGCGGAATCTTTAAGTATAGGTAATAGTATGGTTTCGAGTGCAATTTGGTCGATTTTTCCTTTATATTGAATATTTCCTTTAGCGATGTTATATTTCTTAAATATTTTGTTGTGAAACCATTGTTTTAACGTTAAAAAGTCGCGAAAATCCAAATTTCCGTCGCCATCTTGGTTGTTTTGTTTGGGCACAGAGCATACATAGGTTTGACCAGTGGGTTTGACTTTGCATTAATTATGCGTTCCTGGCGGCCATGTTGTTAGCCAGTGCGCTAAAGAGAGGCCGTATCCCCCCCGAACATTATAAATAGCCATCGCTATATAAATAAATGGATCGCTCCCACTTCTATACTCTTCTATACTCTTCTAAAGGATAAGAACTAACAAAATCTGGTTTTGAGAAAAAAATTGAGCTACGTTTTTGTCAAAAATACGATTTCTCTAGATAGTTCTGTCTCGGCTGTTTATATTCCATACATGTGTTCAAGCCGCCGCCATATGCATGCTTTCCCGGGGGGAGAAGGCCTCTCTTGAGCGCACTGGCTAAGCCAGGGGTACGCAAAATTAACGGCAGTCAAACCTCTGTATGCTCTGTGGTTTGGGGCAAGCATTATATTTTTCCCGCCAAAACGTAGCTCAAATTTGATTGGCTGATATATTTATGACAGCCAATCAGATTGGTCTGTTACAAATTTTTGCACTGTTGTTACAGATTTTTGCACTGTTGTTACAGATTTTTGCACTGTTGTTACAGATTTTTGCACTGCTGTTCGGGATTAATTGCACTGAAATCGACCAATCACAGTCGAGAAACATTTTCATGTATATTATTAAACACGTAATGGGAAAATGCGGAATCTTTAAAACACGGAATGGAAAAATGCGGAATCACCATGAACCTTGAGACCCTTGAGACCTTGAGAGGTAACGACACTGGGTAACGATTACTCAGGTCTCAGGCTAGGTTCCATTTTCCTCTGGCGAGGTTGTTATCCACTACTAAAACAATATCGCCGCATTTGCATTGTCGCTTTTTCCGTTTCTACTTCAAACACCGTCGACATCTCGTTCCAAGACAATGTCTGCTGACCAACTATCACTTTCAAAGCAGTCTTTGTCTGTTTGACCATGCTTTCGAAAACTCCTCCCTGATGATGACTCAGAGGAGTGTTGAATAGCCATTTGAACTTATGGCTCACAGAAAAATCTTCCATTTGTCGTCTTCCTTCTTTGAAAAGCTTACGTAGCTCTTTCTCAGCTCCAACAAATCGGATGTCCCATTGTCCGAGATTACAGTGGCTGGCCACCCGTGGTGGGCTTCAAAACGTCGCAAGGCGTGGAGAAAGGCGTCAGTGGATAAATCTTGGACAATTTCTAGATGTATGTCACGAACTGTCGTTCAGATGAAAACTGCTCCCTAAGCTTTGATTTTCTTATTTCTACCGTACTTGAGATAGAATGGACCGAACAGATCCACACCAGTGACCGAGAAGGGTGGAGAAAACAACTTTAGCCTTTCTGAGGGTAAGTCAGCCAGGAGTGTGGTGTAAGGATACTGCCTTAATTTACGACAAATGAAGCAATCTTTAACAATCTTCTTTACCAGGTTTCTGCCACGGAGAATCCAGAATTTCCGCCGTGTCTCGCACATGGTACGTTCACGACCCGCGGTACTCGGTTGTGGCCGGGAATCTTTGACAACTAATTTTGACACGACGTGGTCCGCTAGTAGGACCATAGGATGGGTTTCGTCGTACGATAAAGGCGAGTGCTTCAGTCGTCCTCCAACACGAATGATTTCGTCCTTTTCAAAGGGGGCTAATTCTAGATAGCGTTCTTTCCAGTTTTCAAGTTGCTGTTGGGCGGACTTGATCGGCTGATTCTATTTCTCTGGAAAGAAGCGGGCCTTGCCATCAATTCCAATCGTGGAATAGTCGTTTGGCGTAATGGGGCAACTCTGGCCTTGGCTGAGATGAGGCGTACTTCTGTCCTTCCAGATGACGAGGACCAAACTAGATACGCCGGAGTCCAGAATCCAGACAGTGATTCCGGAATCCAAACTTTTTGAGGAATCCAAATACAAATCGGCTGGCCGATCCCAGGGCCTTTTACCCAAACCCAGAATCAAGGTAAAAGGCACTGGGAATGAGGTTGGAAAGGCCACTGGAGTTTAAACCTTAATTGTGCTCCACCTTGCCATTAAATTGAGTGTAGTGTAAACGGGGCTTACATGCAAGCTCCCTAGATAACTTTTTGGACAAACATTTTTATAAAGTTTACATAAAAAATAATTTCGAATAGTAGGCTATCTTCAAGGCCTCAGGCTCACGTTTGAAAATTTATCAGCTCTAACTACAGCAATCAGTTTTGAGACTAAAAAGTGGAAGATGACTTATCAAACCTTCTGTCCTGCACAATAATTCATATAGTATTGCGACTTCCTCTTCTTGGTCTTTAAAACTTCCCCCTTCTCCCTCCCCTCAATCCCCCAATATTTCGTTAAGTGTCGGCTACCACGGTGATGTTAAACAATGATTTATTTATTAATTATTACCACCCCACTATGCAAACATTCATAGTATTAACTAATTAGCTTGATTGTTGTTTCTAACATTCTAGAAGTATTCTTAAACAAACTTCATAATAATTTTCATATGAGTAGCAGTATTTTATTTATTCTCATTTAGGATTGATGTTTATTTAGCGTATCATCGACTATTTGCTTGATTTTCTCGTCAATTTGTGTTTTATGTTGAGCAAAAACAGATTTGGACACCTCAGCAGAGATACGGTTCATTTGCTCCTGAAAAAGAGAATTATTTTGAGACTTTAAAGCTAGGTTTCCTCCCGCCATTGTACTCGTTCTGTTCGTTCTATACAGGACAAAGTACCTAGGGCTGAAACTAAAGGGGGGTGTTTATTCATATAATTTATTCAAACTATTCATTCATATAATTTATTCAGTTCTGCCCGACGGATTTCTTTGTAAACTATTGCACTCACTGTGATAAAATTATTCAATTTCACAGATTTTGGCATCACCGCCATCGCTAGGTTGTTTGTTTTTACACGGTTTTTAGCCAATACCATCATGACGACCATGATCAATATCATTGTCATCACCATCATCGTCATCATCACCGTTATTATCACAATCAATTTCTTATCGCTTCTTTCTTACTGTTATCATCATCAACACCATTACATAGCACAATCATGACTATCGTTACGTTAGCATCAACGTTACCATAATCGCCATCAGTCACTATAATTTTAATCAACACCATCATCGCCGTCATTGGCCGATTCAGTCTACCATTAAGTTTAATCTCAAATATCACCACATGACCACCACCACTACTACAACTACCTCCATCACTTTCATCTGGTCATTATCACGAATGTTAAAAGTCTGATTGTAATCGTCACCACCTTGATTATGACCACCAAGATGACATGACTATCAGTGCATTGTGTAAATTTAGCTACACGACATTCGAAGCAACCTGCCTTTACCTTGACTTCAGGAGAGTTAAATTGTTGGTTCACTGTGGATTTTGCAGCGTTTCTGGCATCATTTATGGCATCTTTTTTGGCTTGGGCAATAAGCATTTGTGATTTGACCCACCCATAGAAAGGGATCAGCCCTATTTCAATGATATGAGCCCGACGATCATCAAACACTCTTTTGGCTGCACTCTTGCCACTTGATTTGGCTTCATTGACTATATTTGGGACGACATCAGCTTTTGCCTGTGCCAGAACTCCCTGAATACAGACGTAAATTCTTAAAAAAAAAAGCTTGGGTATTGATATTCATCAGTAACTATTAATGACGAGCTTGAGCAAATACGACAAAAACGACTGCGAAGATGTGCAAAAAGATGTAGCCTAAATTGACCAACTTACAAAGCTTTAGATAATACTATATAGATAGTGCCGCCTTTGTGCCAATATTATGGTTGTTGTAAAAAATCACTGCAAAAACTGTTTCCTGCCAGTCTATGCTGAATGCTGATGTCAGATTTATCATCGCTCGATCATAGTTTGGTCAACATGTGATATCCTTATCACTTTTTTAACCTCAAATCGCTATTTTTATAGTATTGTCTGTATGCTTGCCAGCAACTTATCTAGGTCAGTAAGACGCTATGCTGAAAAAAGATCGAGGACGTTTTGAATGGGAATAGAGAGGGAGAGAGCAACATCCCCATAGAATTCATTTAAACTGAACTCCAATGTATCAGCCATTATACATTTTCTCTCTTACCTGTATCAAGTCTCAAGTCTGTTCTGCATTTATTCTACCTTACCTGTTTGATAGGTTGTTTAACGATTGGTAAAACAGCCTGGGTCGCCTTAGTAGTCGCTTCTTTGACAAGAGCTTTGTTTAGGTGCTTCTTTGCTTGTGCTATGATGTAGTCTTTCCATTTAGGAAAATCTTTGTCTAAAACTGCCTGAATTTTTTTCTTGTCACCTGAAGCAGGAATGCTAATAAAAGAAGACATATAAATATCTAACCTCATGTAAACCAGTCTTGTCCGCTAAGTACCAATGCGATTTTTAATCCATCACATTGCTTCGTTTGCTTTTGAGTTTTGAGTCCATCAAATTGCTTCGTTTATCATTTATAGAACTGGGGCGAGGGAAATTTAGGAAAATATTATCCGAGGGCGAAGCCCACGGAAAATATCATCATGCACTTCGGGCGATATATCTCCGAACCTATAGAAGTTCAATAAATAAAAGGAAAGAAAAATCTGAAAAATTATATCATGCACGTGACATACTTGTGCTGTTGTAGGGCACTGCTCTTTTCCCTAAGGTCACACAAGGCCACCATTCCTGTTACAGCGTTCACGATGTGCAGTGTAAAAACGTCGATGTTAGCCTTCCATTTACAGTCATCTGCGCAGTCCTTGGCAATTTTTGACGCTGAATTAAGGTCCTTAAAGCAAACAGTTGACATGTGTGTGAAAATCACAAACGGACATAAACTCACAAACGGACATATTTCTAGCAGTTTCCGACCATGCTAATTTGTACCTTCTCTACGTTGTGCATGATCTGCCAAAACAGAGCGCTCACATGAACACTTTCTTTCTTCCCTTCCACGTCTACTTCAATATTTCCTAAGTCAACATCCTTTGGCAAACCTTTTAATACGTTGTTCCACTCACTAATAATTGCTATAAACGTTAAGAAAAGTTTATCATCACTAACACTTGAGCATAAGACCCGGTCCATGCCCTGTGTATGTTTTGCATATAAGCCATTATATTCTGGCAACGTCACTGATTGGTCATCTCGTAAATAAGCTTAAAATCGTGACTCATAACTTCCTATAAATGCACAAAGGAAACTTCTAGCAGTGGCGACGATTTCTAACAATCTAGCGATTGATTTGCCCAACATAGAAGTCCTAGACCCAGTGAGGCTGTGCCTTCCAGTAATGAAAAGAAAGAAATATGAGAAGGAGGGAGAGAACGCTGGAAACAAAATAACTATGAGGGGAATTAAAATCAACAGCGATTTCCTCATAAAAATAACAAAGATTATTAAAACACGTTATCATGCAACGGGCACAAGATTTACGAAAAATGTGTACTGAAACGAACTGTTGTATGCGAGCCTTCCAAGCAGTCCAGGGACGCCGGGACAGTGGGGAGCAGCTGCCCATTTTCCTTTTACCAGCAGAGGCGAGGGGGGCAAAGATGCCCTTTCGTTCTAAAGGATTACATTCTATATCTGGTAGAAGTGCCACCAACTAGCACCAAAAAAGAAATCCATGCATCTTGGAAAGAGAAAACACGACGATACGAAGTTCAACAGACAATGTTTTGCAAACATTCTTTATTATGTGCAGCTACGGGAGAAACCTCGTACGCAGGAGTACCCTTTAACCAACATTCCCCCCCCTCTTTCAACCCGCAAATCAATTACTACAAATATTTACCTTCCATTTTATCCAGAGCATCTTGAGTTAATTGAAGCGTTTTCTTGGTATCCGGATCAAGAGGGCATTTTTTTATACCGGCCCCCGTATTGGCCTTGATCACATCAATAACCGAGGGGACTCCTAAACCAACGGCCACTATGGCTCCAATCTTCACCACTTTCCATAATATCCCACTACTAGCCGCGCTCTCCTAGAAATACAAGTTAGTCCAGGAGTTATGCGTCACTATTAAACGGCAGAAACTAAATAAATGAGGAAACGCGCTGTGATTTGGCTTAAAAACTTTTTCCACAGGTCTTTGCAATACACAAAACCACAGATTAAGGCGACAAAATAAGCATCCAATCACTTTTGCTCTACATGACAGCCCAAAGAATTGCTTTTTTGCAGTTGCCCCGACTCAAGCATTTTCCTTCAATAAATAGCGAAGCAGACATAGTAAGCAGGATCAACCATAAGAAAACCGAACTTGAATAGGTTTTTTTCTTCTTCAACAATTTTTTTTCGCATTGCAGGAATTGTTTCATGATATTTACAACATCTGTAAAAGTTCGCACACGGCTTGGACATTAAAACTCTACCTTTGTTTTTTGTTTATATAAATTTGATTTTATTAATGTCACTATATATCGGTTCAAAAATTTCCCCAAAGCACTGTGGGAAAACGCAGACCTTCTGAAATGCTGTAGCTACCTCAGTCACTTCTGGTTGACAGATATATCTGCTGCCAGCTTTAAGAAAACGTGAATAAAAATTTAAGTCTATTGAAAACACTAAACCAGAGTGTCGAAACGTTTGGTTGTGAATGCAATATTTGTGTGGTGATTACTTTCATTAATCGGTCAAAACCAGAGTAGCGATAATTGCGATGAATTGAAGATTTAGTCTATATCTGTTTCTATTCATTATTATATAACCAGTTACCTCTGCAGCCGTTTCGGCGGCTGTCTCAGCCGCTGTTTCTGCAGCTGTTTCCGCTCCTGCTTCTGCTGCAGATTCCGCTGCCGCCTCCGCAGCAGTTTCTGCCACAGTCTCTGCTGTGCCTTCTGCAACAGCTTCCGCTGTTGACTCTGCGACAACCTCCGCAGTTGTTTCTGGAAGTTAGAAGATGAAGTACAATATTCAAGCTTAGGAAAGATAGAGTTTCAGGCAGTCATGAAATCATCAGTTACACTCATGTTCAAAGAACTTCTCTTCGTTTGGTAACGGACTGTTACTGTTTTGTGAAAACATAACATTGATCAAATAATAACCGGCGAACATCCATGGTAATTTGAAACACTCTTTACAAATAGGTAATGTCGCAACAATATATTATTGCTGACAATTGCTGACCATTCCGTAAACATTTTTTTTCTTAAACACTAGCGTTTAACCATAGAAAAGAGAACCTTAAATTCTTCAAGGAGTTAACGCATACATGTAAGACATACATATATAAAGTCACGTGATTGATATTTAAGTAGGTATGTAGATATACGCGATCTAAGTGAAAAAAAAGGCGGCGTATATTTCATGCGCAGCAATTGCTAACTTCTGCTCTGTGTGTATTTCGGCAGTAAGAAGCACATTTTTCTAACACATGTTTTGAAGAAATAATAAAAAGTTAACAAATGTTTAAACCACTGTTCATTTTCCTCGATACCAAAGTGAAACCAGTGGTCGCACAGATCAAATTGCTATTTATTCTTCATCAATATCGCTTTTTTGCTGCCTGCCTTTTCTCAAAAAATTTTAGAAACGACTTGTCTTCCTGAAATTCATCAGACATTTTGGAATTAAACATGCAGAAGTGAAGATCTAAAGTTGCCGTTTAAGATATCCGGCAGAAATTTTTCCCCAGTGCTTGTGGAAGGTTTCAAAGAGCCTGGAACGAGGCTGAGAAGTGAGAACTCCTAGTAATTAAAAAACGTAAGCTTTTCAGACGTAATTCGACTTTGACATTTGATAATGTAAACTACTGGAAAACCACGATCATTTGACCATCACCTGACCATCACCTGACCATCAATGACGATCATGCATAAACAGAACACTCAAGCCACACTAAAATTTTAAAACCTGAATATCCACTTCAAAAAAGTTAAACTTGACGCATGTACTGACCGCAACATATTCAAAGTTTCGAACACAACCAGTATATATTTGAACAAATCACAGTGATTAAATATACAATCGTTAACATATAAGCCTGTACACGTGATCACAAGACATATTTTAATTAGATTCCAGTTTGGGTCTCAACTCTCAAACTTTAATGTTTAACAGCGAAACCTCTTAATAATACTTGCAAATTTCCCCAAAAGTTTCAGTTTTTTTAGCTGTGTGGTTGTCACTCGTCATGTTCATGTCCTCAATCTAAATTACGGTCCCTATATTCAGTGGCGTAGCCAGCCTGACGATTTAGTCATGCTATGCAAATTTTATGTTATCATTATTCTTTAGAAATTGATTGTTTTCACAGTCAATGAACACCAAAATATTAGCACAGCAATACTAAATTGAAGGGCTGGCTACGCCACTATCTATATTACATACAAACTTTACCCGCAACAGTCTCTGCAACTGTTTCTGCTATCGTCTCCGCCGCCATTTCTGCGACTGTCACTGCTGCAGCCGCTGCCATCTTTACACAGAAACAAATTAATTACTCAAGACAAAATTATGCGATGATAATTCCACAGGGTGATCACAGAATCTTAGAAGTCTAGAAATCCGTGCGATATCTTGAGGATTATGCGACACCTGCATAGAAACCGGAAACTTTACCAGAGGTGTGAGAACTATCCCGAAATGCAACAGCGCTATTCGTGTGATACTTAATGGACACAATTAGTTCCCGTAAATATCCGTAAATATTTGAGTGTAGTTCCCATATAGTTGATAGTTCCTATTTGAGTATAATTCCCATTTGAGATATTTGAGATATCAGAAAAGCGAGACATTATTTAGAAGGCAGCAACCTAATTACTACGCAAATTCCAACAATAGCTTCATTTCAATACAAAGTACTAGCCGGTGTATATAAAAACTGTGAACCCTTTTGAAATCAAATATTTGCATTTTTCAACTGTAATTGATTCCACGAATTGATTTCATACTAATTCCGGAAGTAGAGATACCCATATAAGGAAAAGAGACGCACTGAGTAGGTCACGCGGTATAAGCGTATATGATCTGCTTTTGCTTGCATGGGTGTGCAGCGACAAGTCAGATCATAGTCAAACTGAATAGTTCGGCTAACACTAATTGTTTCAGTTTCGCCTAGATAGTTAAGCGTTGAACGTTCTGAAAAAGCACAGGCAAAAGCAACACGCAATGGCAACTGTTATAGTGGAAGAGGTGGTGGAAGAAATTGTCGAAGAAGTTGTCGAAAATACCGTTGAAGATGTGGTCGAAACTACAGTAGAAGATACCGTTGAAGAAGCAGTCGAAGATTCTGTTGAAGAGACAGTAGAATCTGTGAGTGCTAAAAAAGCATTTATTTATTGCAACTTAATACTTTGGTTTTCTGAGACTAATGTGGTTTTCTGAGAAGGATTCCAATCAGGAATTATTCAGAAATGACGATGATATTTTCAAGGGATATGAAAATAAAAAATATTTCTGTTTTGTTGAAAAGAAAATTTACACCTCTTATAAAGGCTTTTTACAAAATTTGTTTATCTTCCTTACTTCGCAAGATATTGGCGATCAAAAACATCGGCTCATCTTGTTTTATAATGAGATCTAATTCGCACTCTAATTAAAGACCCAGCCTCGTACCCAGGCGCTTCAAATAACTAATTATAATCAGAATTATAATATAGCTACTCAATGTATATGAGCTATTCCGCAATCTGATGGATCGGAATCGTGGTGTACCTACAAGCTATAATTTGATATCATATTATTCGATATACCATACCTGAATTTCAGATTGAAAAACAAGCATCACAAGCCGTAACGCGTAAAGAGCAAAGCGCAAACAACAAATATACCATATTCTTCCTATGGCTATTTTAATCTTTCCAGTGAATTCAAAACAACATTGTAACATGTCATTGCTTGCAGAACGGGTGAGCTGCTTCAAAACATGTGCTGACAAAAGGTCAACAAGCATCGGATGTCATGTCATGCTGGGATTTCATAATACAATCGCGCGACAAAAACATGCATTTTTCCCCTTAAACCTCTCGTTTCTCTCTGAGACTCTCTCTACGTATTATTACATTCATAAAATATACGCGCGGTTTTTTACACCTTAGACATTGGTCATTGTGCTATCTAGTGTTGCAAACACTAGTTTTGGAAGAAATAAAAAAGTCGTATTTGAAATGTGTATGTGACCGTATTTATCTACGTCACAGTTTTGTTTCCCAAAAGTTGTGGTGCACAGCTTTGTCTAATTTTCCGATGCCCGATTCGATTTCGCTCGCATCAGTACGGCCATTCCTCGAAGAGGAACAAATAAACCGTTCTTTTGATGCTGTTTGATTAAGTTTAGATTGAATTGGGGTAAGAATATATTTAATACATGTAGATTCTGGTCCTATTTTGATATCGCTGCTATTTTGCCGTTTAACATGATGTGGTCGTGTATGGGCGCGTTGACATGTCGCAGTTTGCACAGGATTGATGCAGCTCGTACCCAGGCGCTTTAATAGTAAAATATATAACGTTGCATTCAGTTATTGTTATCCGTGTTTCAAGCGTTGTAGCATCGTTTTAACATGCGCAATGTTGAAATATACGCGCAGATTTGAAAAGACAGGGTCTTTGTGGTCATTTTGGTGGGAAAATTATAAAATTTAGCGCAATTCCGGCGGTGTCATTTCGAGGTTGAAACTATTGTTATTGTACCAATGATCGCGATGTTCCTTTTATTTGGCATTGGATGCTTGTGGTGTTATTCTTATTTATGATTCTTCTGTCGTTGATGCCCGGTGAACGAGGAGAGATATGAAAAAGGGAACCATCAACAGTCATCGGGAGATCCTTTTTTTGAGGCATCAATAAACAAATATAAAGTCCGCAAGTTTGATTTATTCACCCTCATTTAGTTTGTAAATAAGGCTAATGATCGAAACACTTGCCAGTTTCCAGCAAATTCTGCATTCGTTTATTTATATATAACTTGTTTGGTATATCTTGATGAACCATTGAGAATCTGTGCATATGATAATTGTATATGTTTCCCTATAATTGTGTAATTTGTCTATACAGCATAGTGACATGATTTTGCCTTAAACTGAAAAACCCCAAGTGCCCCGTCAGCCATCAGTTCGTCGCATGATCTTTATTCATCGTCAGTCTCTGGATATCATACATAGTGAACTTTAACTTTATTTTTGCTTTTATCCCTCGAAATAATCTAAAAAATCCACAGAAATTTATGAACAACCGCGTCATACAAGTATTTTATTTATACTGACATATATATTCAGACTAATTTGCAAATGAAGTGCGCAACATAAATAACACGTAACTAACCTCTATGGGATAAAACATTTTCTTGTCTACGTATTCAATATGCAAAGATTAACTTTCACGACCCAACGTTTCGACACTCCGGTCTAGTGTCTTTATCTGGGGTGATCTGATTTTGAAACTCAGTTCCTTATATGCTCTCAAAATGACGTCATATATCAACGTCATACCTGGTTGCCGTGAACTCATTAACTTTAACGTGTCGCTTAATACCTCTGGACAAGAACCCTGGTGTCAGACCGATTGGGATTGGAGAGGTTCTACGACGGATAATTGGAAAATCAATTGTCTTTGCCATCAAACCACAAATCATGGATAGCGCAGGAGAAAAAGAAACAGACGCTGTCTTACTGGTAGATGCCACCAATGCGTTCAATTCCATCAACCGCAAGATCATGTTACATAACATTCAGTACATTTGTCCCTGTTATGTAACAGCTTCAAGATTGTTCGTGCAAGGTGGTAAAGAAATTACATCAGCTGAAGGTACCACGCAAGGTGATCCGTTAGCCATGCCGTTATACGCCGTCGTCATTACTCCACTCCTGCTCATGATTAAATCTGATGAAGCTAGTAATGTAAGGGATGTTGCGTACGCGGATGACCTTAGTGGAGCAGGTAAGCTAATGCAACTGCGTGCCTGGTGGGAGAGGATTGCCGTGTATGGTCCGAGTCTTGGTTACTACCCGCGAGCTGATAAATCCTGGTTGATTGTGAAGCCACACCTGGAGCAGACTGCCATTGAGATCTTCGCTGGAACTAATGTACAAATTTCAAGTGAAGGGCATGAGCACCTTGGAGGATATCTTGGATCGGATGACGGAAAAGATAAGTATATTAGTTCTTTAGTTAGTAAATGGTGCCAGCAACTTCACGTTTTGAGTGAAATTGCCAAATTCCAACCCCAAGCAGCATACACGGCGTTTGTCTCAGGTTTTCGGCACAGATTTACTTACCACATTCGTGCCGTTCCAGGTATCAAGACCGCGATGCAGCTTGTTGACGACACCATCAACCTGAAGCTCCTTCCTGCACTCCTCGATAACCGTAGCTTGTCCATCCATGAGCGACAATTGGTTTCGCTTCCAGCTCGTATGGGAGGTCTTGGTATTCCGATCTTTAACGACATCTGTGATGAAGAGCATTTGAACTCCACAACCATCTGTCATCTTCTCTCAAGTAGAATCATCCACCAGAATGGTACACTATCAGCAGAACATGGAGATTCCATCAACGATCTTCACCGTGAGATTGCAAAACAACGTCAAGCAAGGAACTCGTTGCTGCTGCAGAACTTGAGATCGAGCATGAGTGAAGAGCAGATTCAAGCAAGTGACCTCGCCCAGTTGAAATGATCCTCAGCTTGGCTAACTGCTCTGCCACTTGCTGATGAGGGCTACATCTTGAATAAGCGTGAGTTCTTTGATGCAATCTACATGCGTTATCGATGGCCTTTGAAACGCCTTCCGTCTTTCTGCGCTTGTGGAAAATCGTTCACGGTAGATCATGCCCTGTCGTGCCTGAAGGGAGGTTTTATCCATCGAAGACATAATGATATCCGTGATCTACTTGCTGCTGCTATCGGTGACGTTGCTTACGATGTTTCAATTGAACCTGCTCTTGCTCCTTTGACTGGCGAGGTTCTTCCATCCAGTGCTAACTCAACCGATGACGCCAGAGTGGACATTGCTGCGAGAGGTTTCTGGCAGAGATGTGAAAAGGTATTTTTTGATGTAAGGGTGTTTAACCCATACGCCTTTCCACATCGACGCCAGACGTTGAGCAGCTCGTTAAAAGCCAACAAACGGGAAAAGAAGCGACATTACAACCAACGGATTGTTGAGGTCGAGCATGGCTCCTTCACACCGGTCGTCTTCAGCGCCTTTGGCAGATGCGGAGAGACCCAACATTTTCTCTCCTTCCTGGGTGCGAAGCTGGCTGACAAGAAGAATCATTCTCCATCTATGGTGGTTAGCTGGTTACGACGAAAGATCGCTTTTGCTTTGCTTAGAGCTCGCGTGGTGTGTGTTCGTGGCAGTCGAAGTTGGAGGACTGCGTCCATCACATCAACTAATGACATTACGTTGTCGGAATGGAACTCCAACATTAGCGAGTAGTCTAGTTAAGTTGTTTTTGTAAATAGTCTGTAGAACTATTATACTTAGTTTTAATGCATGATTGATTATTGTAAGTTTCCCCAGTACTAGTAATGTGAATAAATTATACGAGTATATTCGCATGTTGCTGTCTTTTCGATTACTTGCCTCACAACCATCTACGTTTTTTTCTGTTAAAAAAACTGAAGAGGAAAGGTGGATATGTCTAAAAAGATAACAAGCCACCATCATACACGTTTCTACACCAGTTTTTGATAGGTTGTATGTATCAGCATGGATAATAAAATCACGGATTTTCAACAAGGTTAAAATGCTGACGCCATGAGTTTCCTATCCAGTCTTTTAACTATCCATGGTATCAGGTTCATTTTTGCAAGAATTACTTATACAGGTTGCATGATTAAAAAAAAGTAAACTCCTTGAAAAAGTATACCCTAAAGATGCGCGTGAGATTCGCAAAAACTTTTAGCAAACCCAAGTAATTTGAAGTTCTATGTGACAGCTAGCATTAAAATTTATTCAAATCCTAGCTTTTTCCTTTGCAGGAAAGTTGTTTTAAAAGCATTTATATTAACAGCATTTATTTACAAAATTATTTCAAGAGAGCTTTGAGAGAATACTTCACGGAATAAATTTTTGAACCTTTGAAAACTGACAATTATACCTTTTCTAGCAACGGCTGAATATGCATATATATTTATATATATTATGTAATATCTTATATTTAGACAGTTGAAACTTCTGTTGAAAATGCAGTCGAAAATGCGGTTGATGACGCATTGGATGATATAGTAGAAGGCAGTGTAGAAGAAGCAGTAAGTTCCTCGATAGGGAAAACGATCGTCAAAATCATCGTCGGTAGGTATAATAATTACACGTCGTTGAAACCAAATCCCAAACTATTTCAAAGTTTTTGGAATTTTTAGAGATAGCTAGTGCATTTTGAAGGTTGTATACACAGTGTTAAAACAACTAAAGAATCAGACTGAAGTGTGATTTCTGTAGTTGTTTTAACACAGACGTTACACAGTGTGCTCCACAGTTTTAAAGTCTATGTACATCTTAATTGTTCTTATAACACATTCGCACGAGTGCGTTATTTCCAAATTACTATGCCTGTATGCTCTTGATTGATCACCCTCTCCTGTGCAATGATTTTTTAAAGTTTTTAATAATGTCATGACTATTTTCGATATAGTCCCCACTAACATTAAGTGATAGGTAGGTGACTAAATGTTTGGTTACTGAGAGAATGTATATAGTTCACTGACTGACTGACCTTATGCGAATAGTCAGGCCTAGCGAGGGGTGCATGTGTGGGTGGTGGGGTCAGCCAGGTGTTTGACCGACGGGCTAAAAAAGGATATTTGAAGGGCTTGCATAGTTTGACTATATATCTGTAAAAGATGGCATAATTACCTACTTTCAAAATTAATATTCCGTTTGATGGTCAGCAGTGTGCCGCCGTGAACGTGACCAAATAAAAAACACGATACTTTCTGAAATTAGCATTGTTTATTAATACGTAGTTATCATATGTATAATTATCCCATGTGGTTCTTTGTAACTCCCAAATTCTTCTGAGAGCTACGCTGCTTTGGTGTGCCGTTAACGCCACAAATTGAACTCCACTAAATTCGCTAACCACGATGATAGGATAACACGTGCGCGGATAATGGTTATAAAATGTATCTTTAATGATAAAGTTTATAATACTGTGCGGTTGAAGGTGTATGGTAACTGATCAATCCGGTAACGGAATATTGAATAGAGTGATCGCGGAATAGAAATATAGTGGGTAACGTTCGAACTAAAAATACAAGAATTAAACCGCACTAAGTCATGCAATCTAGGCAAATTAAATACTATAACAGGCATGCACTAAATACGAATAAATCAACTAACGTAGCTACATATGTTTACAAACTATAATAACACAAAGATAGAGTCTTACTTTAGTTGGCGCACACACCAAACTGCTGCTGAATACCGTCGATAGAGTTCGAACATAAACGTAAATAACCAATTGTAGAGTAGAGTGACCATACTCTAGTTGACAGTGATATACAATACAATGAAACATTAAACTGTGTGCAGCTGCGCGTGTAGTCGCAGGAAGTAACAAAACGGAAATTAACGACATACGATAACAATAACAAAGTTAGGGTTTCAAACCAACATACCGGCCCCTTAAAGGCGGTACTACGAGCCTTTACAATACCGTTTTTTAAATGGTTTGAAACACGAAATAATGTCAATAACTAAATAAGTAAATGAATAAAGCGTTAGTTTTAATAACAATGTTTATCACGATCTCATACCAACATCAGGCGGCTTCTTCTAGGAGGACGATCTTGTCTACAGGCCTCACCAACTCGTTGCTGCTTGTCTTCAGTTTCACGGATCGTACCAGTCCGTCACGCTTGTTGCGGTACACTTCCAACACCCGAGCTAAGGGCCATACTCCTCTTGGTTTGCTGTCGTCTAGCACCATAACGATGTCGTTGACTGCCACGTTCCTCTTCGAAGCGTTCCACTTTTGTCTTTTCTGCAGTAAGGGGAGATACTCCCTTACCCAACGTCTCCAGAACAGGTTGCACAGATATTGCACTTGACGCCATCTCCTTCGGTTCTGATTGTCTTCCTTTCCAAAAACACCGGGTGGAAGGGCGGGTTGGTGACGTAATAGAAGCAAGTGGTTTGGGGTGAGTGGTTCTTCGTCCCGTGGATCATCTGACAGCTTCGTGATCGGTCTGCTGTTCACCACGGACTCTACCTCGCAGAACAACGTGTTGAGGCTCTCGTCGTGAAGCACTTGTTCCGTCATCAGCGCCTTCATGACCTTCCTTACGGTTCTTATGCACCTCTCCCACACTCCACCAAAGTGAGATCCAGCGGGTGGGTTGAAGGTCCACTTGACATTTCGTTGAAGCAGGAAGTCGTGGATCTGTTCTTGATTCCATTCGTCAATGGCTTGTCTTAGCACTCGTTCACCCTTGACGAAGTTTCCTCCGTTGTCCGAGCGGATCTCCATAGGTTGACCTCGCCTTGCCACGAATCGTCGGAGAGCATCAATGAAAGAGTCGGTGTCCAACGTGTGGGCCACTTCTAGATGGATCGCTCGTGTTGTCATACAAGTGAAGAGCACTCCGTACCGCTTGACACGACTTCTCGCACGTTTTACTTCGAACGGTCCGAAGCAGTCGACGCCTGTATACGTAAACGGTGGCAGCGAGGGCGTTACCCGGTCTTCTGGCAGGTCGGCCATCTTTTGATTGCATACTGTTGACTGACGTTTCTTACAGCTGAGGCACTTGCCGATGACCTTCTTCACGGCTGATCTTCCGTCTACGATCCAATACCTTTCTCTGATGAGGGAAAGCGTGTGCTCGACGCCGGAATGACCCGCGATGTGGTGGTAATGGTTTACAAGGAGTCCAATAACATGGTGGTCTTTCGGGAGGATGATAGGGTGTTTAGCGTTGTCGTTTATTGGTGCTCTCCGCAGTCTTCCGCCGACACGTACCAACCCATTCTTTAATACTGGATCCAGCTGGAACACGCGGCTCGATTTCTTAACCGTTACGTTCTTGCGATCTTTATCGCTACTTTGGTTTATTCTTTCTAGGCATTCTCGTTCTTCGCTGAAACATTCTTGCTGCACATGTCGAATTATTTCCTTCTCAGCGTTGACCATTTCGGACACGGAAATAGGCGTGATGGACGTTGAAAACCCGATCGCTTCAGCAGGATTTAACTTCTTCTGGATGACGCGACGTTTCAGGATCGCCTGGTAGCGCAAAACCAGCGCTAGGACCTTTTTCAGCCGACTCCAAGAAGAGAAATGCTTGACTAACTCTGCAAGTGGATGTAGATTAGAAATTTTGTTCGTGTACGTGGCGGATTGTCGCTTGACCTCGGGGTCGTTGTCTCCAATGACCAAGCTCAGATCACTGGGTGGCTGTGGCCAAGCGGCCCTTGGCTTGCTCAGGAAATCCGGCCCCTGTATCCATCGCTGGAGTTGTGTCGCTGGCACGCCACGAGATGCGTCGTCGGCTGGATTGGCAAGGGTGTTGACGTAATGCCACTGGAAAGTAGAAGATGCATCAAGTATCGTAGAAATTCTATTGGAAACGAAGGTCTGAAATCGTTTATCTTTGTTCTGTAGGTAGCGTAGGACACACGTGCTGTCGGTCCAGAAGAACGTGTCGTTCACTTCGAGCGTGAGTTCTCCCCGACAGATCTTCTCCAGTCTCGTGGCTGTAACAGCTGCTGAAAGCTCCAGACGAGGTATCGTAACTTGTTTGATTGGCGCTAAACGGGACTTCCCCATTACAAACGAACACTTGATATTGCCGGCTTCATCTTCTACACGTAGGTAGGTGGCGGCTCCATAGCCGTCTTGCGACGCATCAGAGAAATGATGCAGTTGGAACGAACTGATCTTGGCGTCATTGGTAGGCTTGAGACACCGATCTATTTGCACATCCTCGAGCTTCGGCAGTTCCTTCAACCACGATTGCCAGCGGGCCAGGTGTTCGTCCGGGATTGGGTCGTCCCAACGGAGCTTCAAGCGGCATAAGTCCTGCAGGATTTGTTTCGCCTTAAGGACAAACGGAGCGACAAATCCCAGCGGATCGAAAACGGAACTGACCACCGACAAAATGCCTCGTCTGGTTGCGGGACGGTCTTTCACTACAATACTGAAACCGAATTTGTCTGATGATACGTTCCAGCGAACACCCAGGGCTCTCTGAATAGGAGATTTGTCCAAGTTCATGTCCTTGACTTGCTCCGATCTTTCTGATTCTGGTAGTGACTCCAGCACGGCTTTAGAGTTGGACGTCCACTTCGTTAATCTGAATCCTCCCCTTGCCAACAATTCCCGCAGTTGGTTTGCCAATCTCACCGCTTCCGGATCTGTTGGAATGGACTTCAAGCAGTCATCAACGTAGAAATTTCTTTCGACAGTTTCGGTTGTTTCTGGGTCGAATTCGGCCTTGTTATCTTGGGCGGTTCTCCGCAGGGCAAAGTTTGCGCAGCTGGGCGATGAGGCACCTCCGAATAGGTGTACGTTCATTTCGTACTCCTGCACTGGTTGATCCAGGTCGCCGTCCGGCCACCACAGGAATTTCAGAGCCTTACGATCTTCAGAAGGGACACGGACTTGGTAGAACATGGCCTCGACATCCGACATCATAGCCACGCGCTCCTCGCGAAATCTTGTCAAGACGCCAACAAGCGAGTTGGTAAGGTCCGGCCCCTGTAAGAGCTGGTCGTTGAGAGACGTCTGGTGATACTTGGCTGAGCAGTCGAATACCACTCTCACCTTGTCGGGTTTCTGAGGATGGAACACGGGGTGATGTGGCAGGTACCACGCAATGCTTGACTGGTCGACTTCGCGGTTCTCGACTTTGCTGGCGTAATCATTCTTGATAAGATCGTTCATGAAGCCCTTGTACTTCTCGTGTACTTCTGGTTCTCGTTGAAGACGCTTCTTCAAAAGACTTAGTCGTCTTTCCGCTACCGGTCTGTTGTTTTTGAGTTGCGGCGGATGACTCTTCCATGGCAGCCCGATTTCGTAATGACCCTCCTTCAATTGGACGCTTTCCTCCATGATTTCCAGCGCTCTCTTGTCATTTTGCGACATTGACTGTTTGGCATCGTAGGACGAGTCGTTGAACTCCAAGTTGCAATAGTCCTGGAATTGCTGCTCAAGACGAGCAGTGCTCTGCAAAAAGTTGGACGTAGCTGACGTGTTCTTTCCTCTACCAAGAGGGCCATTGAGTACCCATCCTAGGATGGTCCGAGTCGCGAAAGGTCCTCCGCTCTCACTTTGTCGTACTTCCATTGGTTGTATTGCTTCGGGGACGTCGCTTCCGATAAGCAGGCCGATTTCGGCGTCGATCTCTGGCAAGGATAATCCTTCAAGATGTGGCCAGCGGTTTACATCTTCCTGGTTACTGATGGCGTCGCGGGAGATTGGTAGAGATGGTCGTGAATACACCACTGGCATATTAACGGGCTGTGCTGCTGAATCCAGTGAAGACACTTCAAGACTCACCTGGGAGCACTGCACGAGCGAGTTTTTACCTTGTATTGTCGTCAGCGACAGACTCGTCTTGCGGCCTTGAAGGTCGAGTTGGTCGAGCAGGGCTTCGGTGCAGAATGATGTATTCGAGCCCGAATCCAAGAATGCATACGTTTCCACCGTCTTAGATGCACCATGGCCAGATGCCTTGACGCGAACAGGAACGATGGCCAGCGCTGTCACAGAATCGTATCTTGGCGCGTTGGGTTTGGTCGACATTCGAACGTACAAACTATCGGCTTGTGTAGGGTTTTCGTCTGCTGGTGTACTGTTTCCGTTGGCTACGCTCTCTTGACTGGTTTCTACGTCTACAGGGGGTGTTGCATCAGCATCGTCTTCGGGCGTCTTCTCGGACCTCGGATGCAGAAACGTCGAGTGCTTTGTTTCACATTCTGGCACCTTGCAGTAACTGGGTTTGGGACACGCATTAACAAAATGTCCTGGCAGTAGACAGTTGAGCACAGTTTGCTGTTTCTGACTACTTGTCTTCTTTCGGCCAACGATTGCTTCCGGAACTTTTCGCAGCGTGACAGCCAGTGGGCCATCTTACACAGTGGGCACCACTTTTCTCTGGCTTCGGTCGAGGTTTGCTCGCCCCCTTGCGTTGCGAAACCGTTGGCACTACGGCGTGGTCGTTGATTTCCTGGGCCGGTGATTTTGTCTGACGCTCTTTCAAGTTTACCGAACACAGGATGGCTGGCTGCTCTGGCCTTCATCGTCACGAAATCTGTTAGGTCCTTGACTGTCACGTCTCTTTCTTCTTTTTCCACAATACGGTCCACCGCGTCTCGCCATTTCGCGCGAAGTGGGTACGGCAGGCGATCGACGATTTTCTTTAGGTTTTCTGGATTGTCCAGTTTCCCTATGTAACCAATTTCCTTCAATGTGTTGGTGCAACTCACCAGCTGGATGGAGAATCTCTGCAGCTCCTCGCCGTCCTCTGTTCTGATGGGGGCCCCGTTGATGAGTTTCTGTACGTGCGCGGCGGCGATCTTGTATTTCTGACCGTATCGCTCCTTAAGCAAGCGTCGCGCTTCTCTATATCCCTCCTCTGGCTGCATGGACAGACAACTTCGCATCAATTCCTGCACGCTTCCGGAAGTGTGCTGCACTAAAAGGTAGAGTCTTGCGCTGGGGTCGTTTGCCTTGCGCTCTACCAGATGTTCAAACGCACGCACAAAGTCGCAGTAACCTAGGGGATCGCCGTTAAACGTCTGTAAACTGGGTCGTGGTAAGGTGAGCGCCATTACGCTTTCTTGTTGCTGTTGGACTAGCTGCTGTAGCACCCCATTCTGACGTTCTTGCGTTGTCATTAGCGCTTGGAACGATTCCTCGCGAAACTTATCCAATTGAGAAAGGTCGTTGACGTACGAGCGTTCGTAGCCCTGCGGCGTTACGGCGCGCCATTCGGGGGCTTCAGGGTTGAGTGTTTGACGTGCAGACATGTCTACGGCAGCGGGCTTAGCTTCGGGACTTGAAGAAACCTTTGGGGCATTCTCGAGTCGTTGGTCGGTGAGATTTAACTTGCGCTGGACCGGTGGCGAACTATGCAAAACACTTTTGCCGTTACGACTGCGTATTTCCTCGATTTCGCTTTCTTCGTAGGCTCTTTGTTCAGCTTCAGCGACCGCTAACTCAGTCCTAAGTTCGAGTTTGGCTTTTCTTTGATTTAGTTTAAGCTCTTCGAGTTCGAGCTCTTGCCTTTCTTGGATAGACGCAGCTTTAGCTTCAAGCGCTGCTATCTTGGCTGCCGCTCTTGCTTTCGCGCTTGCTGAGCTTCTTGTCGAGCTGGTCTTAGACTTAGCGCGCGAGGAGGTATACGATGCCACGTTGCTAGCTGAGTCTTCCGGATGTACGATTACGTCAATGCATTGTTGTTTGAGCCACGATTGCATTTGTGTTTCTATGGCGCGCACTTGTTCTAACACGGTATGAAAATAGCTGGCAGACTGATCCAAATCGTCTTCATTCGTTAATTGTTTGTTGTATGCCTCATGAGCAGCCTTAAATTCGCTTGTAGCATGTTGTAATTCTATTGACATTTCCTTGACAACGTCAACACTGTCGCTTGAAAGCATCGACTCCGAAATCCGATTCACTTTGCGCGTTACGTTGGCCTTTGCGCTGCTACGAGCCTTCTTTAGGTCGTCGATTGCTATAGATTGTTCCATTGCGAGTTGAAGGTTCGCGATAGACAATGTTTATTGGCCGAGGTCGCGTTTATCGCCGCGCCGTGATGAGATTTGAACCAGATGGTTTACAACGCGCCGCACACAAGGCTAGCGGGATACTATTACTGTTGAAGCACAATAGAGCGTTGATTCTGACGATGCAAACGAGTAGAATTCGAACTAAATTCGAACTAATGTAACTCCCAAATTCTTCTGAGAGCTACGCTGCTTTGGTGTGCCGTTAACGCCACAAATTGAACTCCACTAAATTCGCTAACCACGATGATAGGATAACACGTGCGCGGATAATGGTTATAAAATGTATCTTTAATGATAAAGTTTATAATACTGTGCGGTTGAAGGTGTATGGTAACTGATCAATCGGTAACTGGAATATTGAATAGAGTGATCGCGAATAGAATATAGTGGGTAACGTTCGAACTAAAAATACAAGAATTAAACCGCACTAAGTCATGCAATCTAGGCAAATTAAATACTATAACAGGCATGCACTAAATACGAATAAATCAACTAACGTAGCTACATATGTTTACAAACTATAATAACACAAAGATAGAGTCTTACTTTAGTTGGCGCACACACCAAACTGCTGCTGAATACCGTCGATAGAGTTCGAACATGAACGTAAATAATCAATTGTAGAGTAGAGTGACCATACTCTAGTTGACAGTGATATACAATACAATGAAACATTAAACTGTGTGCAGCTGCGCGTGTAGTCGCAGGAAGTAACAAAACGGAAATTAACGACATACGATAACGATAACAAAGTTAGGGTTTCAAACCTACAGTTCTTAGCGATAACACTTTTAAAACTATACATGCGAAATGCCAAAATACAATAGGTTGATTGATATATAATGCTATTTTCATATTATCTTTTGGACACTCCAGCAGGTTTGAATTAACATGCTAATTCGGGTATTTGGTGTGTTTAATATCCTAATATTAGTTGATTTTAAAACAGCGGGCTAAAACTACGATTACAAATAGTTCAGCAAAAACGTCTTGCTACATATAGAAGTTCTAATTCTCCACAATATCGAACTACTTCGTGGTATATTTATAAAAATATATTTGTCGTAACTTTGTGTGTATTTTGCCCAGGTCTCATCGCGGCTGTTGTCGTAATTTCTCCCATCATTGATCTAATAAAAGCTGCCACTGGTGTCGGTAAGAAAAAATGCCCTCTTGACGAAAAGACGAAGAGCAAGGTAAGAATTAGGATCATAAAAACAATAGAAGAATTGTATGGTATATATAATCGTACTTAGCCCAAGATATCCTAGTATAGAGAAATTCACACAATACACAATTTCTTCAAACATTCACATTTGTTTGTGATTTCTTTTCTCTGATACTAAGATGACCCGTTCAGAAGGTGTTCTGGACGCTCTTAACGCACTTGTTAAAGCCTGGTTAGAAAAACTGAAAACATATAATAAGGAAGACTCTCTCGGAAAGATTACCTATAAAGGCAAGACTGCAGATGCTGCTGGCGTGGTGTTCAGTCTGTTCAACGACATGAAAGAGGTGAGTCAGTATATTGACTATGCGGGCCGGAATGTGTTTCAAAATAGTCTACGATGTGTCCATGTAGTTGTCGGTATAGCTGTCATTAATTGTTATAATGAGCTATTGAGTTATGGCGCTCTTACTTAGTTTTCTAAGAATTCTGAACCATGCATGTTAGGCATGTTAGGCGTTTTATAACTAAACTATATGCACGAGCATATTGTTTTGAAAATGCCTAATACGAGCATATCTTTTTGAAAATGCCTAATACTCTAGCTGATGCTTTTCCAACAGACTTATACATGCTCAGATGGTAACAAATTTCCTTAGTAAAAATGCAACGTTCAGTCGTTCACATAATACGAAACACCGGAGATAATGTGCTGCAGGGAATGTCGTTTTACAGCGCTTTAATTCATAGCACGTGTTGTCGTGTTTAAAAGCATCATTAATCTTCCGACATGTTTGCACATGGACGCCTAGAGTATTTCGAATTCCTTACAAAAGGCAATTTGTGGCTCCCGTCTTAAAAATTTTTCTGCAGGTGCATGGTCAAAGCGAATCCTGAAATATTTGGTGCTGAATACAGTATATAATCGATCGGGAGACATTATGTCCAATCACGTCTATAATGTATACCTAAGTTCATTGATGGTTTGGTAGGCTATACTTTAACTTCATCATTCAAAAACAAACGGCGCGCGCGCTTGGTAGTAATTAGAGAATCAAAATAGGAAACGGTTGTTTCTCCAACTCAAAGTCTTGCAGAAGAAAAACAACAGCTACATGGTGATTAATCGAGCATTAATTTAGGCCGGAGAGATTAACGGTTCCAAATGTATATAGCTTTTTGTCCATCATTTCTACCAAACGATGCGCAAGTGGATTGGTTCCGAATAGCAATAGCATATGATGTGGTAGAGAGTTTCATAACTCATTAATTGTATAACGAGTGATGACTTTATAGTGAAGACCATTTAGCTTTCAACAACACATGGGAAACCTAGCTTTATTTGGTCTCGATGTAATCACAGTTATGTAATGCCGGTAACCAACTCATTCTCAAAGATACAAGTCCTGTATATCGTTCGATTTTCTGGTTTCTCTTAAAAGTTAAAAAATCAACTAATTAACATAGTTGGGTACTAATAGAAAATGTCTGTCTGTCAACAGAAAATCAGTATCCATCGGTAACTGCAAATCAAAATATAGTTATGGTAAACAATTCATGACAAATGAAATTAGTTTTGCAATTTTGTCCCATGTTATGTAGCATGTTTTGCAAGTTTTCATTTTTCTTGGATATTTGCAGGAGCTCAAGAAAGCTTCCCGAATTGCTGACGAGTGCAAAGAAAACTGCGAATGGGAAGCAAACATTGACCAATTCGAACTTGATGTAATCCAGGCAGCCTACAATGTGAATGCCATTTTTATTGCCAAAGATTTGGGTTCTGTGATGAAGCAGAAAAATTTCCCTCCAGAAGCGGATCGTCAAAAGATGACAGATGCGTTTAATAAGTACTACAATGAGGACTGGAAGATGATGATCAAATTGAATGTGAGTATAGTCTATAGAATTTCCAGAATACCACACGCTATAATCCTATATTTAAATTATTATTCATAATTCATCAGTTCCCTGCAACCATGCAGATATATAAGATATTACACGGTTGCGAGTAGATATGAGATATTGTTTTTGCCACAAGAACATAAAATCCATATTTTCGAGCGAACCGTGTATATAAATATAATGTTCTGTTTATTATATGGACTAAATTCAGAGTGACAAAAATGCACACAAAGACGACAAGTAAATAGGCCGCGAAAGACCATCATAAAAGCGAATATTTTTTAAATTATGGCTATATATAGCCTAAACATTAAAGTAGAATAAATTTTACTTATCTCAATATGTCTTTTAAGACTTAAGTGTTTTCGTATAAGAAGAATTAAATCTATTCACGCCATGCAGTCTTTCGAGTATGCTTGTTTATGACGCACCTAGCTAGTCAGCTTGATAAATTGTTCTTTATGAAATAAAGGTACTTAACAAAGTACTTGCTCGGAGGCAAGTCAGAATGTAAATTTTATTTGTATTTGATACACGCTTTTTTATTTGTTTGTTTCATTTTTATGTGCAATCACAGTCCCTTAAAGGTCAAGATATTGCAGGTTTTTAATTTTTAAAGTGGTCGAAGAATCGAAAATTGGTCTACTACCAACCTTTACTAAAGACCATGTTACACGGTGCAATTTTTCTTGCAACTTGCAGCGAAATTCTACTTCTATAAAAGATGTAAATTAGTAAAGAATTGCATTGCAAGTTGCAGGAAAAATTGCACTGTGTAACAGGGCCCTCAGACAGAGCTAAAATTTCAGCCTGGTCTTAAGGCCCTGTTTCATTGTGCAATTTTTCTTGCAACTAATTCAGGGACGCCGGAACGATGTGAGGGCAAGGGGGGCAAATTTTGGTGAAAGGGCACTCCTGTAGCGGCGCACTAATAAAGAATGTTTGCAAAACATCGTCAGTTGAACTTCGTATGGTCGTGATTTCTCTTTCCAAGATAATTTCTGTGTCTAAACGATTGTGTTATTCTTGATGCTCGTTTCTGGCACGTCTAATTGGAATAGAGAATGTAATTAATCTTTTAGAATGAAAGGGCATTTTTGCCCCCCTTGCTCCTGCTGGTAAAAGGCAAGGGGGGCAGTTGCCCCTGCTGCCCCCCTGTTCCGGCGTCCCTGAACTAATTGCAATGCAATTCTTCTTTTGAGAGAGGTAAATTTGGCAACTACCGAAGTACCGAACTTTTGTCTTTATTAAAAGTAGAATTGCATTGCAAGCTGCAAGAAAAATTGCACCATGTAACATGGCCTTTACATAGAATAATTCCCACGTGTCATAAATTCAGACCGGGCGGAAACTTTCCATGTAATTGAGAAAATATTTTCGGTCCAGTTAGACGGGCTGAAACTCTAGCCTCAAGGGCTCCCCCCCTCTTTAAGGTCTGGCTACGTCCCTGGGATGCAGTGGCGTATGAGTTCTACGAGTGTTTTTATAATAGTTCTCAGTGAAATACCCCCATCCACATAATAAATATATGTTATTTACCGGCTGGGAGGTCCGGATAGAAAAATATCTTTCCGGGGTATCGAAAATGACCAGAGGGGAAATATTTTTCTATCCGGACCGAACGAAACGGTAAATAACGTATTTATTTTTTACAAAAAGCGGCGTTCGGTCGTTTTATAATTGTGTAGTCAGACTCTGCAGTGGCCACAAAAACATAAAAATCAAAACCTCATTCGTTTAATTTAGCTACTATATATAAAATTCACTTCAATTTATCGTGATATATAATCATTTTGTCCATATATTTAAAATAAAAAAGTCAAAAGTTTGCGAATAAACACGCTTTCGCTGGAGCATAAAATATATAGGATGTTGGACCGTGGTCAGATATCGTAAAATTCCCCCGCTGCTACAGCCAATCAGATTGCAGGAAAGGCTAGGATTTCGCCCGCTGCTGATTGGTAAAATAATAGAATAGATTATTCTTTTTAGTCCAGATCATCTTCATTACGTCATCGTTCTTATCCTTTATTCTTTTTATCCTCATTATCAACATTAGCGTCAGCAGACTATACTCAGCATCTAAGAGTGTTAACAGTCTTTACTGGCTGCAAACGTAACAACACAGTCGCTAAGCGTTCACTCGAGCTAAAGGAGTGTTTTTGCTGGTGCTTGTAGCTGGAGAAAATTTATAACTAGAAACAGAAGACTGGCAGGCACTGCAAAAACAGCGCAGGTTAGCTTACAACGACGCCGCCATCTTTAAGAGGGGAATAGGCAGTCGGGGAATCGATTCTCCACCAACATTTTAGCAAAGTAAATACATATTAACAGTCGTTTAGTTTTGATCGAAAACGCTTATAGATAGTGTACATTTACAAATGCAAATACCACAGCTGATGTTAATAAGCACACTGAAGCAGAAAGTCGCCGAATCAGAGGCCGAAGTTAGCACGAAGAAACAGGAAAGTGAACATGCGACCACGTTTTATTTCGATTGGCCAAAATTTAGATATAGGAGGCCGGCTCAGGCCGCGTATAAGGCTGGATTTCCACTTAGAGAGAAATAGTTCGCTAGCGAAATATTTGCATATTTTATCTTGAATCGAGAACAGTCATGTTGAACTAATTTATTTATGCTGTTAAAATTCTAAAGAAAATATGCCAATTCTTCGCTAGCTAACTATTTCTCTGTAAGTGGAAATCCACCCTAAGCCTTGCGCGAAAAAACAGACCGAAATTAAGACTTTCGCTTTAGTTTAGCTCGAGTAATTAACATATTGCCAGCCTGTAAACGGCAGCCAGTGAACTATAAAATTGCATTACAGAGTAATATGGTTCTTTTCGCGCAAAACGCCTGAACGGCTGAACCAGACATTTAAATTCCCTTTATTTAACATCTACAGGCAAAGAAGAACTTAACAAAAGCTGTTCAGGACGGGGCTAAAAAAGCGGCAACAACAGCAGTTACATCACTCATCAAAAAACCTCTTTCTGACGGAATCAAGTCAGGAATCGAAAACGAAGTCGTTCCTGGAGTAAAGAGTGGGGCCAAAAATGCCGCTCAGGCAGAGGTAAGTTCTCTGTCAAGTGCATATTGCCGGTGGCGGATGTCGACTTTTTTTTAAAAGCGCTGGTTTTTTTTTGGTCGCATCAACCACCTTGACATGTTAACGTTCACGATAATAACGATTCAATGAGGTGGTGGTGGTGGTGTTAGCAAAGGTATAAATAGATGATAGATAAATAGCCTCAAGCATTTCTGTATTTGTAAAAATGTTTAATGCGTATCCTTGGGCCAAAATTGAAACCGCGTCGCTGCATGTCTCTCGCGTCATAGATCTAAAACTCTCTTTTATGAAACCAATGATGGCTTCGGTGTCGGAGGTAGAAGTATGGTATTATGGTGGTGGTATACGGTGGCAGTATTTTTATGTTAGTGTTATACGCTAGATTTCGATTGCCGGAATCTCGTTTTTAAATTTGACTGTTGGAGGACGGGCTTTATTTGAAAGTAACCGTATGTTACTGAAACCGAATGGTCCAAATTTTATAGACAAAAGTGGTCTTTAACGAATGGAATAAGCGGATCAATTTACACGCTGCCATACCAGGTTATGGAATTGCTACGCTTAAGAATTGGATGATGGAAAACATCAAGCCCGAAGCTGTGAAAAAATCCACGGAGAAAGGTGAGTAAAAGTCGCCATAGCAAATTTTAAGAATTTTTTATCACAGCACATATCGTCAAAATAGTATAGTGGAGAGGGAAGCATGATAAAAATGGTCCTAACTGGAAATTGTTAATTTAAAGATGGGGAGTCCCTATGACTTATTTCCAGCATCCACCTCTGCAGTGAGTGAGGTCTGTTGAGAAAATACCATTTATCACTGCACATTTCTCATTTTATCACTGCACATTCTACTTTGATCACTGCACACTAAAATTAGGTATAAAAGTCGCACAGCCAAAACTGCATGGCTACGTTCCAAACTCAGAAAGTTGTTTTTAAAGAGTAAGTATCGTGCCATGCAGTGATCCATTTCTGCGCCCTAATGTTAACAAATAAGGTTCTCCGCAGGAATTGCTATCACCATTAGGCTATACGTAGAACCATGGATAACTAAAAGACTTAGTTAAAAGTGATTTTATTATCCATGGTAGAACGTTGCAGTTTGTCCCACGTTGTGGGAATAGGCCTAAATTCATTAATGTATACTGAATATTTACTGCTGTTCGGGACTTCGGGTGGTGCGAGTTAAAGGTACATACATATAGGTTTTTGAATGAAGCATTACAGAACAATACAGCCAAGAGCTAGGCTAACTTTGCCATGCCCGCGTTCATGCTATTGCTGGCGTAAGCAGCCGAACAGAGTTTATTTAGTAACACCGCCCTGCCTAGCCCTTTACCGGCACTGTGGGCTAAGAGAATATATTTAAGAACCAGACACAGTACTAAAATGCGGTGCCCGCAATGCTTGCCTAGAAATAAAACGTCCGCTCATTTCTAACGACATCACCAACTTACATTCTCCTGTCGGCCGCTGCCTGGTTGGTTGGTACATTAAGGTCAAAATTGCGCCGTTTTAAAATCTTCAGAAATAAGATATTTAGGCTAAAAATACTATCTAAAAATACTATCAAAATGAAGAGAAACGTGAGACGAATAAACTGGTGTAGAGCCGGAAACTAGAAAAGCAACGATACAGAAGTTATCAAGGATTAAGCGTACTGCATTTTTAATTTGTTTAATAATTTTGAGCGATTTGTCATGAAGTTCGCTTATTGAAACCATACTTTAAAACCTTCGAAATAGAATATATTTGGCTCAAAGTACTATAAAATAAATCGTAATGTAAGACCGATCCACTTATTTAAGGACGAAAATTAAAAGAGAAAACCAACGATATGAAAGATATCAAAGACCAAATTTACTATTACTAGTAAAGTATAGCATAGTAATTTTGAGCGATTTGTCAACAATTCAATTTTGTTTGTCTTTCAAACGTCATAAATCGCTGCGAATACTCTTGTTTAGTAATATATTTAAGATCTGTAAGTATAATTTCTTACGCTGAATCGAATGGTGGTATTTTTGTCCTTCTTGGGTGCATAAAAGCAGAGATACACGCAATTATCAGAGTTTGAGATTGGAATTTAAAAAAGATCGTTCCTTTAAAAAAGGAATTTGGCAAACGTACAACAAGATTAATAGTAATAATTAAGAAAAAATTCCAAGCATTCCAAGCATGTGCAAGGAATTTTTACTAGGCGATTAAGGAAACGTATTGATGCGAACAAACAAACTCACAGGCAGAATATAATGCGGTGCCAAACTTGGCGCGGGCACCGCAATCAAAAAAGTTTTTACTGAGCCTGAGGTAATTGGCTGACTGATGTTGTATTTTTTCTTGATTGTAGCTAAGGCTGCTGCAAATGCTATCATGCAGCTTCCTCCTGCACAGATCAAGATTATGAACATTACGTCAACCACCAAGGACCAAGTGTTGCGCCAGTACAAGAACCAGATCAAGAAAACTGCTGACAAGGCGGCTGATGACTACATTCAGAAAGCGCTTGCTGAACACAAGAGTAAATAGGACAACACCCTGAACAGACAATTCTCATGTTTGATTGATTACTAGACCAGCGTTGAAAACCCTTCTTTAGTTAAATAAGAATAATCATTTCCATTTGAAAAACTGAAAAAAATAGAAAACTTAGGTGATGTAGTTAGATTAAATTTTGTGAAAACATAAACGCAAATCATATAATTAATACTGATATACGTAATAATGACCCTGCATTGTTCGATTTACGTTCTCTTTCATTGCTCGATTACGTTACGATCTCCTTCAACATTCTGTTCACGGTATATTTTCGACAACTTGCATGTTGCTGCTTCTATTTGTTGCCCTTTGGCTTATTTGCATCTTCAACTGCTTTCTTGATTTCTTTCTCCACTGCTTCTTTAGCGACCTGCTTGATTTTCTGACTGTACTCTTTCATGACTTCTTTCTTCGCTGCTTCAGATATTTTCGTTGACTTTATCTGCGCTGGTGGAAGCTCAAGTACAGCATTTGCAGCTTGTACAGCTAAATCATAATAAAAATACTGAAAACTGTACTGAAATATTTTTCTTATATACAAACATTATATCATTTATATGCATGTAAAAAATTGCAATAATCTCGTTTAATTATGGAAACTTTATTGAATTACTCTTTATATAGCTATGTAAATCTTCTCACTTGTTTTAAGGTAACCACTTACTATTAAATATAATTGAATTTCTACGCAATAAGAAAAACACTGCGATGAGGAATAATAATTTTTCTATGTAATAATGAACACAGAGTGGACATATACTAGATAGAAAAAATGAACGAAACATTAAAATGCAATTACAGGTTCGCATTTGTCTATTCCTTATTTATTAATAAAATATTTTAATTTGCGCGAGTGAATGTTGTGCAAAAATTCTAATCGAATTAGTGAACAAATTCTACGGTTTGATTCGGTCAAATTTGACATATTATAAGCAGTTACATCAGGGTGCTTATATATAAGGCGGTGCAACGAAAGACCGCGCGCTGATAGACGTGTGATGCGGAAGTAGCCTGAGGCGAGCGTGTTTTTGGTGAAAAATGCGAAAATTTGACATTTTGACAGGTCTTGTTTATCCGATGTGAAAATGCATTTACTGGATATATGACTAAAATATAACTATGGCAATGGGATTTTATATACATTGAATGTTAAAAAAGCGTAATTGAGAGAAGATATATCCCACATTGTTTGTCCTTGTCTTAACAACTTTCATGGATACCAAATTTGAAAGCTGGACTATATTTTCTGTAAAATCGTCGCCACCTTTAACAAAGGTATGTTAAAGTTTTTTATCTGATGAATTATAAATAGCATTTTCCTCAAATCGAAGACATATTCTCTTCATTGAGTTGGCCTTCGTGATTTTCCGAACTTACAACAGCCAATCAGACATTTTCCGATTTTTCCGATGATGACGTTTGTCGAGTAAATTGCATCCCGCCTCTGTTTAACAAAATTTCGATAAAAACATACTTTTTATTTGCAAAATTTAAGCATTTTTAAGTTGTTTTCAAGTCTAAAAATGATTGATAAATTTAGTAAATATATCCAAGGTGTTTTGTAGCGATGGTATTAATGTATGCATTGTATTTTTTGTAGTATACGGTACCCGTTGACCGAAGCGATAAAAATAGATGAGCGAGTCAGAGTGACACCGCTGATCAAGCAAAACTAGTACTTTTAGGCACCAATCCCCCGCATCACACGTCGATCAACAAAAGTACTGGCGTTGCACCGCCCTAAACCCGCCCTATATATAAGCGCCCTGGTTTATAACCTCCAGGCTCCAGCTAAATATAACAAAACTGAAATTTGCAAAATGGCGCTAGCCATTACGTGCAAGTTACTGACAAAAGAGAAGCAAGTTGAAAAAATATAGACCGTAAATACACAAGACGCGACGAAATTGACATTTGAAGCTTTTTCAAGATATATGCACCTTTCCGACTTTTCATTATTCAAATTGAGGAAGCATTCTGCTAACATTTACACTGCCTGATTGCCATAATAGTATAGTAGCAGCAGCACGCAGTAGTAGATAATAATTTAATAAATAGATGTGTAAGTTAATATAGATAAACAAATAAATAAATAATATATATGGGTTACCCCGCACATGCAACGCACAGGATCTTTTACCTTTCGCAGTTGCGTCCTTCTTAGCGGTGGGTGCTACATACTTTTCCATCCAATGCTTCAGTGTTGCGATTCCATAGACAGGAATAGCTGCATGCTTATTGATTTCAGGCATGTAGCTGTTAATAACCACCGTCGTTTCTGCCTTTGCTGCTTGTTTAGCTTCTGCCTTGACTTCAGGAATAATCTCTTTTTCAAAGCCAACTTTAATTTTGGTCTGAAGTGGGTTACTAATCAACTTTTTGACTGCATTGACACCACTTTTTTTAGCAATACTATTGACTGCTGAGTTGAGATGGCGTTTTAACTATATTAAACCATATAAAGCAGTTTATATAATAACTACTACCAGACACGCAATCTGATTGGTTAATACAGCTGTGCAGAATGGGCAATCCTGCGCGAGGAATTTTACCTTCGCGTGGGCTTTAAAAAAAAGGGTTCGAGGTTCATTGCAATTGATTTATGAACTTCATTGCAATGCCAATGAATTTATGAGTTATAAATGCTCTTATAGTTACCGAACACGACGTTAAACGAAGATTTTGTTTCAATATAAATCAGATTTACAATTCTCTTTTTGACCGCTATTATGTCATGCAAGGACGTTGGGCGGGCAGAACCGTGAATATAGGAATATTGAAACTGCATTAATAACCTTCAAAGCAATGACTAAGTACAATAAATCACTACAAACATAAATAGTACGCACCACCCGAAAAGTTAACCCGTGTTACTTGTTTGAATTTTCGCCTCATATCACCTTTGCACTACCCTCGCCCGGTAGTGCAATTTTATAACAACGCTTTTGATTTCACAGCGAGCATTTTAAAGCTGATCTTATAAATCTAAGGAAATCTTTACGACAAAGAATATAATTTTAATTTGTATTTCATCGTACCTAACATTAAAAAGGAGTTGAAGTGGTCTGCATACCTCAATCTTGATGATATTCTTATATTCAGGCATTTGCTTATCCAGCACTGAGTTGATCGAATCCTTGTCCGCATCAAGGGGGAAATCTAATTTCTTCAACTTTCCCCCAGCGTTTTTCACCTCAAACACAGCCAACAGATCCTCACATGCATTCGCCACGCGCCATTTGAATTCCTCGATATTCCTATTCCAGCTCTTGTGAGCTGTACTCTTGACAGCAATGTCTTTAGCAGCGTTGAGTTCCTCAGTTAAAAAAGAGTGTATGGCAACATCAATACAAGGCGCTTTGAGCCAATCAGATAGGAGCAAATCAAGGGCAGTGGTGGCGCTAGAGACGGGGCAGGGGAAACACCCCCATAGGGGAAATTTCTCACAGACACAATCCTTTAAAACAGCCAGCTACACAGCCTACAGTGAGTACAGTCGTGCGGAAATTGTGTTTGTTACATTCATACCATACTCATATTTGTGACCAATACTCCAAAGGTTTTACCGGCGTCTTGTGTTTTGTTTTTGTACTGGAATGTACCCAGGTCTATGCCTTTCTTTTGGTAGTCTTCCAGCTTGTTTTTCCAACGTTTATTGACTTCATCTACAACCTCAAGCACTTTTGATACCGCTTGTTGATCATCTGTAAATGATATAAATTTATAACAGATTTATAAATTGTACAACATGTTTGAAACTGACTAATTGGACTAAATATAAAAATAATTGATTGACAAAGAGGAAAAATTTGGAGTTCTTTCAAGGGTTTTTCGATAATTCTTGCTACGAAAATTCAGTGGCGTAGCCAGCATCGATAATTGGGGGGGGGGCAATAGACTGTAAAGACAATTGATTTGAAAAGAAATTAATCCTGCGTTTCACGAATATATGCCCCCCCCCCCAAATTCAACAATGCATGTATATATGCATGGGGATCTTCCTTTGATATCTATTTGATATTTTGGACCAAAGTACGCAATATGCATGTGCAAATGAACGTTAACACTGCCATAAACTATTAAGAATATAAAATCTTAGAAAACCTTTTCGTGCAGACTATGGGAGAATACATACTATCAGTCTCTTTAGTATTTCCACTGCCACTGTCCTTTTGTGACTTATCAATTGCCTCCTTGATTCCTAGAACTACCAGGCCACTGGTTATGCCTGCGATGACGGCTATATATAAAACGGAATTTTCAACATATGTAAAACAGTCAAAATCGGTACTGCCACAGCAGAATCATGGTCATTTTTTATCAGGCTATTACTTTATTTTACTTTATTGATGAATGGAATTCCTTCACTCAGACTATAGACTTTATCTGGACATGCATGTTTTTAAATATTTCAAGGCTAAATTTATTGTACAGTTGCAACTTGTCCGTCTGTTGATCTCAAATGCCTCAAATGTCTACGATAAATGAAAGAAAGGGTCTATGAAGGAATGTTAAAGGAATCAAGCAAAGAAGAAAATAAATAAATAATTAGGCAAGCAAGCAAGGACACAAACAAAGAAAGAATGGAAAAGAATTGCAACCAAGAAATACTGTTAAAGAAAAAATAAAGACAAACAAACAAACCGAAGAAACAAACAAACACATCACAAATAAACTAACAACACATACCTGGAAGGACTTTATCTCTCAGCATAGATTTCCAAAAACCTTCCTGAGCGTCCTCGACCGCATTTTCTACACTTTCTTCCACCGTTTGCTCCGCCTGTTGTTCTACTTCTTGTTCTACAATACTTTCCACTTCTTCTTCAACTAAAGACTAAAAAATATGGTACAATTGTGCACTCCTCGTCCCAAGAGAAAGCATACATCATAAGCAAACAAGTTGTTAACATTAAACTATAAAATTAAATTGTGTCTCTATTGAAAACGTGTGCATGATTCACGCACTGGTATTGAGAATTGTGTTTAATATGCACCGAAGGGCTTATAGCCTCATTAGCGAACGAAAATATCGAGTATGAAACTGTGATGCTTCACTTATAAGACGAGCTGTGATCTATCGTATGAGACCAGTTGCGTGGGCATGCAGCCCGACAATTTTGTCCCGCTATGCTAAATTTCTCCCGCTATTATGTCCCGCTATGCCAAATACTGAATTTATGAAAAGGAGCTTTTCATACGATGGCGCATCTCTTTGGAATAACATATCTATAGGGATGCAAAAATGGCAATTATATATTATTACATATTTGCAAATAGTTGTAAGTTGTAAACTTGTATGATTGTTAAATTATCTTAGTGCACATGCACCCCCCATGGAAATCAGCTTTTGTTTTTGGAATAAAGTTTTATGTATGCATGTCTGTGTGTGTTTGTATGTATGTGTATTCGACCATGGTAGAGTATATCGGAAAATGGTATATTCGCCCATGGACGCTCAAAGAAATGTTACAGAAAAGCAGCGGAGAAAATTGCGGATATTCTTTAGACGTTAGTCTATTGGTGCGCGTCTATATATACATAGAAATAGTAATTAGTTTATATAAAAAACGTGCGCGAGAAAATATTGACCAGCTTTAAGGCGGATTTCCGCTTACAGCGAAATCGTTCGCTAGCGAAATATTTACATATTTTCTTTTGAATTTTAACAGCATAAATAAATTAGGGCGACTTGACTGTTCTCAATTTCAAAAGAAAATATGCAAATATTTCGCCAGCGAATGATTTCGCTGTAAGTGGAAATCCGCCTTTATTAAGTTGACTTCGCCACAATTTTTTACTGTTGGTTGACTTAAATACGACCTTTTAAGAAATTCTATAAAATAACGGCTGAGAAAATTGCGATACTTTAAGTATTAGTAATTATAATTTATAAGAAACGGCGTGCAAATATAGTCCATTTTAGGACGGAATTTTATATATTTCTACGGCTAAACTACTTTCATGTTACACACCGGTTAAACGAGGAGTTGTAAGCAATATTTGAATTTCAAACGTTTGAATGATGGAAATGAGTCATATGGTGTTTTTGAGTATCGTGTTGATTATCGTCACATTATCGTGTTGATTATCGTTTTGATTATCGTGTTGAATGTCGTGTTGAATGTGGTGCGTTCTTCACATTGGTTAGTTGTGCTACTTGTGTGCTATGATCTATTTGTTTGCGTGCGTTGTTATGAATGAGTATTACCCCCTTGGTTATAGGCGGACGTTGAATCGAGAAATTTACCAATCAAGCCTACATTTGTATAGATACATGAGAGCATGTAACACTCACGCCGGAAAATTCCATTTAAATAAACCTGGACCGTGGTACAATATGTTTGAAATGGACTGTTAACTTAAGACATTTTACCTCCACGCTTTCTTCGACTGTTTGCTCTGCGACTTCCTCTACGAGCTGTTCCACCTCACTCTCTACTGCTGATTCGACAGCATTTTCAACTGCTGAAAAAACGATTTGTTCAACAATCTCCTCCACTATTGTCTCAACTGCGGCGGATGCCATGTTTTAAACAAACCAGTCCTTTCGAAACTGTGAAATGAGACAACAAACTATGAATGAGCTTCGCTACAGAATAAATATAGGAAGCAGCATAGATATGGGTAGGAAGTTGCTACCCACCAGGTTGTTGCTATTCCCGCGCGAGCATCACGCAACCACGACTTCCTTGCCCATGTGCCACATCAAAGCGCCTGGGACGAGACTGCCATTATAAATATTCATCCACTTGACTCTCTCGGCACCTTCTGTTTGTCCAAATCGCTGTAAAGTGTGATAAAAATGTTTTCCTTCACTGATTACTCATTCCCATTCACCAAAGTAAAGTTAACGAGAATACTTGTACTCATACATATATTATAATATCGGAGTAACAGTCATTATATTTACAACGATATTTGATGTTAGTTATTGTTTAATAGGGAAAATACAAGCCCAATTCAGGAATTGTATTCAGGAATATTCTCATCGACAGACAGGTTAATGTTGTGTTTTATACAGTTGCCCAAAACGTGAAAGTACTAAATATCTTTGAGAATTGACATGTGGCGTTTCATTGAACACAAGCAGCAACCCTAAAGCCATGAAAGAAGTCAACTGGTCTTACAGGACTTACCCGACAGATTTTCACCAGTTTTGAATGCATTTAATATCTGCAGAGGATGTGGCCTTAGGAGAAAATAAACTACGTGAGGGTGAAAAACATCTTAACGACGATTGGAAACCATAGCAGTTAATTTGACAGAAATTTTTGTTTCTCCAAGTATAAAATATTCTGGGTGCTTATTTATGCGAAGATGCAGCTAGTTATAGAGTGATCACCTCTGTATCATCGCATCTTTTATGGATTTATTACCGGCTAAATATGAAAGTGGCATATTCTTGTAGCCGACTGCAAAGTTTTTCAAGCTGTCATGTTTTATTCTTATTAAAATACAGCTAGTAGCGAAAAATGCTTCGTTGTTATTTTCCGAAAACGGAAGAAACCTCCGAAGACAGGAAATACCGCCCATTCAATTAATGCAGATCCATGCCGGGTGGTCGCATATAATTCACAGGAAATGCTCATACCTAAACGAATATATTTTATATACGTCATAGCATTTAAAAATTCCTAGTAATCACTGTAAAGTACACGGTAGGAAATATCTCAGATGCATAGCTATAAAGGATATAGAGTTAAACATTCGGTTAAAATAAAGTGAAGAAACGCGCTACAGACAAATATGTCGTTATTGGACGCGCTTTTTCTTGGAGGTGAGTATACCCTATTTTTATTTTCATGCAGTAAAGCAGTATTTAATATTTTGCTATTTGTATAGTATTTTTCAGTAAATTGTTATTACATTGCATGACCCGTATTATTATAGGTAAATTTATCGGCAAGAATCAGCACGACAGAATTTCAACTACACATTCTGCGTCGAGTTCAAAGTTTTATTTTATACACATACGTTTTCTACATACGTTCTTCGTATATATTCTGAATCGTCGTGGTCATATAAAGTCGCCGAGTCGTATAGCTATGTAAAGTCGTAAATGTCACATTATACGTAAAACAACGACAACAACAAATTTCGACATGCGCCATAGCCACGAATATAATACATGCATTATATGAAAGGAAAATAATCCCTGAAATTATGAACGACAAAAATGAAAAGTTAATGATTTTGAACAACAAGCAAATAGCGCTATTTATTCAGTGGTTGCATTTAATATTCTGCAGTAGACCAATGAAGACAGGAGGGAACCTACCACAGCATTTGAACTCGCATCTTGGGGTATTACTATATAAAATATATTCATATGGATATAAAATTACACTACCTACACAGTCGTTGCAGTCGATGCGCAGTTTGATTGTCTTGCAAGAAAAACGCAAGGAACATTTTTTGTTAGATCATCATATAAGCTTCTTTCAAACTCGACGTCTATTTTGACATAGGATTATTGTAATTCATTTCAATTATAAAGGTAGCTGTAAAATAAATATATCATAAATAGTCTTTGTCCAAGTGTCGAAGTCAAGGATCAAGTCGAGGGTGGAAATATTGTTTCCACTTCAAACTTCACGTTTTTTCCAACTTTCTAGTATGTAGGTCGATACATACAGACATGCCATGCATTTTAAATAAAAAATTTCTGCCCACCTTCACTTCAAATACGCAGTTTTCCTGGCGTGTATGGACTTAGCAGCGCTTAATTTAAGCATTTACATAGCATGCAGCAGGCCAATGAATTGACCAACCTTCTAGTCTTTCATAGAGTTCTATAAATAGTTCCAGTTCAATTTATTGCAGTATGAATACTCGGACATAGCATTAAAAGACGCCACGAACGCGTTAGAAAAGTATCCATCGCTGAAGCCAAACGTGAAACATTTTGGTAAGCAGAAGCCGAAATAATTAAGACATTGTTTGCTAAGAATGTATAATAAAATATCTATTCCCATCCTAGGGAGTCTTCTCGTATTTCTTATTTTCCCTTGTAGCCGGTCCTCATGGTCAGAACAGGGAGCTAGTTTGTCTTGAAGGAACAATACCTGTTAACTATCGAGGTACTTAAACAAAAAAACTACGATCATATATATAGTATTACGCTTTAAATCCAAATTAGACTAGTAAAGACCTATCTTTCATTCCAAAGGTTCCACCCATAATATTCCAATATGTTTTATGGCTTCAAGAGAAACATCCAAATGCGCCTCCTTTTGCATATGTTGTGCCCACAGCGGAGATGGAAATAAAACCAGGACGCCATGTTGACGCTCAAGGCAGAGTTTACCTACCATTTTTAACGGAATGGTGGGAGCATGTATGTGTGTACAAATAATTAATAATTACCATAATTATTGCCGCTACCAGATTCGTTATGCAACATCACTATCCAATCCTAAATAATTTCCTAGTAAAATTGATGCAAACGAGTAAAATCGGTGATATTTATTTCTAAAATAAGGTGAGTTAACTAACCAAAATCATAATCAAAATCGTATTCACACTATTATTGCTTTCTTACAATGATGATGATCACTATTAGTGTCTATGATCATAACCATCATCAGTTCTTCTTGTCATCATTACAATCATATCATCAGCAACAACAATATCATCCGCCATTATCAGTGAGCACATTTTTTAAATTTTTAGACTAAATCAGATCTCAATGGCTTCATCCACGTCTTGTGTCTAATCTTTTCTAAACAACCCCCTGTGTTTGGTCGCAGACCAAAAACCCTTCCACAAAAAACTCCTCCACTAGAAACTCTTCCACGAAAAACTCTTCCACCAAATCTTCCACCAAAAACTCTTCCACCAAGCAATCTTCCACCAAAAACTCTTCCACCAAAAACTCTTCCACCAAAAACCCTTCCTAAACCAAGTCCTCCACCAAGCAATCCTCCTTCCACTGAATGTGACCAACTACTCCAGGATCTAGTCAACCTGGTGCTGTTCCAGAGCCCAGACTTGAAACGCCCCAAGGTTTGATTGTCTATTTAACACGAAAATATTTTTAAATATTTTAATCCATGACTATAAAATAAATACTGACTGCATGTGAAACTTTTCACGAGTGCAATTTGAAAACGGCGATTTTTTGTGTGAAATGGCGATTTTTTGTGTGTGTTTAAATTCTAATTTTGCTTCCTCGGAGTAATGTCGAGCAAAAGTGCGTATAATTTTGAGCGACTGTAGCGGCAGTGAAAAGTTATTTTTGGTGAAATTTTAGGTCGAAGGTTGACAGGCAAAATAAAAAAATGGCTTGACTGAATGCGAAGCTTGATGCATGCGACTAAAACGTATTTACTGTTCATATTTAGGGCTGTTTTCCACTGTCGCGTTTTTTGTAGCTACATACGTATACGCACGTAAAAATTCAAAATAATTAATTTCTAATTTTCCTTATTTCTGCATGTCCTAGAGAGTTCGGGGATTGCAGCACTCCAGGTGAAATGTGGTTATCGAGACATGTGTGAACGTTTTCTTGAGTCGCCATTCATATGATAATATATATACTGAGCGAAATAGGCTTCTGACAATAAAAGAGTATTTTTTATTAGTTGTTTTTGGTCATTTCAGTACATGTCACATATTCGGTGTACATCAGTGTTAATCACTAAATGCTGCATGTATCAGTGTCGAAAAGCCCAATTTAGAGACTTTATACTAACATTTTCATTGCAATTTTAGATGAATACTTTGACAAAACTCCAGATTTTAATAAATGTTTCTGTGAGAATTGTCACAGAGATCGTGGTGATGAAGAATGCTGTTTTCGTGGGAAGCCCGCCAAGAGATACGCTTTACCTATTGGCTGGAGTAGATTTTCCATTAAGTAAGAATGATTTTCTCGAGAACGCTTATTTCATGACGTGTATTTCATTCATCTCTTTGATGAACAAAATCGTGCTAAATTGCATTCTGGAGTGCAATGGTAGTATGATTTTTGGCTGAAATGCAAAACGTGGAATTTTTGGAAGCTTGTCGCACCAGTGGCGGATTAAGGTATAGGCTGAGGCTTATTTTTAAATTCAAAATACTTCAATAGCAACGCTATTGGTCTTAAATTTCTGAAGAATATTTTTAAATAGAAATCCTTCAATCCGATTGCAAGTTTTGGTAAGCCAGAGCAGGCAGAGCTGTGGTAATTTATTCAGCCTTACCCTGGATCCGCCACCGTGTCGTACCCCTTCATGCACGTAAATGCTACAATTATTTCTGTCGACAGACACGTTGATGTTGTGTTATATAGAGTTGCCCAAAACGCGAAAGTACTTAATATCTTTGGGAATTGGTTTTATGGAACACAAGCAGCAACCCTCAAGCCAATATTGGACAGCGGTCAATTGCTAATGCCAGGTATACTGCAACGGACACTTACAGGACTTACACGACAGATTTTGTGTGAACTACTTTTGAATGCATTTTATATCTGCATACAGGGGATGTGGCCTTGGGAGGAAATGAATTGCGCGAGGGAGAAGGACAATATAACGACCATTGGAAACCAAAGACGTTTGACACGAAGCAAATTTTTGTTTCTCCAAGTATCAAATATTCCGGGTGCCCTGTTTATGCCAAGATTCAAAGGTCAGCATACTACCCTGCAACATATTTAGACGCGGCTAGTCATAGGGTGATCACCTCTGTATCATCGTTATAGTACTTTCGCAAGGTTTCGTTTAGATCAATACTATTTGGTAAAAAGAACCAAAAAAATTTTTTTAACCAAGATTTAGTTATTTCAACCAATGAAAAATTTGGTGCAATCATCTAAGGCAACCAATTTTATTAAGTTGGTACTGTTTTTACAGTGCAATCTCTAAAGTATCGAATTATGATTATATAGGATTGCACTAAGGTATCTTTAGTGTTAAGTTAGCTAGTAGGACTGTTTAGGTTAGGAGTAGTTAGTGTATTTTTTTGACTGTATTATGAGTGTCTAGTGTTGTGTTTTTGGATGTATAACCGTACAGTATGTGAATATACGCAATTTATACCCGATCTTGAGTAGAATTGCGTACATTCACTCTCTGTTTTATATAATTTCTTCATTGAATTTCAGTTAAAACCATATCTTCCTTACGAATATACTCACGAAGGAATGTTGGAAAGAATAAGTGCACAAGTAGAACATCTCGTAAGATATTGTTGCATGCTATTTCCTGCTAGTTTATTTAAAGTGGATGACCGCGTATGTAAACGAACGGTTTGTTAACATTTTGAACTTTATTATTTTTTAAAATACGATGAGTGTTTGAATATCCAACACTAGAAAGAGCAGCTACGAAGGGGTGCTAGGTAAAGACGCAATAAAATCCCAATGTTAATTGCTGAAATACATTTTCACGCATGCAGGAATTCTGTAGAGACAGCCAATGGCCACCATTACACAATATGAAAAAAATCGAAGGAAAACTTGGCCAGTCCTGCAAAAATGCATGCTGGGAGAAAGGTTAGAGATTGTTAGAAGAAATTAAATGCATCATTTAAATATATTCGCATATACACGTGGCTATATACATGCCTAAAAAAGGATCAGGTTGATACAGTATTGATATGAACAGGATGAAACAATGCTGTGCTGTCCACATTGTTCAGAGTTGCTATCAACATAAAATAATATTGTTAATGTTGTTGACAAGTGTGAACAATAAACATTTCTCCGTGCTGATAAACTGCAGGCTCAGAGTTTCTAGGCGTGTAGTAAGCTGAAATAATGTTCAATTATATGCAACCATTTTCTACGTAACCATACTGGACTATAACCGTGTTACAGGAATGCTATGTGAACCATCATACTGGGACATTTTAAATCAACTCATTTCGTTTAGAAGGTGAGCACCTGGCAAATTTGATTTATAAGCTGACAATTAGCTAAATTCCAATTGATATGTCTTACCGTCATTAACATCTAAGCGTATACACGTGAAATAAAATATGTTTTAATTAGATTCAAAGTTGTAACGTTTAGGCGGTAAAGACAACTTGTTTCAAGCGCAAACGTTACAACTTTGAATCTAATTAAAACATGTTTTATGATCACGTGTACACGCTTAGATGTTAACGACGGTATATCCAACAGTGAAAAGGAAATATCGATTCACGAACCTATTTAGGCTGTCATACCGTTCACCGTTTGTATTAATGTAATTTCTAATTCATTTTCTAGAGCAAACATAACGTGTGAACTTGTGGAACATGGTAATTTACTTGTTGCACCGTCGTACGATAAGACAAAGACCTGTCACCTCCAACAACAGCCATTGTTACACAGTTGTGTATCCTCCTCTGCCTCACACGTGAGACTTTGTCCATGTCGTGACTACATCAAAGATCAAGTTGCGTTATGCAACAAATGTTGGTGAATGAAGATTCTGTCAATCTTAAATTAGAACAACTAGTACATTTGAATGATGAATGATCTGAGAACATCATTATTTATTATCAACAAATAGCATGTTTACATGTAAAGACACCGCCAAGCCATACGTAAATCCCTACATATGCATATACAGATCTTCAGATCTGTCAATCCTTCAGATCTCTACCGGAAAAAAGTTTGGAGCCGGTCAGGAAGATAATTTCTTCAAAATAGCAAATCATTTTATTCCCCAGTAAAAGTGATCATCAACAACAATGTATCGGCGACTGTCGTTGATTAATGGGAAACAGGCTTTAGAGACAAGGTCCTACGGGCATCGCGACCACTAGCAAAGAAGACGTTCTCAGCAGCGGCGTGGCGGAAGGGGGTTGCAGCACCTCCAATTTTTGCAAGGTGGAAGTTGGTCGGTAATGGCACCATGAAGGCCTCGGTATCTCGTCTGTTTCTGATTTACATTTACAGTAATGAAAAAGATTCTATGCACAATTAAAAAACTGACCAAATGGTTATCTGCTTTCTCTGGATGTGCTTCAAGTGCTACGAGTCGGCAAAACCTCTGTGTTACACCCCCAGAGTTACGATAGTCACGCTCTGCCTCCAGGTTCTCAGCCTTGCCTTGTATGAAATTTGGATGGATGCTGATTGCTTTTGCCACTCCAAGGTCAACTTCACTATGCACACGCTTCGATTCAGTTGAACCGAAGTCATGGTATACTTTGCCTTACTCATACTTTTTAACAGGATTTTTTCCAAAGTTTTAGAGGTGGAAGTATTGTATCAATGGTATAAACACATATAGTATTAGTATAATGCAGTTTTCACGCCAAGCGCCAAAATGAATATAACTTATATTACACAGATATTGCTAAGATTTCATTACACTGTTAAATTGAACTTCATGACATCGCAATGTTTTGAAGTCTCAGTTTAGGGTTGAGGATGGAATTACTTCCGGATGGAAATACTTCCGTAGAGCGGAGGATGGAATTAATTGCGGATGGAATTACTTCCGTAGTACACTGTAAACGTAGGAATGCTTTTTAAAAGGTTTGATTGGGCCAAAATCCATACTTCTTCGTTTGAAAAAAATGGCAAAGGGTTCAATTTCAGCCCACTCGCAAAACTTGTTTAAAGATTCAGACAATGATTGTTTTGGGGAGATATTTTGCATGCAAATTACTGCGCGAAATGCACATTGGGTTATAGTTGTAATTGGTCATAAAAAGGCCCACACGTCACAGAACTACGTTTATGTCAAAAGTAAAAGCACCAAAAACCACATTTCTAAAACAATAATGAAAGTAAAGTTAACGAGAATACTTGTTCTCATACTAATATTACATATTGGAGTAACAGTCATCATATTTACAACGATATTTGATGTTATGGAAAATATAAGCCCAATTCAGGAAATGCACAATCCCATTTTGGTGGTGCGGAGTACTCAAGAACTACAAGAAGGCAAAAAAGGTCAGTAATTAAGCATTGGATGGTTAATCGTGTTTTTCTTTCGGTCATTTCTATTTGCACTTTTCCTGGCTATAGAAATTGGCTTTAATTTTTTCGAACATGTCCGATTATTTCACAATCGACAATGCTAACATCTGCCAACAGTAAACGTATTATTCACATCACCTTGAATAATAAACGAATACGGGGATACGAAGGAGTTCTCCCTAATTGGCTAAATGTAAAAAATTGGCTTTAATACATTTAACATTTTTATTAAATAAATTAATTGAGCTTATAACCACTATATTTGGTGAATGTGATAATATTTTTCAATACTTTGATAAGAAGTTAGAACAGATCCCTACCTGCATATCAAAATTGATACGTCCAGGATTCCGGAATCGTGCAAGATATTTTCAGACCCGATGATGAAAAATTGAATGGGCGTTTGAAATACCTGCTGCAAGGGAAATTTATGTGCATGTAATCTACCTGTTCCAATATTTGACAAGCCAGTGTTTGAATGTTTTTTTGTAAGTGCACATACGTGACGGCGGGAACTTTTCGCTTTATCTTCGAAATAGGCTTACAGCGTGCTGTGCTGTGTACGTGGATGATGAAATCGTTCATGTATGTCGTACATACATGCATGCAGACTGGATTACAAGCGGCAGTAATGATCTCTTTCAAAATTAAAAAAACCGGGATTACTAAGGTAATCGTTGTAAGATGGAAGAATGGTCACGCGGGGCAAACGTGGCGCTCACAAGTGTTATTTTTAGCGCAAAGCAACATTAATTTTCATATGCTTTTGTTAACGAGCTCTCAGCTGCAACCATCTGGAGGTTAAACTGATTTTTCACTTGCGGAAAAAATGCTATACTGGGAAACAGTCTTGAATGTTTTCGCTGTATATTCACTTCAAGTTTGCTTTTGTCCACCAATATCAGTTTTCGGTAAATTTCCGCGCGAAACTGACAATATATTGATGCACGTACGTACAGCGTTGACCGACAGTACGTTTTTGATAAACAAACAATAACACACTTCAAACTAATATTATGCAACTTATTATGCAATCTATCAAAAATAAACAGTCGCTATCTTACTTAGACTGAACGGAATACAACACTTTTAGGTTCAAGAAATTTTTTATCAAGTTAACTTTATTACTTTTTGAGTTATCGTGCACGAAAGAAAGGGAAATGAGCATTTTAGAACATTGAAACAATAAAATAAGCCAATGGACTCTTTTGCCAGCTCAGGGAAAAACCCTAATAATTTAGCAAAACTTTTCGCTTAATTCTCGCGTTCTTTATATACATTTTTTGAGAAAATCGATTACGAAAACAGGATAAATAATGATTTTCAATGTTTACCACCTTAATATAGAACTTTAATTAACTAAAAAAGTGTGACCAATGTGCACATAAAAAAGTGTGACCAATGTACGTAAAATTTAAACAAAATTAATATATAGAACCCGAGTCATGCTTCTTCTTCGATTTTTTTTCCGCAGAAGATCAGCATGTCCGAAGATTTTGTCACGTTCCTAAGCCAACTACCAGATATCCATTCTGTGGTTCCAAATTTTTGGTAATTATAACCAATATTATTTATTTAAAAGAATTCACAGTCTCTGATTGGCTAATGTGTGACGTCATAACGACTTTTTTCTTGCACGTTATACGTCATTATATATGATAAACAGGATAAACAGTCGTATCCCACGTTATGACGTCACACCAATGGCGAAGACATCAACGCCCCAAAGGAGCGATGAAAAGGAGATGTGAAATCGACGCAAATCCAAGCGAACAATTCAAAATTGTAATACTCTTTCTTTTAAATAAATGATAAAACAATCATCGAGTTCAGTTTTCGCATGATATGAAGAATTATCGAATAATTGTTAATTTCTAGTTTTATATATTTAAATTGCATGTGGCCACTATAATCACGCCCGACCCTACCGTAGATCATGAACCGATCTAGATATTTGACCCATCTCTGACAATTTTTGCATTAACGATCGAGTCCAGAGCAAGGTCTAAATAGATAACCTGGCAAGTCATGGTAGATTAACTGACCCCGGACATTCCTATAACAAATGTGCATGAACTGCACGGTCATTGTAGATCCCGAGACACAGCTGGTCCGTTGGCCATCATAATCGTAAATGAACTGAATTCATATATACACTGTAGGTCTGGGACTCGGTTTGTCACGCCATGCATGTATTGTATAGATATCTGAACAGCCCAAGATTTTCGTTTTATATCTTCCTGACATAGTCAATGTGCTGTTTTGTTTGCTTGTATTGCAGTTTGTAAAATCCTTTTGGAAATCACCTTGTTTTGCGATGTATAACGTGCGTATGGAAGATGACTGCTCCGTGCTTATCTATTTGAGCGAGGTATGTAACTTTGAGGTAGCTATGTAACAACTGCATATATAATACATTTCGCAATTCACTTTTCACAAACCAGATTCCAAATCTCCGATAGTCAACTCGATCCACTGTCCAAACTTAAAAAGTTCAAACGTTCTTAAAATTTTACTTTGCACCACTGGCTTGCGTTCTCCCAAAATTATTCTTTAATTCTTATATCTTTAGGTTGAGAGATGGTGTCCACGCTTACCATGGAGAAAAAGTTCTTCACCCCAGTCTGATGATATTAACAGGACGGTCTGTTATATGTTTAAACCGTGCACGCATTCGGTTTTTCTGTGCTCTTTGAATTAGTTTTTCTGTGCTCTTTGAAGTGGCGATGCCCGACCCCAAATTAATAATGTTGCATGAGGGTGATAATTCCACTTTAAGACATATCCTTCTGGATGTTAAATCATTTGACATAAATATTGATGAGCTGGAAAATTTTATGTCATGAATAACGTATACATAACTTCAGTTGTCTTTTACAGCGGTTAAAAATTCGCCCAAATCTCGATAAACTTCTTACGAAATGGTTCAGCGATCAAAAGTACGTGTGGATGAGAAACCGTATCTCATCGATGAAAAAGGACTGGGTATCAGCTCTTCTTTCTCTTCATAAGAAGAGACCTTTATTAACAAAACGTACAAAAAAGAAAGTATGTTCTTTTAATAGGAATTATATATACGAACAATACTTGACCATGAATTCTTTCGAAATGTATTCCAATCCATGAGAAACAACTTCCTGAATTATTTGTTTATGCATATTCATGTATGTGCATGTGTACTATTCTATGCATGTGTATTCAACTCCAACAGTGGGAAATTTATTCAGACATCAAGTTGGTAACCAAACCCTCCATTAAGGAGACTCCATAAATTACCCGATCAATAATATGTCAGCAGCTGAAATAATGTCAGGATTAGCGAGGTACTTTGACCAATCACATGCAAACACAAATAAATTAGACTAGAAGAATATGGTCATTAGTTAAACGAAACAAAGAATCAAACGATATTGATTTCTTCTACTACAGATTCTCGTATTCTTTGGGGCGTTTGCAATCGAACCTACGATGTTGACAAAAGCGTTTAATGGCGGTCCTCTGGGAGAGTTGGTTCAATGGAGTGATGTAGTCGCATCTTTATATCTCCTTGGACATGATATCACTATATTAAAATCCCTAAATGAATCAAAGAGGTGATACGTTGCGCGAGTATCCATAATATATAGATAATAGCTTTTTGTTATCTATTTTATAAAGATAGGGTGTTTTAATAGTCCTGTTTTCATAAACCAGGAAAAGCATTTTTGCTGCATGTGCAATTATATATAGCTAGGTACATTAAATTAGCATTTCCATAAAATTTTTATGTTGGAAACAAAATCATTTAACATTTATATAGTCCTGTTTCCTTATAGGCTAATATTTTATTGGCCATTGCCTTTTCATCAACACTCATGTTATTACATGATTGCTTATAATTCATGTCATTGACCTTCATAAACATTTGTAGTATTTGCCATAATATTGATTGCTCATTACATTTGTAGAAAATAGCGCGTATAGAGTCTGCATAAATTCACGGCAAGAACAATATTAAACACACATATTTATAATTTTTGCGAATATACAAAGCGATAATAACTTCTATATGCACGCGGTAATAATCTTATATTACAGATATACACCTGGACCAGACAAAAATGGTTGTATCAATAGCAGTACAGTGCAGCAATTTGAGTATGACTTGATTTACACAGATATCATGGGCGCCTTATTTGTGAGGTATTTTTCTGGCCCCTACTGGTCTGAGATAAGGTAATTACTTATACACAAGTATTTAATACGAAACATTTGGATTTATACATTCCAAAATTTATCGATAAAATTATTATGAATCAGTGACGAAGACATGCATAGAGCAAGTTGAGGCCTGACAATTAAGTTGCAGTAACCTGATCGTGAGGTCCGGCGTACATTTTTTAGTCCCGTTTTTATTAATCCTGGGAACAACTCCTGCGTGTTTAAGCGCAGGCACGGAAAAACGCTAAGAGTCCACCTTAAAAATGCAGTAAAAATACCATACCAGTAAAAATACTAAAGCACCCAGTTTCAACTTTCAAGAGCGTTCAAAACGTCGAAAAACTCTCTATAATAGGCTTGAGACTCTAATAGCGATAAAAATCCCTCTATGTAATCACGTGAACTCTTATTGCAGTGCCATATATATATCTCAGTTCTGTAGTTTCATTGCAAAAAAATAGCGTTTTTAATTGGTTACTAATAACTAATTGTTTACAAAAGATAATTATCACCTATCACGATTAATGGCATCGACGGTAGTAAATGATCCCAGTTTGTAGTGAATGATGTGCTTCTAACACTCGTCACATCTTTAAACCCTCATCCACAGATGCAAGATGAGGATAGTGGATTCATTTGGTACCGAAGCTGAATTCAACTATATAAAACCCGGTGAAAACGATAACAAGAAATACAAGTCTTTTTATGGCAAATTGTCGTTGAATTTGAGACAGTTCATGACCATGTTCCGTACGTTTCAAACATTTTATCATGTCCTGATACATACATGCAAATCCTGATCGATGATTGGATCATTTAGTACCCGCACCCAAACCGCGCCATTTTCTTTTGTTACGGCCCTGCACAATGAACATGGATTGAGTATAATATTAACGTGCACGCGCGTCGTAAATATCTGGCCATGTGAATTAATCCTTGATTTACGATCGTTTTGGGGTAAGGATATTTTTCACGCTATACACCAAAATTACCGTTTCCTGGCAATGCATGGTCCTTGACTCTTTAAAATTTGAATAGATGAACATCTACTTCCATGTCATCAATTTTGCTTCACAACCCCCGCGCTTAGAATTTTAATATATATATATTTTTAATATACAAATTTCAATATTTCACTGATTTTTTTACCCGCGACTCGAAATATATTTTGTAGCTCACAGTCCAGACAATTCATTCCTTGGTTTCGTTTCTGGTGCGGCACAACGAATATCAAAGAAAAGCAAAACTTATGCAAAAAGAAATATGGCTTTGGTCTATGCAAAACTGGATAGCTACTGGAAAGTAAATTGCACTCCAAGATAATTAACAATTATACCACGAGCTCGGGTCGTATATATAAACTGATGAAATAAACAATGCATAAAAAATGAAAATATGAAATATAAACAATGCATAAAAAATTAACTTGCTGGCTATATTGATTTAATTTGAGGTCGGTAAAGTTCGAGTTAAGTTATTTAAATAAGTTATTTGAATCTCTGGAAAGGAAACTGTACTTTCAAAAAGTGTTTTAATTCCTTCTTCATCACTCCTGGGCAAAACTGCATGTCGGCCATTTTATTCAGTTTGCTAGTCACCGTATATGCAGAATATAGCTCATACATTATTCTGTGAGTAGTTATATTATAATCCTGTACTATAGATATTAGAGAGCATTCGTAAATGTAATAAAACTATTTGTATCGTATCTGCAGGTTGATAACCGGGCATACCTCGACAAAATTCATGAATATGTGGAGATTCACGGTACCTTTAACGTAAGAAGATTGTTGACCATATATTTATACAGATAGTTTCATAACCATGCAGTGATATTTTATTATAATTTGATAATAATCATGTTAAGTTTGAGTTTAAGTTTGACTTCTAAATACCATCACAATAGCTCCTTGTTTTTGTTAGCGGCAGGAATTAATATGGCCAAACTATAGGGGCGAGCCGTGTTTTAACTAAATTTATATAGGTGAAAATTTAAATACGGTGAATATATTCCATATGCGATAAATTTTATAAGCCTTATATAAACTGAGTTAGGCATGTTTCAGACGTCGAACTTTTCATGTGCCGAATCGAATGCAAATGAACTTAAACAAAGGCTTTAGCTCATTAACATTAGGTTCGGCACATGAAAAGTTCGACGTCTAAAACAGGCCTACATATTTTTATATTTACCGTCTGTTTTATATGTCTCTATATAGCGAACAGTTGCTAAATCAAAATACATTCCAAAAGACGTCATCAACCACGGGGTCGTCAACCGAACCACCATAGAGAAACTATTACAACAATCAAAGGTAGCTATATACTTTATATAGAACAGAAGATATCATTGCGGTGATTGATCTCATGCAGTTAGACCACAGGTTAGACCAGGATATACGCTTACAGATATAAGGATTTTTGTTAGGTTTTTGTCGGTCTTGGCTTTCCATTCGAAGGACCGGCGCCTCTAGAAGCTGTTGCAAATGGGGCAGCGTTCATAAACCCAAAGGTCAGTCTTAACAGACACTTCCCAAAATTTGCTTGAGTGCAAACAAAACAATAGCTTGGAAACGAGGCGGGCAGTGTCATCTATTGTTATAGTGGGCTGGTTTTCATTGCCCGAGAACAAATTCAGGAAGTGTCTATTTGTCGTGTTTTTGTTATATACTTGAACGAAAAACGCTGAGCTGGCAAATATACCAATCATGAAATATGAAATTGTTTTCATGCAGTTTGCAGTTCCTCTCAACAGATACAATTCCAAATTTTTCGCCTCTAAACCAACGAGAAGACTTATTACATCACAAAATTCGTATGCTGAGCAATTTATAGGAGAACCTTATGTCTATACCATTAATATATCGAATGTCACTGAAGTGGATAGAGTTATGAAGAAAATTATGACAAACACGGTACGTACGTTCTGCCGATTAATTTAAACATGGCATAGGTTTAATTAAAACAGTTGCATCAGACTCTCATACTTTCGTTAACGCAACGATATGCACTGATCGAGTCTCTTAGAAACTGAATCGCAAAACGATAGATCATTTAACAGTTCATGTTCAACAATTCAATTCCAAAATAGGTGTAAAGAAGACATATAAGAAAATTACAATGAATTATATGATTTTCAAAGCCGATTTGAAGCTGTTATCAGCTCTTATTGTTCGTATTTGAGTTGAAGTAAAAATAAGAGATTTATGCTCTTGTTATCAGCTTGTAACAAAGAATTCATGATGCAGAGGGCACTTTTCAGTGCAATACATGCAATGCTAAAAAATGCCTAAAGGTTACGTTGCAATTTATCCAACTTAGTTTTCACTGTTTATATATAATTTCCTCATTGAATTTCAGTTAAAACCATATCTTCCTTATGAATATACTCACGAAGGAATGTTGGAAAGAATAAGTGCACAAGTTGAACATCTTGTAAGATATTCATTCTGCATGGTCTTGTAAATTCAAATTTAATTTATACATGCAGTCTTTACTTCATACAGAATTACAGATATACTGTACAAGAGGATGCTACAACTTAAAATATCCCATGTTTACTAGAATGAAAATATTTTCAGGAATTCTGTGAAGACAGCCAATGGCCACCATTACGGAATATGAAAACAATCAAAGGAAAATTTGGCCAGTCTTGTAAAGATGCATGCTGGGAGAACGGTGATAATTAATATATTCTATAAATGTATAATTATTAACATGCCAATCACAACGTGAAATGAGTACTATGTACATTAGTTTATATAATAATTTTTATTACAGGAATGCTATGTGAACCATCATACTGGAACGTTTTAAATAAACTGAGTACGTTTAAAAGGTAAGGCCTGAAAAACACCTAACAATTATGGTAAATAATCTGGTAAATAAAATCGGTCAGGGTCTCGGAGACGGACAATTGCATATAGTGAATGCAGTGTCTATAACTGAGGTTTATAAATGGCTGCAGCATATGCGTGTAGATAAGATGTCGTTTTGTATATACATGCAATGGCTTCTTGCATGATTTTTGTCGTGCCAAATTGGTGAACCCGTAGGAATCGATTAAACGGCCGCTAAACATTTTGTTTTTCTACTTGGGTTTTGGCATGCACTTCTGATGTACTAAAACATATATTATAAATGAAAAATTATTTTTTAGAGAAGGCATATCGTGTAATTTTGTCGAACATGGTGACTTACTATTCGCACCATCATATGACGCGAAGACAAAGACCTGTCAGTTCCAACAACAACCAATGTTTTACAGTTGTGTATCTTCCTCTGCCTTGCACGTGAGACTTTGTCCATGTCGTGACTACATCAAAGATCAAGTTGCCCTATGCCAAAAGTGTTGGTGAATGGTTTCTTGCGAAATTTTAAGCCACGTGTACATTTACACTTTTCCGTCAAGACAGCGAAGTACTTGATAATTGATATATATAGCGGTATACATCTAAGGAGAAATGCCAGTGAACTCTACATATATGGAAGGCTCGCTCTAGTACATTGGGAAATCTAAACTTACGCTTCGTGGAGGTCTGGTTCGGTACCCAAGCAGCATTCATGATCCGCCATGTTTGGCTTCACACTTTGAACTGGAGCGAGCTTCCATATATATTCATTATATAGACACTCTCGACCTCTATAGCTCATTTAAGGAGTATCAGACTCGCATTCTTTAATCGGTTTGCTTGCTATCGTTGATTCGATCAGCCAGTTTGAATAAGCATGTTCATGCAGTTGCTTCTAAGCTGTCACTTATAGGCTTGTTCTATACCAGCTTCTGTATAACCGAGGACCATGACAATGTTTTTTGGACGGCCAGATGAATTTCAATAAGATAAGCTAGTCAGATCCGGCGTAGAAAATTATGAAGACTATATTATTGTTTAATACGTATAATATTGCTGTAAGCAGCCCTTTGATTCCTTGTTTTTAATAAAGCAAAGATATTCGCTACAATACGGTTGAAGTGGAAAACTTAAGGTCTTTTTTCCGGAGTATTCGACAAGAACTATGATGACTTTAAAACAATAAGATACGCTACGATTGAAGTGGAAAATGGCCTTAGGCCGTTTATACGTTGCGTTTTGGACGCGTCGAATGCAATTCAAACAATAAATAATGAGACAACAAACCTTATATTATCATTCCATTAACTACCGTTTAAATTGCATTTGGCGCATATATGTATAACCTTAACCGAGGCCGCGTCGTATTGAATGTGGTATTCGAGCGAGAGACCGATGAACCATTCAAATCAAAATAATTGTTATTATATATAGCTTTTTTGATCCTATTTCTAAAAAGAATGTATCAGCTCAATTAAGTTGCAATTGCATTGCAAGTGTTCATCCGGCCTGGTTCCTACGATGTTGGAAACGTTATACAGCGAAGCGAGATAAAGTGATAAACCTTTTGACGTTTTTTTAACGACAGTGAATTGGAATGGTCAACACGGGAGCAGTGATTGTGACTGGCGTGTTAGTGAAAATACAAGAATAAAAATTTCATTATAGCAAAGCTCTATATATCAGTTTATCGACTGCTCCAAACTTTACAGAATATAATGGTATAAATCGTGGCAGGATAGAATACAATGTTAATGGTCTAAATCTCCTATATATATATAGTACAATATAAGCTTGTATAGAATGTAAGCAAAATGTGACGATGGAAACATTATTCTGGTTGCTTAAATTGAGTTAACGCCGTTGTTTGAGAGGTCTTTGTTTGGACAGTCCTTGTTCTGTGTGAGCATGTTGAGCTCAATTTTCTTCTTATTCATTCATTCATTCATTCATTTTTATTATTACAATCATATTAACAAACCCCTGAATGTAATAACTTCAGACCACATTTTCGGATTAACTTTATCTCCAAACGACAGATGAATATATATATATATATATATATATATATATATATATATATATATATATATATATATATAAGAAATAAATATTGGTCATAACGTCATGTTAGCGCCTGTTTTTATAATAGGAATGCGATATAGATTATAGCTACTTATAGCTCGTATATGACGGCTCGCGTATGCATGCAGCTATAGTAGCGAAAAATGCTTCGTTGTTATTTTCCGAAAACGAAAGAAAACTCCGAAGACAGGAAATACCGCCCATTCAATTAATGCAGATCCATGCAGGTGGTCGCATATAATTCACAGGAAATGCTCATACCCAAACGAATATATTTTATATACGTCATGGCATTTAAAAATTCCTAGTAATCACTGTAAAGTACACGGTAAGAAATGTCTCAGCATAGCTAAAGTATAGAGTTAAACATTCGGTTAAAATAAAGTGAAGAAACGCGCTACAGACAAATATGTCGTTATTGGACGCGCTTTTTCTTGGAGGTGAGTATATACCCCATTTTTATTTTCTTTCAGTAAAGCAATATTTAATATTTTGCTATTTGTATAGTATTTTTCAGTATATTGTTATTACATTGCATGACCCGTGTTATTATAGGTAAATTTATCGGAAAGAATCAGCACGACAGAATTTCAACTACACATTCTGCGTCGAATTCAAAGTTTTATTTTATACACATACGTTTTCCCGGCTACAATTCCTATTCCTTATGGCTTATGCAGCAACATTATCGCCGAACCGAAACAGAAACTCGGCAACGTTGTTTCCCGGTCGCGGCGTTTTTGCCACTTGTCATCTTGTGGGATGCAGTTTATTAAGTCTATTTCAACGCAGCTAATTTTTGTTTATATTAATATTGCGATGAATTTCGTTTCAAATTTACAAATCGAAACTAAAACCTCTCTAGTGTTTATAATAGCTCTTATGACTTCCGCCGAGATTACCATAATTTAGAATATATCAGCAAATTCGTAGAACTGCATGATATATTCACAATTTTTACCCAATCCCGCAATTCAATGCACGCGTGTTGTCGCAAACACACCATGTCATATTATACTTCTTACAAATTTAACCTTGTTTAAATTTAAAACTATAGCGAGTAAAGTTCTATGCGATTCAGTCAAATTTTCGTAAATGAATATTTTTGTATATCCCAAATCCTTGTGGGGGTTTTCAAAATTCAAAGCAGAGGAAAAGGTTGATCTATATATAACTGCCAGCCATGCAGCGACTAAAATGTCATAAAACTAATCATCAAAACATTTTTATAAGTAAATTAGCGTGTAGGTACACCACTAAAGCTTTCGCCCTTCATTCACCGAAATCTTTGCAGTACGTAATAAATACTTAGGTGGGGTACCTGCAAGTCAATGTACCTTGCAAAACTCAAGAATATTAAAACAGTTTTATTAAAAAAATTTCCCCAGACCTTGAATATCTTGAAAATATTTTACAACTTGAAAACCGGAAATCAAGGTCTTGTAAAATCAGATATTCAACTTCTTAATTAGAAACAAAAGACGACTCAGACCATTATGTTCAAAATGATAATTTCACTCTATTTGAAACACTTTATTAATATTCGTGAGATTTTCATGGTGAATTAGTAATTAAATAATAAATTTTAGAAAACACCGCGTGCATTTGTAATATGCAGAACTTTCGGTCCGTCAAGGCGTTAGCCGGACCTTCGTCTTTCACCATCATTTTTCACTGGTGAAGACCCGGACTGATTATTTAAGAAGTTATTTTTAAAACCAGAAGCATAAGCGCTATAAGAATGGTTCATGTTACCAGGAACCAAGAGAATGGTTCCAGGTAGTGTATAAAATGAAACTCTTCTCTGGTCCACTAAACATAGAATTGCAAAACAACCTCCCTCCGGGGAGATTCCAAGTTTAACAAAATGCTCTTGACATCGCAATTCTGTGACAGCTACTATAACTAATGAAATATTTTTTGATAGTTCTTAAATGTACCGCAAAGAATTCATAAAAAAACTCTTCTCAAGAGCTCAATCATTTCTATTTTACTGGTCATCTATAGCTAGCAAAGGTGCTAAGATTTAGTAGCCCGAATTTATTTTTTTCTGCTAAATTTCCAGCGCTACGAGAAGCTTTGGAAGAGCAAGGTGGTGGTGGTGGTTCAAGAACAACTGTAACTCGAACAAATCGTTTCGTCTTTAATGAAAAGCACAGTCAGCACGTCGCTCTTAGTCCTGACAGAAGAACAGCGACGCGTCAGATGCCAATGTTTTGTTTTGATCAAGGCATTGCCTTCAGTGATCAATCATTAAATGATAACGAAATTTTTGAAATTCGTATTGATGAAATGATGCCTTTTCCTATGTGGAAAGGTTCCGTAGAGATAGGTGAGCCTGAAGAATGTGATGACATCAGTATCAGTTTGTGTACAAATGTTAGTCTATGGATGCATGATTTCTCTATTTACAGTTGGAGTTTTTAATACAAACTTTAAACTATAAACAGGCATAACCTCTCTAAATCCAATGGCCATTAACCTTCCAAAGACAATGACTGACCTCACCACTGGTACCTGGATGTTAAGCGGCAATCAGGTAGTGATCAATGGCAAAATAATTAGACGTGGGTAAGTAGTTCATTTAGTATATATTTCAATCAGTTCACAGAAAACAATAAAAGCTGCAGCATATTCAGAACAAAGCGTGTCTCTATTAGGATCAGTGGCGGATTAACGTATAAGCTGAGGCTATAAATATCACTAATCTGATTGCAAGTTAGAGCTGTGGTAACATATTCAGTTTTACACTGGATCCCCCTGGCCGTTCCCCGGAGACGCGAAGCCTATAAAGTTAAACATGATACCGATCAGTCATGCGAGAAAAACTCGTTAGCTAAATGCATGCTGGCAAATGGAACGAAATGACGAATATATATTGTATTTCCGCTACTCGTTTTTTATTAGGTAATATAGAAAGCGAGTATTGTAGCCAATCAGTTAGTTAGTTAGCAGTAAGTAGTACTCGACTGCGTTTTTACTAATAAGTCCTAAATTTCGAACAGGTATTGTCAAAATCTAAATTCGTTATCAGTCGGTGATCGTCTTGGTGTGTGTCGAGCTGATAATGGCACTCTTCATTTCTTTATAAACGGGAAACACCAGGGTGCTGCTGCATCTGGAATACCACAAGGTGAACAATTTTTTGCTCCATCGCCGAAAAAATATAATAAGCATATGATATATACACACATAAAAACGTAATGCTTATAAAGTCGCATGCATATCTGATGATTGTAAATGTGGTTTTCTGGGACGAGAATATTTGGTCTCGTTTACTTAAAACATTCGCTCTACTAATCCTCCTCAAAATTTTCAGATTATAAAAAAAATTTTAATATATAGGTGTCCATGCTGTTGTGGACATATACGGAAAGTGCACAAAAGTGTCCATCTTTTATCCTGGAGGTCCTCCATCTAACCCGAGTAGGCCTCACACTGCCCTCACAGGTAAATGCATATTGCAGAACACGTTAACGTTGTTACAACAACATCGTGAAAACGTTGTTCATCCCAATCATGCATGTCTATTGTTTAGCGCCTCCTGTGGCGGCACCTACGTCTAATGATGTTGAACTTCAGAGATACTATAAACAAAGACGATGGATCCAGGAATGTAGAACGCAACCATTTTCTCTTTGGTTGATGAGTCACCTCATGTCATCATCTACAGATGATGATAAAAGGGTAACATTTTTTGACAGTGAAACCTTTGCACCTATATTAGCCTAAAAACATTTTTACAAAATTAATTTGATCTTGTCAAAGGAAAGCTAACGAAGACCTGTATAGGCTTAAATTTATGAAAAATTATTTACTTTCAAAAATGTAAACCGAACACTAATTTCGTAAGATTTAATTTCTGGAAGTTCTTATGCGAACAATTTCTGATTTTAGGAGCTCTTCCTGTTTATCAATTCATTTGGTCATCGACTAAACCAGAGTACTGCTACTTGTGATGGATGTAATACAAAGATTGCTATACGATCAACTCGTTATCGCTGCATGGAATGTGAAGATCTGGATCTATGTGTAAATTGTTTTTCGTGTATGTATATAAAATAAGAGATCAAAATGACCAGAGCATGCCGAGTAACCAACAATTTTACCATTGAGAAGGTTCATGCCAGTGTGTACGCGGCAGGATTTTTTATAAGGAGCTTAGCTGTTTGTTGTGTACGTCCAAGTAAAAAAGTCGCTTATCATACCCACAAAAAAAATGAAATAATACTAGTAAAGGCCGACACACATGCATGGGCCGCGATCCGGCAACCCAACGCAATTTTGTCGTTTTTTTCAGTTTTCAAAATCAATTATGTTTCATTATGTTATGCTATTCTTGATCATCAGAATTGAATTTATTTGCCTCTAAAAACCAATAATTCCCGTCGCGTTCGCGAATTGCGTCCAGTGTGTATACACCTATAGGCCTTTATATAGAGAAAATTCTTCATTGATATCGATGCAGGTGTTACAGTAAATTGTTTTTGCAGTATATATAACATTTTGGTTTACCAATGTGAGTGAAATTATAATTTCTTAGCGAAAAGAACCCCGAAGGACCATCATTCAGGTCACAAATTGGCAGAAATGAGGTAAAAATGAAAGTGCAGCATTGTGCCACTATATTTAATCGTAAAACTATCACGCTAAAATTGAGGGGAGGGGGTAAAATGACATCCCCCTGCATGTCAACTAACGTTAGATGTGAACCAGGTCTTTGTTTGAACACTTTAGTTAAATATGCATGTTTATTTTTCTTCTTGCGGTCCGAATTCATATTTTAGCGTTTCTTGCAATCTGATTGCATGGCTACGCGAGCGGTCCGTATGAGGCCGTACGGACCGCGCGAGAATTAAAAGCACGCGCGCACGGGAGGCGGGTAATTGAAAAAGTAAATCTATTACTGTATTTACCAGTTTAGTCGGTCCGTATAGGGAAATATTTTCCTCGGTATAGGGAAATATTTGACCTTGGGAAATATTCCAATCTGCATGGTAAATAACATATATATGTATATATATTAATATTTAAATATCTTGAAATATGGCTTGTTCCTCTGTATGTAGGTGGTGTTGTGATGGTAAAGATTGTGGTGGTCATATCACAGGAGCCAGATTTCATTGCTTGGTTTGTGAAGACTTTGATCTTTGTTATGGTTGTCAAAAGACAAAGAACTGGCCTCCAAGGTCTGGTTAAAAAGTACTCGGTGCTTTAAAAAAATCCAAAATCAGCCAATGAGCTTGAAATATACATCATTGATATAGAATATAAAAAGCCAATATACAGTAATCATGTATTGTTTATAATTAAAATACTTAACGTTTTCCCATGCAGACACAAAGACAGTCACTCGATGACGAAAAGTTCAACCCTGATAGGTGAGCGTACAGTTCGATTACTCATAATGTACTTCCACCTTTTTCTGGAGAAAAGCACTTACATTTCGTCTTGCTAATTCAGTTAGCTGGTTACTTTCATTAAGACGTTAATCACACAGGGCAGCAGATACATGCATGATAATACACTAATTCCATTTATTCATTTAACTTATATTTTCGATTCCATCTATAAAAAGTTCTTCACTACATTTTTACCAAAATGCAAGGTATCTAACTCATAAGCACACATGAAAATTATACGATACTTTTTACGCGTGAGAATTCTATGTTGGAAAACGTATATTTGTAAAATTGTAAAATTTAATGCAAACAGGTAACCAACAGAGCGGAGCTGCTGCAACGGCTGTTGGTGGTGGGAGCAGTAAATTTTGCCCTCCGGGTCAACATCAGTTTTCTCTTGGTACATGCGTTATCTGCACAAATTGTGGTGAATGTACTGGCTATGGAGTAAACTGTATCAATAATAAGCAGACGAACAGAGATCCCAAAGGGTATGTTTCGGATCCTATCTTAGCTGGATGACATGCTAATGTCTGGTATGAAACATAAAGATATTAACAAGGATGTAAGATGTCAGCAAAAGTAAAACATTCTTTATCGTAAACGCGCACTTTGAATCTCTGGACTAGAGTATATTTCCAGACCACGCGACTCCCGATAAAATCTTTGGCATAAAAAACCTTAATTAATCATATTTATATATAAACTGTTTAAAGATTATGTGGATGCGGCCTTGGCGACGCTGGATGTACCAAATGCGGAATATGCAAAAAATGTGAAAACAAAATAAAGGGTAATTTTACCATTGTTTAGACTTATAGTTGATATCATTGTGGAGCTCTATTAATGAATACGCTCATATACGACCTATCGTCTATTTATCATCACTGAACTCTTGTCACTTATCACTTATATGTCACTTAGCCAAAATATTTTTTCTGCAGCGGGTCCAGGTATCGCGAGCCCCACAGTCACTTCTAGGCCGATAAGTGCACCAAGAAAGAAATGTGAATATCGCGAGATGTGTGAACGCTTTGTTAAATCTTTGAACATTTCAGGTATTTAGACAGTTTCAAAATTTCCTTATAGATTGATTTCATCAGCAGCAAAAACTTAAACTGATTCAGCTGGTTAAAAATGTGATGTTTCAATCGCCTGTGCTGTTGTAGCTCTCGTTCATGTTTCTATTAATTCTATAATGAAAAATTGCTTTCACCGCCATAAAGATTCTTTGTTGCATGAAAATACAGCTCCCAGGCAGTCAGTTGCAACACTACACACTCTATTAGGATATTATACACACCCTGTGTGTGCATGTGTTATTCATGAAATTTACAACATTCTCATATATGATTTATATTTTTAGATGAATTTTTTGACAAGACACCAGCATTCAACAAATGTTTTTGTGTAGATTGCCACAAAGCACGTGGTGACAAAGAATGCTATTCTCGTGGCAAGCCCGCACAGACTTATGCTTTACCAATTGGCTGGAGTCGGTTTTCTATCAAGTAAACTAAAATTAAATAAAACACATATACATATAGCTATGTGGGGACTTCCCATTTCAAAATTTTGTGATTTGCTGAAAATTCCGCAACATTTTGAAATGCAGAATACCAATAGTTTTGACACACATGGGTGTGATGCAACCATTGGTGCACTAATATATCTTAATTTCCACGAATTTCTTAATGAACATATACCTTATAAAGTAACAGCAGCTTAGCACGCCAATGAATAATTAAAATCGTCGATTCAGTGATTGCAATTGCGACCAACGATATGATGTGTATTGTAATTTATGTTTAGTGCAGTTGGTATCAAGGATATTACTAGATATATGGCAGGGATTCGGATGAGAAGTGATTAAACTAATTAGGTATGTTTCCTATATCATTCACAGAGTTGGCCCACACGCAAAAGTGCTGAAAATCTTCGAGGAATGGCACGTGGCCTTTCATGGAACACAATCAAAGTATCTTAAGCCGATATTTCACAATGGTGCTCAATTGCTTATGGCAGGTAGATGAAATAAATCTTCATTCCAAGTTCAAGCCGAATTGGAATGGGCTGAATGAGTATAATGTACGAAACGCAACTAATAAATTACATATATTTCATTGACATTCGGAATGACGGATACATGATAATATTTCTATAGTGATAGACAACATTTATTTCCTCCAAAATTCCAGGTAGACTTGCGGCCATTAATATATTATCACTATATATACTCGCAGCTTGGTTATACTGATCAGCGTTTACTTTTCCATATAACTTATGCATATGAGTATAGTTTATAAAGACGGTATTATTTCTGACTTATCTCTGCAGGGGATGTTGCCTATGGAGGAAGCGAGTTACATGAAGGTGAAGGACATTACAATGAAAACTGGAAACCAAAAGGATTTGACACGAAGAAAATTTTCGTCTCTCCAAGTATAAAATATTCTGGATGCCCTGTTTATGCAAAGAAACAAAGGTATGCCTGTCCACAGTCCACATTTCACATGAGTATTGTGCGGCATACCTATGCGCCACCTCCTCACTGTGTGTTTGTATCGACAAATAGTTATTCGTTTCAGTAAGTTTGACCTGTGGGGAAAAGCATGGCAGACGGCAAAAGAAAGTCGAACAATCTTCATGCAAATGAACTGCATGATAAACGTCCAGTATGAAAAGATACAGTATATTAGATAATAGATAAGCCCTTATATTCCAACCACAGTAATAAATTAAGCAAGGGTGTCACGCGCTAATGTATGGGCAATTTTGGTAAAGAGAGAAAAAGAAAGATTAATACAATTTTTCCTTCCTACAGTTTTGTTGATCCTGTTACAAAAAAGACTGTATCAGTACAAGTTGCCATGCAAGTCTTGATACGGCCTGGATCCTACGATATTGGAAAAACTACTGTAGAACGAGCTCAGCCTTTCGATGCTAATTTTAGTGATGATGAATTAGAATGGTCAACCAAGGAAAGAGGAGCCGTAATTGTAACTGGACTGTTGGTGAAAATACAATGATAATCCTTTCTATTTCGTTAAATGAATCTACAATTACACCCAAGCAGAAACGGAGGACCAAGGGATGAAACAATACAAATTCGCGAAATTGGCCATTTCGAAGATGCAGTAGAGAAGTTGCAGGTATCAAGTGACTGTTTTTGGATGTAAACAAAAGTTCGTCCCAAAAACAGCCCCGCACATCACCAGTCTTCTACAGCAACTTTGAAATGGCTAATACGAATAACAAAATAATCAGAAAGAAACTCAAATTCAAAATCAGAAAGAAGCACAAACCCATGCAAAGGCAATTCCAGAGCGACAAGGAAAATGACTCAAAAGATCAATAATCATTCAAGTAAATTGGCCGCCTATATTGAAGAAGGCGCCACCATATTCAAGCCCTTCGTTCGGGTTCAGGATTAAATAAGGATTGTATTTAGATTTTTATATAGTAAGAAATCATGTTTAACAGTACAATTGTGTGAACATTAAAATTAAAACAATTTTGACGTATAGTAACGATTCTGCTTATATCACGCGAATACTCTAATGTTTTGGAGTTCAGTTGTATTTCCCATGAAATCACTAAATATAACTTGATCCCCAGGTGGTAATTCAAATGATCATAGAATGTTTGGTAATTAAAAAGATGTTTGCATGGAAACTATTGTTCACAATGGCATGATAACATTTTCAAAATTTTGCATATGCAAATGTCAATCATACAATAATATATTAAAATCAGTGGCGAAGTGCTGTTATTTGTCTTCAAAGAAAAGGTGCATGAGAAAGCCGAAGAAAACGTCGGAATTTTTATAAAGATGGCATCGCTCTTTGATATGTTTCTTCTTAGAGCCGGTGAGTACTTGGGAGAAATATGTTATTTTTGCTTTTTTTACTTTGGTTTTTGTTAGAGCATTTTTACCAGCAATGAATACAGTGATATTCTATATTAGCAATAAAACATGCCAAGAAAGCCGAAGCTTTGATGCGTTTGCTATTGCTACGGGCTGTGCCGAATATATGACATCTTAGACTCTCTACACAACAGTCAGTATATACCTGCAGTCCCCACATTTTATCATTTAAAATACGACACAATTCAGAAGTTAACCGAAAGCTAAGTGAAACCGAAACTGCATCATACAAAATTATCGTACTCCGTGAAACTATATACCTCGTTTAGTTTCTGGTAAAGTGAAAACTAGCTACATGTAAAATTGCAAAACGAAAAGTTTTTGACGTGCTGTTTAGTTTATTGATTATAAAATACCATTTGCCTTGTAATAGAGTTGTTGTTTTTCTGATTATGAGCCGAACTGCAATCAGAAATTGGTAAGCTAATTCAAAACATTGCGTTTCATACGTATACCCTGCATGAGACAGAGTAAAAAAGAGCTTTTCGTGCAAGGAAGAGCACAACCAACCTTTTAGGGGAAGGTTTTTGCACTTTTGATACATAGTAAATTAGTGTCTTGATATATCGAACACGATTAGCAAATGTTTATAGCTATATAATTTATGATATAGTATACGTATATCAAAACGTAATATTATGATATTTTACTTTCTAAGTTAAAATAATAAAATTCTTTCATTTTCAGGATATTTTTGTTTGTTATTTTATGTTGAAAAAAGTACTGTTGTGTAAATAATCTGTTTTTGGAGACAACTGGCTGTATTTAATTAGGAATTAAATCGCTGCATCCATAAGAAGTTCAAAGAATCATCGGGACAAATTCTGAGAAAATCTAATGAAAATTTGATGAAAGCGTCTTAGCATGAACCGCGGAGACAGAGGGGGAGGGGAGGGGGGCACATAGCTGCTTTTTCCAGCTACAGCAAAATTATTGGCGAGATTTGACTAGAAAAAATGGGTCTGCATTAGGCTAATCGATTATTATGAAATTATCCATCTGGGCGTTGTAATCAGTTTCTATCACAGGCCTCAGAAATTTCTTCTTATTCTCATTTGTGACATTTTTCTTGCAATTAGCCATGCGAGCAGCAATGGAGAGCAGTGACGACGACGACGATCCTGATTCAACAACGGCTGTAACTCGAACAGATCGTTTTGTCTTCCATGAAAAACACAGTGAGCTCGTGTCGGTTAGTTCTGACAGGAAGACAGCAAAACGTCAGATATCCATGCTTAGCTGTGATCGAGGCATAGCGTTTAGTGAACAACAGTTGCGCGATGATGAAGTTTTTGAAATTCGTATTGACGAAATTATGCCTTTCTCTATGTGGGAACGTTCCCTAGATATAGGTAAGTGGGATAGAGCGAATAGAGTGACAATTTAGAGTACATATATAGACTATAGAGTGCGCTGAGAGTTACATTATTTCTCTTTTTCGTTGAAATTCAGGTGTTACTGCCTTGGATCCTATGTTTATCGACCTTCCAAAGACTATGACTGACATCATGAGTGGTGCAGGCACCTGGATGTTAAGTGGAGATACAGTGGTCAAAAATAGGGTGATAATTAAACGCAGGTCACATGCACAACTCGCGACATTAATGCTATTTATGTCGATTCTGTTTGACTAGTTGACTATCTCCCAACAAAGGGAGGAGCACTTTAGGATAACTATATTGTTGCATACTCATTGTTTTTCAGCCTTCATTTGCAATTAAGAACAGAAACTAGAAACATTTTACAATGCAAAGGTAACAATGACATCATTCTCGTTTGCGCAGATACTGTCGCGATCTCAAATCACTATCAGCAGGTGATCGTCTTGGTGTGTCTCGAACAAAAAATGGTTATCTTCATTTCTTTATAAATGGTGAACACCAGGGAGTTGCTGCCAAAAATGTACCACAAGGTAAAAGATTTCACATATCATTCTATTATTTCATATCACACATGTCATATTGCATCCTCCATGTATGTATGCACTACATATACGAGGGAATTCAATTTATGTTTAGGCTTATCTTGCAATGAGCATATGTTGCATTTTCGGTCTACGTATTCGCTCACTAAATTCACGGATGTCAGCTTATTATATTCATATGAACAAGCGAATGCTCCGTTATGGTTAACTTTTTCCGGTCTACATGAGAATCCATGTAAGAGTTTCTGTAAATTAATTGCATGATGAGCGATCAATACACGCAGTGACTACACACAGAGACACACATCACAAATGGAGAACAGTTCCTTGCTAGGGAATTAAAGAGCCTTCCTTTTCCTTTTACCTAACATCACTAAAAATATATTTCTATACTAGGTGTTCATGCTGTCGTGGATATCTATGGAAAGTGTACTAAGGTTTCCATTTTTTATCCTGGAGGTAATTCATCTAACCGAAGTTACCCATCTTCAACAGGTTTGTACATTGTAACACGCAAGTCTTATTGAAGAAACTCTCCATTATTTCGAATAATTAAGTGGTATCACAATTTATTTCCTGATTATGATCATCAGCCGTCGAAATTGGTAGAAATTAAATTTGAAATTGTTTTGTACATATTATTATTTTACTGAATTATAGGACCCTCTCTGACAACACAGAGCGACCCCGAACTCACGAGATATAAAAAACATCGTCAGTGGCTGCAGGAATGTAAATCCAAGGGATTTCAACGTTGGGTATTTAGTCAAGTAATGTCAGCGACCTCAGATGATGAAAGAAGGGTACGCTATGTATAAAATTGTGGATTATGGTTATGTGAATTGTGGTTAAGTGGATACAAATCGAAAACACCTTATAATGAAACGTCTGTCATCAAGCAGGCAGTAGTGAGGTTTAGGTTTGGCTACAACTACCACTACTACAAGCGGTCCCAATGCGCTCGTGGTTATTTAATCCGAACCTAAGGCTGGTTTATACACTTGCGAATTTTGCTGCGATATAATAGAAGCGATTTTCTTCTTAAGATGGATGTGAACAAGTACGGAACGGATGTTTGAAACCGAGCATTTATACATATCTTATCTCTCGTAACTATTCGCTTGTTTAAATCAAAAGACAAAACTCTCGTACCCGGCCTTTGTAGCCCCGTTTACACTACACTCGATTTATTAGCACGGCACGGCTAAATCAATAGTCACCTCAAAATTATTGCATTCGGTCGGTTGTTTTTCCTAAATTGAGGGTGCCTGTAGTCGCGTTGTGGCAGTCAAATCTGAACCTCGCTATCATAATAAATTCAGCTCGTCTTCAACTATATAGTGGGTATAAAATTAATCTGAGTGCATGGTCATCCCATCTTGTTTCAACTCTTCCATGCATATCATTCAATATTTGCTATGTTATTTTATGATAGGAACTCTTTCTGTTTACCAGCGCATTTGGTCACTGTCTAGATCAGGATACTTCCACTTGTGATGGGTGTAAAAAAAAGGTTCCTATAAAATCACATCGCTATTTATGTATGGAATGTCAAAATCTTGACTTGTGTGACAATTGCTTTTCATGTAAGTAATATGTGTATATCCATGCATGCAGCCATGTATCCACTCTTTAATTCAATTCTTAATTAAATTCCAGATCTACGATTGGTTAATTACGTAGATCGAAGAATTGGAATCTAACAAACTAAAGATCTCAAGATCTGTTAAAATGCGATTGCGTGTGTGAATATTTTGACTGCACTCTATACAGAATACACAGCGTTGAAACTGCTCAAAAGCCACGTAGAATAAACAAGGCTCTTTAGTGAAACGTGCAAATATAACATTTGTTGCTATACTTAAAATTTGTAAACTTCGCGTAACTTTTTATTTTCATCAGCTAATAGAGAACCAAGAGATCATCAATTGGACCACAAATTGGCGGAGATGAAGTAGGTGTCTTTTATATATATAAAAAATGTAAAAAAGCTCCATGAAAATGACGCGAAATTCTTCCGCCGCGATGTCATATATAAAAACAAAACAGAATTGTTGACTAATAGTGTATGAATTTAAAAAGAAGAGGAAAATGATTCGCTTTTACAGGTGGCTTTGTAAAGGCAAAGATTGTGGTGGGTTTATTACAGGGGCTAGATTCCAATGCATGGTTTGCAAAGACTTTGATCTTTGTTATGGTTGTCAGAAGACAAAGAACTGGCCCATAGGGTAGGTGTTCTTTATTATTGGAATCCATGCATGTGTGGAGATAGGATAAAAGTAGTATAGACTGTGAGTATAGACTGTGATAAACGGGTCATAAGCCAGTATACCCGTTTTAAGCAACTGTATGAAAATGGAAGTGGAGTGGTATAAAGATATAAAAGTGCATGACAGTCGTGCAGAAGGTAGCATAGGGTACCGTGTTAAAAAATACAATATAAGAATGATAGTGAACAAATAGTGGTGAAAATAGTAATGAAGTAGTATAGAAGCATTAAAAAAGCCATGCAATGATACGATGAAGACATAGACCGTCGTTGTATAAAAAGCAAAGTAGAAGTCTACATAAAGAAGTTAAAAGAAAATAGTATATAGAAGACTCATAGAGGTAGTGAGTGAGAAGCATCTTCGAAAGTTATTGATAAACACGGGTATAGAAGCTGTATTGAAATAGTATACAGGAGAAATAGAAACGTAGCGTAGGTTACAGTCACAGAGGTATATAGTATAGCAGCGGTTTAGAAAAAGAAAAAAAAGGAGAAAGGTGAAAATATTTACCCTAAGACTGAATGCGATTGCGATACCGATGCATGTGTCTCCGAAACCTAGAATGGTTTTAATCACGATTAAAATAAATGCGAGATATACCACTGCACCCTTATCTTAAATATGTAACATTATTCCAGGCACAATGAGAATCACACGATGACAAAAAGTTCAACCCTAACAGGTGAGCATGGGTTACCACTGCGTTAATCATGGTAACTACAACCACAGATTACTATATATTTATCAACTTTAGTTTTTAGATTACTTATTAAACCTTAAACGGCATGCATAATTTTCTTGACAGTATACTTACAAAAGTAGATCTAGGATTCTCGTAGATGGCAAGACTACCACAACCGACAATTTTCATTAGTTCAAAGAGGTCGGCCGCAAAGTCAACAGAGCCCGCGAGCAGGCCAACAGAGTCAAAGCGGAGCGACTGCCTTCAGTACTTCAAACAGTAACTATTGCCCCAAAGGAGAGCATAATTTTTCTCCTGGTAAATGCGTTATCTGCACGAATTGTGGCGGATGTACTGGCTATGGGAAAAATTGTGTTATGAGCAACAAACGGAGCAGCAGTACCCCTAAAGAGTACGTGTTTCTAAATAGGATCTGCATGACTGCGTGAAAGTATTGGGGTAGCATCTAGCACCTCTAATTCATTCATAAGGGCCTGCATGACAGGGTCTCAAACATGGAACTTTGGGTCTCAAACATAGAACTTTGTAAACAGCTCATGCAGCAACGGTAGATTTCCTCTCTCTGTGAATTTGTCTAGATGCTCATTAAACTGGCGTCATTTACAAACTTGACGGAACAAATTTGAACACACGAGATTGACTATACAACAAGTAACATCAACTGACTAACACTCACTTCAATTATGTATGCCGGATCGCTTGATTAAATTGTTGATTGATTGATTGATTGATTGTAATTAAGATTATGTGGATGCGGCTATGGTGACGCTGGGTGCACAAAATGCGGAGTATGCAAAGGTTGCGTAGACAAAATAAAAGGTAATGGACCTTAATTCTCGCAGGGATTGCTGGTTCCGCAGACGTGTACGAGCTAGACATTTTTCACAGGGGATGTAATCTCTTCATATACTGAACTTTTCAGCGAGCCCAGTCACCTCGAGGCCCTCAGTCACTCCCAGGCCGATGACTGCGGCAACGCAGAAATGTGAATTTCGAGAGATGTGTGAACGTTATGTTAAATCTTTGAAAATTGCAGGTATGGAAAATTTCAGTCAATTTTTGACTGAAGATGTCTTTTCAAGATCCTTGCAGGGTTTAAGTTTTGGAATGAAATCCTTGTAATCACGCCAATATTCGTGGTTCCCTAAACGTTTTCATGCTGACATGATTTATATTCTTAGATGAATATTTCGACGATACTCCAGCTTTCAATAAATGTTTCTGTGAAGACTGTCACAAAGCTCGAGGGGACAGAGAGTGTTACTCCCGTGGAAACCCCGCAAAGATTTACGCCTTACCCATTGGCTGGAGTCGGTTTGCTATTAAGTACGAACACGTAAAATCTAAGAAAAACTTTTTTTAAGTTAAAAAACTAAACTTTGCTAGCTAAGCGGCAGCACTCAAAATATAGACGAAATCATATGTTTGGATAGAAAGCCGACCTATTGTTAGGAATTTAGAAATGCACTGCAATTAAACGAATGCATGCAACTAATGTCCTATCGCTCTTATTTGCAGAGTTGGTCCACACGCCAACGTATTGAAGATATTCGAGAATTGGCACGTTGCGTTTCATGGAACCGAGGCAAAATACCTACAACTAATATTTAACAATGGTGCTCAATTGCTCATGGCAGGTATAAATAAGGTCCTGATGTTGATTTCTATTTCCTATTACTTGCATTAAACCACGCATCTCTAAATTTTGGTTTAAATTGTAAGTTTAAATTTCGGAAATCACGGCTATTACATGTATGACACAATTAAAATTTCTTCTGAGATTCGATGCCCAATTTTGTGTCACAACTTCTATTAATGCGGCATCAGAAAAAAAGCTACATCTCAAAGCTAAATAATCGTGCGATTATAATGCCGCTTCCGGATACGCTGAATTTCGGTTGATGGGGCATTTCAGCTTATTATACAGACAGTCTTTGATGTTTTCATCACATGTGAAATACGGCCTTTGAATCAAGCTTTATGCACGTGCTCAAGTGTGGTGTACCTCTGCAGGGGATGTTGCCTATGGAGGAAGCGAGTTACATGAAGGTGAAGGACATTACAATGCGAACTGGAAACCACGGGGATTTGACACGAAGAAAATTTTTGTTTCTCCAAGTATCAAATATTCTGGCTGTGCTGTTTATGCAAAGAAACAAAGGTATTATAATGCCACCCTCTCATGCACAAATTTTATATAGCTATGCACGTGCAGTCACCACATACGATGCATGTCATTATAGTTGCCCATGCCCACTTTGGCCGTAACGAAGGTATATAGAAGATAAAACCTCAAATTACGGGAACCACTGAGTATTTTGGTAACATATAAAACAATTATAGAATCTCCGTTAAAACTAAACATATATTATATTTTTCAAAATGTTTACTTTTTTCGGAGTTTTTACAGTTTTATATTATATATTTTATATAAAACACGTACGTACATATTTTCGAAATTAAAGCCTTCGTTTTCTTAATTTCTTAACGACCTCGGGCCGGAATAATACGTCGTTGTTTCTGGATCGGCCGCTGCATTTAAAGTGCTTTGACCATTAAGTAGGAAACGCGTAACTATAGGTTTCGTACGGTCAATTAAGAGTGTATGATATAAACTTTTCCCGCAACTATAATCATGATTTTTGCCCTTTCTTAGTTTCATTGATCCTGTTGCAAGTAAAAAAGTAGCAGCACAAGTTGCCTTACAAGTGTTGATACGGCCAGGTTCCTATCAGGTTGGAAAAACAACTGTGGAACGAGCCCAACCTTTTGATGCTAATTTTAGCGATGAAGAACTAGAATGGTCAACAAAAGAAAGAGGAGCCGTGATTGTAACTGGACTACTCGTTAAAATCACAAAGGTTAATACTGAGGCGGAACAGAGCAAGCAAAGATTTTAGTATTAGTTCATGCTTATTATTAAAAGCAATATCAGCTTGACTTAGTGTGACATGGAAACAGTGTACATTGCCTAGAAAGTTCCTGGGATGATGCATTTAGGAATGCCATATAAACACTCAGTTTGCGAGTTTATATTAATGGTGCATGCCCATAGAGAAGTGAGGGCAAATACCAGAACATATTTTTATAGCTCAAGATAATAGACACCTTCCTGGTACAACTTGGTAATCTATGGTTATATGCATGTCTATCACTAATATTTTCACTAATATATATCGTGTCCGGTAGAGCCTATGCAATTTGAATATATTAGTCTTTTTCACAAAACATCTCATCTACTTATTTTATCAGCAAATTGTATGCAAACTCACATGTGCATGACCAGACGTTGTTGGTCAGATATAGTATAGAAAAAATTATGTACGTAGGCATACAGTCTGGCAGTGGGCACTGATATCAGTGGTAGTGGGGGCACGGTTGCGAGAAACATTTAAATCAAGCAAAGTTGAGCAAATTTGAATGTACAAAAGTTGATTGAATTTTACCAAAACGTGGCCATTCTTCACTGTATTACTTATTATATTGATTTCCTTACGGACCTTACGGATTACGACTCTCTTTATAAATTTTTTGAATTCTTAAGTACTTGATTGACAAAATGCCTGATGCAAAAAAAACGTGTAGCACAACAGTGGTCCCATGTATGAAATCGAGGCTCTCTGCCAAACTTTGCATTACGTCAATTGTTTATAAATAGACAAGGAGACGCCATATTTGAGATTTTAAAACATTAATAAAATCATTTCTTTTAAAGATTTTATAAGGTATACAATATGAATATAACTTACATTTGTTTTATTTTTGTACTTTATTCTCCTGAAGCTATCAAACGTGTTTAAACTCTCCCCACGGTATTTTTTCCTCGATATCTTCACAAGCTCCCTTCCTCTTCGACTTCGAAGCGATTCGTGTATTATTAATCGTTATTGTCTAGGTTGTGTCGGAGCACTGAGGGCCTTTTTCGAACGAGGACAAGAAGAGAAAAGAAACATGGGTGACAATGACAAACCATTTGCCTGTAAAGTTCCGGGATGCGGCCAGGTTTGTACAGAACTCGAAACCATTTTATCACAATATAGCAGCATGCTTTCGAAAAGATGAGGTCATTTCGTTGGGATAAACTGACGTCAGTCTAACACTAAACTCTTATGTAATGTCGAGGTTTTTGCCCTATTTTCATAGACATTCACGAACAATGATCGTCTAATGATACATCGTCAAACTCATTCATTGAGAGTAAAAATAAGCGGCAAGAAAGGCGAAGACAGTATTCCCGGTAAGATGACGTTGCTTTATTTTAATTTTTAAAAATATAAAGGCGCATCTGCTCGATTTTCGGATTAGGTTTAGAACATATCATATCTCATAATATATGAAACGCTCGATTTTCGTGTTTTACTTTTACTGTAAGTGGGTATTCTGACCAGGCTTGTGCTACGTTGTCTAATATATTTGGGAGGAGATAAATTTTATTGATAAATTTACTACATAACACTAAATAAATTGCATATAATATTAAAGCCTTCTTGCAATAAAAAATTATATGAAACAATACGTTAGAACACATTGAAATACGTGATAGAGGGTGTATGGTAGAGGTTTATTGATTTAATAGACTAACTTCAATTAGACCTGATACAGTATACCAGTAGATGGGTGTGTCAAAAAGGTTTTGGTTTGGAACATCTGTGCACAGGCTAACACAGTTGGACATTTGCTAGTCTGACAACTATGCATTTTGGCTATTTAACCCGGTCCTATAAATAGCCCAATAAATAATACAATGAAAATCTAAAGTTTAATTCAACAACATCCAGACTCATCTACCATCTAAGTGTACTTGGCAACAGCTTTTTTAGTAAAAATTCATTTTGTTTAAACAACTGTGCAAATTGTAATTTGACCTTTTATATATACCAAGATGGTTTATTCTTATTCTGTGAAATGGAATTTTCATTTACAAATTGACAGCGTATATAATTCATAAACGTCTTTAGATCAAACTCCAACACCAACAAGATTTTTAAAGAACTGTGAGGAAGAAGGATTGTTTGATGAACTGGGTGAAAACAATGAGAATCCATTTGATAGAGTATGTTCTGTATCTACCACTACAGGATTACCAGAATGCAAATATATTTATAGCACAGAACATCATCTGCATTGAGCATCAATGACTTCTTTTATCCTGATTTTAGGAATTTAGTACAGCAACGACAAAACAACCACATGAAAAGAAGGTAGAGTTTTTTGTTGTTGAAAAAATCATTAGTAAAGATATGTGCAGAGTATCATTTGTGTAAATTTGTATTTATACTCAAAATGTGCATTTAGAGTGTGGAAAATTCAGTTGTTAACACGCCTGTCCCAGTTAACACGCCTGTCCCAGAATTGCCTGTGCCAAAGAAAGTGATTGATATTGTTACTGATCAGACTGATGCAGGTGACTCTGGGATCAATGCCCCTCCTGCAGCCCATACTGTAGTAATTGATGGACGTAATGGTGCAATACCGAATGCCACTGACTTTTTAAGTCAAACTGCACAGGCTTCTGAGCATTCTGGACAAGGTATTAATACTACAGTACAATAAAATGTTCTTCTTCATTAGAAATACCAAATAGCTTAGTTCTATAGGGTCAGTGTCTGCCTTACTTGGATAGCGTGTAGATTCCTAAAATGTTTATTACAAAACAAAAAACCCTGGCTAGGGATAGGTATGTCATTATTGTAAATATGCCATAAAGGTTTCTCAAAATATATTTTAGAAACAAAGGTTCAAGTTAAATCCCCGACTGTCTCGGTTTTGGTTACCCGAAACAGGAATACCAGTACTCGCAAAGTCATCCCGCCATTTATTGCCCACCCTGGTAATGCCGTACCAAAGGCCACCCCCGCTCCACTTACTATAGTTAGCAATGCCAATGTCCATTCCATTCCAACCCGAGCTATTGTTGTAACGCCAACTGGAACTGGGAAGTCTGGCTCCTTTGTAAAAAGTGCAAAACAGGTGAGATACAATGAGATGCGTTTGAGGAAGAGTTGAACACAAGGTTTGCAAGGATACATTATCACATTGGTTGTGAAGGGTCAAATTTGAAGTGAAAACGTACGCTTAAACTAACGTAATTTTATCTCAGGCGATGGTAATATCTACGTTCACGAGTTATTCAATTGTTCTCACGTGCTGCTTTAATTTTTATGCCTGTGCTGTCGGGAACTTTGCATCACCTTTGTTGAGCGTTTGGTTTACATGTATAAATATACTTACTCTTTTTATGCAACAGCTTTGATTTGACGTTAATGTGCAGCCTTTAACGTACGGGTTGCTCTTATTATCTAAATTTACATTCAAAGTTTCCTACACAAAACACCATACCATGTGGTATACAGAGTACAGCCCCCTCTTTGCTTTGTACATACGTATGTAAATTTACCACATTTTCAAACCACATGTTGAATGGTTAGTTTGCATACGAGGTGCATACTGCCGGTTTCGTGATCTTTGTTCATCACAACTTTCTGCGATCAGAGGTAGCTACATTTTAAACACAGGTAGATAAATACCAGGGACCGGTTGTTCGAAAGGCGTTTAGCTTAAACGGTAGATAAGCGAAGTTTAAAAATACTCTCATACATTTTGTGAATGACAGAAACGACATCTTATGTTTTAAATATGTACTTCCATTGAAAATTAAACTATTTACATCGAAATATTTCAGCTTAGTTGTTCAATAAATAGATTTTGTTTTCCATTTTGAAATTATTCATGCACCGTTTAAGCTAAACGCCTTTACCCGTCAGGAAATTTGTTCTGTGTTCAATAACTAAATATACCAGTCATGCACTGTATATTTATTTTTATTTTAATTTGTTTTCTCATAGATATTAAAGGAAACCATTCGTATTCAACAGTCGCAAGGCAAGGATGTTAAAACAAACCTTGGAAATATTATAAATCAGGCTATGGACGAAGCGGTTTCTGTTGTGAAAAGGCCTTCGCCGAGCCAGAATTCCGAGAACGATGACGTGTCGAAAGAGAGAGATGCAAAACCAATGTAAGGATTGTCAGACACCGTCTACAACAACGTTTGGCTTACTTATCCAGTAATCTGGCAACTCTGTGTGATACAGCTTCTGCCATCCGCACGCTGGTAGAAATCTTAAATCTAAAAGCTCTTACAGTACCCTAAATAACACAGTACCCTAGATCCTGTTAAGATCTTAAAATTCCTAGTTAAGTAGAGGATCGTAACAAACTCAATTTACATGCAAATTAATTGCATGAAAATTAATTTTGTTAGCCCGTCAAAGGTTGAATATGAAGGTCCCAATTTTGATCTTAATTCTTACTTAGAAAACGAAATCGTCGATCACAAGAGGATTTAACACCCGATGAAAAACGCGAAAAATTCCTAGAAAGAAACAGGTTGGTGGTGTTCATGTTAAAATAAAGTAAATCTTGCATTGGCCATTGTTCCGCGATAAATTTCCGGTATTTTCCGCCGAGGGAAATTTCTTTCGAAACGTTTCTTGACTTATTTTAAGCCTCTTACGATTTTAGAGCGGCAGCAACTCGCTGTAGAGAAAAACGTAAAATGTGGATAAATGCATTGGAGAAGAAAGCTGAAGAAATGTCAGAATTAAACAGCCAATTACAGGTCGGTAAAACTCTGTAATATTTACGAGCATAGTTTACCAGATTTGAAGAAGAACTGGTTGTAATTTCACTGTAAAATTTCTATATGCTCTGTCACAGGCGCTTAGTTTAACTTCAAGATTAAAAACTAACTTGAATTTACGACTTACGAGCATGCATGTATTTATTGCCTGTGATACCTTATTTCGTTAAACCTTTCTTTAGAACGAGATTTCCTTCCTGAAGCACGAGGTTGCGGAACTGAAAGCACTGCTCTTGGCTCATCGAGATTGTCCGCTATCGATAAACCAGCAAAAAACCAATCCTGGATTATTTGAGCAACTGAGCAATCAAGTCGTCATTGATATCTCCGGTAGTGAACAACAAAGTGCTGAAGCTCTCACTCAAATGGCAGAACGAGCTTTTGTGACAGCGGACAGAGAAACGTCGTGTAATATATGACGAGCATTCATAGGACGTGAATTATACTGTATAAATAACACATTATTTAATCAAAGAAAACTCAATATATATATAATGTAATCGTATCGTTTTCAAGTATCGATCTATTTGGATGGGGAGAGTGCTGGTCATCTATTTTTATTATAACGCAACCAAAACGCAACGTCGTTCCCAGGGTATTCGCTCGGCTTCAGTGAAGCAGAGCCAGTGAACTCTATGTGAACTGGAACGCTAACTCGGCTTTTCACACAATCTTTACTTATTCTATATAATTTTATTTTCCATCCTTGTTCGATCTACGCAGTGACGAATTCAGCGTTTGTCACAACAAATTACAACAGCTAGCTCTCATTAGAGTATATTAATATTTTAAAATGCCTGTTTAATAAAATACCTACGTTGGCAGTTTTGAGTTCTAAAATATTCTTTCATAGCAATTTAGAAACTTATTATGAGCAGTAAGAAAAACGTCGCCGATTACGTATTTCAGTTGTTTTGTAGTAATCGCTGCCATCTTGTTTTTGAGATGCAGTGTTCTGAGTGGCTAGCATATTCTCCCAATAAGACAAGTTCTCATGTCACCAACTGTCGGCGATAACAAAGCACGTCAGTTTTCGTCAGTTATCGCCGATAGAATAGTTATCGCTCTCAGCATTCACGGAATTTTGTCAATAAATACGTCTACTATGCCTATTGACCCTAAATGTTTTCAATATTAATAGTCGATCCAAAGTAGAAATCTGTTGACGTACATTGCTTCGAATGTATAATTGTTGTTGAAATGCAATTTTTATATAGAGTTTACTTCACCCATAATATTCACAATCCTGTTGTCGTATTTCTTGGAAATTTCTTCAGAAATCTAAAACGTGCATGCTCTTATTAGAATCGTATTCATCGTGAAATATGTACAGTATGTCGTAGAAGAACATACTGCTGTTTTATGTGGCTGTTCTAACTCCTATATGACATACCTGTTGCTGTAGTTGTTTAGTCTTCGTCACAATGACGTCAAGTTTTGGTTCCAGTTCACTTTGATGAGCCGCGGCTTCTCGTTTTCTTTCAGCTAAAACTTTGCACGAAGCTTGCATCTTTTCGGATAACTTCAGTTTATGTTGTAGGGATTCCGTTAAGCGGTCAACGTATCTATAAAGAAACTTGAAAATTGAACAGCGAACCAACGTCATTCAGTCAGTGTACAAGCCTGTTTCCTACTTGTTTCCTTTCCTTTTTTGTGTAGGGAAATGTCAACCTCGCAGTCAGACAAGGTATTTGAAGTAAAAAATTCGAAGAGGTCGACCAGAAGAGTACAAATGCATACAAATATTTCAGTATTTAATTAAATTTTGGTTTAAAATCAGGCTGCGTCTAGATGAACACATAGGGCTACAACATTACCTTGGCGAGGCTTTTATTAAAAACAAGTTTTGTATTTTGACTGATGTTAAAACGTTTACAATGTCATCGATTTGATCTTTCATCGCTTGGACACTCTCACGTGATTGTCTTTGTAGGATATCGCGAGAAGACTGAAACTAATAGTAGAAGACCGAAAAAAAATTGAGGACAACATTTTTGATGCGAAGACTACCATAGCGCAGCTTTACATGTAAATATATTAACCTGATTAGAAGACAAAATATTCGTATCATCTTCCATTTCTTTCAATCTTTGATCCAGGAACGCTTGAAGCTGTAAAATTACATTTTTTTGAGTACCGGTATCTTAGTGAAAACTGACAAACAGCCAATAAAAATCATTTTGCGACAACGCGATATTTTGATGGTTTGTAGGTGAGGATGTTTTTGACGTATACAATCTTCGATCGTCCGTCTTTTGATGGGTCAAGAAAACGATTGTATATGCATAGTTCAACGAGATTCTACACACCTCTAAAACTTCGTCGATATAACTATTCCTGGTTTGTGGATAGGCCAGCATGGTTAAGGCATCCGTACCTTGAGCTATGCCATCATCACCAGAGTCTACAATATATAAGAGAAGCATTTTACATTGGATGTTGTACACAAATGTGCATCTTAAGGAGAGGGAACCTCAATCATATGTATATACCGGTAGAAACGCCAACGATTCTGACCTCAATATATATACTGAACTTCGGTTACAATAATTGCATTGCGAAGTACATGTGACTTGGTGCAAGTTAAAAATCTATTTTACCTTCAATTTTTATTTCATTTGAAATAGAATCTCCAAAGTCTATTGCTTGTCCATCTCCATTTCCATAATCAATATTATCGCCAAAATCAATATTATCGCCATAATCAATACTTTCGATATTATCACCAAAATCGATATTTTCACCAAAATCAATAGCACCATTTTCTTATAAAAAATGAATAAAAAAACTTCTGCAGTGGTGTTTTTACGACGGTTACAACTGAATGGAAACCAGGCATTTAGGACAATGGTTCGGCTGGATCGATGCAACTTCAAACAGTTTTTTAATGGCTCCATTTAATTGGATTACTATAGCGCAGATTCATTAGGCGCAAATTCACTTTTTCGAGCTTTTACCGTACCTTCGCCCTTCGAGGTATCATCCGTAATATCCCAGTTTATCTAAAATGAATTTACAGATCCATATAGCTATGGCAGCTGCCTCGAGTGCAATTAGTGCTTCTGATTGGTCAAACAAATCAAACATGCTTCTGAGTGATTTTTGTCAGAGCAGACTTTTTATAAAGGTCTATAAATGCCGTCAGAAGAGTAGCTAACCTCTGATGATTCTGTGTTGTCTGTTGTTTCGTTTTCCTGGTCTGGATTGATAATAAGCTATAATAAACAGCAACAAATATGCAAATAGAGGAAAAAAATAAAAATACGAATAAAGGGGAGAAAAGTTGCAACTTGCCATTTCTAGGCAGAAATCATGCATACAATCATTAGATAGCTTATGAATTAATGGCATTTATTACATAGTGAATAATAGGCTTTCCCGTTAACCCAACTTTTGACCGGACTCCCTCGTTTCCATGTTGCCAGCTTTAGTACGAGAAACGCCAATGAAGGTCGGGCTGGACTCGGGCACTCTATGACTGTGTTATGTCCCTTAAGTTGTTATAACCCTATTGCTCAGTGAAATGTGAGTGACTAGGAGCAGGAAAGCGGGACTTTTGTCAATAAATCCATTACACACTAAATTACCGTTGGAATATTCCCAGTTCTCCATTGGTAAACAGATGTATTTCCATGTTCCATTATGTGGCATATTACTGGACACAAGTCCTTGTTCTTCCGTGCACTCTCATCCTTCCTATACAACATTACAATATATATATCTTAGGATATATGGCTCCCAAATTGTTCATTCTTGCTGCCCTGTTAGCCATATTTTAACGGTTAAGGTTCACTACCCGATGAGTAAACAAGCATTGTTTTTTAAAAACATGTCAACCCATATTTTATTGTTTTTGGGCCATTGCTCGGACAACTCATAGGGCTTACCGAGGAGAAATGAAATCCACAAAAGCCACATAAAAATGTAGAATATCATTTAATCTTGTAGTTTTACCACACACATCATCATAGAGCATTGGTAAATCATTCAATAACAAGAGAAGTTCCTCTCTTATATCAGTACCCTAAATATATTAGATATTAACTGTAGATTGCACATATACATACATATATTAGATCATTATTATAATTATTTGTTTATTATGAATTACAATGTTTCAGATTTCAGAAGATCTTACCTTGATCCCCATCTGTTTGCAAACATGATGATATTTTTCTTTAAAGTTATTTGCATTTAATGCATATTCGCTTTCTTTTCTTGTACAATCCTGGAATGATGTGCACATACTCTATTACATGAAAATCTCAAGTCCAAAAGAAAATAAGCTGAAAGGTTCAATGTGCCCATGAAATCAACTTAGACCTGCTAAAAAACGGAAGTCTATAAAGTGATGAATACAGTATCATGAATGTATCTGTTTCAAGCGATTTTGTTCCTGAAAACTTTTTCATTTAATTCAATATGAATTCATTGGAGCATAAGGAGGGGAGGGGGAAGCATATTGAATGGTACAAACCATTTGTATAAAATTTTTGTCAGAAAATTACTTACCCTTTGTGTTTGTTGATCTTTAGCAATTTGTCTTTTTAATGAAGGAATTTCATAGTTTACATTTCGTATTAGCATATGACTTGCCTCAGCTTAAAAAATTCAATTACCAAACTTGTGTCAGTAAAATACCGTTTAAAAATAGCAGGCTATTTCACTGGAACTTTTTTAACAAAAAGGATTTTAAAGTGAAGAGTGAATAAGAATAGTTTCATGCATTGTGTTGTCACTTATCTATAGCAATAAATATATAGATTATACCTAAGCCCAAATTATCAGTTTCATACAGTTGTAAGATTTCTAACCAATCCTAAAAAAAGTATACCATGCACACAAAATTAAAATTTATTAGCAACAGTCAATATATACAACCTCAAATCTTTTTGTGAACATGATTATAATTTATAAGTAATGTACGTCACAATGTATACTTCATGAAATGAAAAAGTTATATAAGTATACTGGTAACAATAAGTTATACACTGTAACAATAAGAGGTTGTGAATTATTTTAAATTAATAAACATTGAGTTAATAAACATTTATTAACTTATTAACTCAACATAATAACTAAATCATGTACCTTCATTCTTTTAGATGAATATCTTCCAAAAATATTTTTGGTTGCAGATTCTGATACTTTCAATAATTCTACAATTCTTACGCAATGGAAATAATTTATATCTATAGGAAAAAAAATTAAACTGCTGACTGCAACAGTTGGAGTTATTATCTATATCCCATAGTATCCCATAGTAAATACTGATTATGAAGAATACATACAACTGCCAGACAGAAGTTGCATGATTTCATCAACAGCAGGCATGTCTTGAATAGCTTCATTAATCTTTTCTCTTATCACAAGGGCTGAATCTTGCCATTTTGGTTGGCAATGTCGACGGTCAATCAACCATTCTGAAATAAATGTTAATGAATGAATTAAAGCTTAAATAAGGCTCAAAGTAGCTTTATCACCACACCAGGGGTACGTCTTTTTGTGTGATTGGCTGCACCCTTTTGTGAACTGTCAGAAGGACTCGTTGAGACCAGCGTCTTTTTCAACTATGCCGTCTAGTCATTACGTAGGCACACATTATTCAATTTTATATCCTATAACAAATTCTTCCCTAATACTCACCAAGAAGTTTATTGTAATAGATATCAATTGGAAGACTCTGTCGCTCACTCACTGCTTCATCCTAAAGCGATCGATATAAAGGTGAGTTTACCAGTAAGTTTTGATGGAATAATCTTTCAGAGTCGGATCATACCTGCATTTTAAAAAGATTCTTGAAATAGAAGGAACTAAAATTTAACACCAAAGTACATAAAATTTATCTTTCTTTATTTTTACATAGTACACGTTTCTTTGTTTCTGAACCTGACAGTATCGTAAACAAACCAATCAGCGGATCCAGATGCTATACTTCGTGTAGGCTGTCAAAGAAAGAGTGTCACTTCACTTCACTTGTCGAAGCTGTACGTTGTAAGATGTGTATGATGGATGAGCTGTCAAAACTTCAAAAGATAACAGAATACGTATTAATCAATAGTTTCTTTTTGATAGTGATACAGAAATGCACAATTGTGAACCAGTGATTTCTGCAGTGTTAATATATAGTCCTAAGTTTGTATACATATAGAAACTGCACCAGCCGGCCTGCATGCCCTGAAAAGCAACGAAGATGTATTAAACTTCATATTGACATATTTTTCTTTAATATTCCTAAATTAGAACTGTGGTTATAAAATATTAATATGAAATAAACTTTATCTTGACTGATCATTATATATGTGTTATGTCTTACATTTTCCTAGTTATTTATCATTATTAATTACTAGTAGCAAAACACATACAGAAGAAAGACTCTAATACGTGTGCATGCGTTATGAATTTTACAGCCACGGACGGAAACTATTTCAAATTTGATGTCGTAAATATTCCGCAGAACTTGATTTGTTTCTTCGGCATTATCTCGCACGCATTATTACTGGCAGCTTTTATCAAAGATCCTCTGAAATGCTTCAGAAACACTGCAACCTATCTTATCGTCAATCTAGCCGTGTCGGATGTTATCGTATGTCTGTTTGGACCTTGGAAAGTTAATTTTACGCCAACAGAACAAATGCGATTATATTTTGGATATTTTGGTAGCGTTTGTTACAGTGTTTCAGTTATAACGATATTTTCAATATCTTTAGATCGTTTTATAATGATCAACTATCCTCTGAAACATCGCGTAATAATGAGTGCAAAAGTTATGGTGGGATGCATAGTGCTGATTTGGGTTTTGGGTACTATGTACCTTTTCAAATGGTTGATATTTGGTGTGTCAGCTGGAGACGAACCTATGCTGAATTACGTATGTTCTTCTATCATTCTGCTTGCTGTGTTGTTGTACTTAGGAACATATTTCTCTCTGAAAAAGCAATCAAGGAATATTTTGTTACAAAATTCCACGAACACGATCACTACTAGAAATCAAGAAATACGGATTCTGAAAGAGAAGCGATTCTTGATGACGATTTTATTAATCGCATTTATCACCTTTGTTTGTGTGGTACCTCCTATTATCGTTCGTCAGATAACCATAACAACTAAAGGCATGGGTGACGATGATGAAAGCAAAACAGTTTCAAAAACCCTTAATAATATTATGGGTGTGTTGTACTACTTCAATTATTCAGTAAACCCTCTCATTTACGTTATTCGTTTTCCAAATTATCGTAAAACATTTTATTGCATGTACCTTAAGAAATGAGTGATGTGCGTTTTAATAAATAAAAAGATTTTGCAGATACTTGACAATAATGAAGCTAAAATACAACAAGACGCCTGCTTAGGCGTTCACTCGGGCTACAGTTATCTCGCTTGAGCTTGTAACGCCTAATTGTTGGTGTTATGACATGTTCGTGATACCCGCGCGAGAAACGATCCTAGGACGATTTCGATTCGTTCGAAGACTTCGTTCCGCCCACGCGTGATTTTCGTAAACTCGCGACGCAAAAGGGAAAATCGAGGCCTACGTTAGAGCGAGTAAAAAGGTCTGTTACCCCAATAAGGTGGGGTATACAAGCCGTAAAAAGGTGTGTTACCCCAATAAGGTAGGGTATACAAGCCAAAGCATCGGAAGGCTATATTCTTGTAAAAAAATAAAACATGGCAGTAAAACTAACGAACTTGTCACCCTAAACTTTAAATAAATATCACATATAAAAAAATTACAATTAAATGCATGCGGCGCAGTGTGCCGAAGAGCTGGCGAGTAGTAAATCGCGTCTCCAAGAGGTTATAAATTTCAAAATTTTATCGAGTCATTTTTATATTATATACTGTATATGTACCTTTTAAGAGCCCTTTTAATATCCATATCATTTTATCTTACAACATCACTCTATATATAAATATAACCGCAGTTTATAATGCTAAACCTATTGCTATATATTGGACCATGCATGATGCATATATATGGAACTCCCCTGATAAGCGACACTTTTAAATACGAATGAATTTAAAGAATTCTTGACACGCTCTTCTTTGACATTTCTAAATTAAAACTGTTTTTAATAAATATCGATAGAAAAAATGAGCTTTAATAACCAAAATGATCAATAATTAATTATTCATGTGATCATCATTATGTACTGCATTTTTGGAATTATACGGTGGCAAAACACATGATTGTACATGTGCAGAAGAATAACTCTCACAAGGCGTGATGAATTATACAGCCACGGATGAAAAGTATTTCAAATTTGATGTCATCAATACTCCACAAAACTTGATTTGTTTCTTCGGCATCATCTCGCACGTATTATTGTTTGCAGCTTTTATTAAAGATCCTCTGAAATGCTTCAGAAACACTGGAACCTATCTTATGGTCAATCTAGCCGTGTCGGATTTTTTCGTATGTCTGTACTCTGTATGGACCTTGGAGAATGAATTTTACGCCAACAGAACAAATACGATTATACCTAGAAAGTTTTTCTAGCATAGGTTATAGTATTTCGGTTATAACGATACTTTCAATATCCTTAGATCGTTTTATAATGGTTAACTATGCGCTGCAACATCGCGTTTTAATGAGTGCAAAAGTTATGGCAGGCTGGATAGTGCTGATTTGGGTTTTGGGTGCTACGTACTTTTTCAAATGGTTGATATTTGGTAGGAAACCTAATGACACGTCTATATTTAAGTTCGCAATAACTTCAACCATTCTGCTTGCTGTGTTGCTGTACTCAGGAACATATTTTTCTCTGAGAAAACAATCAAGGAATATCTTGTTACAAAATGCCACGAACACGATCACAACTAGAAATCAAGAAAATCGCATCCTGAAAGAGAAACGATTCTTGACAACAATTTTATTAATCGCACTTCTTACCTTTATTTGTTTAGTACCTTCTGTTCTTGTTCATCAGGTTACCATAACCACCGCAGACGGTGTTGACGATAATAAACACAATAGAGTTCTCACAATACAAGTTCTAAAAGGTTTCATGAGTGCGATTTTCTACATTAATTTTGCAATTAACCCTTTGATTTACTATATTCGTTTTCCAAAATATCGTAGAACATTTAATTGCATGTACCTTAAGAAATGAGAGATTTGCAGTTGAAGTTAAATAAATTTTGCAGATGCTCGACAGTAGCTGACGACGCGAACGGAGACACAAAAAAAGACTTGAAGAATTTTTTAAATACAATGAAAATAAGAATCTGAAAAGAGAATTGTGGTTGCCTGCAATTTCCCAATGACGAACAGAAATGTTATCAGTTGCGCCTATAACAATGTTATCAGTTGCGCCTCCCAACAAAAAATCCCTGCCGTGTTGAACAATACCCAAACTAGTGCGGAAGATTTCTAATAGATATAACGGTTAATTAAGCCGTTAATAGCATTGGCCATTAGGCAATGGCCAATGCTATTTAATGAACGCGAATAAACGCTTTGAAGTAAAATTGATGAACCTTCACGTGGTCTTAAACTGAAAATAACTAATAAAGTATAAGATGATTCTTAGTCCTATATACTATATCATGCCTATTCCGGGCTATTCGATCTAGCTGTAACCGTAGTTTGCAAATCAATAATTCCGGGACGTTTATAATGCATCAATGCATGCATGGGTATACTTTGTGCAGTGTTGGCACTTGAGTCCACACTCTGGACTTTGACTTGAACAGATCTGTCGGATATATGATCTACTCGATTTTGCAGATGCTAGCTCGACGACCGTAGTAGGAAAGTAGCTAATTACTAATTACATCGGCACATAAGATGTCCAAAATGCATGAATAAGGATTGAGGTATATACGGTAAGGTTAGGCATGATGCAAAGCAGGCCTGTTTCCTTACAAGAATAGCACATTGCATTAAAAATAATGAACTCGTGGTCCTCAACTCTAAATAAATAACTAAGAAAGTGTATATACAATGAATGTTATTCCTATACTGTATAGTCTGTACAAAATGTGACACGCGCGCATAAAGAATATTGATTCTAAAAAGAATTATAAAGCTATTCTAAAAGAATAAAAAACACTAGTGCTCATTGTTCCTATGATATTAGAAAGAATGTTGTTCCATTATTCCATCGCGGTCCATTCGATCTCCCACGGTACATATAGTCCATATCTCGGACAAACATTATAAAAAGCACAAAGGACCATGCATGCTCATGCAATGTGCATCATCATCATATATATAGTTTGTTGTGGTGCTTTTCTTAAAATTACATTCATTCATAACATATCTCAAACCAAACACGTTTTGGTTCTCGCTTCCACCGTCCTGGAGAGTCATTTTCAAATCTGTACCTTGAGAGTGTCATATTATACATGCATATGTAGCTTCAGAAAGTTATTTTAATATCTGTAGCTGCAGAAAGCCATTTTTATGCCTGTAGCTTGATGGGGAGTATTCTATCCTATACAACCTCACTGTAATATAACCACAGTTTATAGTCCTAACCCTATAACTCTGGAAACCACGGAAACGCCCCTGCATGAAAAGCGACTCTTACAAATACGAATGAATTCAAAGAATATTTGACACGCTTTTCTTTGATATTTCTAAATTAAAAACTGTTTTTAATAAATATTAGTAGAATAAAATGAGCTTTAATAACCAAAATAATCAACAATGAATTACATATGCATGAGATCATGCTTCATGCATGATTATATGTATTACACTTTCTGGATTAGTAGCAAAACACATACAGAAGACTGAAGACTCTCGCGTGTGCAAGCGCGTTATGAATTTTACAGCCACGGACGGGAAGTATTTCAAATTTGATGTCATAAATATTCCAGAGAGCTTGATTTGTTTCCTTGGCATCATCTCGCACGTATTATTGCTGGCAGCTTTTATTAAAGATCCTCTGAAATGCTTCAGAAACACTGGAACCTATCTTATCATCAATCTAGCCGTGTCGGATGTTATCGTATGTCTGTATGGACCTTGGAAAATTAATTTTACGCCCACAGAACAAACACGACTATATGTAAACAATAGCATTGGCAGTGTAGGTTATAGCGTTTCGATTATAACGATATTTTCAATATCCTTAGATCGTTATATAATGGTCAACTATCCACTGAAACATCGCGTAATAATGGGCGCAAAAGTTATGGCAGGCTGGATAGTGCTGATTTGGGTTTTGGGAACTATGTACTTTTTTAAATGGCTGATATTTGGTTATTTTGATAGGACATCTAAAGACAAGCCTATATTAGTTTGCTCATTAACGTCAGTCATTCTGCTTGCTGTCTTGTTGTACGCAGGAACATATTTTTCCTTGAAAAAACAATCACGGAATATCTCGATGCAAAATTCCACGAACACAATCACTACAAGAAATCAAGAAAATCGCATCCTTAAAGAAAAACGATTCTTGACGACGATTATATTAATCGCATCTATCACCTTTGTTTGTGTGGTACCTTCTATGATCGTTAGTCAGGCCATCCGTTCAACTGCAGATGGGGGTGGCGATTATAGACACAATGCAGCTTTCAAAGTCGTACATCACTTCATGAGTGCGATATACTACATTAATTTTGCAATAAACCCTCTGATTTACTTTATTCGTTTTCCAAATTATCGTAGAACATTTAATTACATGTACCTTAAGAAGTGAGAGATTTCAGTGCGTCGTTATAAATTTTGCAGATGCTCGACTGACATGCAAGTAGCTCAGTAACATGAAACGGAGTTTCTGTGTGCATGGATCGACGAACTATACGAAAAATTACATATATATATATATTACATATATATATTATTACATATACATATTATATATATATATATATATATATATTATATATATATATATATATATATATATATATATATATATATATATATATACTCAGACGATCATTCGTCCAGACCGATAATCCGTCTCTATAAGACTATAGTATAATATATATAAATCGGGCCACTAATTGAAAGGCATGCAAGTGTCTGCATTGTGACGACTACACTGAAATCTAAAGGATTGCACTAAAATGATATCATGGCATGGTATCAAATGGAACTGCTCCATGCAGATGTATAATTATAACGTTCGTGGACAGGCCCCTCATCCAGAGAAGGAAATGAAAGTTTAAATATAGCCCTACGTACTCTCAGTTAGCTTAACCGGTGTTATATAACTATATAGAAAAGAATAGAATTAATGAATTGTTGGTATCTTCAGGGTTTTTTTTAATATTCCTAAATTAAAACTGCAGTGGTTATTAAATATTGATATAACATTTAATAAACTTTAATATCCGGAGTGATTTGATATATGTGACTGTGTGTGGGTTCAGTAAACGATTTCAAATCTTTATCATTTGTTTATGGAAGAAAAGCTCTCACAAGGTGTGATGAATTATACACCCACGAACGAAAAGTACTACAAATTTGATATCATCACTATACCAGATATTTTGATCTCTTTCTTTGGCATCGTCTCGCACGTATTATTGCTGGCAGCTTTTATTAAAGATCCTCTAAAATGCTTCAGAAACGCTGGTATCTGTCTCATCGTCAATCTAGCCGTGTCGGATTTTATCGTATGTCTGCTTGGACCAATCAATGCTACGCTCATGGCCGAACAAACGCAACTATATCTACAGGGTATTACCGGCGTTTTTTATTGTGTTTCGCTTATAACGATACTTTCAATATCTTTAGATCGTTTTATAATGATCAACTATCCTCTGAAACATCGCGTAATAATGAGTGCAAAAGTTATGGCAGGATGGATAGTGCTGACTTGGGTTTTGGGTACTATGTTCGCTTTCAAATGGTTGATATTTGGTACGTCCGTTCAGGACATAACGATAACGAATTATGTCTTTTCTTCCATCATTCTGCTTGCTGTGTTGTTGTACTCAGGAACATATTTTTCTCTGAACAAGCAATCAAGGAATATTTTGTTGCAAAATTCCACGAACACGATCACAACTAGAAATAATAAGATGCGAATCCTGAAGGAAAAACGATTCTTGACAACGATTTTATTAATCGCATCTATCACCTTTGTTTGTGTGGTACCAACTTCGGTCGTTCATGAGGTTATCAGATCACTTGCAGACGGGAGTAACGATAATAAACACGATACAGCTTTCAATGTCTTTCAACGTTTCGGGTTTACAATATACAGCATAAATTTTGCAATAAACCCTCTGATTTACTTTATTCGTTTTCCAAATTATCGTAGGACATTTTATTGCATGTATCTTAAGAAATGAGATCGAGATCCACATTAAAGGTAAATGAAAATAAAAAGTTTCCGAATATGCTCGACATTAGTTGATGATGCGAAACCGAGATGCAAAAAAGACGAATCTAAAAATAAAATCAAAAGGATAACGTTTATCTGTCTTAGTCGGCGCGACCAGAAATCTTTGTGGTATATAGTTTTTATAACTAATATGCATATGCATGGTTTATTTCTGAGTGGAGAAATTAAAGTAAAGACGTGATGAACTTGAATTATATCATGGTACCGCCAAGTAGATAGGGGTCTGTTTGGCTTGGCAGGGTCTATCACAGGGGCAGCTAGCCACTCCCATGCACATGAGCTAGCAGCTTTTCAAAGGCGGCCTCGCCTGCGCTGGCAAAGCGAACTTAATGGGAAACAGTCCTAAAATGATGCAGCGGCCGCTAGACAAGAGGGGTTGGCCGTTGGGGGAAAGGAAGGGGGGAGGGTCGAACACCCGCGCTCTTCAACGAGCCCGGTATCCTCCAAGCTGGACAATATATAAACATCATTGCTTGGCAAAATTTTCCTAGGGCGTCTATAAGATATGTTATAGATGCCCTGATTTTACTCACAACCACCCTTCCTTCTAAGAACAGAACACTAGCGCCGCCCCTATATCCGCTGCACGTGTGTCAAAACCAAAGGTCGTTATATATGTTCAGGAAACAATGCCCATTGTCATTTAACGTAGAGTATTCAAGAATACGAACAGCCTAGAGCTCTGAACTAAAAAAAATTTAAGTCGACTAAAAACGCGATAAATCAGTTCATTGTAAATGTCATTTTTTTAAAAATTAATAAAATACTTAAAGAATTTTTGAAGCTTTAGTCCATTTGCAAAATTCCTTATTTTTCGAATTCTTAATGCTGCGAAGAGTTTTTTGCACGATAATTACAAATAAAACGAAAATAGATTGTTGGGAGGATTTTCAAGTCAATAGTTATTGAATAAAAAGTCAATGATGTAAATGATGTACTGAACAATTTAATTATAAAATGTGTTCTCGGTGCTTTAGAACGGACTTATGCAAACCTCGGGAAAGTTCAGAAATTGCGACAGTTGAAACGTTAATTGACTTTCGGTCTTGTGCTTGCACAAATGATTATCGACATTTATCGTCCATGTCCATGAGTCATGACACCATGTGCCAAGCATTCATTATTTTATGATATAATGTGAACGTACAATTAGTTTACAGTCCACTATCAGCATTAGTAACGTACACAGGATAAAATATCTCACAACTGACACAAGGCGAGATGAATCATACAACGACCGACGGAAAGTATTTTAATTTTAAAATCATCGATACTCCACATCTTTTAATTTGTTTCTCTGGCATCATCTCGCACGTATTATTGCTGGCAGCTTTTATTAAAGATCCTCTGAAATGCTTCAGAAACACTGGAACCTATCTTATCGTCAATCTAGCCGTGTCGGATTCTTTTGTATGTCTGTATGGATTTTTCGACGTTATTTTTACGCCCACAGGTCAAACACGTCTATATCTAGGAAATATTTGCGGCGTAAATTATCGTGTCTCAGTCATAACAATATTTTCAATATCCTTGGATCGTTATATCATAGTCAACTATCCTCTGAAACATCGCGTATTAATGAACACAAAAGTTATGGCGGGATGGTTAGCGCTGATTTGGCTTTTGGGTACTATATTATTTTTCAAATGGTTGATGTTTGGTGTGTCAGCGAAAGACGAAGAAATAAAGAATTATGCATCATCTTCGTTCGCTCTGCTTGCCGTGTTGTTCTACGCAGGAACATATTTTTGTTTGAAAAAGCAATCACGGAATATTTTGTTACACAATTTCACGAACACGACAACAACTAGAAATCAAGAAACGCGTATACTGAAAGAGAAGCGATTCTTGACAACAATTATATTAATCGCATTTATCACCTTTGTTTGTGTGGTACCTCCTATTATCCTTCATCAGGTTACCATAACAACCAAAGGCATGGGTGACGATAATGAAAGCAAAACAGTTTTTAAAACTCTATATAATATTATGGGTGTGTTGTACTACTTCAATTTTGCAATAAACCCTCTCATTTACGTTATTCGTTTTCCAAATTATCGTAAAACATTTTATTGCATGTACCTTAAGAAATGAGAGGAACATCAGGGTTGTGTTGTTACCAAATTATATATATATATATATATATATATATATATATATATATATATATATATATATATTTATATATATATTATATTATATATATATATATATATAATATAATACTGACATGCATGTAATTATATGAAAAATACAACAATACAACAATATATACATATATATATATATATATATATATATATATATATATATATATATATATATATATATATATATATATATTGTTGTATTGTTGTATTTTTCATATAATTACATGCATGTCAGTTAATTCTTAAGTCAATCGAAAAGATATACTTCTTAATATCAATGTTTGCTTGTAAATATTATATATCGTAGGCATAACGGCAATATTACACGTCACTGCTGCAGTATAACTCTCTAAAAAGGGTTTGATGTATAATAGCATGCATATATATACATGCATGCACGTCAAATATATTGCACTTACCCACACTGTTATTTTCAGGGAGTTATTTTAACTCTCCCATTATCCTTTTTTAGTGGAGTTAAAAATTTAACTATAGTTTTGGAGTAAAAATAACTCTCTTTGAGGGGTTAATAATTTTTAGACCTTATTAACTATGCAGAATTAACTCCTTTTGGGGGAGTTAAGCAATCTAACCCTCTTTTATGAGTTATTTTGACTCACCTATTACCCTTTTTTGGGGGTGATAAAAATTCAACTCTCTTTTTGGAGTTAAATAAAATTCAAAATGGCGTGCACAAGAGGAGCGGGTTAATAGTTTATTATAAATTTTAGTCTTATAAACGTGAATTGATTTAACTCTGGAGTGAAAAAGGCGGAAAAGGCTTGTAAAAATTACGAATGTTTGTGCCACTAATGTAATTTGACTTCTAAACCCTATATTTTAACTTATATCGCTTTCTTCATCCCGATGTATAAAGTTTCTTCCTACGGCATTTAACTTTTAAGTTCAAGTTTATAAGGCTGTTCTGTTCATCTGTATATCAAAGCCATTCCCCCATAAAATAGGGAAAAATAGCAGGGCTGACGATGATCTATTGATTATATATGTTATTTCTGGCTGTGAGGTCGTTATTTCCGTTTTCGAGACCGTCGGCACAGTTTTTTGTATCCGGGCCGAAGCTGCCGGTAAAATATAATGTGTTTATTTTTTAACCTTTGCCGTAGGCCGAGGGAAGTTTTCGAGACCGAGAGCACAGATTTTTGCCTCCGGGCTGAAGCTGCGGTATAAACGTGTTTATTTTTTTACCTTTACATTATTGACTTCATGAAACACAAAAAAAGCAAAAAAATTAGCAAATAACTATATAAAAACTATAATTTCTGCAATCTACAAGGCTACAAGCCATTTCAGAATTTTAATACGTCAACAACTCCTTAAAAGGATATCCTAGTCGGGAAACAGCCAATGAAATGGCAGATATTGTTACCATAGCAACTAAATCACGGCAAATTCGGGCAAATCGACTAGAAAAACAACGTAAAATGCAGCGAAAAAAGGAGTAAAAAATCCAAACTAAGACGTTTTTCGGGTATGTTTTTTATTTCTAACATACTTTTAGCCTTTTCCGGAAAGGTTTTTACACATTTTAGCCTTACGTTGCTTTGGTTTGGCCGTTTTATTCACATTTCACACCGGGCCGGATGCATTTCAAGCGGGCCGGATGCAAAAATCAATATTAAATAGGTCATTTTATCACTTTAAAATTTACAGTAATCAAAGTCTTTCAGAAGTAATTCATAATTTAGGGTATAGGAAGAGTATATTGAGGTTAAAAGCAACAACTGATGTTAGAATTATTTAAAAGTGGGCTATGAAAAGGTGATCCTTTCAGACAATTAATATAGCAATTCAGAGCTTTTGTATTGATCTGTCTTTTCAAATATACAACTCACAATATTATACAAATGCATGTGAATTGATAATAAGAAATTTTGTGAGATAAATTTACCAATATGACACTACGAGAACCTTTGGCTTTAATGTTTTTAGTTTAATAATCCAATACACAAACACAATTTGCATCAGAACTCTGAAAGTAGAAATAATATAACTCCGATAGTGGAGTTACCACTGCTTAACTCCTTTTTAAGAGTTACATTTTAACCCCTAAATGATAGTTATTCTGACTGCAAAAACGGAGTTAATATTTTACTCCAAATCTGGAGTTACTTTTAACTCCAAAAAGTGAGTTGTTCTGTACCTTTTTCCGTAACTCCTATTTTAGGAGTTAAAATAACTCCCTCAAAATAACAGTGCATGCATGATAAATGTACGTACTTCATAATTATATAAAAGAAATTTTCTTGTACCGACTTAGAGCAGACCAGGACTCTGAATACAGTAAACTGAAAATAAAGCAACTTTCCATTTTATATATTATACATTTTACATTAATAAATGCCGACATGAAATACAGGCTATATATACAGCGGCAACGCTAGAAAGATAATTTCTATATTAATAATAAAAAAATTAACCATATATAGGTTTCGCCGCTTGTGTCAATAAGTCAATATTATCATGGCTTTCATGTATAATAGCTATAGTTATCAATAAATATATACGGTGAATAAAATTGAAATGCTTACGGCGGGTGAGCGACTAAAAATAGAAAAATAAAACGCGACTTACAGGTAGCTATAGCACATAACCTCAACACCTGGCATTAAGACTTTCATCTCCTCGTGCATGCATCTATATACGTTTGCGTGTATATGAGATCAGTTAACCTATAACCGAAACACTCTACCCGAAAATAAACTAAAAGGCTGGTTGCTTGCACACAGTAAAATTATCCTTTGGACTGGATTGAACAGGATAGTTTCTTTTACGTTAAATTTGCGGCAATTAGTTTTGCTTGGGAACTTAAAGACAATATACCCTTAATTTCCTGTCCAAGAGGATGAACGTCTTGAGTGCAAGGATATATCAGCTTTGAACCGCCGCGACGGTTTGATTATATAAACTTGAATTATCTGTTCGAGCTGTTCTCGCGCCTATGCAACCGTATACTCATTTGAAACACGGTGGAAACTATAGTAATCTGTCGTTCGGAGAAAAGCAACTAATTAATTACCAATAATAATAATATATAACGGTAATGGGAGATATATGTTCAAAATTACGTTACATTTACAAAAACGTCTGTCACGTCTTTATATAGATTATATGAATCTATTTATTATAATAGCAGACATGCAGCGTTATGTGCAAAAAATCTAAACACATTTGTAATGAATCAGGATTTCAGATTCAAGCGATGATGCAACATAAACAACGAAAATTGCCACCTGAATACTTGAAGACGCTAACGAATACAATGTTACTCGAACAACCAATCAAAGAACAGAATAAAATGCACCCTCATCAATTCCCCCGCTTCTTGTGCATATAAACATCCCCAGCTTTAATCAACATCTTCACGTAGATATATATATAATGTCATCTACAAGAATCTAAAGATGGGAAAATTTGCGAGTTTTTGGAGTGAAATAGCTGTGATAACGGGGTTTTTGTCAATACTCTCTCTCGCTATTAACACCGCAGGTAGGAATTGGTGTAATTTGCTAGAAGAATGCATTATAGACAGCATACGCATAGATAGATACATAATAGTACATAATTATACCCAAAATATCTGTCTGCCTGTACTATTAAATGCTTCCTGAATATCCATGCAGTTTTCATATAGAAATTAAAACGTTATATACTACTATATAGTATATAGGAGTGTGTTGTTTTATACTGCGTGAGACATATCTTGACACTTGGGATATTTGTATGAATGTGAATCATTTCATTCATGCATGCATGAGCTTCATTTGACTCCACATGCAGTAGCACTGATATACGGAACTAGCAGACTCATTCTTGTGCGTTTTCCGACATCGAAAATATCTTACTTTAAGTTGTAGGAACAGACGTGAGCCAAGACAATGAAATGCATAAATCAAATACGAGCGTAAACATTGTGCCAGAAGTCGAGGCAACATTGGAAGAATTGACGCGCTTCCTTAAAGCTGGTGATTTAGTTCAAGATAAAGACACATTATTGCCAATATTGGTAACGTCATTGGGTACAAACGAAAAATATATCGAATGCAATGATATGAACAACAGTGTTTGCCTTGTCCAAAGTAAGTGGTTGCATGTTAATTCACATTGTGCATGGACTTTACTATAAAGTTTTTTAATAGGGGGTCAGTTTTGCATACAATTTATTTTCTAGTGCGCCTAGTTCTCAGTTTAGACTTTCCTATAAAAATGCCTAAAATGATAAATGCAACCCTCGGTGCCGGTTAACAACAATGACTTGGCTATAAAAGTAGCCTAACCCTACTTACATAATTCTTATCGAGTATATACATTGACTTAGCTAGTCCAAGGTAAAACTGAATAATGACTATATGAACTTGGAGGATTGAATATAGTTACTGATTCAAGGGAATAGCCGGTCGCTGATTGATTCGTGCGGTCGGCAAAAAAATCATGATAAACATATGCATGCGTAGAGTCTGATAGAGAACCGTAACAAATTTACTTTTTATGCATCCTTAAAATGTTTAAGAGCTTTATTCTCTCCGTTAATATTTGTTCTTCACTATTATATATAATAGTGAATCTATTCCCATAAATGTATATATTCACTAATCATATTAGTTTTTAAATAAAATTTCAAAGCGTATATAATATTCGAGTACATGCAGACGGACTTTATGCCCACGCATGCATCGGAAATGATGCATGATTTGCATGAAGACTCTGTATCTCACGAATAGAAATGGTTTTATATGTGTACACATCACACATGTAATGATATATAGTTTGCAAACGGTAAATATTATTCTCCTCACTCGTAGGAATAGATTTACATAGTGAGATTACATCCTAATAAAGTACACATGCATGCATGCACGCGGCACAGATGAACAACTAATATATATAATTAATATATAAAGATGCGATGTGATGACGTGTCCATTTGCTTCTGAGCGCAGACATGCACGACGCGGGTAGCAGGGCAAAGCATTCACACTTTAAAATTTACCTAATGACCACAATTACTTCCAATCCAATTTAGTTTCGTTGAATTTGAATTCATTGTTGCTTGTATTATTTATATACGTGCTTAGAATTTTCATCATGCATGACGTGCAGTTTTTTGTGGTATATTTATACGAGGTTTTACAGAAGAAGAACTTCACTGAATACTGAATATATTTCTATTTTTTTGAATTTCTATTTCTTTGTATATTTCCATTACTTTTCTCTTTTTACAGGCAATGAAGCTATATCTCTATTTGATTTGGCACTGCATGAATATAATTAATAGCTATATAACGTAGATAAAGACAATATAGGAAAAGATAGACGGATAGATAAAAAGATTATCGAATTGTAATGATTTATTTTTAAGATGGCCATGAAGTTGTGTATCTGAGTGTAATCATCACCAAAGAGAATTTGTTCACTTCACATCTTCGAAACCCATCTTCTCTCGAATATAAACAACTTTCCCGAGCTTTGGAACAGAAGGTAATGAATAATGTTATAAGAAATACATTAGCACCGCATTGTAGGATTGAATGGCAGAGTTCAGAGGAATTCCGTTCTTCAAATTTTCCTAAGGCATCAGGAATGCCATCATACAGGAGAATAAAAATCAGCTTGAGATTAAGTATTTCTAAACTAGAATATAAAAAATTATATAGTATTCAAAACATATATAGCGCGGTTATTTTACGGTTTTGTGACTGTTTAATTTAATGACCTCAACTGCTACCACGTATAATTAGTGCATCAATCAGTTCAAGCATTTAAATTTTTTATATCTTTCCCTTTCAGATAGATTCGATTGTAAGACGAGACTTCTCACTGCCTTCGCTAATTTCTGCCAAAGTCATGCAGTTCAGGTAACGTAACTTTTATATTTCAGCCAGGGAGCTAATATAATAATTATACTGAATGACTGACTGACTGATTCGATTTTTTGGCTGGTTAATTACAATACTGCATGGGACATGAAATAGAACCTTGAACATTCTGTTATTTTTGAAAATTTCTTAATTTTAATCGTAAAACTATAAGGATGAGACTGAAAATTTTTTTTATAAATAGGAAAGGAAGTATCATTGCTGACCTTAGACTGGAATTTGCTGACAAAGATGAGCATCAGAGGGTGCGAAAGAAACGGGAGGCTGGCGGGCAAAGTAAGTTTTGCACTGAATTCATAACTATGTTTCACATAATGATATTTGTCGATTTCGCTTTGCTTTCATCTGCTAATGCCACAACAACATATTCTGAAAACTCAACAGCATCCACTATTACATCAAGTTTTCAACCTTTATCTCGACAGCATCACAGAGCAGCGAAATATCGAAACATTTCCATTCACCACACGCATCAACAACTCCGCTTTCACATAATTTGACAAGCTCCTCGACATTCACCAAGTTCAAAATTTCAACAACTGCAATTTTGGCTGCAGTAAGTCCAAGTAATGCAACACAGTCTTCTAGTGAATATGGCCTTACCATTCACAGCACCACCTCGCCAATCCGTCGTTCATCGAGCCCAATACTTTCCTCAGACTATTCAACAAACGGTTTCTTGACAAGCATAGGAAAAACAACCGGCAAAGTTTTCACCTCGCCAGCTTCAACTGCTGGTGTACAAAGCACTGGGATCTCTGATAAAGTATCAACAACTTTTGAAAGCCGACAAATAGAAAAGACAAGCGAAACTAAAACACCAAAGAACGAACCACATTCAACTATATATAGTTCTTCAGTTGCAGTGCAGACACAGACCGTTCAAAATTCGGCTACGCTATCTGCACATTCCAACAGCATATTTACCAATCATTCTTCAGTTTACCAAGCATCCTCTTCATTGACTATCCTCTCCCATCCCCATTCCACAATCACGCCTGCTGGATATTCTTCCGTATACAAAACACCTTCACTCACAAGTCTCCCTACAATTCTGCAAACGGTTGGCAATTCGGTATCGCTAACCACAGTCCTTGACCAATTCAAGTCGATGTCCGAAACAACCCTTACAGGAGATACGACTATTTCCTCTGACCCGCCACTTAACACTTCCTTTCTGAATACTCAGGCAGAGACACAAACTAGTGAAAATATTGAACCAAGCTCCACTTTTCATGCCGTTTTTACCAGCACATTCAGACCTTCCGTAAACATCACCACTCCTCCTACTCCTGATACGAAACAAGCTGAAATGACGCCCTCTTTAAACTATTCCGACAGTGTAATTTCACCCTTACAGTCACACATATCTACAACTCCACGACCCCGATGATTCTACGGCAACAAAGTATTATGCTTCCTCGCCTGTTGTAACATGTTCACAGTGTTCAATTGTTACCAGTATACCTGCAGGACATCCGCAAAATATGACACCATCCAGTGTTTATGCAAGTGCTAGTACTATTAACAGACAACAGATAAACTCAACAGAAGTTCTTAATGTCAAATCAACAACTTTTTCTTCAATGTACATCAATGTTTCTAGCCTATATGGTAAATATACTCCAAGCATGTCATCTAACATTAAATCAAGCGCAGATACCATAAAAAACCAGGGACTAAATTCTACAGAAGTCTTACGTTCTATGACTGGAATTCCTTCGACTTCAATGCTCCTGTTATCACCACAGAGCACATCTGTCAACTCAAACAGAAGCTATTTGCATTCTACAAGTTCCTTTCTAACAAGGAATGCCATATTCCAAACAACGTCCCTTTACAGTTCAATAATCAAGGCATCCACATTCAATACATTCGTGCCCTCCCCAACGAACCAATCAAGTTCAATGCTACACAAGTCGTTTTCTACAGGAAGCATGAATCAAAAAATGAACCAAACAACTTCAACCTTCAGCAGAACAAGCATAGCCGAGGTGAAGGACTCCTCGGTAAGCCTATCCTATACCCTACAACACCCGTCGAGCCAAACAGCTTTACACACTATCAGTACAAGCATAGCCACTTTAACAAGTCTGTTTCTTGAAGTGAAAAATACATCAACAAACCCCTCCTATACACCACCACTTCCGTCGTCTACAGTGGTAACCAAATCGAATTCAATTATGAAACAAACAGCGTCGTATTTTAGCTCAAGTCTAATTGCAACATCAAGCATGTTTCTTGAAGTAAAAAATACTTCAACAAACGTCTACTATACATCACCACTCCTGTCATCCACAGTGGTAACCAATTTTTCTTCGAAATCAAGTATGAACCAAACAGCGTCGTATTTTAGCTCGAGTCTAATTGCAACATCAAGTATGTTTCTTGAAGTAAAAAATTCTTCAACAAACCCTTCCCTTACACCACCACTACCGTCGTCTACAGTGGTAACCAATTTTTCTTCGAAATCAACCATGAACCAAACAGCGTCGTATTTTAGCTCGAGTCTAATTGCAACATCGAGCATGTTTCTTGAAGTAAAAAATTCATCAACAAGCCCCTCCCTTACACCATCACTATCGTCGTCTACAGTGGTAACCAATTTTTCTTCGGAATCAAGTATGAACCAAACAGCGTCGTATTTTAGCTCGAGTCTAATTGCAACATCGAGCATGTTTCTTGAAGTGAAAAATTCATCAACAAACCCCTCCCTTACACCATCACTATCGTCGTCTACAGTGGTAACCAATTTTTCTTCGAAATCAAGTATGAACCAAACAGCGTCGTATTTTAGCTCGAGTCTAATTGCAACATCGAGCATGTTTCTTGAAGTAAAAAATTCATCAACAAGCCCCTCCCTTACACCATCACTATCGTCGTCTACAGTGGTAACCAATTTTTCTTCGAAATCAAGTATGAACCAAACAGCGTCGTATTTTAGCTCAAGTCTAATTGCAACATCAAGCATGTTTCTTGAAGTGAAAAATTCATCAACAAACCCCTCCCTTACACCATCACTATCATCGTCTACAGTGGTAACCAATTTTTCTTCGAAATCAACCATGAACCAAACAGCGTCGTATTTTAGCTCAAGTTTAATTGCAACATCAAGCATGTTTCTTGAAGTAAAAAATACTTCAACAAACGTCTACTATACATCACCATTCCTGTCATCCACAATGGTAACCAATTTTTCTTCAAAATCAAGTATGAACCAAACAGCGTCACGTCTTAGCTCGAGTCTAATTCCAACATCAAGCATGTTTCTGGAAGTGAAAAATTCATCAACAAACCCCTCCCTTACACCACCACTACAGTCGTCCACAGTGGTAACCAATTTTTCTTCGAAACCAACCATTAAACAAACAGCGACGTATTTTAGCTCAAGTCTAATTGCAACGTCAAGCATGTTTCTTGAAATCAAAAATTCGTCAACAAACCCCTCCCTTACACCACCACTACCGTCGTCAACAGTGGTAACCAATTTTTCTTCGAAATCGATCATGAACCAAACAGCGTCACCTTTTAGCTCGAGTCTAATTCCATCATCGAGCATATTTCTGGAATTTAAAAATTCGTCACTAACTCTGTCCTATACTCCGACACAATCAACCATGAATGACACACCAACTATTTCCAAAAGGATCGTCACAACATCAAGTGCGGTATCTGGTTCAATATATAAAAATCGTAGTACGCTTACACAAATTTCGACCTCCACATTCACACCTGAAATCGCGAGCAATAATAAAACGATAATACCTACAACTTCATTAAACATGATAAACCAAACATTTATCAGCACTGTTACCACCACCATCACTAACAGTACTGATATGTCGATGACCTCCATTGTCGATCCCTCAACGAGAAGTTCCCCATATAACACCAGTTACCTACTAACAACACAGCACTCCAACAACAAAACCTCGGTTCACACGCTACTCTCCTTAACGTCAATAGCAAGTACATCGATTGCAAATTCGAGCTATCTTGGAATCACCTCCTCGAGCTCGTCGCAATACAACATTTTACTTTCCGGGTTCAACTTCTGCAAACATAACACAACTGTTGACCACAGCACTGACACCTCCTTACAGCTCTAGTTTATCAAAAAGTAGCGTGGTTTTTGTTCCAAGAAATTCGTCATCTATCGACAGGTTGATGTATTCAACAATTTCAGTGAACACTACTACAGCTGCATTCTCGACCCACACAGAACTGCATATAAATCAGACGATATCATCCAGCAAATCAACTTTAGCTCCATCGTTTAGTCGAACACAAAGCTTAAATTCAAGCACTCCAACCGTTCCCTTGCATACTATGAGTACGTCCTCAATTCCAACAGGGATGGCGAATTCAAGCTCGCAAGCATCCTCCATCAGCACGACAGCGCTTTCCTCAACACATTCTGACAACGCAACCTATAGCACAACTGTAAGAGCAACAGAACGTGCAATTCAAACAACTCAATCATCAAATAACTTTTCCACAAATAGCACCACGACATCCTCCTTGACGTTTTCATCGCTCATAATCAATGCAAGTACAGCGGAGACCAAAAGAACAAATCTAACATCGATCAATTCAACCACGTTGCAAATTATAAAAGAATCGTCAACTAAAGTAATTAAACCTACATCAGTTGTGTCCAGTGTTCTAGCTTCAAGTACAGCGAGTCCACCAATTGCTTCATCCGAGAAGCGTATCGTGGCATTAAATGTGACAATTGTTAATAAGGTGTATACGAGTCCACTGGCCAACAAGTCGTCAGAGGAGTATATTAAACTGGCGAAGGAAGTGAAAGATACGGTAGGTTGCATATCTTGTAACAAGGTTATAATTTACAGCACAAAAACGATTAAACATTTTTTACTCTTGTCATGAAATGCGGTTCGACACAACTGCCTAAGTTAATCATAAAAGGAAACGTCTTGACATTTTGACCTCAGGGACAACTCTCCGTTTAGAAGACCCTCAGGTTGTGACTCCTTCCTTTTTATAATGGATTTAAGCCACAATAGCTAAAAAGAACAGTATATATACTTGTGTTTTAGTTGTTTGAAGAACTTAGATTCGGCTCGTTATTTTCTTTGGTTATGTCACACAAAGTTACCTAAATATATATTTTTGTAAAAATTTAGTTCGAGTTCTTATTTCGAAATACTCCTGGATTTCTCGAAGTTGTGATCCTTGGATTTAGGCAAGTAAAATTAACTATATAATATACGTGCATTAAAATTGAATAGCCAGGAGAACTATACCCATAATATATTAGTTCTTCTATTCATGTTTTTATATATGTAAATTAGTTATGATTTGTCTCATTTATTTTACCTTCTTCTAACTCTTTCGAATTACGAATCTTTATTTTTACTCTCCAATCGATCCAACATGCCATTGAATAGTTCACTTTATATATTTAGGAATGGAAGTGTTATTATAGATTCCTATGTACGCCTGCAACAATCGTCAAATACCACAGCAACAGAATTAGGAATGGTAATCACTGCAAATCCGAATACAACGAACTTAACATTTACAGACATCAATGTCGAAGGTATGCGATTAAAGATGCATGTCCAGTCGTGCATGCGCATTGGTTCTGCTCATTGCAATGCGACCCCGCAAATTTGAATATCGAAAGTTATGCAGGTGTACAGTGTGTCGTACTTGAAGAAACGTAACTGCAGTTCAAAATGTGAACAAAGCGTGTTTGTTCACATTATACGACTTGACACCATACATCTTTAAAAAATTAAGCGCTTGATATTAAAACTTTTCATTTTTTAAACAAAGTAAATATAAGTAATGGCTACTTTTGGCACCATGGCTAATTGATAGACTCCCAAATTTCTATCCATATACCATGTCGCCCCCCCTCCCCCCATTCCTTTTCCAACGCATATTATATGTATAGGTCGTTTAATAATGGTCTGAAAACGGACCCACTTTTCCATTTCCTTTAAACTTAAAATTATTGATCTTTTTAAGCTCTCATACCGTGGTCCCACCAACAAATCTTTTAATGTCGAACCAGTGAACGAACATATGATTTTTTGGCACTTTTTTCGTATGCGAAAATTTAACCTGTATAGATAGAAGCACTCGTCTGTTGGTGTCTGATATTAGTGCTTAATGCATGTATTTTCAGAACTTTGTACTTCTGGCTATTGTTCGAACCATGGAACGTGCAAGAAAATTTCCAAAACCCAGTTAGAATGCAGGTAAATAACCTAAATTTTCATCACGTCTTATTATTCTTTCTGCAGGATTTGTGCAGTAGTTTTGCGAAGAGATAAGGTTCATAAAGTAGGAATTGCAGTATCTTCAAAAGCACATAATTATGAAAACTTATTTTAATGACATTTTAGTTGTAACACCGATTATACTGGGCCAAGATGCAGTTCAAAACTGATAGGTGAGTTCAATGCAACTGTTTTCTGAACAGTATTAACACAACTACAACCAACCTAGTCTTCATTGCCTTGGATGCATGTCTGAGTGCAAAAAATGAAATTAGCCTAGCCTTGCGAATATGAATTACGATAAAATAATTTAAATACGATATTCAATATATTTTGAATACACACTTTTCAATTTTGAAATACGTTTTAGTCTTAAAGCCGCGCGATGATGACGATGATGATGAATTTGATGAATACTGGATCGCTATTGGTGTCTGCATTGGTTTATTTGTGTTAATTGTTATACTACTTATATTTCTGGCATTAAGAAGACGTCGCAAATATTATGTCACAAGGTGCGTATTTTCTCATACCAACTATATTTCCTATGAACTATGGTTCAGCCTGGAGTTATATCAGCCTATAGACAGTATCGTGTTATTATATATAAGCCTGTGCACGTTATTTTATAGCGGAGAAAATCCGTATCACAAACAGAATAGAACTAATATAATCTAACCTTTCTCTTTTCAGAGAAAGTGTTATGTCAATTGGTCGTACTTCGGGCGATGTCTTCTTTAACCCGGCGTTCGGTCACTCCCGGGAATATCTCGCAGGTAATGAGGAATCAGGTAATGTCGTACCTCTGGAAGTAGTTTACGAGAATAGCTCAAGCAGTTTCAAGAAAGATACATACCAAGAATCAGAGTTCATGTCGAACAAGGAGGAAGATGAAGAGGATATTTATAAGACACAACTTTTACTTTTCTTGAAACAAAATAATCTTCTAAAAAACTCTTCAGATGACACACAGAAGCCATCGTGGGCATCGAGTAGATCCTCATTGTCAACAGCGGGTAGTGATTCAGGTCTTTAGACGAGCAATGTTTGGGACCGCTAAACTCAATCAGTTGGCTTATCGTCCAGAGACAAAACAACCAAATTTGACTGGTTAAATAATGGCTAATAACCTAGCATAAAGATCATAATTATGTCGTTAACCTTGCAACCACCAGCAAAAACCTAGTTTAATAATTCCCTTGAGGTATTGTCGATTGTGCTCGAGTTGAAACTTCAACCAAATGCGATAAACCGTACCAGCTCGAACTTCCACACCTCGACAGATAGTATAAAATAAAAATAAGGATGCTCGTGTTCAAGCTATATTTATACTATACAGACACGTTGTTGCTACCCTACTAAAATAAAGTTCTATCATATCGTATAAAATTAATGTGTTCTGCAACGGTATGCTTGCAAAAATCTCTGAGCAGAAAGGGAATGTTCCGTGCACCACAATGCATACGATCATAGTCTTTTTTTTGTCCGTGCGAAAGAAAAGTTATCCATCTGACATAATATACTACAATTAGTTGTACTATCTTCGACAGGAAGGGCTCTTGCTGTAATTTTTAAGTACCTATAGATTGATGTAACTTAATGAGAAGTTATTATTTTTTAAAATATTTCATTAAAACAACGTGGTTGATGTACCTTTTATTAATATTCATATCCATTAATAGCCTATAATATAACTCAATAACTTACTTTTTTGAAATATCTTCTTGCACTTAGCACACATGCACATGCATATAGAGAAGAGAACTTCATTCCGTTAACCCGTGGGAGAGATGAATTTCAGAACACTGCTCATGTTAAAATTAGTATACAAAACTAATTTAACTCTGATAATAAGCGCTTCCACACAGCAGATGGCGGTCAATCATGCACGTATATAGTTGTTATGAAAGTGGAAAAAAAGGCTGAATAAACCAGACATCTTGAGAGTCAAAATATGAATCAAGCAAGACACAGGTTGAAACTGTAAATTTTCGACTTCAATTCAAAGTCATCTTCAGACTTCGACTATGACTTGAAATAAAGTCGAAAATTTACAGTTTCAACCCGTGTCTTGCTTGATTTATATTTTGACTCTTAAGATGTCTTGTTTATTTGGAATTTGTTTTTTACTGTACTTTTTTAAATTGCCGGCTGGTCATAGTTTCTTTTTAAGGCTGAATATTATACGTTATTTTTATCGTAGAAATTGCAGCGTCACTTCGCAGGTTTGGCAGCTTTTAAACATTATGAATCATGACTAATTGTTTTAATTACCTTTAACCATGAATAATAAGCATTTAGTCACGCTAAACCAAACGTTTCAAGCTTGAAACATGCACATTTCATGCTTGTTTTCGATCGATATTGCACGTGTCGTACGTGCATTAGCGTATTCATTTGTTTCAAAGTCATCAGTTTCACTCGAGTGTTTACAAAACAAAGGAAGGACAAGCTTGTGTTCGATACGGTTTTGCATGCTTTTTGTTTAAGGTTAAAATGAATAAATTTGTGTGTCCCAAAAAGTACCCTCTATTGAAATCACTCTTTTGCTTTTTTGGGATACACTGTAATCTTAAATTCGCAATGTTTAAAACGTAAACTAAACTTAAAATAGTTCATGTTTCGTATGTAAACACAAATGGTAGTACCCGTATGTGTTGAGTTCAACTTTTTTTTCGCAGAAAATTTTAGGTCTATGTATCTATTGCGTGGCTAAGTCTATATGAAAGCAGATTCCCGCTATGTCATACAGAAACCACTTAAGCAGTTGACCACCATGTGCTGAAAGGATCAGACAATTCCGTCATGTTCCTGAGACACCTTCGTATATTTACCTACATGAAGTATCAAGCCTTTAAATCATAGATCAATGAGCGACTTTCAAAGGAGACATATGTCTTGCAAGCGGTGGGGCAATATCCACTGTTTGGTTACTATTCTGGCTGCTTTCCAAGTCATATAAAGTGCGTTGGAAACGAGACCACTCGTCCGAACGAGGTGTGGCTAATTGCTGCAACAAAATCGTATAATTAGCAAAATTATTTCTGGAATAAAATACTGATCCAAGTCCAATCAGCATATTTGTTTACATTTCCAGTAAGCCAATCAGAATGCATAAATCTTGACTACTTCCGGTAAAAAAATGAAGTATTAAAAATTTAGGAATTCTGATTGGCTCTGCCTGAAAAATGTAAACAAAATCAAAACGAAATTCCTCCTTATTTGCTAGTCCTAAGAGCATATATCATTGGACCACTTGTCTATTATCTGTCCATTAATGTGAATTACGACAAATTATGTCATATGAAAACCAGCCTTAAGTTTACTGTATATCCCATCAGTTTAATTCAATTTTGATACGTTGTGGGACATTTCATTTTCATCTTCCATTTTCCTTTTTTTTTCATTGGCCATAACAAAGGAGTTAGTAAAATACTTAGAGAAAGCTTGCTTTTCCTAAAACTTTAAGGCAAAATTATCTGTTGATAAGAAGGGATATTATCTTCGACATACCTCACCAACATTAAAGAAATAAACATGTCCATCATCATCTCCAGCCGCAATATGATTTCCATTCTGTGTCCAACGACAGCGATTTAAAGATCCTGACGTTTCAATCGTTGTGCTAGCGGTGGGGATCTAAAACCGCAATTGTATAACGTATAGTAGTTTGTTGGTTGAACTAGGAAAAGACGTGACCTTCCACGTGGAAACAGCATGCTGCCACGTCTGTCTCAACCTCAATGTATTGTAACAAAACATAACGCATTTCTTTCATCCAAAGTCATTAGTTCTAGTCATTAAATTCTATTTAGACCGGAACGAAAACTGATGGTAATTTGGCCGCCAGCTTTGAAGCCGGCGATACTTTCAACCGTGGAGACAAGAACAATAGACTGGGCTGGCACTGGTCCTTCAAATTATACCTTCAAAAATAGTGAGTTATCATTCCAGTTTACATAGAGTTCACTGGTTCTAGCCAAATGCCCAGAAAACAATGACATACAGGATCGAAAGCTATGAAAGCTGAATAGCGCTATATCGACCGGCTAAATCGTTAGAAAATGATCTGAAGCATAGCTTGCTTAAGCACTCCAGCTATCAGATCAGATCCAATACAAAATAAATACGTCATGAACTCACACTGTAACCTTAACTCCTAACCTTAACGTTGTATACAAAATACCGAGTGCATTAATATACCTCCGTATCGTTGTGAAGATTCCAGAGATCAAGCCTTCCTAATCCATTGACAGTTGCAAACACAGCAGGGTGAATAGGGGACCACTGTACATCATACACATAGTCACCGCTATCTTCAAACGAATACAGAGGCGCTTTGCTCTAAATTATAACAAACACAATGTAGCTATACAGCAAAATTATACATGTAATACAAATAGATACATGTACACACGGTTAGGAACTATAGAAGGCAGTATTTGTCGTGACTACATGATCCTGTCATCTATAATTGTTCCAATCTACGTATGTTTTTGTACGTGTGTAGGCAATGGAGAAGAAACTAAACTCACCCTTTGACTCCACAGCTTTACCGTCCAGTCAAACGATGACGTCACAAACAGGTGGGAAAAATCAATCTGCAAAATACGAAATTGCCGATCAGTCTCAGGACTTCACCGTGGCAATTACCGTATCCTGATCAGTGTGATCTCTGGAAAATACTATTGACACACAATAGTATGGAGATTACCTGTCCATATGCTGAATGTGTGTCAACACTAGTAATAGGTCCTTGATGTCCCGGAGTTCCGGTATGTCCCGCAGCTCCTTCAAACGTGTCTATTATTCCCGCTTTACTAAGACAAAAAAACAGAAAACATACCTGGATAAACTTCCAATCACGGCAAATACTACGTTGACGAACATGTTTATGTCAAGATATCTCAACAATATATAACGTCAAGTACATTCATTATTAGTCGCTTGCAATAATGTTGTCAGATAAAAACATTGCCCACTATCACGTATGAAAAACGTCAATATTTGTGACGAACACTGAGCAACTTAAACATGACTACGATAAAAGTCTGAGGAAACTTTAATGTTTGTAATTAGAAATACGCAATGTTTTTTACCGCTGCCGTGTTCGGTATATATTAATTTGTAAAGGACAATAAAGCAATTCACTACCAAAATTTTCTGAAAATTTTATGAAAGTTCAAAAACGTTTCAAAACAGCATGATTCGAAAAGTGGAAACTGTTTATTAATTAGGATGGATTAGATCGATTTACACCGACAAACATTTCGAGTATTTTCTACCTTCCGTGACGGCAGGCAGTATATACCATGCCATCTTCACTTCCAACCACAAAGTTGTTCACATCTCCAGACAGAAATGACATGCTGGTGACTGCAACTGACTTTGATTGCTTGTCTTGAAGTTCGATGAAATCCTACAGTGCAGTGTATGGATTCTGAATTATAGTTTAAGCATTTTGATAGCGTACACCTTAAGAACTCGTTAAAAAAATACGTCCACTGAGCTGTATATACACTGTAGTCAGCGATACCTGTGGTTGAGAGAGCATCTCCAAACTCCATGAACACATTCGGCCATTTGTTGAAACACTGATTAGATTATGTGCATTCTGAGTACCAACGACATTTACACAGTAGACAGGATGCTACAAAATGCGAATGGAGTTGCTTATATAAGCTGATTGGGCAATTATGATTCACAGATGCTTACCAGTCATATTGGTTGTTTGATGACTGTAGCTTATGTCGGCTCATCAGAAGAACACTGCTTACCGTGTGAGCTTTAGCGGACAACGGGGTGCGTTGAACCGGTGTTTGTTTATTGCTGCGGTTGTCCCATAGCACGATCTGGCCAGAGTAGGTTCCACCCACGATCAAATTGGGATGAAAGCGAGCAAACATTGTTGTCATCACACCAGACTAAAAACAAAGCGCAATGTCATGCCTTTTTGGAAAAAGGATTTCAAGTTACGGAAATATGGAAACGAAATTGAGGGATTATTTCCGCCACATGCCTCTGTATTTAATACCTCTAAAGTTAAACCTTCGTCTTATATCCTTTATTAGGGCACGGATACCTTTTTCAAACTCCTAGAACTTATGTATAATCAGGACATATTCATGTACCTGACAATGAAAGGTGTACTCAGGCGTTGTCTTCTTGTAGTTGATATTCCATATTAAGGCGACACCGTCAGGCTCTCGTGGAGCATCTTCATTTTTATAATATGAAGTAACTAATAACTCCGGATACTGAAATGGAACAGTAGAGCACGTGTGATTCGAGTGCAAAATCGTTTTAAAATACGAGCCCGAGCATGATTAATACCTGGGTTGACCAATCTAAACTTGTGACGACGCGATTCCTGGTCCATTTTTCATCGTAAAATTCTCGATTGAGTGCAATGTTGGCAAAACTCTGACTGTCCCTGCAAGACCAGTCAATAATGCAACAATGTTGGGTCATACATATAAAGAATTTTATCGTAATTTTTATCCATCTAAATTCACAACCAATAAATAAAATGCCTTACCCGTCCCCATCCTCTGTTTTACCATAGTCAAATGTGACATCTTTTTCATAAATTGCTCGTTCAATAATACGACTTGTCCGATCAAGAAAATTTGCAAACGCTTGGGATGAAATAATCTTTTCTTTCTGTTCTTCAGATAATTCTACAATCACTGGGGCTGTAATACAGAGCAAAAGGGTGACTTTGTGTTATAGTTGAGTTATAGTATAGGTAGTTCAGATGTTTTCTTTTATAGATTTGGCAATTTCATAATCATATTCATCTATCCTCGAAAACGTTGTGCCTTTTTTGAAACCTGTTAACGTCACTCATCAAGACCTCACTGCAAAACTAACTACACCTCACCTTTTTCCTTTTGTTCTTCCACTTCATCTTTCACAGGATCCTTAATTTCCTCTTTTTCTTTTTCACCTACATCATTTTCCCCCTTCTTCTGTTCTTCATCTGGAAAATGGAGTTACAAGGGTGAGGTAAGCATAGATCTGACAGAGATTTATGTCAAATCATGAAAGGTAAAAACTATGGTAGGAACAGGGAGGGTATACAGGTACCCTAAGCCAGACCTTCATTCCAGCTGTAAAGAAGGAAGATGCATCCTATCCTCCTTCAGTGGAGGTGTACTGTATACTGCAGCTTTACAGGACTTGATCAAGCAAAAGTATGCAAAGATGCAAAGTATGCAAATTATACCACACTAACCTGACTCTGTGGTCTTCTCTAATACTGGTGTTTGGGTCTCCTTATTATAGGTTACTGTCTCTTTTGGAGGAATGTTAGTTTGTGTTAATGTTGACATGGATAACTTTTGTACTGGTTTTAATGGTGATCTAGAAAAATAAACAATGTGCACTAAGTAATAAGTAAACTCAATTATAATATACAAACACTGAAACACAGACAATGTACCAAAGAACAATGTACAAAGAACACACATAATGACATATTTTATTTACACTTCTTGATTTACTAGGAAACATTTACTAGGAGCTTACTTTACTGGAGAATCCGTTGATATCTGTTGTTGAGAAGCGGTGGCCTTTTGTGGAGGGCTTTGCGCTGGTTAGAAGACAAGGGAATATCAAATCAAGGAATGTTTAAATTATTTGTTTATAATGAAAGCAATGTAACACATGAAAAAACAAAATAAAAAGAAATAATCAGTATGCAGAATCCTCTAAAATTACTGGTATAAAACAATCTACAAACTCACAAGTAACTGTAGACTTAATGCCACCAAAATCAATATCTTTTAAAATCTCATCAGCTTCACGTCTTTTACGATCCAAATCTGACTCGGTGTATAATGAGGGACCCTCATCACTTGGCTTTGAAGTTTTCCCAGCTTCTTTCTGAATAAAAAAAGGTAGAATATGGCAGGTTGGATTTTGTTCTAATATATGATATACAGTTATTTCCCTAATTGCAAGTTTAAAAACTGATAGACATGAAATGCTCACAAAAAGACAAGATAAATGTGCTGCAGAGCTGAATGCTTCATGCTTGACTGAGGTTCAAACGCGAACCTCGAAGGACTACAGGGTGGAGGCGGTGGCAGTTTAAATTTATATAACTTCTACCACCTTACTGTGACAGACATGCCAAGTCTCACGCATTATGCGTGTGACACACGCCTCAGCATTATTTCTCACGCTCACACGCATGATATGATATATCTCACGCATAAATAGGGAGTTCATAGTGAGAAATCATAGTCATTTTTAAAAAGATTTGAACAAGTTAAATGCTTTATTTAGTTTACTTTTTAGAGATTATAGTAATATAGTTCCAATTTTAAGCTATATTATACACAACAAGCCGGATATTGCAATATTACAACAACTGGTATACTATATCAGCCTATCGCAGTAACGCTATCGAATTACGGATTAGGGTTTGACGCATTTTACTGGGCAAGAATGTGTTTTAATACCAGCAAGGTGTTGAGACCTAAGCGGTGAAATTTGATCAACCTCGTACCCAGGGTCTTTTTACCTCCGCACCACTTGATCTCACCCTGTTAATATGGATTTTTATGGCCGGTTGGTGACTTATATTTAGTCAATAGCGACTGAGCTTTCTCTCTCAATTTTTTTTAAATATGTCCTGAGAACGCTGGAAATGCCATTTCAGAGACCCAAATTTCAAAAATTTCCAGGGGGGGCATGCCCCCTGACCCCTCTAGAATTGTGGGGGTGTGTCTATCTCACGCGTGGCCCATCGCCGAACTTGGCATCTATGCTGTGAAGAAATGTTTTATATATCTTAGGAATTAGTAGAATAATGATGAATGATCTCATAAATATGTCATGTACAAGTTCAAGTTGGGACTCAGACACGCCATTGATGATACAGTGGCTGGTCTTTCATTCAAAAACACACCATCAAAAATTTGCAAGAAAGCCTATTAACATGCATTCGATCGCGTTTATCGAGACTATAAATACAATAACATGTTAAACTCACTTTTTGCCTTCCCTCTCTGTTTCGACGTATTTCCTCGAGTTTCTTTCGCTTTCTCTCAAGCTCAGCTTTTCTATCCGACATTGTAGAAAACAGTACGGCTCCTATTACTGTGTAATTTCGTAGAGAAACCTTTATTACGCTTGGTTTTCTTCAATATTTCCTAATATACACACCTAAAAATTATTCGCCATATTGTTTTTAAAGATAGACAATCGGAACATACTCGGGCCACTCACGGAAAGACTCGCACCAAGACGCAACGCAATCGCAATTCGTATAATCGTATTCTAGAAAACTAGTATTTCTCACGATGACTGACCACAAATATGCCGCCATTTTGGTACTTTTTTCAAAACCACAAGCGTGAGACCTCATAACAGCCACAGTCTTTAATTTTAGGCTGTAGTTATTCTTCAAATGGTCTGTTGGTTTTAAATCATAATTTTTAAACCCATTTCAGAAACCTGGTTGCCGTGAACTCATTAACTTCCATTTCAGAAAATTGAAAGTACCCCAAAACGTCATCGTGAGAAAGGCTAACTCCGTTTGACTCCATTGAACTGTACAGCCCGGATCACAATGCCGGATCATGGGGATCAAATGAGGACGCAAGTCTATCGCAAGTTTTTGCTTGTGCTTGCTTGTACCTCGTTGGACCTTCCACTTGTGATGACTTGCGAAGACTTGCATTCAGATTTGTCTATCGTTTGACCAGTCTCACGCAAGTCACAGCAAGTAAACTTGCGATGGACGAGGCCATGGATTTGCGTCCTCGTTTGATCCGGCTTAAGGTATGATTATTTTTTGAGTTCACTGGATCCCCAAGCCGATCGGCCATCGTAAATATAAATGCACACCCTACCAAATACTTTGTGGTCTTTGCCACACGTGAAAATGCTCTTGACCCTCAAATAATTTCTTTCCAGCTGTACGTGACTGAGCTGGTTGAGACGGTTGAGACTAAGATGAGACGTGAGATAAGTATGAAGTATTTTATAGAAAATACGAATTTTCCAAGGATATTCCAAATAACCAAAATATTTTGTTATTGAGTCAGTATATATCAAAATATTGAGTGTTATATTCTTTGTATTTCACTCATTTACTGATTTATTTCAGATTTCTAGGCTGATGTGGCAGAGTAATTCAGTTCGCCAAACCTATGCTTTGTTCAGTTTGACAAACCTATGCTTTGTAATTAACATCACTGCCCTTTGCATTGAATGTTCCTCATTGCACCGGAATATATCTTTGTCTTTGAACAAATTTAAGAGCTTAAGCAAATGAATCGAATTGTCGTTCGGCGCGTTCGCCTAATCAGCGGCGAGTATTTCAATAACAATTTCCCGGAAATCAGTTGATTTTACATTCTACCTATTCTGACCTGTGGTTTATGGCATGAACTGAATCTGAGAGAAAGAATGAGAACTGATCAGAACTAGGAATAATCACTGGGATTCTGGGAAAAATCTACAATGTTTGTTTATCTGCCTTTTTATCCGATCCGATCTTCCCCAAAATGGCCAAAAAGACTTCACTGTTTTCCGGATAACATGTATACACGCACGTCCAGAAATGTATCACTTGTGAACTATGATATGTTGGCCTATTGAGGCCACCAATGAGATACTAGGGGTGGGCAGGTAAAGAGCTTTATGTATAGCGCTGGTCGTGAGAAAACGCACGACTAGAAACTGACTCGCGGGGGCGCCCACGTGTAGGGAGTCAATCAATATGCAGAAGCCAGAAGGATGATATAAATATCAGCTCTTATACGTCAGCTCGATGATTATATAGATCAAGTGACAACACATTGTCATTGCCGGAGAAGTTAGCCAGTAGAGCCAGAGGGTATATTGTCTTTGACAGCGCCAGTGGATATATTTACAAGTGAGTTTGGGAGAGAAAAAGAAATGTCAGCGTTAAGATTCATGATAAAACATAAAGAGGTAGGGAATATTTTATCTGTTTACATATATTCCAAAATATTCTCTATATGTTCACTACTACGTAAAATAATTTTACATATTAGGTATATTCGGGCTGTTTTTCCAAAAAATTTATAGGAAATCCTAGATTTGCTGAACGTTGTTCTATTACGGTGGACGGCTGAATGCAATAATAAAAATAGACTAGACATTATAATGATATTTATTTTGGCATATAAGCAGCACTGAAGCAGGATGTTTGAGACGAGCATACTATAGCATTGATCTGAACCGAGCAACAGTATAGCGCTGATCTAGTGGTGGCCTCGGATACACACAGTGCTCAGCCTACCTAGGATGGAAAGAAGACAAATAAATGAGATGACTGATAAACCTCATTAAGCCTCGTTTACGCACGTTTATGCCCGAATTGTATCCGACCTAATTGACTAAAAATTCGGCGTATTATACAGGCCTTCACTACTTCTCGGTTACAAATGCCTCGCTTTTATTCAGTCACTATTAAACGCAAGTGAAGAAAGAGATGAAAGCCAATTTGACAGGCCAAAACTAAGCAAAGAAGATTACATAGGATGTCCCTACTAATCTCACGTGAATTCTTGACAGGTTGTAAGTTTTCCTATAGATACATGCGTACTAGGAATACGGTCAATCTATTTCCTGTTTATAAAGCGATGCTAAAACGTATCTCCCTCTCATTTGATGGCCATGCAACGCAATATTTCAGAACTTATGTCATGAAAGATGTCAAAATTGAATGCGCCTATACATTATATTTGCACACTATTCTTCTATTCCAAGCGAAGTCGACCGACGCTACAAGCAACTAAAGTTAACTTTCAATTTAATTATTCTTGGAGGTGTATAACGGTGTAAGAACGAAAATTAGTACGTTTCAGCGAAAACGAACCATGAACCGTGCACTGGCTCACGAAATACGGATACAATAAGAGAGACATGCAGGAAAACACACTCCTTTGCAAATATGTCAACTCTCGCATTCGCATTCGAGGAATTAAATTCCTTAGATGCACTCCTCCCCCGCAAAGAATTCCTTTAAACTGTTTTCTTCATGTTTTTGTCTTTATGCATGTTCTTTTATATGGCACTCATGCATATAGGACGCAAATAGACAAGTGCTGAACCTTAAACCTTATCTTTTCAGAGTGTCGTTACATTTTAAGTAAACTGGTTGAGGGAACGTTATCCTTATGACCTTTGCAGTATTTATTTATCTTTTTATACAACCCCTCTACCACTGACTACCTATGCCAAGTGTTCGTATTTCAGCATAGGAATAGCTAACTGTGTCTACCGCCGCTACGTTACATGTATGTCAAGCCTTATTTGCTGAAACAAAATTTAACTGATATAAAGTTTGCATTTATAGTCGATATTGTATTCATATAGCTAATGTATATAGTTCAGATAATTATCTAATACATTTATAACTTAGTCCAGCTTGTTGCTGTTTCTACATATATCGCGATGAGGAAGTCTTTTCGGATTGAGATATTTTACATTCATATACTTCATAATTATAAGTACATCAAAAACATTTTCATCCTCACTTTCACTCGTCGATTGAAGGTAATTTATGATGTAGAACAAGTTTTTATATAGACAATCATATCCACAAGGGCATCAGGTTGTTTCCACCTGCTACATTTAGCATAAAAAAAAAATTAAGAAATATCCACACAGTATCACGGTATATCTCCTAATGCACGTAGCTATAGGCCGTCTGGATATGTTAACTCGCTAAGCATTGACAACATTCATCCTTTAATTAATCATAATCTAATCTATATAGCTGATTTTAATCAGTGCATGATTGGTTTTTAAAATGAAAAGAAAAAGCGCCAAGGACTCATTCACTGAGGACTGAGGTCTGAGGTGATGCTACATAATGCATTGACCCATTTCCCGTTGTAAGCCGTGTTTTTTGGAAGCGGTCTGAGCAACACGTAGGTAATAGGTTATAATATTCAGCGCATATCTCAGGTTTATCATGGATATAGTCTGATTGAAATTTTTGACAAGAATGACGACTGAAGTGTTTATAGAAATCTCATGAAAAGCGCGTTAATTAATAGCTACTACAAAACTTTCAGCCGACGACGGCTTATAAACTTGTACTTCCATGCATCTGCTAATTTCCCTCAGACAGAAGTCAAAACTAACATCAGTCTGGTCAACTTATTGACTTTTAAACGGATGTTTTGTACGTTATTATCTAAGGCGAAAATAATGCTCAGACTGTTGGAAAATAACTGAAAAGCACAAGAAATTTAAAATGATAAGACTGTGAAACATTCAAGGCGTTTTCTTTTCCATATAGATTGTCCCAGTATTAGTGTGTGTTGGATTTGGTTGCTCGTTTGGAGTGTTCATGCTAACAAGAGCCGCTATAAAATACCCAGATGTCGTGTACGTATTTGAAATTGTTTTTTTAAATATATAGATAATTATTCATAAGACGTGTACACTTCATATAGCAGGAAATTAAATTCAAAATGATAAAGTTGATTAAATTACAGTCTTTCACAGACTCGTTAGAGCAATGATTCTTTAGAAATTCGTGTGCATATTAATCATCGGTTACTTTTCACACCGATATGGCTATATAGATTAATTCTAAATTACATACATTGGTATGCATGTATGATCGCAAGTGAACCACAAATATAGCATAATTCTAACTTTCACTTTGTGAAGACTTTGTGCGGAAAGGAGTGTAATATCACCCTAGATGGCTTCACTAATATGACTGAACTGATATTAATGGAACTGAGAGCATATTAAAAATACAAAAAACTGAAATAACTACGTGATTTGCAATTGTTATGATTATATAGGTTTGACAAGAAAAATAATCCAACACCATGGTTAAATGTGAAACCGAATGAGCAAGTAAAGGTGAGTTTGAATCATAAACGATTTCAGTTAATTCTATTACCTCTATGGCCAGCTTCAGTAAACCGAATAATCAAATCTCTGTTGATAACTTCAACACGTCGTGTTTATTACTTTTCCAGCTTTATTCTCCAACAATGGATTTTTCCAAGTTAAAATCTGACAGACCAGATATCGACTGAATTTTGAGGCTTGCGAAGCTTGGCTGAAGCTAAGTAAATGTAATTACCAGAATTGACTTGCATATAGTATTAGTATTTTACATAGAATATATATATATATATATATATATATATATATATATATATATATATATATATATATATATATATATATATATATATATATATTTATATATATTTGGGTTGATAAACTTTAATTTATAGTGAAGAGTTTAATATTTGGTAAACGAATATAGAGAAGCTGAACTAGTTAAATTGAATAATTGTAGAAATTGTAATTGTCAATTCAATTGTAATTGTAAATTGTAATTTTCACTAGAGCTAAATCCTGGAACGAGGTTGTATTGCCCCAATGGGGCGAAACTCGGGATAAGCGCATGGGATAAACCACGCAGGCAAACTCTGCGGTAACATCGTAGGACGATATACCCGGCCGCGCGAACATACTTGTATTTACTTGTAAACTTTTTTGAGTTAGCGAGATATATTTAATGTATACATAGTTTTTGAGAATTCATTTTATTAAATTGCTTATGTTCATTATATTTCGCAAAGTTGACACCTATTGTACGCTCGTTCCAATATAACCAGGGAGCAGCGTGGCAGCGTCTTCAAACAACTTACTTAGCATCAAATGTGGTATAACAACTGCCTAAAATAGACAAAACACATTCTCAGTGTAACTAACTTTAGGCAGTTGTTCTACCACATTTGATGCCCTATTGTAAGCTATTGCACTTACAAAAGAAATCCATCAAGCAGAACTGAATACATGGATATTCACCCCCCTCAATTATCGTTCTAGTTACGCCAGTGCCTATATGATGTAGGTTTCTCTTGTGTGATTGTGCTCTTCTAAAAACCATGCAAAGCGATAAAATACCTTACAGTAATGAAGAAATGAAGTATTGCAAACGTGAAGCAGCAGGACGTACACAACACGGGCTCATCCTCTTTTATAAAATCGGCCATTTTGTCGCTGGCTTGACTCCAATCAATTTTAGTTTGCGTAGTTGTGAGTATTGGATTCTTTTCTTAACTTTTTATTTCATTTGAAGATGTGGTCTATAATAAGAAAAAACAAAGAGGTAGGTAGGATATAATTAAAAGTAAAACAATCCTACATAATGCACATATGACCATTAAAATATTCATAACCGGCACACGGACTGTATTAAATATATATTTGTATATAGAAGTGACTTTGTGGTCATTTTTCAGCTGTATCCAGTGACAGGATGTGTTATTTTCGGATGTGTTCTTGCTGCTGGATATTTACTTAGAATGGCCGTACAACATCCTGATGCGGCGTAAGTAAATAACCGAGATGTCAAAATTTCTAGGCACCAGAATGATCAGATATTAGTCATATTACTATTCTGTAGTGCATCATTGCTTGTACATAATTGTAATATTTATTGTTATGTCTTCCTTCTAGTTGGGCGAACAAGAGAAGCCAGTTGCCTTGGCTTGGAGTTAAACATAATGAACAAAAAAGGGTAAATGTGCCATAAAATGTAACTAATTTAATTTGAAAGGTATTGGTGACTTGGTGTATCCATGCCGATAAGTATAAGAGTATTGCCCCTCCTGGCAACTCCCCTACATGTAGTTAGATGTCAAAATTCAAGTTTGTCAAAAACGTTTATTTGTGGAAACAAATATCACTGTAGGATATCATTATCACCCTTCAGATATTAGTGTATAAATATCTATATCTACAACATTATTGAGAACATCTTATAAACTAAACTATTTTAAAACAAGTCCTGCGGCCGATTGTATAAAACTCTTAACTACATTTTGCATAGTTAAATCGTACTTAACTCAGAAATAAATTACCCTGATTGGTCAATTCTGTCACTAACTATAGCTAAAAGTTAACCACCTTTTTATCAGCTCCGATCTATTTTGTTCACTCTAATTGCTGACAATTATTTTTTCTTTTTTTAGTTCTATGCATCATTTGATTACTCAAACCTTAAAGATGAGAAACCAAAGTTTGAATGAGCTATCACAGCAGATTGAAACCATTCTATAAAATTCAGTTTCTTTTTGTTATAGCTTTGCCAGGAAAATTGATATTATCAAAACTGGACAAAATTCTGTAAGATTATTTAAAACTTTTCTGAACAAATACATTTAAGAAAGATATTGTTTGTGTGTTGATTCATCCCCATGAAGGCTTGAACTTTGCTACAACTAACTTGCTTTGTCCAATAAACTTGATGGAAAATGTGAAAAAACGGGAAAATAAAGGAGAAAATGGGGAAAAGGGAAATGTGAATAAAGGGAGATGCCAAAAGTAGAAAATGGATAAACATAAGGTTAAGGGAATTGAAGAAGATATCTTTAGTTATTTCCGCATTAGATTAGGTTTACATGCACTGAATGCTGAGCGAGGTCCCGCGATGCACACGTGTTAGGGATCACCACCGCTGAGTGTGATCTGGTGTGACTCGAAATTTACCCTCTTTATTTCCCGATGATGAATTAAAAACATCCGTCGAAATCGGAAGATTATGATGTTGATGATCATGTTGCTGTTTCAGCTAGTCCGTATTTATATTTTGTAAAAAAATGAAACATGTTCGTTGATAATCTCACTAGAATGCTTATTTCTCATCTGAAGACTGATGTCCCTGTCGGTACGAGTTCCGCTAGAAAAAAACATACGATGTTTCAAAAAATGCGGCCAACAACTTCAACAACTTACAGCGATTATATTTGCGATTTTGTTCACTTGATAAATGAGAACGAATTGATAGATGAGAATTACGAAAAATTGCAGCAGAAAATATACCAAATTCATTCACGAGTTTCTGTAAATAACCAAGTGCCTACTTCTCCTTATTCTCCCTTAAGGGCTTGAGCCCGGTTACCCGAGATTTAACGAAGCGTGAGATGATTTTGAGGTATTGAAATGATCAGGTAACATGATCCTGGCAGTCGTATAATCACCACAACAATAGCATGTGCTTGTTTGGTGTCATAAAGACTTATTTCAATACCTCAAAGTCCTCTCACGCTTCATTGAATCTCAGGGCTCATGTAAACAGCCCTTTAGTCCTTTAGTAAAAAATACTCGAGTTCGTTCCATGACTAGCACGAAATGCTGATCCAAGCCTGCCCAATTACCTGGCCCTTTACCTGAGTGTTTTCTTGGTGACATAATCTGGTCCTTTATTATGGGTGCCCCGCCACCGGGTCTCCCCCAGGCATCATTCATTGTTTTGATGTGCTGCGAATTAAGAAATCACAAATTAAGAACGAGTATAGTAATAAGGTCAATTTATACATTAAGTATTCAAAAAATGAGGCAATTTCCCCCAAAATGTTATGCATCAGTGTCAGACGTTATTGTGTTTGTAAAAATGATCGCTATTTTGACGCCGTCTTCAACAAAAACATTCTGATTCCAGACTTTTGATATCTCACAGCTATTGGCAATAAGCCATAAAAGAAGACTTTGACTACACTATTTGGATATGCAATTTTTACCAAGTACACTTCGCCTTTTTAAAGCCCTACTTTGTATCCTCGTATCTTCCGTTGCCATCGAGGATTCAAAAAGAGAAATACTTTGGGTACAGGTATGAAGAGCATGCAGTAGAAGCCGCAAGTTAACCCACAAGTTCTTGACTTCCAAACCGCGCAATCTTTTAACGCATCATTGTCCTCCATCTGTTCGCCATTACGCTTGCAAGTCGATTGCCCGGCATTCCTCCGCAGAGGTTACATTACTTTAGGTAAGACAAATAAGGTAAATTGGGGTAAAATAAATCCCCTCTGCGGAAGAAACAGGCCGGTTGCATGAAATCAAGGACAAATTGAAAGGCTGAGTCACCGTACAGCGTATATTCCTAATATGGTAGGAAACGGGCACGCGAGGTTGCATGAAGCCTGAGGTTGCATGAAGCCTTTCAAAGGCGAAGTTGTTTTCTCGACGATTTCCTTTGCATTGCCGAAATCATTACTCATGTGCGCGCATGTGCAACGAACAAAATTTCCACTCACATCAAATGATAATTCTCGCTCTTTTGCCCTCTCGATTTGTCTCCTTCTATTTCTCTCGTCCGCCATTTCTTGCAAATCATCGTAATAGTATTTGCTGTTGTCGTTAATTAATCGTCGAATTTGAAGTTTCTGGTGAAATGGAATACATACACTATCAATACATGTATGCAACTGTGAGAGCCCATTAGACATATACCCTTTTACCTTTCAACCGGGCAATGCGTAATGGTAGTAACGATTACAAAGTCATGATCACTTTAAGTTGTGATACCGCTGTGTACAGAATCGATTTAGTTTGTAAGGAAATGATGCTAAATAAAAACTTAAATTTTGGAATTTTGGAAATCTCGCTCCATAAGATATGACAACTCAAAATGACTTTGATAATCAACTAACGATGAGAAATACCCACAATTTTTGGAGTACTTTCAGTTTTTTTTATTTGGCACATATATATCAACGTGTAAGTTTAAACCTACCTCACGAGTGACATCGGATGTAGCCTTTGGGTTAGCCTTGATTTCCTTTGTTTGGGAGTCGTAGTTTGGTCGGCCAACCTTCCCTTGACGTAGCCAATTTACCACATCAGTTTTGTCCTATCCGCAAATGACAATAACCTTTCATCATCAACTACAACGGGCGAATTTGAGAAGCGATGCATCACAAAACAACTGAGCAACAAGCTTCCCTAGAAATTTTGACTCACGGATTTTAAATAATTGGTTCGTTCCTCTTCACGTAAAGCTTCTGACTCCTGATGCTGTTGTTCTATAATGAACATCGTTGCAATATTTTATGTGGAATCATTTTATCGCATGCATGGGCATGGGCAACATTTTACACCTCAAAGTGTAGATGGAAGCTTATATAATATAAAACATTCAGGATATTCTATCGATATACCGTTTAGAGGTGAACAGAAGGCGGTATCACTTCAATGAAGAAGTCCTGCAATGGAGTTGTCCGGAAGCACTACCGAAGTAGCTATAGATTGTCGCACCGTTAAAGAAGCTTTAAACCCATATAAAATGCACAATATATTTAATACCTAAACTCTTCAGGTATTCTTTCCTTCTCGCTGGATCTTTCTTTACAAGCGCAGAACCTCCCTAGAGAATGTTAATTGATCATCGCTTGTAATTGAATGCTACATTTCGTTAGAACTGGTTATCTTACCATGTTATCGCTGGCTAATTTCCCAGTTGTGTTGGTCATTACTTTTCCTTTTTCGTCTTTCAAGGGAGCACCAGCTCCAGGTTTTCCCCAGGGATTGTAAACTCCATCTTTGGGACTAACTTCACGAATACAGTTTTCTAGAAAGGAACGTACTGCATAAGTGCGATTTTGTATATAGTATACACAAACAAAAGCTTATACACCTTAAGATGAATTAGTCATTTCCCAATCGAGCAGGGTACTGGGTCTAGTCGCGAACCACAAAGCATCTATGGACTGTTTGAAGAGACAAAACATGTAGTCATTGTAATCATTTGTCCCTCCAAATAATCCATAGATGCTTTGCGGTTCGCGACTAGACCCAGTACCCTGCTTGATTGGGAAACGGCTAATTGGGAGTATTATAAATAAAGTCATTAACAATTGCTGAAACAATATTTAAAACCTCAACTTTAACTTACGTCCACTGGTACTCTTGTCCAAAGTTATTTTCTTTTTTGGGTTGAGATTTTCTTTCTGGTTTACACCATTAGTGCTATCCCATGAATGCTCGTTCTGTTTAAAGACGAAAAGCTAATACTGATTACTATGAGACAAATATTACAAATCTGAGGCCAGTTGTAAAAAAACTCTGTAACTACATTTTGAGTATAGTTAAATCGTAATCAAGTCCCAAGTAAGCGATTCTTGTTGGTCAATTTTATCATCATTTCACACATCGGCCTCTGTTCGGCTGAAAATTTGGCATGTTGATATTCGTTTGTCACTACACCATTTATTTCATTTTTGCAATTACCCTGAATTTGTCATTAAGTTGTTGTCGATTTCTCATAATTTTTCCGTTTTCCTTCCGTTCAGGTACCCCGCCATATCCCTTACCCCATGGGTCATAAGTTGGTTGTGGTGCATCTACAAAGAAAATAACAGAATTTTTAGTTGAATGCTGTACACATTTCTTTCAAAAACGATATTAATTTACGAACATTACATTGCTCGTCCTGATACATGTCACGGTGTTTTAATCACAAATCTTTTGTTTTCTGTGCATTTAAAAAGATATCCGGTAACCCATGCAGGGTCCATGTATTTTACCAACAAAAAAGTTCGTCCATGGAAAACTCTTCCTGTGTGCGAACCCATTTAGAAACAATGCCGAGCGAACGTAAAGCAATTATATATTAGGTTATATCACAACTGAAAGGTTTACGGTAGTGTACCTGTTCTTTGGAAATGCTGGACTCGTGGGTTAACAAAGGGATTAGTTTCAATCTGTAACGAAAGATAATTCATAGGAATATTGTAGAAGCCATTTACACTTACAATGTATAATGCTGGCACTGATTGTATACTGTATGTACAGATGACGGATGCGGCTAGTGTGCTGCCTCTTCCCACCCAGTTTTGCAGCGTGTTTTACTACAGGTGTTGGTCTTGTTTGGTTGCCCTCTCCTCTCTAAAGTACTTAGCATACCCAGTGATGACAATGAATCGGATAAAATAGAATTTCTTGATGTTTCCCTGCTTTATGATAAACTATTTATGAATTTTAAAACCGAAATAGTTAGTGCAATCAGCTAGAGTGCTGCTAGCGCTCTAGCGGTCACTCTCTTGAAGTGTTTTTTAATACCATTTTGATCTCTTCCTCCTTTTCTTTCTTCTTCTCTAAAATTCGTCTGTTGTGTGACTCGTGTACTTGAGCATCTGAAAAAAAGGCTCGCGTTTACACCATAGGTATATGCATATGATGCAAATAGATAACGCTTATATATATATTGCATGCTACTATAAGTAAAACGTACCTAATTCTTTACCATAGGAATAGTTCGGCTTGTATCGCTAAAGAAATAGAGAAAGATTATTATGCACTATTTGCTTAGAACATTTTAAAAATTATGCTCTCATGCCCGTCCGATGCAGAACTACAAGCAAGAATGTATAAAGTTTCCTTGTATATTTCATGCATCAACTAACTGGCTGACAGCCAAATTTTAACTATACCAGTCGTGGGTCAATATCGGCGTTGAATTGAGCAGCTTGAAATCGTAGTTCAGGATTCATTTTTAATGATGTCACAACAGTCCCTGACGTAGTTCTATTTGGGGAACCTCCACCACCACCACCACCACCACCACCACCACCACCACCAGGCTTTCCATCCTAAAGATAATAAAAAGTCGTTCAAAAATTGTAGAGGGGTTTACTAAACTACCTGGATGAGCCAGAGCGAGGAACTGACAACGATAAAATATACCACACTGAAGAGGTAGAATCTGGAGTGAAAACTGCAGTATCGCTTATATATATATAATCTTAATGAAGACATCAAAACAATTTTGAAAATGACGAGAGTCGGTGCATAGATTCAACTAAGTTGCCGAGAGAAATTGTGGGGCCCGAGGCAAAAATTTTTTCTGGGGCCCTATGACGTCATGGTTTGCAATATCTACGAGACATAAAATACTTCAAAGCGTTGTGCAAAAGTTTTATAAACAAACTCTTTTACAAACAACATCAACATATCTTAGAAATTAAAATAACAATGACTGTCACTCGTACTTTCGACTATAGTGTGCGAATAATACACCGAGCCGAAAAACGGCGTATTCGATCATAGTCGAGTCCGCCGAAAAATGGCGTATTCGACCATGGTCGAATTGGCCGGAAAATGACGAATTCGACCATGGTCGAATTGGCCGGAAAATGACGAATTCGACCATGGTCGAATTGGCCGGAAAATGACGAATTCGACCATGGTCGAATTGGCCGGAAAAGAACGAATTCGACCATGGTCGATTTGGCCGGAAAATGGCAAATACGACCATGGTCGAATTGGCCGGAAAATGACGAATACGACCATAGTCGAATTGGCCGGATAATGACGAATTCGACCATGGTCGAATTGGCCGGAAAATGACGAATTCGACCATGGTCGAATTGGCCGGAAAATGGCGAATTCGACCATGGATGGTCGAATTGGCCGGAAAATGACGAATTCGACCATGGTCATATTCGCCGGAAAATGGCAAATACGACCATGGTCATATTCGCCGGAAAATGGCAAATACGGCCATGGTCATATTCGCCGGAAAATGGCAAATACGACCATGGTCATATTCGTCAGAAAATGGCTAATTCGACCATGGTCGAGTTCGCCGGAAAATGGCGAATTCGACCATGGTCGAGTTCGCCGGAAAATGGCAAATACGACCATGGTCGAGTTCACCGGAAAATAGCAAATACGACCATGGTCGAGTTCGCCAGAAAATGGCAAATATACGACCATGGTCGAGTTCGCCGGGAAATGGCAAATACGACCATGGTCGAGTTTAAATACGAGTAAAAAGAATACTACAAGAACAATGGAAATTCACTACAGCACAGAAGCTGGTGCTAAAATAGTCAATACTGTGCAACACAAGAAGGTCGTACATGGAGTTAATTAATCCCCCCCCCCTCTCGGCGGCCCTGCATGTATATTTCACTTCCCGACCATACGTTCCAGGCTTATGCGGAATAGAGAGAAATGTAAGCATATATATTGACTAATGTCCCAAAGGAAAATACTCACTTCGTGTTTCAAATTATTCACATGTTTCGTCACATTAGCCACTACTTCATTGTTTTTATAACCCTATAGATATAGGAAGCTCTTTTAACTATTTGTTGGTCAAATGACTAAAAAGTACAGTATATAAAGCTAGATAAAGCGACTATGTTGGATAAAGATACGCGTTGAATATTGATACGGAGTACTCACTCTAGGAGCCCCGCCTCCAGGTTTTCCCCAAGGATTGTAGCTTGTGAGCATTTCAAAATCCTTTTCAAAATAGCAGTGAAATATATCAGAACGAATAGAATTAAAGAATTATATAATTATATTATTATTATAGGATTATATCAGAACGAATAACACAAGAAATTCAATCAATTAAACGAGTGCTATTTGCAAGTATTTGAGCGAGAAAAAGATAAAAGTCCGAACTGGCTAAATAAAAGATATGTAACCTTGAAATGGGAAGCGAAAAAAAACCTTGACTCAAACCCTCAAAACGTTCGTGGCTATCCTTATAAAAGTTACTTAAAAGAAGAAGTGGCAACAATCGCAAAATTTACACCGTCTTTGCCGGAGCCGCATTTGCCCAAAGTCTGCATAGATGGCTTAAAAATAATTCTCCACCCGAGCGAGGAAGAATCGGATTCGATGCCGAAGATCGCGGCTTAACAAATTTGGCATCGGCTAACGTCAACGAGAATTATGGCTGTCACATCTGCTTGCATTTGGGTCAGGTATATTTTGTTATACTGTAAAGTGTATAACTATAAGAGCATGCATGTACATGCCTATATAAAAACGATCAGGTTGATGCAATATTGATATGAACAGCATGGAACAATGTTGTGCTGCCCACATTGTTCAGAGTTGTTATCAACATCGAACAATATTGTCACACCCGATTCAGTTTCAACAATATTGTTCAATGTTGTTGACAAGTGTGAACAATAATGGCAGCACAACATTGTTGCTGATAAACAGCAGGCTCAGAGTTTTTAGCCGTGTAGTACATAATCGATATCAAAATTATTTCTTGGGTCAGTTGGGACGTCGGCAACGTTTTGTAAATTTAATATTAAGTTAAGATGCGACGTATAATGCCTGTCTCAGACGTTAAATCTTTTACGTAGGCGTTACTAAGGTCTAAGGCAATTCATATATTTTTGGCAAATGAAAATGACCTAAAATAATTTTCGATCTATAATCGGTTTAGTTGCAACTGAAGATTGGAAATTTGTCAGCACAACTGGAGAGGATGTTCTCGCGGATACATTGTCACCACCGGGCCTGCCTTGCCTGTTTTTTACCAACTGCGTCCATTAGAACGTCGAGGGAGTTGGTTTTTCGCTTTCAAAGGGTTCAAATTTGTTTGTTTAACATGACCAGGCAATGTTTGTTAAGACACTTTACGTACACGTTTGTTCAAGTGCTTAACAATAGTCAACGATAGTTGAAAAGCCCACGCAGAATCTCTTTTTTGATACACCGTGCATGGATGTATAATTTCTTCGCCGCGTAAACGTACGAGTCATAATGGACAAATAGGAAAAATTAGCCAAGTTACCATGCCTTGACTGCCGGACTGTGCCGGATTGCAGGCGTGTGGTAGGATATGTGCACTATAAATTGTTCTGCGGTTCTGCCCATTTATTTACTTATTTTGGCTTCATATATTTGGTCTGGCTATAATGAATCAATTTATTACCTTCTTTTTTTCTTCTGCTATTTGAGATTGTTGATGTGCCTTACGTTCATAGAACTTGCTTAAATAATTATCTAAAGTAAGCAAATTTTGAGGTATAATATATTATGTTTCTCTCTAACCAAGAATATATGCTTAAATATATGTTTGAGGAGAGAGAAGCGGAGTCGTTAAACTGGATATCGGACAACCAGTATTTCAAGAAGATATAGATTTTGGGCAATCTGTTTGAAATTGGTAGTTTTGACCATGGTTGAACAGAATAAATTAGTCTTAAGTTATCTTTCCCACTTATACCAGCAATCAGCAAGCTCGTTGCGATTGCTTGCATCTGACTTAAATCAGCAGAGAATCGTTTTCATTGAAGATACTTGCAGCGTGCTTGCTACAGTAGTTGGTCGTTGGCCTTTTTCCAATTCGTTTTGCACGAGAGCTCGGTTCGTGCGCAAATTCCCGTCCAGTTGAAAACAGTAACTATCAGAATGCCCCAAAATCACAGCCAGTAATATTATCGCAGTACATACCTTCTTCAACAGCAAGTTTACGATGCCGTACGCGTTGTCCGTCTCTGAATTATAGAAAATATGTCAAGCTATCAAATGTCAAATAGGGAATCACATTGATATACCATAAACCAACACCTTTATGCAATTGCGTCAAAAACCACTTTCCTGTGGTATAAAAAATTAAGCAATAAAGAATTTCCGACGATAACCCATCATCAACCTATTTCATTTAATTTTCGTCTTGCTTTTAAATTCATATACTTTAACACATCCACAGACTGATAACTTGATTACCACTGACTTACGTTAGGTTACCCAGCAGCAAGCCATGATTAAGACGTCTGGCTGGATTTCTACTTTCAAATCTTCTCACGGCGCTTGAACCATACAAAAATCCATGATCTTCTTCGCTCTTTCTAGTACGCCGTGTGGTCTCTTTCGGTGAATATTCTGCTCCATAAATCATAGTATTGGCATTTGATCCTCCTGGCATCTGAAAGAAACACGTCAATTATTCACACAATTAATAGAAATAAGGGAAAACAATCACAAGATTAGTAGGAATGGTCACACGCCCTCCTTTCTAAGGCCCTGTTTCAGTATGAGAGGCGGAACGGGATATTTTTTCATCCGCGTTTACATGATTGTTTTTCAAAGAGGATGTTTTCTCGCGGGAATACCCAGGACGGGTATTTCTCCCGGGAATATAATACCATATTGTTCAGTGACATTGATCAAATAATGCAATGTCAGCGTAATATTGTCCCGGTCAAGCGAGATCGAGCGTTTATATGACAAATAACGTCCCGCTTCAAACGGGAACCCGCTTGCTCAAAGCGGGATCCTGCCCTGGTGGGACAAGACAAAAAACATCCTGCTTTCTTATAAACACCGCACGAAAGATATTATACCAACATATACAAGACGAGATCCCGGTCATTGTCTCGTCCCGGCAAACGTGCCGTCCCGCCTCTCATATTAACAGAGCCTAATTCTCATTGCGGGGCTAGCAGTCGCAAGACAAGGCAGTTGACGCTATTGTCTGAATGATCCGGAAAATAAGAAAGGAAAAACAGAAGTTGGGAACTGTAAAATCCCTACTGCGTTTCTTTTCCGCTTGTCTAACAACGATCAATTAATATACTTCAGTGAAAATATATAGACTTTGCCGTGCCAACATAACTTCAGTAATGTGGCTAACCTTTCCTCTAACAAAGTGCTGTGTTTTGCGGTGGTCCATGTTCATATTTTCGTGCGCAACTCCGTGTCCGACAGCAACAGTCTCAAATGCCTGCTTATGGTGGCTCATGACATTATGGCGTCGTCCATACAGGTTGTCTATGGCAGCTGATCTATATACCGCAATGTCGTTCTTCGGTGGGTCTCTTGGGTAGGCTGGATAAAAAAAATTTCAGCTGAATTTGAATACAATAACCCATTGGCTGTTTTACAGTGTATATGCATGTTAATCAGTGATCTAGGAGCTGGTCAACGGCCCGTCGATTATGCAGTTAGCAGACCAGAAATGAATAAGTGAGACGAAATTTCACTGACTGGCTGGCAGTCTAGAGCGCCGTGACACCATTACCATCAGCAGTGTTGGAGCCGAATTTCATAGAAAAGCATATAGTTAAAGTTAACTTTTAACAGTATGGTTAGTGACCGGCAGGATTAGCAATTGAGTCTCTTTGGCGTTCAATTCTTGCTGAATGTTTCTATGATTCGACACTGGAATAGTGGAATTTTAACAATTATGATGTGGAATTGTACAAAATTAATGCGTACAAAAGACGCGGAACAGTCCAGACAGATTACTTCGTTCATGATTGAGCGAACTCAGTAAGACAGTATGAATTAATCCGGTTATGCATACTAGACATATCTACACGACAACAGTTATTTAGAAAATCCTAACTAAGATTATGATATCTATTTCGGGACAAAAATACCGCGTTTTCGATCAATGTTTGATATAAGTTGAAATAAGTCAGATACATCACTGCCAATAACCAAAAGTTTCAAGAAAAAACTCCCTCAACCGGCTGCCTACTGGCACTGAAACTTCCTTTTAATAAATTATATAATGTAATTTATTTTGTTACTTCAACTGTTCAACAACCACATACTGAAAGTTCCATATGTTTTGCCACAGCAATTCGACGGAGTTGGAGGAACTTGCTTCAGTATTAAATCCATTCTGATTGATTTCATCTTCGCTGATTCTTATACTTTCTACAAACGCAACGCTTCCTTCGCATGCATCTAGTAAACATGGCCGGGTTGGTACTAAGCAACGGTACTTATCTAGTCAAAACCTTTCTGAGGCGAACATCATTGAAAGATTGAATGATTACGACTTTCCCAAGATTTGCAGTGTATTTGCTTACGTATATGCTTTAAATGGCCCGGTAAATCCGGGTTTTCATACCGTAAATTGCATTCATGCATTATATATAACAATACGTTATAACGAAATACTACAAAGATTTCCGCCATTAAAAATTTAAAGCATTTAGCTGAAGAGTACGGTGGCCGGCTTATTGAGAAATATAAACACAGATCACACATGCTCACCATTATATATTAATGCTAACTACCAGCTATAGTTTTGTGTGTGGACCAAGTTAATCTATGTATGTTAACATAATGTTTGTAAGGACGCTTTGCTCACCATTTGTAATAATTGTTAAGCAAATAGAGATCTAAGCCATACTTAAGCCTCTTGTTCTAACATAAGCTTACCTGTGATGCTGGGAAGTTTTCGATCGCTGCCTCTATATTATTTATCGAGTGAAAAGTCTATTTAAATTGCCTTTATTGAAATATATGAACTGTAGTTATGGTTTAACCTGTAGTCATTAGACATTACCATGCCAACCGGATCAGATTTCAAACTCATTCAAAGCTGGTGAAATTAGCGGACGATTTAGCTTTTGCCTGATGTTAATGATGGATGTTGGTGGTTGATCATGTCGTATAATGCTGACGTTTACCATGCGTTTTTCAGATATCATGAACGTGGATCTGAACCGCATATCGGTTGCCGCATATCGTTGGCTATTTATTGAAATTATAGTAACAATGGGATTGCACCTTTTCATATATGGCCATTGCTTTTCCTGACACAAAATTGTGAACTCCTATAAGGCCTGGGAGACAGTATGTAAAATAATGCGTGGCTTGCTTGGCAGGTTGAATCATCCATTTGAACTAGATTCCATAGCATTTCGTTTGTAAAATGTTGATGACGCAGTACATAGAATAGTTTGGTAATCAGTCATTTTTTTTCATACTGGCCTGGATCTGTCATAGTTACAGAGTTACAGTCAGTCAGATCACGGTTAATACAGATGTAGTCCATCCCCTAATTTGGTCGTGGGTCATACCAATATTCTTGGGGCCCTTCTCCGATTACGAACAAAGCTTTAAAAAGTTACAGTAATACTGACAACTATGACTAAGTCTATCAGGTGCATAGAACGTTATCTCGCATTACGCAGTCTTTTAATCTATGTATACGGTAATACGGCTCTTTTTTGTCCCACACAAATTGCCTTGAAATTTAATTAATCTTGTTACCCTGCTGTGACATAAGCACTCTAATAATCAGTTCCTATATACGTACACTTCCTGCAACTTTACCTGCTTCGTAGAAGACGTTAAAAAGTGGGTCCACTGAATTGGCACTGATACTGGGAACATATTGCAATGGTCGATGTCGTACGTATTTGAAGATAGGCTTTGACCATTCCTTTAATAAAAAGCATACAGTCAAATTATTCTACTCCGTATACCGTTTTACTTTCAGGGAAGTCCAGCTGACTGCGATCAAACGGGACCAGATGAATTTTGGACTTTGCTATTTTATCTATTTTTACCGTGTGAACACCTGAACTAGTGAACCGGACGAATTCAAGCACGGTTTTGGTCCGATCCCGTGTGAATGTACTCAACGTAGCCAGCAATTACCGAACCGTCATGTTTGTACGCATCTTTGGGGATGAAAGAAAATGAAAGGCCATTATTGGCATTATTGGTTTCTTACAAAACCTGAATATTAAGATGCACCCTGCTAGCAAAAACTCGAGTACTCGTTAATCGTTATTCTATATAGTTTTTCGCTGGCAAAATCTACATACATGACAATGCTCTACCGGCAGTAAGGTGGCAGCAGTAGCCTAAAACATTCCCCGATTTGCATGGCGCGGCATTATAAGAAAACTTATTTGATCGGTGGCATAACAACTTTGTAATGAGGTGACTACAATATATGCCATGGGCATAGCTATCATACTCTTCTCGAAATTCATCCAATATTAATGTTGTAACGTCGAAACACTATACATTAGATTTCAGTTGAAAAATTAATTTTCTTTTCTCAAAGATGAGCGACAATATTTTATCTCATAATAAAGCGGAGCTTACCGGTTCATATTTTGATCTCTGAAATAACCAGACATCAGACGACGATGGTTGTTGACAACATCGCATGCTCCTGCCAGTGCGATGGTCTTCTGCACTTGTGCACAGGATGTGTGTGATTGTGTGATGTCACAAATTGCCTGGGTATACGTGCGCCAGGTACGTGCGCAGACATAGGGTAATGCACAGGGGAAAAACATAATTGACGGGATTTAGGGCCGTTCACTTTTCTAACATTTTCACACATACAGCTGACTTACCAAGTAAATGAAACCGAAAATGAAATATCGATTTCTATTGTAACCTAGCCGACCCGCTGCGTGCAGTATGATTTCAACGGCGCGCTTTTATACATATGCGACCAAGCTAAGGCTGATGACCAAGACTTAAGATCATCAGCACAAAAGTCGTAGATGTTTAACTCCTAATATGGTCAACAGTTCAAAACTGGAATTGGAATATGCCGACAACAATTTTCGTTTTAGTGTTCACTTGAGCAAAGGCGGTAACCGTGTTTCAATTGGATAACAAATTTTTAATTGGTGGTAGCCTTCAGGCTATGCAGTAATTTTGCAGTTAGAAAATGAATTACTACAGCACTAGTGCTCTTGTTTGAGCTTTAATAAATTACAATATATGACTGTACAGTAACCCTCCAACTTAGTCCCTTCCTTAATCACTACATCAGACTGACATAGTTAATATTTGTGCTCAGATTCATCCGCCGGCTGAATTGAATGTTACCTAGCTGCATGAACTTGACAGGTGAAAACGTGCGACTTCGGTTTTCATCTCTAAAGCACTGTCGCTGTAGTACGTTACTACGGCAATAGTGCTTTAGAGATGCGGAACCTTACTAGTAAGCAATGTATATAGTCACTATAGGGCAACAAATCGCCCTTGGATTAATGACATGATGGTATAAAATTACTCTCTTTTCTTATTTAACATTTCGTTACCCCTCACAATTCTTGCCCTTATAGTGCCATGACTCTAATGTGTTTTAATTAGATCAACATAAAATCAACATTGATCGAGTGGAAGGGGAGCGCCCTTAATTTCTTTAAACGAAAGAGTTACACAGTTTTCAACCATGATTGCAGGATTCTAAATTTTACAACAACGCTTCAATGTGTTCACGTGTGGGTGACGTAGCTCGTGAGGACACCCGAGACGAAGGTCTTGAGCGAGATGACGTATGTTGTGTGACGTACGTTGACGGATGTTGTCGACTCAAACTTGGTGTCTTAGGCATTTTATAACTGGGAGTTCTAAACAAAGTCCTGCCGCTTGGTGACCGAGGAGACGTTGTGCTACATGTGCTCGACGAGCAGTTAAAATTCAGAGAAGAATTGACTTGATCTAAAGATGGCGTCGACTTTTTCGGCGAATCTTTTCTCGATAGCCTTCTTGCCATTTCTTGAAATTCTTTTGGTAATTTTGTATAGTTCGGAGAAACATTCGGCCTCAGCGTTTCATTTTGTGGCTTTTCCGGTTCCTACAGAGTTAATACAATATAGGAAGTATACAGTAAACAGTTAAAGCAACGAGGAACTGACGCATTGTCCGCGCTCGTGACCAATTTGACAAAATTTTGCAGATCAATTTGACAAAGTTTTGTAGTCTTATTTTCAATTATCCTGGAGTTGTGAAATCACAATTTGCGCAGGTGTAGCTCGATCGAATAACGATCTTAAATTAGCTCTTACCTGATTATTATCATCTTCAATGCATTCGTTTTCTAACTGTTCAAAGGTTTCCAGACTGTTATGCCGGGTGCTGCATGGTGTTTTGAAGAAATGCACTTCTGAAATAGGAGATTCCGGGTAGAATGTTTCATCTTTCTTCCTCGGTTCGTCATTGATCGTCTTCTCTATCGTTTCTAGTTCTTCAAACAAATCACAATCGTCGAATGTAATCGGAGTTGTGCTTATGTTCAGTCGAGATAAGAAACTGCCTTTTTTGTTATCACTCGTTGAGTTATCTTCAGTCCTAGATAAGAGGTGTTTTTCGCTGTCGAATTTCTTTAGTTGTGACAAATCCCTTGGTTTTTCTTTCTTTTGTGGTTTCCTAGCTCGATCTTTTTTCTCAATTCTATTCTCCGCTTTCCTAAGTGGAGAAGTAGAACAATGAAGTACGTCTTTATCTTGCTTTCGATGCGAAAATTTTTCGCTTGGTAAAACGTCTTTCGCTTTGATAACGTTACTTTCCTCGCTTTGGATCACTTTTCTAGGTTTTTGTATTTTTACACTTGTGGTGAGGTTTTTTCTACTCACTTCACTTTTACCAATTTTTACAGCCTTCTTAAGGGTGTTCTTGTTATCTTTATCTTCTTCTAAAGCAAAATCTTGATTCTTTCGGAATTTCCTTTTTGGGTTTTCCTCGACCGAAGTGCTATAGAATGTGAATACGTCGTGGTTCGTGAAAAAAGCATCTTCTTTCACGGGAGGTACAATTTCCGATTTAGTTTGTTTTACGTGAACGTCCACATTCTCTACAACGTTTTTAGGTGAATTTTCCTCAATCAAATTCTTAGAGCAACTTGCACCATTATTTTCGTTATTTTTCTTCCTATCTTTAATTTCTTCTTTATTTCGTCTTACTACGTTCTCTCCAGAGATATTTCCTGGAATTTCTTTCACCAAATTCTCAGAGTTGATATTTAATATGAACTCTGGTTGATAAATTGAACTATAATCATCAAAAGATAGCTCAGGTTCCTCTGAAATAGTATTGACAAGGGGAATCACTTTTTCCTGAGATTTTCTAGCATATCTCTGTGATTCTGGCTCAGAGTCATTGTCACTATGTGACGATTTTCGTAGCCGTTGCCCCAACTTCTTAAAAGGCGATATTCTATTTTCCCGCTCTGACGCATGTTGAAGATGCTCTTTATAAAATCTTATGTTTCCTCCCATGGAATATTCAAAATATTCTGGCAGGACAAATGACTCGTTTTTCGTGTAGTTAAATGTTGGCTGGATAGAAGTTTCAAAACAGTCATTTGTTTCTTGGATTCGAATTTCTTGAACGTCTTGAAGAACAGTCGTTGTAAAGCTATCCGAATCAAGATTCAAGATCTGCTTCACACTGGAATTCCTACAATAAGTCAAAAATGTAAAATACTTCCAGTTAATTTACGACATTAGGAGTACTTTTTCTTGATCATCTATCAAATGTATTTAAGAAGCATCTTTACATCAATATATATAAGAGTTCAAGCTTCTCGCGTGAGTAGCAGGGTCTCGGGATCGCTCTTGCTATAGGTTTTCCCTTGACTTTTTTTGCCCGTGTAGAGTGTAGACTAGATGACTACAGAAATACGAAAAAGTGTCCCTTAGAAACATACCTCCGGCTAGGATTATAGGCATCGTAATCGGGATGCCTGATCCTTTGCTTATCAAAATTACAAAAACTGAAAAGAAAAACAAACTATGAAAATCAGCGTGAAATGGTATATAGGATTATTTTATTTAATTATATAGGTATTAAGGTCTGTTCACACCATCAGATCCAATTTGGATCCAATTCACTTCTAATGGATGATCTATAGTCTGCCGGTTGTCTTATGATGTTTGCAATGCAATACTACTTTATCAATAACAGACTATATTCAATACGGCGGAAGTGAATTGGATCTAACAAAATTGGATCGTGTGAGCAGACATTCTACTCATGCATGTCCATTTTAATATACTATATTCAAAAACCGTTAACTCAAATTTTGTGACAGTGCTGTTATAGATTTTTGTAAGAGAAGGAAAAATTTTGCTAAATAAATCGGTTCATCTGCCTTATAAAGTTAGGGCCGTGAATCATGGTGGTGATTCAATTTAGAGATGTAACCGACATTCCAAGCGAATCCTGCCGTGGCGTCACTAAATAGTGACTAGGTTTAATCTTCTTTACCAATGAATGAGTGTTGATCAGCATCAACGGTTTCGTGGCGTTGGATCAGTCTAATGATCTATAGCTGGACTGATTTTGTGCGGGTTGCCCATTTACAAACAGTTCACATGAAGATATATGTATACAACTATTACAAGCATTACCTCATCAAGATCAATGCTTTCCATTACTTACCTAACTGAACTCCAGACACCCATTTTGCCGGATAAATATTCTCTTTCTCACTGTAGGTTGGAGTCTCCAAACTGATTTATATGGCCAAAGGCAGATTCGGAACAAAGCCTACCTGCTTGACAAATGTCTATATAAGGCTCTATATAAAAAACATTTCTACTTAAGAAACTACGTGCTAAGTCAGTTCACTGTTCAGACTTTCTCTTGAGTTTTCTAGTTTGTAATATCAAGTGGACCCTACGACGATGTACAAATGTCAAATAACAAGAAGTTAGCAAAATGCATGCAACGATTCATATAAATTGAAATTTTGCTTTTGTGACTCCGTCAATTCCACCTGTTGTTGAGCCTTACAAACAATACACCAACAGGTTGTCCAGCGCTTAATTGTCCGTAGATTTTTACAACAAGTGGTACATAACTTTGTAAGAACTGAATACAGAGTTGTTCAGATATTAATGTACATATTTAATGCATTATATGGACTATACAATATAATTCGAAATCAGTCTCGAGCTAAGAAACATAAAGTGCAACTTACTTTTCTGTGTGTTCTTCGGTCTTCCCTTTGCAAAATGGCCACTTCCTATATTAATATTTGCCCGCTCAAAAAAATATACACTCCATGAGGTAATACATTTGCCGTTATAAGTTTTTCAATAAAGTATTCTAGTAAATGTCTTCTCTCACACCATAGACAATCCAGAAGATGTCTTTTGGATTGTCTATGCTCACACTCAACACATCTCTGGTTGAGTGATCGGCTCTCGGTTGCTTAGGATCGAATTGTAACATGAATAAAAAAACAACAAAACAAAACCGGGGGAATTTTCAACTCCCTCGCTGGCGCCGGAGTAATTACGCTGTCTATAAAGTCAAGCAACATGATGAGTTGAAATCAATTTATTGCCTACAATAATAATCTACAGATATATAATACAATGCTATTCCTGCACACCGGACATACTTTTTAACCATGTAACTAGACTATCATATCGAGAGATATATGCTGGAATTGCGTTCGTGGAGGCTCCACCTCTTTCTCCGTCCACCACAGTCTCAGGCAGCGACTGTGTGTCATGAGATATTGTGGAGAAGGTCATATTCGAATACAATCCTGGCGCTGGTGGAGGAAGATTGGCATAAGAGGGATTCCCAGTCGTATCAACGTCGACGATGTCCTCGTATATTGGCTCAGAACTGTCTTCACTCATCTGCGGTGATAATACCTTCTCAACAGGCGTCGATAGTTTACGTAGTTTATGCTGCCTTCTTCTTGTTAAATTTTTTCTCCATTTCAACCATCTACAAATTGAAAAATGTAGCGGTATCTTGATATGAGCCAAAATTGCATTGATTTTATCATGCATAAACGCATTGCTTTTATCATGCAGCATACTAGCGTTATCTTGGGACCCACAGTACAATGTGCATAAAAAAACGCATTCACAAACACTTGGAATTCCATTCGATTGTGGTTTCAGCAATCAGAAGACTCAATAAAGGCATCAACAAGGTCTTACAATAGGTGATGACCCTACCCATTTCAGTCATATCACACTTATTTATTATTAGAGTATTATTTTTAATGGGAGTTAAAAGCCCAGTCTAAATCAGTTTTGGTCGTAAGGGGTGCGGGGGGAGTCATGAGTGTTCCAAGAACAAAACATGCTTTGTGGTACGTATTTCTTTCCACTGAGATACCAGGCTAAAATATTGATACTCAGGCATCCTACCTTTTAAAGATATAGAAGGCACTCACGACAATAACTAGAGTACCCAAGCTCCCTACAAGGGCTCCAAGTATGGCGGAATTTGGATCTTTAAATTCAATTGATTCGAAATTTGGACCTGACATCTATTAAAAACACAAGAGAGAAACATCAAATGTGCCTTCAGTATGTCGTATGAAAACTGCCTAGGCAGTTGTTGTATCACATTTGATGTAAAGTCGCAATTCTATACATTTTTCATTCAGACTAGACATTCGGCGACATACACATACAATTAAGAGTGGATTTTGTTTGCATCATTGTGGTCCGTACCTACCTTATCACATTGACAACGACTTTTTCCCTCATCTGCATTTTTCTTGGAGATAGATTGTCATCGTTCCCCCTCTTTCTTTTTCGTCTTTAACTTTTTTCGTCAGTGTATTCTTGATTTTGATAAGCCGAATTCGTGAGATGAAACCTCATTATGACGTCACATTATGCGTCACAATAAAAGACGCGCAAAAGTTAATTGCGCAGATACAAGCGAGTTTATTTGATGAGTTTCTTCTTTATTTAATTTTTTTGTGTTTTATTTACTGCGGACAAACAACTTTTTCTTGTGGGAACGTGCGGACAGTTTTTCTATTAGTTTCCTAGATTTAGCACCTAGGGCTGTATGTACGATAGCTGGATCACTCATTCACTCTATCCAGCGGAGGGTGATTTTTTACATTTAAATGTTGTAAAAATGCCTTAAACGGAAAATAACAGATTTAAGGTAAGAATCTTTAACGACAATCCTCGATTTAGGAATACTAAGCCCTAAGGTTTTTATACCGAACAACAGGCAATTTTGGAGCTATTGAAAAAAAACACCTGTCCGGTGGATAGCGCTTTGTACAACTGGCCCTAGGATTCTTAACAAGGAAAACTTGTTATTTTAAGTCGTTCACCCGAACATGTTCAGCAGTCAAGGAAAATTATCTCCGGAAATTGCTCGTCTGCGCCAGTTTTAAAAACGAGCTTATCAGGATTCCAACCAGAGGATCGATTCATCTGTATCATACATTAGCATGCAGGAATGAATCGAAATTGAGTAGAGTATATTATGAAAATTTTTTCCTAGTTGTTTGTACCTAAGACCAGTTGTACGAAGTCTAGATTGTGCTATATACATACAAGTTTCTATAATATGGAAGTGAGTAGTTCCAAGAAAACTAACCCTGAATGTTTCCGAAAAAAAGTGCTGTAATAATTTATACTTGAAGTACTTCCGTGATTGACAACAAACCGCTGACACGTCTTCGAATTCCGAAAGTTGTTGCAGTGTCAGAGCTGTGAAGACAACATCACACGCCTTTTGAAATTTGAATATACAAGTAAATAGTTTGTTTCTCCTCATCAAGTAATATAAAATGGCTTACCCAGGATATGGTGTAAGTATTATAGAAACTGCCTCTTTTTCGTGTATAGAATGGTATTTGTTTCGCCCAGAGATGGATTCTGGCAATGCTGATATTCGTTCGTGCCGGATGTTGTAAATTATATTATGTATATTCCAATGCGTTTTTAGATTTACAGCAGCGTTGCTAGGTTAAAATATTGTCGTACATGTTATTAAAAGACCAAATTTGTTTTGATTGATTTTCTCAGTAGTTTATTAACTTCCCGCAAGCATGTTATTTACTTTTTAAACAAGGGAACAGTGAGCACTATTTAATATTTTTCGAATTGAGCTTGTAAAATATCAAATACACTGGTATGTGTAATCAATACTGGCAAAAAGTAATTTTTTTCCTGTAGTTGTGTGTTCATTTTTTATCACATGATTCCATACTCTCCACCTATCACTCCAACTAGTCAATTATATTTTCAAACAGGAAGTATTAAATTCTCACTATTATTTCTACCTAAAGCTTTCATGATAAACCAGTTTTGTTGCTTTTGGCATTACGCTTAACAATTGGTTCATTCAGGTTGAAATTTAAGTAAAAAACACGTATGACATGTTAAAAAGGTATATATTAAATATACTGGTACTTATCATAAGTTCCATATATTCCAACAATCCCTCTATGTACATATTTCAAGGCTCCAGGGTATCCAGGTGGTCAACCAGATCCTTTGTTTGGCTATTTTGCTGCAGTTGCTGGACAGGTACCATATCATTTTTTCATTATAATTTCACCCTGGCAATGCAGCCAAAGACACTAACCATAAATCAATAGATAACAGCAGCAGAATTGCCCCAGCACCTGCCCCATGTGATTTTAGTTAGGTATTATGCTTATAATGCCAGGATCATTCATGTGTAGTTCAATCTGTAATTAACAGGATCAACAAATTGATGCACATGAATTACAAAGATGCTTGATGTCATCGGGGATCTCAGGAAACTATCAACGTAAGTTAATGTTCTCTGATACCAAATACATATTTAAATATCAATAAATAACATTAGCCTGAATTTTAGTATTAATGTAGTGCTTATTTTGTAAGTTGATTGTTTACCTTCATGTTACATTCTTGGATTTTTTAGAATTCAGCTTGGATACCTGCAGAATTATGATTGCTATGCTCAATGTATCCTTTTCAATTTCAATTGTCATCACTAGTCCAAAATCCAAGGGGTAATTAAATGGTACAGCTCATATACAGTATTTGAGTCCCACTAACTCTATCCTTAAGATAGCACCCACAGTGATTTTGTGGTTAATATTTTTTGATCTTGGAAGATGACTCATCTTCCTTGCTCTATGGTATTGACTGGTCAACCACACTAAAACCATTACAAAACATTTGTCAGTTTGGTAAAATTAAAAAAGGTCATAGAACTCTTTTATCTCACCTTTACATATATATTTTGATCTTCTAAACTAAAACGAGTTACTAAAGCAAAGCCTGGTCGTCCAGAGTTAGTCATTGATCTGAAAGAACACCAATGATCTGTACGTAATAAATACACAAAATCAAAAAACGTGTATCACATGTATTCCATCCTTGACCTTAAGTTCAAAGCGAGATCGGGACGCTCGTATGGGATTTAGCGAATTTAAAGAATTATGGAACGTTCTCTCTCACTGGAAGGTAAAATTAACTTTGGCACAAATGCCGATACAAATTGTGTGCAATTAAAATTATATTTTGGGCCATTTATTTCAGACAACTTTCATGCAGTATGACCGAGATAGATCAGGAACTGTAGAACCTCACGAGCTTCAAGCAGCGTTGACAAGTTGGGGTATGTCAGACTGTCAGTGGTACCACTTCTCGGAAATTGCTACATTTTTACTTGTTGCAACCAAATTCGTGACGCTGTTCCCGAGGGTGTTCTGATATCCTTTATCTTTATAGGTTACAACCTCTCTCCAACTGCTTTACAAATCATCGTGAACCGTTATTCGACCAACCATCGTATAAGTTTTGATGATTTTGTCGCTTGCGCCGTACGACTCCGAAGTTTAACCGGTAAGATACGACAATATATATCCCTTCATGGCCTACATAAACATATGACCAACAAATTCTTCACCGCATTTGTGCATGAAATAAACAAAAACATCCCGTTAAGTGTTGATATTTTTTAGAACATTTCCGTCGTCGCGATACAGCGCAGCAAGGCGTGGCAACATTTGGTTATGACGATGTAAGTTCACTGATAAGGTTGCTATCACCATAGCTATCACTAAGTTACATAGTTACCTATAGTCGACTTAATAGTAAATCATATATAAACTATTATTTTCTTTTGTAGTTCATTCAAGTGTCGATGTTCACCTAAACTCTAAAGTATAACTTCAGTTTGCAAGGAAATCGGGAGTGCAATCAACAGTCAATTTTTAATTATACCCAGGATGCTGGGACAGTACTTTACAAGATATTTACACTGTTCATTGTGATAAATTTTATTTGATTAATATTGTCACGTGTAGATGTATGATGATTATCAGCCTAACTGTAATTTCAACTTTGCCGTGCGGTATATAGCCTACAGGTATAGCCCAAAGTGAGATAAATTATTATTTAGCATTAGTAGCTTAACTTTAAAGAATTGTATCTTGATGTTTTAATACAATATGAAATTATTGCTTTTTTCTATTTATCGTTTCTTTAAAATAAGTATTATTTACTGTATTCTAAGACGGGTCCGTCTTTTTATATACAAGGCTTTTTGGTGGTATGATTCCGGTAACAAAACAAAAGGCATGCTTTTGAGGGTTAACTTGTAATTTGGCAATGCATGGGTATGTATGTTACTCGATATATAAGTCAAGAACAAGAACGTTCTTACTGTTCGAATTCTTACTGAATTATTACTATTCGAATATTTAAAAATTGCGTTTACCGCGTTAATCAGGTTAAAAAGAAAATATGCAATTATCGAAAAAGCAGCAATGCTAGAAAAAGAACATGCAATAAAATAGAAAATGGTATTCAAAACAAGTGTATATTTTGGCACTTCAATGTACACTTATATCATGATTACCAACCCATTGATGATACAAATATACAAAAAGGGAAAAACATTTACATTTATGTAGAAATTCTGGCAAAAGATTATCGCGACCAGAATGACCAGAGCGAACGACGCTTTGCAATCACCATGCTTCTAAAAACTCGTCATTAACATATTTGCAAAGATTTCTGGCATAGTTATGGTTGTGCAAAGGCCTGAAAAATTTGGTATAAATTTTTGTATTGGACCGTATCCTCTCATTTTTCCATGCCCCATAATGTGATGACCTATACTATTGGCCATTGCATACAGTCGTAGTCCAATAAAAAACCTGACATGGAACAGCTCAAGATATGCGTGAAGTTGAAGCATAGTTTTGTCCGTTAGATTTCCCAACTGTCATTGATTCTGGTATGACAGGACGTAATTCTGTGTTTGTCTGAGTATTAATATCCGATATGTGCACGTCTGGATTTTGTTGCGAAATAACGTCAAATTTTAAATCGATTGGTCCAGTCTATAGAAAATATCATGGTGAAATCATGTTTTGAATACAATTGGTATTAGGCTAGCTATGTTCAATCTGCATGCAATCACAGGTTTTAGTAAATAAAAATGACCAGACTAACGCAAATTAAAGCCAGGACATACCTTTCCATGAAGGCCATAAATGCGCGAGATTTCTTGCAGGCTTAAGTTTTCACTTAAAACTTCATCACAACGCGATATTTCAACCTTGAGCGACAATATAACTATATGTTGGCGTAGCACAAGACTTGAAGTACTATTAAAGTGAAGTATTAAAGTGAAGTACTAGTAATTAACTTCGTTTTTATACTAAATCGACTTACACTGTATGTTTTCTTCACTTGAAATTTCATTTGAATAAGTTTCTTGAGTACTCTGATGGGAACATGCTTGGAACATCTTAAATAACGAGTTGGAAGAACCTAGATTAAATAGAACACATGCACTTATGAACTTCTTAATTCTGACAAAAATATGGTACTAGATAGCTACTATATAGATAGTATAGAGACCACTATCGTTCATATAAATCCCATTGACATTTGACATCTAAAATCTCTGTTACCTTTTTTTGATTCACTTTTAACACGTTTCGCCTAAAAAAGTGTCAAAACCGTTGACTATCAGAAGTTGCAGGGCTTGATTGGCGAGGTGTAACATATAAAAAAAGAACCTTTACGGTAAAATTTAGACTGATGGATTCCTATATCAATTAGGGAATTTTAGAACAATGATTTAGCAACGGTCGCGTTGACTGCTGACTAACATGCTCTCTAACCCTGCATGTGTGACGTGTGTCAGATAAGAGATTGTGGCCATCTTCAGACAGGTCGTGAACAACTGGTGATGAATTATACATGCAATTGCTACCAGGTAAGAAGTACCATACGGGTATCCAAGGAGCATTGCATTCGGAATATTAGTGCGGTTATTTGGCTACTTACTGATGATGATCTAAGGTCACGTATACCGCGTCTGAATTGTCCGCTATGTTTGCAACGCCATCTACATTCCTACCTGAATAAACGAAGATGCAGCTAGTGTAGTGATCAGAGCAGCAAGGTTTTCGCTGGTCGATACATGCATGCCATGCACTATAACTTTTCCCCAATATACCAATACTAAAAACTAGTAAATGAACATTATATTCACTTCTACCTTCTTCACCCTCAGCGAGACTTGCTTGAAATGATTTTCGATTCAGGCGTTCATCTAATAACAGTAAAGCGTTACTGCTACTTAATTTAATGGTGAAATGGCCTTATCGAAAGGCTTACGATTAAGGTTTTATTAGTCTAGTTAGGATTATCTTAATACGAGTTAAGATTAGACCCATTAGACTTCGGATTGGGCTGATAAATTATAGTATTGGAATCATTAAAGCTAGTTAAAGATAAAGATTAGAAAATTTGGGATTTGAATGTTTTCTTGGTTTGTATTATGCGTTGTCAACTTACTGTCGTATAGATTAGGAACCATTTTATACACGATATCTTGCAACGTTGGATCTGGTCTGAAAAAAATTATAAAATGCCTAAGATGCAAGAAATCTTTGACGCGGAAGTGACGATGAAAGTGCAGATGCAGTGTATATATATAGGTGCATGGTGTCGGAATACGTACCTAACGTTGACCAAGGGTTTTGTCTTGTGTACTTCTGTATGACATACAGGACAGTTATATGAAGTGTCCAGGAAACGTACAATGCAACTTTTACAGACTACAAATTATAGCGTATTATCACCACCACAAAATTATGTTAGTTGGAATGTGACCATTCTACCGTATAGTCAGTAGTCCGTTGTCAATGAGAGAGCTTGAGATACCCCGGTACTGATCTACGGGTACCGGTAGTAAGAGTTTTTTTGTCCAATGGAGTGTCTTGCTTCTCTCATGTTTCATGATTCAAATTTTGCTTGCCTGAAGAGGCCAAAGTCTACTGGAGAAGGACTGTCTAGCTGAAGTCCAAAACAGTCCGCAAACATCGATGGGAATTCATTGAAGAAAAGAAGGCTAAAGGCTACGTGTACCCGTTAACCTGAACCGCGGGGTATCCTCACCTCTCTCTAATAGAGACTGTGATTATATGAAGACCATGCAGGGCAAACACATTGCATGGGCATCTAAACAGAACTTCTAAATATACGCACGACATTCAAACACGTTTACACGTTTTTCTAACATCCAACTCCGTCCCTTACCAACGCCTTATCAACGGTGGAGGGGATGACTTTAGAAAAGGTAAACTGAGGCGGGTAAGACAGTAAAGACAATCTTAAAAAAGATCATTTACATACATGAATGAAGACATTCTACGATGGTGCAAGCATCAATGAGATATCCCTTGCACAATGGACATGTGAGGTTTTCGTTCATTTCGGATAATTTTAGTGTGGGTAACATCACTGAATCACCACATTTTCTTTCTGGAATGTATATATAGAGACGTTATTATCATGAGTGCAACTATAGCTATAGTTTCCTCTAGCTATAGCTATAGTTTCCCCACCGTCTAAATAATTTCATGTATACATGGTCTAATGTTTTTAGAGAACTCTTTGCGAAAAAACATGATAAAATTATAGTATAATAAGCCAAAAAAAGTAAATAGTAAAAGTATATAATAAACGGCAGATAAGATGCACCAATATTGCAATCGCATATATTCACGAAATATTGCATATAGCTGTCCAGTAAATTTAACCGTCCATATTCAGAATTTGCCGTCCATGCAAAGTGCCGTCGCACGGCCTTGCCGATTAGATAAACAAGCTCAGGGGCCGGTTGGCGGTTGTACGAAAGATGGATAGCGCTAACCAACGGATAGTGCATGGTTTCTTCCATCGCTTATAAATTTCCCGTTGTTCCGTATAACCTTGCTTTACTCAATAAAGGGTTTAGGCTGTCATATTAAAGAAATCTTCGAGAAATTTAAAAAGTTCTGTCAAAATTAAGCAAATTTTATTTTAGCGACAAAGAATGTTGAATGTTCCCACTTGTAGTCTATATATGCAGAGAACAATACGCATGCCTGTATGCATTTAAGCGGAGTCTGAGCAAAACGTCACCTTGGCTTGAGAGATCGGAAATTCCAATAGGGAAAGCAAATGGTACAAGGAATTTCCATCGGAAAGTTTTTATGGAAATTCCTTGTGCCGCAAGGTAAATGGATGGTAAGCACCCTTCTTTCTCAGCTTGCCTTTAGGGCCTAGGCTTTACCTTTGAAAGGTTTGACAGTCACGTGGAGCTATAAACACCCAAACCTTTTCATTAAGATTGTTTAAAAATCACCAGTTCAAGTTATACCTGTAATTTACATAAAGTATGCAGATGGAAGGTAAACATCAAGCAATAATATCGGTACATTAAAATTGATATGATTGGTAAAATCAGCATTAAACTGAATGAGAAAAATGTCTCGTTTGACAGCCGCCATTTCAATACTGCACGTTCAATATATTGCTTATTTCAAATTTCCGTGTTGGAAGTGGCAGTTCTTTCCTTCCATCAGGAAAGTTGCAAAATAGATTCACAACAAGGCTTGACTATAAGAGTTAAGTTGATATAATACTCTGCATTTGACACGTTTTGAATTCGACTGCTTCCTGCTGGCCGGTAATTCTCCCCACACCATGTTTAAATTTTGTGTGAAAAGTAGCTGTGATCAAAACGGAAGAAATCGAGCGTAGCCGAAACTCTCTGATTACATACGAGTTTCGCGACTTGGATGCCCCGAAATGTCTGTAATGACAGTCAAAGTGCGCGTATATGCCTGTTTAGTTACCAATGCCGTCGGATGCATTGCCTGAGAATGTGCCTCAACATTACCATACTATACCTGCAGCCGCTTGAAAGAACGTTAATTCTTGGAATTATTGAGATTGTCAGTAATCCATCACCTATTTAGATTTCAGAGGTATTTGGCTGCATGTTTTCTAAATTATCCTTCTTTCAATCTTTGTCTCTTTCACTGAAATACGGAACGATTAACTTTAGACTTCAGTCAAAAACAAATACTCAACTCCTGTTTACATTGCTTGCCTTCAGATAGAATATTTCTACGGAGTTATCAATATAGATAAATGCGGATAGTTTTACGGATTGAAGTTGATCTATTGAGTGATGTGAAATATTTCCATGCCGGCAAGTTGCTCAAAATTCTTTACTTAATAACTTAAAATTTAAAACTCCTACTTCGCCTTCCCATAAGTGTCGTTAAATTTTTAAATTATTTTTGTCCTGTTAAAATTCCAAAATTTAGCTATAGCTTTTCAAATATTAAAGCATGCGGGTTTGTGGGACAAAACATTATTTCTCTTGGACAGAATTGAAATGGCATTTGCACTGCATGACTTGATATTCGATTGGCTTTTAGTCTTTATACTCCAATTACAGTTGAAATTATTTTAGTCTAATGAAGAATAAACAGAATTTATTCATTTTCAATAAAATACGAACATTGCATGAAACAAGATGATTCCTCTTCAAATGTTAGAAACTATAAACAAAACTTATACTTTTAAACAGTTCGTTTATCGCGCCTGACAGAAATGCAAACCTGATATAGACACAGCATGATTTACAAGATGGCCGGATTTTACCCTTGTAAAATTAATACCTTGAATTAAATAGCAAATTACGTGCGAAAGAGTGGCATTTAAGGCAACATCAATGCAATGGGAGATAGAGATATAGTTGGTTTACAATTTGTGCATTAAATAAACTTATCCACTTCAATACAAAGTGATAATAATTACCTTCTTTATACCAACATATATGTTTGACTTGTGTTTCAGACTTTCGGCCAGGGCTTCCACAATTGATTTGCCAAATTTCCTGTTCAGACTCCAAAAAATCCTTTTTTATGAAAAAATTTCCTTGCCAAAATTGCCTAATTTCCTTGCAAATTCCTTGCAAATTACCCTGATAAAAAAAACAATTTTTTCCCATGGTGACAAATTTACAACCTCAAACATCAATTTTATATTCTATATACAAAACAACTCCTTAAAAACATCCGGAAGTATTTTAATAGTCAAGAATAGACAGTTTGCTGGTGACTCGCTCGAATCTTAGTCAATTTAATTTCAAGCGTTCTCTTCAAATAATTCGTCAAGAAATTTCTTTCTAAGCTCTTTGGCTTGTTCATCAGTTGCATTAGCTTTCATTTTATCTGCAAGACCCAAAGCTCTTTGGCTTGGTTTCAAATTCGTAGATGTTAACTTGTCATTCTTCATTGCCATTCTACATTGAAGTAACGCCACTAACGATGAGGACTTGAGAGATGTGCGGTGCTCGCTCTTGACTCGCTTCAATATGCTAAAAACTCTCTCAACTGGTGCATTGGAGAATGGGAAAGAGGCGAGAATCTCAACAAATTTGGTGAGATTTGGGTACTTGGACTCTCTTGTAGGGGTTTTAGCATCTTTAACAATCTTCCAATATTCATCCCAGTGAAGATCAGGTTTGAGGCCATCTTCGAAAACATGTTCTCTCCATTCCAGATCAAGTTTCGCAGTATCCAAGAATTCGTTTAAATAAGGTAACTTCTGAATAATGTGAATCAAAGACGGTGGGACACGAGCGGCAGCGTTCTCTGGTGCAATACAAGAAACAATGTCGTGTATTTCGGCTTCTAAATCAAATCTTTTCTTGATTTGCAAGATGCTCTCGATAAGAAAATTCTTGCAGTCGCTCAGAAATTTTTGTACATCCTCCTGTTTTGCACCTGCCTTGATCTCATGCATGGTAGTAGTTGCTGCAACACCGATATAGACTTGATGCAGTGGTAGATGATGTCCGACTCTGGTTGGATCAATATCTTTTGTCTTAGTTTGCTTGACATATGCAATGGACATAAAATCGCTTGCTATTGATTTTATCATCCCTTCGACTTCTTTTCTGAGGTTTTGTAGAAGGGGCCTTTCACTTTGAAAGAGCCGATTGAATGAATTAAAACGTTCAAGCTGGTGGCTAAGGAATTCGAGGTACGCGAGGGTGAACTTATTGTGAAGCGCCTTGAGAATGTGATCATTTGAATGAGTCGGGTCTTCGTTTGCAACAAGGACAAAGTAATGTTGTAAGGCAAGGTACTGTTCTAAAATGCGGTCCACGCACAATTGTAAAGAAAGCCAGCGAGTTTGCCCGGCGAGAGCAGTTTGCGGGGTTCAGCATCATAGAATTTTTGGAACTGCTGGTAGACTTCTTGTCGCTTGGATGAGCGATGAAAGTGGTTATATACATCGCGAACCAAATCTTCTAATCCTTTTGGCAGTTTCAGTGCAGCATAAGATGAAACTAAATGGATTAGATGGCATGAACATTTAACTGAAAAGACGTTTGGGAACTCCGACATTAAAAGCTGAGAGACGGAGTTAAATTCGCCAAACATAACATTGGTCGTGTCGGACGAGTAGCCAATCATTCTTTCCATCGGAATGTGCAGTTCGGCAAACACGTGCTTCACAGTCGAATAAATCCCTTCTGCTGTTCCTTGTACAATTTCTGCCATGTCAAGCAAGAATGACTTGTACTCAAAACTTTCCATGTCAAAGAAAGTGGTTAATACAGCAAGTTGTTTAGCGGTGCTCATGTCCGTTGTCTCGTCAATGATCAAACTGTAACTATGGGATTGCAATGCTGAAATTGCTTCATGTAAGTAGTCGAAACCGATAACTTGCCGCACAATGTTAGTCGCTTTTTTTTACCAAGCATTACGTTTCTTAAAGTCTGGTTGAGCGGGAAAAGCGATCGAAGCAGTTTCACTAAGTCTTCAGCAAGTGAAAGTGGCAGGTTGTGCTCTGCAATGAATGCACACAGTTAAATTTCAATTGAACTCGTTTCATGTCGGTTGGTGGCCTTATTGAACAGATTGGTAATAGTACTACAGCTAGCGGTACTCGTTGCATGTCTATTCTGGTGGGACTTGCTGATTAAGTGACGTTTCAAACCTGTTTTCGAGCAAGTTACGAATTTATTGCATGATTTGCAAAATGGTTGTGGCTTTTGATCAGTTCCAAGTCGCTTTGTTAGCCAGCCGCTAAATTGTTGTTCTGTCAACCAGCTGTCTACAAAAGATTGCGTTTGTTTCGGTCGCTTTCGTTTTTTAGGATTTGGACAAGACGTTGACGGTGAAGTTTCTTGATATTCACTGGTTTCACATTCAGACTCACTTTCTGAGGAAGAATAATCATCCGTGTTCATGCCAACAAGTTTAGTATTTGCATATACATTAGTGTATTTGCATTACAAGTAATAATTTTTGCAAATATATTACATATTTCAATTTTCGATTCAACTTTCTTTCTAATATACAAAAATTTTTAAATTTCCTTGCAAATTCCATGTTTAGACTAAAATTTCCTGGCCATTTCCTCGTAAGTATAATTTCCTTGTCTTTTTCCTTGAAAAAGCTCAAATTTCCTTTTGCAGGGAAATTTCCTTGCAAGTGGAAGCCCTGCTTTCGGCAGACACAGCTGATATGCTGACGTGATAAAGGAGGTCACGTGACGCATCTACAATCCAATATATCTGACTCTCCCCTGTGTTTCCTTGTTTTAATGTGCAATGAGAAAAATGTAAAGTGTTTGATGATGTATATTAATGGTTTGTCTTGCGCTTGCTGACCTATATGTTTCTCGTTATCGATAATCACATACTCGTAGACATAGTCAGTTTATGATATTTTCTTCGAAAGCTGCGTTATTACAGATAAAATTATATCACCTTTTCTGGCATGTAAAGGCCCATTTACACTGTGCCATTTGTCGTATACGATTCTTACCCCGGCGTATGTGAACATGTAAACACACATACAAACGTAACAGTTCAAATTCCGCCCTGAACAAAATGGGAAAGATTGTTGGCGTCTGCTCACTTTTTCATTCGTCAAAATGATAATTGCATACAACTAATCGTAATTAATAGGGTTTAAGTCACATTAAACTATCCAGCCATGCTAGTGGTCGCCGCATTATGAATGAAGTACGTAGTTATAAATGCTTGTTTTTGTCGAAAAAGATGCCCATCAAAACAGTTCTCTAAACAATGATTGGACGAATTAGCATCTGCGGACGAACCGGCTGTACTTTCTATACCTATGCTCCTCTGAACGGGAAATCATTCGACGTTGTAGCATTGGTGCCATTGACTGACACGAATATTGGTTGCCGATTCTGCATCCATCAAAACAATTAAATTACTGAAAGCTAACAATCAGATTGAAATTTCAGATAAGTTTTATCTCTTTCTTAATGATAAAAAAACAACAACAAAAGGTTTGCTCACACGATCCAAGTTTTATCGGATCCAAGTTTACCTTTTGATAGATGATTAGATGTTATATAGTCTGTTGACTTGCAAATCGGCAGCAAATCAACTAAAGCCAACCGATGCAGTACTGCTTTACCAATAACAAAGTTGGATCGTCTGAATAGAGAGAAAAACTGGGATAAAAGATTTCTTGTCTTGCAATTGCTCTCAAACCTTTCGCATGAAGTTTTACTGAAAAAGGTATTTTAAAGGTCTGACGATTTCGCATTATGGTGAATTTGTCAAAGGAGTGGCTTGGCGCCATTACTTTACTGTTGAAGGCTAATAGCCTAATGCATGGTGACACGCCGAGACATCCTGACCAAATCTTCGACGGTCGTGACGAAGCCGGATAAAATACAGATTATTTTACGTCAATGAAAACAAAATAAAAATGAAAAACAAAAACAAAACGGACTGACTGAAAGATATTTTAAAACGGATGTAAGAAAGGGCTGAAAGGCAAGGGTTACTTTCAACAAAGCCCAGCTAGGGTGCGAATGAAGGGGTGTATTAATCCCTCAATCATTAATTTGAATGTTATTATGTGGTGATGTGGATGTCATTCGATTTCATAAACAATGCCCCCCATTCGATAAATAAAAATCAGTGCTAAGCAAAAAATAACTATATCAAAGCCGTTTCCGGCAACCAAAGCTTTAAGAGTTAAGTTGACAACAAAACCAGAGAGACGCAATAACGCGAGAATAAGCTGAAATGTTGACGTGTTTCACGCTTATTAAATGCTGTAAATGGTCCAAACTCTGTAGGTTGTCCGATCTTTTAAACAAACAGCATAGTAATAAGTTTAATCTTTTTGAGAGATTGAATGCATTGAGAGTAAACCACGTGACGATTTGCATACGTATTAATCTTGCATGGCTTTTGTAGCATGTCATGTCAGACGTGGAGTGGCAATTTCACTGAATATAAACTGCGAGGCCGACGTCTTAGCTTTGCTCAGGTAATCGTGTTCCTATAGTTACCTGTTTACATTTTCAATTTTATTACACATGATTATGATTCACGTATATTACTCTTGAGAATAAATCTGTACGTATTGCTGCCGTTCAAATAACCGGCTCGTTAACTATTCATATAGCAAAGCCAAAGTGACATAGTGTTATGATATAAAGTAAGCTATGCTAGATCTAATACTATTAACTATTTCTTGCTTAAATGAAACGAATGAATTGAAACGATATCACAGACTGAATACCGCATCACGAGTAATTGTATACGGAAACCAAGCTATAGTATTATAGTCGGTCTATACTTATAGTCTGTACTCTGTAGTATAGAGACTAACTGATTCTCTATGACTGGAGATACTAGGTAGATCATTTGTCTGCACGCGAATTTGGGCCAGCTACAGACGGATGATCCGCGTTTACACACCAGCCACAGAATACATGCACATATGGATTACTATATATATAGAACTATCTTTTCTTTTGGTTTCTCCAAAGTTCGTCCAGACGGATAATCAGCCTTTATCCCTATACAGTATATGCCTATGGAGTATAGTATATAAATCGAGCTATATAGACGCTTGAAAAAAGCCTTGATAGCAATGCATATATTCAATAGCCTCTAAATTTATCCATGCATGATGTGGACAACGCTGTGCGATATATAGCTATTTTATCAATGAAACCTGTACGGATGCGGAGTGATGCCTATAAGTGCTGATACATCAGACATTTTTACGCCTGTTCATTCAATCAGATACCCCAGGATGAGAGTCATCTTTGACAAGTTTAATGTCACTTTGCAGTCCTATATAGAACTATATGTGAAGAGCTGATTCATCCATTTAGTTTTTCAACCGCACAATTCTAGGAATGCCTATAGCTATGATAGAATCTTTTACGAAGTAGATTCCGGCCAGATAAGAATGTGAGTTGGTGCGAGTTATAGAAAACAATTCACAGTTTGCATGGACTCATATGTATGATAGTTCTAGTAATATGATGGTCGTGGATCAAACGAGAACAAAAGTCGTGTGCGAGTCGATGAGAATTGACTAGTTCAGCAGAACTAATTCAGCAGAATCTGCCAGATTTTGTTGAGTGTGCTTTTACACGCAAAGTAAAAACCGCATACCAACAACTCGTATTGAATGAACTCTCAAAGAACTCTCGTTGAATTGTATAAAATTTAAGATGGTTGTCTTGGTTGATGCAAGTCGATGCAAGTGTAACCTTCCATCTATATGTAACGTGCAAACGGTCTTTGATTATAGTTTCATATCCATTTGTGAGCTCCGTGAGAACTTGAAACAGAAAAAATAGACCGGAGATTTCACGAAAAAATTCCGGATTTATTTGCATAGTCATATAGGAGTATAGGACGTTGCACATGAGCATTTCATAAAATTGGGGACTTTAGGGTTGACCAAGCTAATGCTGACTAGCTGAGCGTAAAGAAAATCTGACAAAATATATAACGTTCATAAATGAGCATTTGCATGATCTCCTCAGCTGTTGTTCACAAGTGAAACTTTTGTTTTTGTGCAGATATTCTTTTCATGATGTTACGAACAGTTCATCTTAACACTCTCAACGCGAATATTACGTGTTCAATATGCGGTGGATATTTTGTCGAGGCAACGACCATTATGGAATGCCTGCATTCTTGTAAGTTATCAATCGTATCTAGATAAAAGATTCTTATGGGTTGGTGTAATGTTATATACCATCGATTTTTTCTGTGCGAGCCTGGTAAGAACTGAACGGAAATGAAATTAATTTTCCAAATTATCTAAAGGGGAATTGTTTAGTCTATAAATATAAAATGCATGTACAAACGTTAGTATATATATTTTGTTTTAAAAGTTTTAAATCACGCCCCTCCTGAAAATCAGCTTCGTGTGATGTTGAATAGATGAAACTTGTATACAAGTGTCAATTAAGTTGGAAAACATTCACGTCATTTACTAATTTTTCCATATCATGATTTTTGTTTTTGTTCGCTATAGTTTGCAAGAGTTGTATCGTGAGGTATCTGGAGACTTCATGCAACTGTCCAGTTTGTCAAACAGAAATTCATAAAACGCGACCTCTTCTTCACGTTAGGTAACGAAGACAACCTTCAAACTAAACAACACCAACTCAATGACACCATAGCCTTTATGCATAATTATATATATGGTCAAGAACTTTAAGAGACTTTTTAACTTTCCTATATTATAGACCTGATCCTGTTCTTCAAGATCTAGTGTATAAACTGGTACCATCTTTATATGATGGTAAGATTATGTTTCATAATCAATTTGGTGTAGAACAAACAGGGTGCACTCTATGAGAACTGATTCAATGTAACTAACCAACTAAAACAGTAAAGTTTGATCATTGCATGCCTATCGTCAGAACGAATATATCGAATTTACAAGCAAAGGATTCGAAGACGTTTTTCAAAAGCAAATGTAAAACGAGAGAAATCTTTTTAGATTACCATAAAGCGAAGCAAGAATTCAAGAAACTTATGTCAACGGAGGAGCCAGGTAGATTTTCTAAGCAACTTTCTGATCTGGAATAGTATTATTTTTTATATGCGAATACTGAGTTAATTATCATTATATCTGTCAAGACAGTAACGACAATTTAACTAGCGGTTAGCATCCGGTCCAGTTTCAATCTGCATGTATATATCATTATCATCATTACCTGAAGCACACCGTGCCTTAAGTCACAAGACGATAAGCCAATTTACGTTCAAAATGTTACCCTGACCTATACAGCAAATCCAATAAAATGTAAAAACTCTTTAGCACAAGAAGAAACACATGATGCGGATGGTGTTGTTAATGTTCCCCATCTCCCGGATCCAATTTATGTAACATTGGAACAACGACAGTAAGCAATGATAGATACTCGGAAGAAAACTGTACAAAATTCATTTGTTTAATGAGACGATATCTGTTTATTCTTCCATAGGAGAAATAAAAACAAAAATGAACAAATTAAGGTGATAAATGTTCCATCCTGATCGTTAACCACCTTCCTCGTTCTGACTATATGGCTATTGTTTGTTATTCTACTTCTTTTTTTGCTAATGATTTTCCTTAATTTAGATGTTTCCAATTCGTTACCTTCGCTGTCCCTCCTCTATGCCAGTGAGGATATTGAAGAAGTTTTTAAGAATTAAATTTTTTGTCAAGGATTCTCAGGAGGTACGGTTTTTTTCAAAATATGAAAATGTGCTGGAACTTTTATTTCGAATATATAAAAAGCATGAAAAGAATCACTTCCTACATGCTCTTACGATTAAGTTTCGTTTCAGGTTGAAATTTCACGCAGCGACGAAGTGCTTTTTGATCATTTAACGTTAAAAGAGGTGGCTAGGATATATGGTAGATATGGAAAGGTAAGTTCGTGACCGTAGACCATTTTATATTTCCTCAGAGGTTACTTTAGTTTTTGTAAACCCCGTGATAATGAAGAAAGGTAAACTGTGCAGTCATTTAGAACTGTCTCTATACCCGAGTAAAAACTAAAATACAATATCCATTGTTTGTTGCCCCACGTTTTAGCTTGCTCCGTTGGATCTTTACTTTGATGTTATTCCGAAAGACAAAGTAATAGATGTGGAAAAGAACTCCTACGATGGTAGCATTCCTTCTGCAGTCATCCCTACTTCATTCAACGAAAAACAAGATAGCAAGCAGGATGCATCCCAAGCTGACATAAGCAATGAGAATGAAGTTTCCGAGAACAAAATGGATGTCGACTCATTTCCCACAGATGCTTTGACTGATGCGAACTTATAAGTTAAAGAACCTGGATTTGTAGTACGTGATGGTAGTATTCGCGGTAAATCGCAAGAGCGAGGCCTTTGCTGATGAATAGTGCAGAAAATCCTTAGCAGCAACCTCGCTCCTTTTGAATTTTTAAAAAAGTGTAGGGAGCCACCTTAAACCAAACGATTTGAGGCATGCTGTTGACTGTACATATGTAGGTATATATAATATGACTATATTGAAATTTTTAAATTAGTTTGTTTCGTAACTATGTTTATTTTGTTCATGTAGAGATTATGTACATTAAAAAATTACTAACGATTGCACTGGATTGTGTAATAAAAAATTATAGACATAAAGCTATCTAAGGTACACACCTTCACCTCTGTATTTAATTTCTACTCTGGGTCCACGCAGCACATTCTGCAACGAACTCACACTGTGCTCTTAAAATATGCGCCGAAACTTTCCACAGTCATTTGAGTACGCAAAACGCTTTGTATATATTACTGGAAATGTACATTGCATATCCCTCATAATATATCAGGCCGTTTCAGTCCACCTAGTATATGGACTTACATATCGTTAATGTGGATGAACAAAAAATAATGTAGGGTTGTAGCCGTTTTATTACGATTGATTTAGATGGTAATATCGCTGTTGGTTATTATTTTTTGTCACAGAACGTGTCATGTGAACGGGAAGAGCAGATGACATCATGAATTAATATGTTAAGCTTACGATGACTCAACTTTCTTTATGAAATTCAATCTACATTTGAGCGGCCTTCTCCAAGCTTTTACATGCATCCTTCAGCTTTCCCACTAGATCCTAAATAATGCGCCGAAAGGATGTCTGATTAGGAAAATGACATATAGAAAAATTCTTGAAAAAGTTGCAAGACATATATATATAAGGTCTGAAAACTCGATTGTATTTTACATATCGAAGTAACCCATCAACGGCATCACCGTTGAATTACTCTATTGACTCTTCGGTTGGTAGAAGTTTTAGAGCTTTGCGCACTTCTGTAAGGCAGTCTCAACTTTATACACTCTCAATCAATACAGCTCATTATGTGTGATAACTGTGGGTAAACCAACCGTTACCTGTAATTGTTCCATCGAGCACGAAAACTGCACATCAGAATAACCATTTTTGTTACTTTCCTAAACATGTAAAAGTGAAGGTGCAGCATGCAGTTTTTGTGTGTAAATGACAATGACATATACATGCCTGCAGGGCCCTGCAGAAATACAACAGACAATGTTGTAAGGAAACGTGGTAAAACATTGGATTCTTCCATACCTCAGTTTTTAGTGAAATCAAGTATGTTGGTTTATTTACTTTATCTAAATATTTGTTCTAAAAAACAAAACAAAATCATATTTCTGTGAACTGAAAAAATTAACAAAAGGGCCCTGGATGGGGCTGATAAGCAGACAACCTTATTCCCAGAGTAGCCACTCTTAAAAGACTCTTAAATTAAGTTCTGACTTACTGTGTGCCCAAATAAATTGAAACAATTCTATTAAATATACCTTTTCTAAAATTACGAGGGATATAACAACAGCTACTAGTTTAATCCTCTAACAAAATAACACCACACATAATAACATACAATCTCTGCTAAAACATAAGGTTTTAACACATTCCACAACTCAAAATTGAATATATTGCACCTTAACATAGTAATCCAATCTCCAGTCAACATCAACAATATGTGGAAATACTGTTCTTGTGCTAGGTGAAGAAATAAAACTTGCTTATCTTATCAAGGCACTGAACTTAGGCCCGAGCAAACAATCATTAGTATTTAAAACAAAGTCCAGTATTACACATATTTATAAACCAAAGCAATTAGGTTTAAATATTGAGAGTGTCTATTTAGATATTGTCTATTTTAGACAGTTTTAATTCCACATTTAAAACATATCTACGTTTTTAATATTTTGCATACATTGCAGATAAAAACTGACTTTTCTGCTTCTTATTTTATTTTTTATTAGAGAATGTTTATTAATAAATTTTATTTCTTATTATTATAATTTTTTTTCATATTAGAGAATGTTTTAATGGTACCTGCTTAGTAGTGCTTGAAGATGTGGTCTTGTTTCCTAAACAATATTATGGAAAAAGTATATTCAGAAAACTTCCCAGGCCCAGTAAAAATTTATGGTACTGTATGATGAAGTAAATTAAAAAAATTTCGTTGGAATCAAATCAAGAAATAAGTAGTGATTATAAGTAGTGTAACGAAAAAGCAACAATTCTTAACAAATTACTTACATTAAATATTTTGTTGAAAAACTCAATCCTATCTGTATCCCACTTGCATTCTTCTAAATATGTGCTAAAAGCATAAAAAATCCAATCTGGCTGTTGCTGTTTTTCAAAAATGAAGCTTGTGGGTCAAATATAAATGTATGGGAGAAAAATGTAAATGTTTTGTGGAAACTGCTCATTATTAATATTAATATATGTCTATTAATAAATATAGTTCACTGGCTATATAAAATGGGCCAAATAAAAACATGATAATAACCTTATATCAGTGAGACTACTGTCAGTTTTCACAGCCTCTATAATCAGTGTAACCAAGCCACTATAACTTTCCTTTAGTGTACCAGGATTAACTGAATCAAGTGTATTGGATGCTAAAAGATGAAAATTGAATAGGTGTTTATGATTTCAAAAATTTTTATGTTTCCTAGTAAATAGTGGGGAGTTGCAAAAATGCTTGAGTCTGTGTTGAATTGTACGTGTTCCTATACCTTAGATGTTCAATGGTACGTCTTTCAATTGGATTGTATTTAAGGGGCTTACAGTTGGCAGACTTGTCAATGTCAAAACAAGCTGATAGTGCCTATTTATATATTAGACTTTCACAGACTGGTATATTTTGATAGCACATATATGAACATTAATACGTGAACGTAAACCACCACGCCGCCCCCCCCCCCCGACTTTCAATTAAGATTCCACACTCCAGCAAGTAGCAACCTGTCCTTTCATAGTTTAAAGTTTGACCATTTTTATTTTACTGATAAATTTTATAAGTTTGCAACATAAACAAACTCTATCTACACAAAACCCACTCTGTAATTTCACTTAATCACAATAAGCACAATTTTAAGACTGTCTACTCTCGATACCGTCAAAACTTCCTTCATCCCTTTTTCCCAAAATGATGTCAAATGTGATTTCTACAAGTCTTCTAAAGCTTTTCTCTGGCACCCTCACAGATTCTCCACATAGATGCAACCCCTCTTGTGCATCATGATTTATATCCATTTGATTTAGAATAAAATTTGAAAATATTATATTTTGATTTTTAATATGCAATATGGGGAAACAGAACCATTTGCCGAATATTAATGCACAGCTTACTTGAAGTATCCATGATGAGTGCTGTACGGTCTGACCATCGGCTCATTTCGATAAAGAAATAATTTTTTTTCCACGTAAAATATAAAATATTTTAATTTTTAAATGTAAAGTTGTCATTAATATTTGCACCTGTCCAGTGCAGTACAACAGACATGTAAATATTTTTGTTGAGGAAAAATTATTAGATTTAGTAAATTTTAGAATTTAGATTTGTGTTGGGTGATATCAAAGAAAATAAGAAATTATGCAACGAATTCTAATGAGACGCATTTCTGCGCGAAAACAACTAAAGTACATAATTGTAAGTGATACGGTTACAGTTAGGGTGGATTTCCACTTGCAGAGAAATAGTTCGCCAGCGAAATATTTGCATATTTTCTTTTGAATTGAGAGCAGTCATGTTGAAATAATTTATTCATGCTGCTAAAATTCTGAAGAAAATATGCAAATATTTCGCTAGCGAACTATTTCTCTGTAAGTGGAAATCCAGCCTTACAGATTAAATTGCAATTAGTATTATGTAACCTTCATATAAAAACGATTACAACAAACCATTCTTTAATTACATACTCTTGTGGGCCATGGATTTTCACCTCCTTGACATATGATCCCAGTGGCGTCTCCAGCTTGATAAGTGGGGGGGGGGGACTTATTCATATGTTTGACATTATTCATTTCTTTTCAAATTCATTGTTTTAACGGTCTGTGAACATGAATATATGAATATGTCCATCCCACTTAGCTGGCCAAGCCAGCGTATGATCCTTTTTCAACGAACTTTATTAAATTAGGTAAATAGTCTGAGACGTGCAAGATTTATTTAATATGTATCATTTGCCATGACCATAGGTTCCACAAGTACAGAATATTAGAAATTATGCTGAAGCTGTTTTTGTTGCTGCAAAAGAACCATTTGTAGTTGAGCTTGAAGTTGGTAAAAGATATTCATGGTGTTCTTGTGGCAGAAGTAAGAAACAGGTAATATTAAGCAGGCCATTTAAATGTGCAGCATGAGTAAGCCAATTTCATGCTACTAGGCATTTGGGTATATATGCCCCATTCTGTACCTGCTTTCATACCTTCCCTTTTTATTTTCAGCCATTTTGTGATGGTAGTCACAAGAAGACAGGACTGAGTCCACTTCGGTTTAAGCTGGATGAACATGAAATAAAAGTGTTATGTGGCTGTAAACAGACTAATACTCCACCATATTGTGATGGAACTCATAAATCTGACTTTGTGCAATGTAGTGAAATTGGTCAACCTTGCAAAACAGCTTGATGTATCTGATAATTTTTTTAGAAATAAAAATATATTTTCTTCAATTCTCTTGTTTTCTGAAATATGATGTATCAGAAGTTTATATTATTATTTGAATTATTTTTTATTTATTATAAAAATTTTCTGACCTGAGGTTGAGTACGAGGTTGTCAGCGGTTACTTTAGATCATAAGATGCGTACGACGCGCACGCGCACGCTAGCTTAGTTTGTTGTTGCTTAGCAACAGTTGAGGAAAATACGACCAGTCTATACAGTTTTCTCTACACAAGGCTATACAAAGTTTTCGCGTAAAATAGATCATTTTTATTTTCGAAAAGGAGAAATAACATGAGTACGAGACAGGTTTTACAAGGTAAGACGATTCTTTCGCTGTAAAACATACAAAAGGCGTTTTTTAACTGCCCCCATTCTTGTGGAATAATAGACTCCATATTTCAATATTTCTAGTCTTTGAACAGTACCAAAAATCCAGAACTACATTTGTTCAGACCGTGGCTGACCTAGCTTCGCGTCCTCAAAATATTGAGACACTTCAAAATGCAGGTAAACTTTGGCATTACTTTGATGAAAAGACTTTAATTCTATGACTACATTGATATTAAACTATGCCAATATATTATATATTTATGTACATATGGGTTATGTCTGTCCACCTTTCATTAGTGATGTTTTGTCAATTTTCAACGCAGGTGTTATGTCATTGTTGCGTCCATTGCTTTTGGACATAGTACCAACAATTCAACAAACAGCAGCTTTAGCTCTGGGCAGACTGGCAAATTATAATGATGACCTTGCAGAAGCCGTAGTCAAAGGGGACATATTGCCACAGCTTGTCTATTCCCTTGCTGAGCAGAATGTAAGGAAAATCCATCATGATCATATGAACCACATCAGCAATCTTTTTATATAAGTTTGCATTGTCTAATGTACTAATTGTGTGTAATATTTCATTGGTGTCATTTAACAATGAATCTGCTACAAATGCTATAAACACAGATCGCTGTTGTGCAATTTTGTTGTGTAGAGATTTTATAAGAAAGCTGCAGCATTTGTTCTCCGTGCAGTTGCAAAACATTCACCAGAATTAGCACAGGTAATGATTTGTCCCCATTCATTGACAATTATGTTCTATGATCTATCTTTGGTGATGACCTTTTTCAATGTGTTTACTTGACAATATGTTCACTTATAATGAAATCAATTTTTGTATCCAGTCAAGTATTAACTGTGAACAACATAATTCAGTACAATAGCATGGTCATCTTGATGATTTATCCCTGCTTCAAAGTATAAAGATAATTAATTGTTTTTGTTGATTTAGGCTGTAGTAGACTGTGGTGCACTGGATGCACTGGTTATTTGCTTGGAAGAATTTGATCCAGGAGTGAAAGAGGCTGCAGCCTGGGCACTAGGGTATATTGCTAGGCATAATGCAGGTATGTACGTAGGTATTACATTGTAGTGTTTGTATTACAAAATAGGTTGAAATTGATTTTTTATACAAAAAATAGTCTATACTAATAAACACTCTAACTGCAAAGGTAATTTGCATAACTCATTGACTTGATCTGTGAATTCTACCCCCCCCCCCCGCCCCTCTCTCCTTTTGTGAAGAATTAAGCCCCTGCTTCAGTTATTGCTGGGTGTTTTTTAGAATTATCTCAGGCAGTTGTGGATGCTGGTGCTGTTCCATTGTTGGTGTTATGTATCCAGGAACCTGAACTATCTTTGAAGAGAATTGCTGCATCTGGTCTTAGTGACATTTGTAAACACTCACCAGAGGTTAGATAATTGACCTGTATTTAATACCATTCTGATTCAAATCACATATCAGATTCTATGTATGTTTTACATGGATTTGCATTTGATCAAATTGTAAATACCTTTTAATGTTTTTATTTAGCTTGCCCAAACAGTGGTTGATGCAGGTGCAATTGCACATTTGGCTCAGATGATACTTAATCCTGACTCCAAATTAAAGGTGAGAGTTAAGACACGCTACAAGGTATTATTTGTTCAATAGATCAGTAATGAATCAGATCCATATGCTAATATTATGGCCATTATTTATTAGCGCCAAGTATTTTCAGCCCTCAGCCAAATTGCCAAACACTCTGTGGATTTAGCAGAAATGGTGGTCGAAGCAGAAATATTCCCTGCTATACTCACTTGCCTGAAAGGTATTTTTTATCTATGTGGTACACGAAAAGTTGAATTAGGATTGTAAATCGGAATTCACATCGGATCAATATGCAATTTTATAGATCAAGATGAGTATGTGAGGAAGAATGTGGCAACGCTCATCCGAGAAATTGCCAAGCACACACCAGAGGTACGAGTTTTATCGTAACATTTTCTAGATGCTGGTCAATTTGCATACTTTAATAGTTGTTTATATGGTACCCGTTACCGAGCTGAGATTACGAAGCGGTTACCGGTTACCGAACGAAGCATGGAATGAAATAACGCCAATCCATTTTAGTCACGAACATTTTCTCCTTCCACGGTTAAATTTACCACCCTACAACTATTATAATTTATCAACCTAGCTCTCTCAATTGATTGTGAACTCGGGAGGTGTAGCAGCTGTTATTGATTATGTTGGCGACTCGCAAAATAACGTTCGACTTCCTGGAATTATGATGCTCGGTTATGTCGCCGCACATTCTGAGAACTTGGCCATGGCAGTAATTGTCTCCAAGGTAATATTAGGTGCACGGATTGTTTAAAAAATGTCGACACACGATTTTCAAATCTATAGGTACATTTGGTTTATCATCCATTATTTAACAGTCTCTATTTTCTGGAAACTCTGTAAACGTTTCAATAAAATGTTTCTCTGAAAAATGTTCACAAAACTCACACGAACGAGTTCTGTCTTGGAAAACTGCGTTTAAAAAAATTGTTGATCTTGATTTGTCCTGTTTTACGTTGTTTTTCCATCAGGGAGTCGTTCAGCTTGCAATTGCCCTGAGTGAGGAGAAAGAAGACCACATTTTGGCTGCGACAGCCTGGGCATTAGGTCAGATAGGCCGCCATACACCAGAGCATGCCAAAGCGGTAGCTGTTGCCAATGTTTTACCAAGATTACTACAACTGTATCTCAAAACTGGCAGTTCCGAAGACTTACAAGCAAAGGTTTGTATACTTCGTGATGATCGTCCAGTTTCAGTAACATTGGTCGTTTAATTGCTCAGCAAGGCGCATTAATAAAGATTATTTATTAATTTAACCTACTGGCCTCCCAACGAAAGCATGAAAATTCATACATTCTGTGAACTTTTGAGGCTAAATTTAAGCTTTCTTGTGATGATAGGCCAAACGATCGTTAAAGAACATCCTTCAAAAGTGTACCCACCTACCAGCCTTGGAACCGTTGCTGCACGATGCCCCTCCTAACATTCTTAAACACGTCGTTGGTCAGTTTGCTAAAGTCCTACCTCATGACAGTAAAGCCAGAAGAGTGTTTGTCACGACCGGGGGGTTGAAGAAGGTTCAAGAGATCAAAGCCGATCCTGCTTCCGCACTTCATGAGCACATCACCACAATCAACAGTTGTTACCCAGAGGAAATTGTCAGGTAGGATACACCACTCAATGCACATCTAACTCATCAAGCAATCCCGGTGCTGAAATATGAAAAAAACGTTACTTCAATGTATAGGCTTTCAAGGCACATTCGCAGGAGTTTGTATTGTCGCTATGGTGGTCGTTGTATTACTTATATTCAAGAAATTCAATGTTTATTCTTTTGTTCTTTTGTAGATACTACTCACCTGGTTATTCAGATCAGCTACTGGAGAGGGTGGAACAATACCAGCCCGTAATTTAACGTGTTTATTTCTCTCATTTGACTTAAATTTTATCTTACTCGCTTTAGAACAATGCTAATATTTGTATAGGGTATAATGGTGTATGCTACGAAATTGTAAATAATAAAACTCCGCACTATGATTCTGTGACAAGTTTAGAATTATACTACTCCACTCGACTTTTGATCCTGAACTACAGAACTCGTAGCGTGTCAGAGGACTTCTGTGTAAGGTTTAGTGTGAGATTCTCCTTGTTGCTTGTCATCATACATACTTATATACAGTAAGCGATGTTTCATCCCCAATAATTTAAGCTTAATAAAGGCAACATCACCTTAAGTTGCATGACTTACAAGTGTATTCTGTGGATTATTGATGCCATTTTATTCCAAACTATTTATGCGTATTAGTCTTTACTGTTATTGCAAAAAGCAATTAAAACTTGTCAAGCTCTCAGTTTTCGATGACTACTATAATGGAAGAATACAACTTATCAATATTCTTGTCCAGGTTTATGCAAAAAATCAAGGATAAATTTGGGATAATTCGCTGTTAGAAATTTTATGGCTGGTTCATAAGAGCGAACAGTTTTAGTTCCCACACGAGGCGGGCTATAGCTCAAGAAGTCCAGGCACGATTTTCCCACGCGGTTCTTGTCTAAAGCTAAAAAAACAGCAGAATATTGTCGAAGCTACTTCTGGGTACTTCTTTTTGTTATTTTTTTACTGTTTCCGACTTCTTAAACGGTTTAAGTGTTGCCTTTGGTATAGTGCAATGTATTTTAAACGGGTGGCGATGACAATGTGTAAAACGCTATGAGTACAATTTTGTCCTTTGTAAGCCATGAAAGAAAAAAAAACCAGTCAGCCCGACTCATAATGAACAGGATCTTACGAAAATTATTAATATAATTACATTGTAATTTCTACTCGTAAAACGTGATTTGTCGGTTATTCTCATAGCGAGTGCATTACACTTTGTACATAATTACGTATCCATGATACCTTACAAGTAAATTTACACGTATCTAAGATACAATCAACTGTCTTTTCCTAAAACCTGGTCATATTCTAGTAGAATAAATTCAACTATCTGGTTTTGGTAAACTGTATTCACAGCTATGTTACCATGCTGCTCCTCTCGCGGTGCCAACAGCGTAGGACCGAACACGATAGCAATGTTGTGTGCGTGCATTCTGTTCTTACTGCTGTTCTCCATCACCCTGAATAAGGGAAAAAAACAATGTTGAAAACTATCACACCACAAATTACACGAATGTATACATAAAGCATGAAAAATTTTTTTTGAAAATGTTCTTGCTATAATGTGAACATATACAATATGTCACTAATATATAAAACGCTCATTTGTTCCACAACTGTCCTCAACTTCTGATGAGGATCAGCTGTTATCCTACCTTTACTGTTGCATGTACAGTTGCAGCATAACGAAAACCAGGGATTTTAAACTTGAAAAAAGGTCAAAATGTTACCTCTTTAAATGTCTGTAAAGGTAACGGAAAGTCTCGCGATTTGGCGAAGGAAGTTTATTAACTTGGTTTTGAAGTGCTTTAGTTTTCTCTAGTTTTGTCGGTGACTCTGAAATTAGGGAAAAAAATGTTTATTATGCACGTGAACACGAGCCTCACGGAAATTATGCCTTGAGAATCTCTGTTCCTCTTATCTTTAAACAGACACAAAACATACTCACTTATCGCGTCAACAAACTGATCATAGGCGTCAAAAGGAATTAAGGGTTCGGGAAGCTCTCTGAAGTAGAGTTTTAACGTGCCGGATAATACGTGAACATCGTCAAATGGACGCTCGCCGAACTCCACATTCTCTTCTATTGTGAAAAGAATTTATATGACATGGTAAATTGGTTGTGCAGTAAATATTGTTTGTGCAGTAATATACATGGTCACACCTGGTCATACAAGGTTATACAAGGACATATAATTAATGTCTGAATATTTGAAACAAATGTTACTATGTAGAAGAACATAATAACCAAAGATTTTGACAGCAATAATCACATTCATGAGAGATTGAAGTGGTACACTCACACAATCCCTCTCCCTCCTCTTTTTCTTTAGAGTGTCTCAATTCATTGACGGGGACAGTTATCATTGCAATGAATGCGATAAGGGTGAGAGCATTTTACAAGGAACAATGCAGTAAGTACCATGAGAATTACCTTGATCCACAGTTATTCGAAGTTGTTGTATCGAAGAAACGTTGCCAGATATTCGGTATAAACCATCAAAATCTAGACCTAAAATAAACAACAATCTTCATGAAGGTTCAGAAATTTTGTATACGGGTGTAAAACTGAGTGCAGCATTATTTTAGGCGCAATTTTAAGCTGCTAAAACATTTTCCCAAATCAAACCCAGGCCTTACCTTTATTTTCGATGGCCTCTATACAACCTACCACGACTTTTGGAACTTTTGTCTGCTCTCTCGCACACAATTTCATAATATGGCAACCAAATGTTATATCTAAGGGGAAAAATTGCTTTCCTGAGAACGATTTTGAACGACAACGAAGTCGATTTTCCTCGTAACATTGAGTTATCTTTCCACCAATGAGTGTCCAACGTATGCGTATACAAAGACGTATATATATACCTTTAAGTATTCCTTTCTTTTGCAGTTCTTCAATAGTCGGTCTTCTCGTCATAAGTTTCTTTAATCTATCCTTGATGTTTTTCTTGTCTCCCTCTGAGCGCGCTAAACACCGTGATTTGCATTGTGAGAATGATTATTCAGTTGAAATACAGAACAAATGCAGCATTAATACGTTCTAGTTCTGTTATGTCGTACATTTCACGAATATTCATACCTTTCTTAAGAGACCCTCTTAAAGCAGCAGATGGTGGTGGCGGAGGAGCTGGCCTTGGTGATTGGACGATGTCACCATAAAGCCTTGCTTGCATACCATTATCTAAGAGAAAATGACTTACGTGAATAAAGGTTGGTTAGGAGAACGAAATAAAGGACACAAATAATCTTGTTTAAAACAAAAGAAGTACACAACAATCCATAGGCAATATCTTACCAACTGGTTCATTCTCTTCCTAAAATGTATAAAGACATGGATAATTAAACAGTAAGACTAGGGAGCAGCGTGGCAGCGTCTTCAAACAACTTAGCATCAAATGTGGTATAACAACTGCCTAAAATAGACAAAACACTTCTCGACGTTTCGACCTGAGAGCCTTCGTGAGGAGAATTAGTATGAACTAACATACTATTTTAGGCAGTTGTTATACCACATTTAATAAGCAAGCATACATAATCACGCTGTCAACTATGAGCATGCAAAATCGCGGCTCATGGTCACAGTTCACGTAACACATTAATCACATCGATCTTTCGCAACACATTAATTACATCGATCTTTCGCAACACATTAATCACATCGATCGTTTCCGGGCTCAAAGTTCGTCAGTTTGCATGCTATCATTATATATAACCAGACAGATAACTAACCAGATATTTGACGACATCAGCAATCATATGATACCACACGCTGAATTCATGCACGTCATCCACTTGAAGCAGAAAACACAATTTCGCAACAGTGGCAATCTGAAAATGACAATTATATTAGAAACTGCTGTCTCTAGAGGGTCAAGAGGGGGGGATGGCACAAAATTTGAACGGTTCCGTGTAAACACTGGAAAGAAAAGGGCCAAAATTTGAACGATCTCGTGTAAACACTTGAGACAAATGGGCGAAAATGTGAACAGTTGAAATGTGACCAGGCGGAAAGGGACGAATTTCGGCCAGTCTTGTCCGGATCTGCATTGAAACCTGCAGATGTTTTAGTAAAACAATGTTATGATATAAACCTGCATGATGTTTCGTCTCTTATTCTCGTCGGGCATTTTTTGAATTACAGCCCCTCTAAGATCACAACTGCTGTCAGGTTGGCCATGCGTGAATCCGGGTTTCTGTAAAATATCAAATTTTCGATCTCTCTCATGAATGTTTTCATCTTCAGGGACAGCGGAAGACCCCCTAAGTGCGGCGGGGGGAGGGGCAAATATTCATATATTCACGTTGAGCATTATAAGTTCCTTTTCAAATTGTTTTTACGGTCTGTTAACAGGAATAGATAATATTAATATTATAGGGATCTTCCGCGGCTTCTGATCTTATAAAATTGAACACTCTAAATTCTACGAAATTGTTCCGTCATATAAAATGAACACAAACCTAGAGTTCTAAAGTTTATGCGTATGAGCCCCCGAAGATGTGAGGGCATGAGAAATATCCGGTTTGGATTATTCCCATCCAAAGGGTTGTACTCACAATACCACAGTACGAAGCTACAAAGCTTACCGGTTGTGCGGCACTTTGATTTTTGTACATAATCATGTTTGCTGACGATAACTTCACGTAACAAGGACTCCACGTCTTTCTGGATTGACCGTAGACATATAAAATAATGCGAATTTTAGAATGGATGAAATCATCCCTACCTTTTATTGTAAGTTTAAACAAATGCAAATGTCATATTTTATTCATTTTAAATTCTCTGTAACAATGCGTTCCCGACTTACCCGACTTAGGTTATAAATTTACCTAAACAAGTCATTTTCATGGAAAGTGTGTGGGGGGCGGGGGCAGTAGCCCCCCTGGTCGGTACACACTATACATACAGGTAACTGTGCTTCTAATTGTAAGGTTCAATAGCAAACAATGCATGATAACACAAATGAGATCAACACAGCACTTACTTCACTTTTTTGCCCCCTTTCTCGCAAAGTTTCTTACGATTGATAGTTCCTTCTTTCTTGATAGACTAAAAGATAAAAGAATAATAGTATTTCGTGTTATCCTTGTTTCGAGTTAGGTCAATGTTAGAATTGCGAAACTAAAATTCCAAGGACTCTATATTGAGATAAAGGAAACGATATTGGGTTTTCTGGCTACAGTAAGGTCCAGTACGTATTTAGATTGTTGGGCATATACTTACATAATCTAAAGCAGGAAGAGTAGGTGGTAGGGGAAACTCATCTCCAATTATTAAAGACGAACGATACTCGGATGGCGAACGTTGTCCCTATATTAAAAATGTTAATGTTATGTTAAAGCACATTTCGCAGCGACTGTCAACACTTGTGTGCAGTATGAAGCCTTTTGTGAGGCTTTTTTTATAATTGTTTCTGTTTCGACTCTCCGATACCACCAACTCCCTAATACAGCCGACTCTCTAGTACGAGGAATTCTCTAAAACGACCGACTCTTTAATACGATCGACTCTCTAATACGACCAATTCTCTAATACGACCAACTCTCTAATACGACCAATTCTCTCCTACGACCGACTCTCTAATTTGCTCTCTAATACGACCAATTCTCTAATACGACCAATTCACTTGTACGACCGACTCTCTAATACGACCAATTCTCTCCTACGACCGACTCTCTAATACGGCAGACTTTTTTCATAGGGCAGACTTACTCATACGACCGACACTCTCATACGCCCGAATCCAATACGACAAACTCTCAAGTACGGAAGACTATCTAATACGGAAGATTCTTTAATACGGAAAACTCTCTAATACGGAAGACTTTCTAATACGGAAGATTCTTTAATACGGAAAACTCTCTAATACGGAAGACTCTCTAATATCCAATAACCCATTCTCTTTTATTGTGAACATTCTATAGGAATATGATATTTCTCTCTATACGACCACCTCACTGGTACGACCATAGCAGGATCAACTTTCTAAATCGTTGATACCGTTGTACCTCTTGGCTTAGGTGGACGTGTTTCACTTTCTCTCTCCCTCCCCCCATTAAATTTGTCGTTTGCAAGATGCCCGTGTCGTTATAGATATTCAGCTAAGTAGCTAAGAAATACTCGTTGGTGTTGGTGTTTGTCAAATCTAGTTAGTATACCGAACAATAAGGAAATATGAATATTGGTGTATTTCCTGTGAATTCCTACATATCACATACAAAATCAGATTATAAAAGACAAGAAATATTTAGAGAAGAATCGCTTTAAAAATTGTTAGTTAATTACTAAAAATATCATTATATAGTTATATTAGTAATAATATTCACCAAAAGCAAAAAAACTCTATGTGCAAATCAAATATTTTAATATATTTGTGACGCAATAATAAACGTACGTTAAATTAGTGCAATTAATCTTTAATTAGGTGCAGCTAAATTTGGCAGGTGCGAGTGCAAGGATGACAGTAAATAAGGAAATTGTCATACCTTCGCAAAGCTGCTCATTTCTGCGGAGGGAATTTGGAGCGAATTTAATCCGGTCATTGATGCAGATCTTGAACTGCGGAGATGTGAATGTGGTGATTTATGTCGTAACTTAAGCACACTCTCCGAACCTTCTGAACGCATCCGATTCCTTGGCATTAAATTATTTATAATTTGCTAAACAAGAGAGAATACGATTTGTTCTACAGCCAAATGCATGAAAAATCTGTTGAAACTTTTATGTGGAAAATATGGTGTAAACCATACCATTTTGGTTTCTGAACTTTTTGCGTTTGAATAACATCAATGTAATCCCGAAAAAAACTACTCAACTAAGCCTCCGATATGTCGAAGTATCTTTTTTGGACATTGTTTTTGACCGACAACATCAAAATCAAAAGGAAGTATATGATCCAGGCCAAAATTCAAGATTCTCCTTTATGCAGTTTCTATGCAATTTTTTAAGTATAGTATGCATGTACATAGCCACAAAGTTCAAGAATTGACACAAGCATGTACCAGAGCCTTTTTATTCAGATTACAGCAGAAGCACATTATTGACACTAAACACTATAGTATAACTTACCTCATCAGGTTCAGGTTGCAATAATTCATTGCTATCACTTGTGGGTAATTCCCAAACGGTCTCTCCATTTGTGTTATAGTAGTATGTTCTGCCAGCCTCATCTTTTGATGATTGCCACTTTTTAAGAAAGAAAAGGAAATAACATTCTTCTTTTGAGTTAATAAAAAAACATAATTTTTACTGGCAGTCTCATCTTTTGATGATTACCAGTTCTTAAAGAAATAAAAGGCAATTACAGTCTTGCTGGAAGTTGAAAAAAAATTTTTTGCTGATACATTGCAAAATATATAAAATATATATATATATATATAGTAGCAAAATATAGAGTCCATTTTAAATGTATGACATTTACAAGTACCCAGAACATTCCTAACTTATCAAAAGTGCAAAATGGCTTCACAGATGAAATGTTGGCCAGTTTTGGTATTATAGGAATATCAGTAGAGACATATAGTTTAATATCAACTATCATACCTTTTCATTATTTGACTCATTAATATACATATATTCATCAACTGCAGCCTGTCTTTCTAACCTCCATCCCCTTGGTAAACTTCTTGATGTCTTAAATTGAAATGTAAAATTTTGATGACCACTGCCTATGTATTTTACAAAATTGGCATGAAATTTTAGAACAGCAAACACAAGGTTGTCAAGTTGAAACCTCTCACAACATGATCAAAGTTCATAATAATAAGTATGGAAATGATATTGGATAATGTGAATGAAATATGACCATAAACTACATATTTTATTTTGAGGTCTCGGCTAAAATCTATTTTCATTTAATCACTTGTGGATCTGTTAAACATGTATCATTTCATGTTTGATGCTGTTTCACATGTGTGAGACCAATAATATCACTAGTAGATAGTTACAAGCAGATTAGAAATGATCAACTATGATAATAATATAGCAATCAAAATGGACATACATCATTTTGAGATTCAGAGCCAGTACTGCTTGTAGATGGAGGTCTCCAGGTGCTCTCATTTGTTTTATTGTTAAAATAAAATGTCCTCCCAGACTCATTATCCACTTCCATTGACCAGCCTGCAGGTAAGGTTGCTGATTTTGGTCGATAGCGTTCACTCTTTGCCTTTTCATTTGCTTGATTACAATCTTCTCCAGTTGAATAATGACGTCTCATGCTTGGCTACATGATGGAAATATAAACAATTCAAAATAGTACATTCTAGTACATATAATAATTTTGAATGTACTATTGTACATTCAAAATACAGATATATATGAGTGACCTTTTTTAAATCCCCTGGAATAAGAGCTTATTTTAATTTGCTGCAAGCTAATTATTCTAGTGGACTTCTTTAGAGAATATAATTTTTGCATCACAACTTATTACACTAATTCATTCTATTATTTGAAAGGGATCTTTTCTTGGGAAATTTTATGCTAAATTATTATGGTAATGAAACAACAAATTGTAAAGAGCACTATTTGAATACGTTTACACACACATAGATACTGCATATTTTATCTAATATTTACCAAAAAAATTGAGAACAATTTGAAACATTTATATGGAAACAAAAGGGAAATAAATTTTGCAAACACACTAAACTTTGGATCAAAAGGAAATCCAAATTGAACACAATCATTGCCTACATGGACTGTAAAATTACAAACAAGTACTTGAAAACATCATCATTGAATACGTCTAATAAATAGTAGTATTTTGATTAGAGGTAAGTTTGGAAATTTTTTGGTTTTCGAACAATAACAAAATTACATCAAGTGTTAGCCCTTTTGAATCGAAAATCACAGCTTAAAATGACCAAATATATGCAAGATTCGATTCCTTGTGTATGGGAGAGATTCGCCTAAACAGAGAACTTCTTTAATCTAATAATCTCTTGTCCTTATTAACCGTGGAAACAAGGCTTTATGATCTTTTCCAAATGATTAATTCTAGTGCGCGGTAATGGTTTCAACTTCCTTGTTGTTCACACGGGCAAATACAAACACAATTGTTTACATTTTCTTCGAGTTTTGAGTACATACCTCCTGTCCATTAGATTTCACAGGTATATTCGCGTATATTCTACCTGAAATGTCATTAACGTTCATGTATATTCTCTCAGAATCTTCCCTACCAAACGTGGTTCTCTCTTCTTCGTCTAGATTTGCAGTTTCGTCTTGAATATCCTGATATGAATCCTCGGATGAAGGTGAAAGTGTACAATTTTCTCCCAAACTATCCGTCGTGTCGCTATCACTGAAATCTATACAGGACTCAGTCATGTAGTTCGCTGGCACATAAAGATCTTGCTCTCCCTTTTTTACATGCCACCAATCATCGTTAGATTTTTCCACCAGTATAAAACACTCGCCAGCTTCAAATGAAACCTCTCGACCTGGTTGCATTTCATAAGAGTACGGGTATAAGGCTTGTACAAGTAATGTTTCATGACCGTTCCCGACGAGTCCTGCAGATCGTGACACAAGCGCATCCCCGTTCCTTGGCGTTGCATACATGATGGGAGATTATAATTGGCTTTCTATAAAACAGTCCTATAAAGTGAAATATCGATATATTCTACATTATATCGTCAAAATCTCGAGTTTACAACTTTGCTTTTTTCAAAACAACATCGTCATTTCAATGCTGTATTAAATTGCACAGTGAGAGGTGAGTGGGCTGTTTCCACCGTTGCATCCTGAAAATTCTCTGCTTTGTTCAATGTGTGCTTTGTTTCCACTTTCTCTTAAAGTTCTTTGTCATCAGTGTCGGTGATCGCCTAAAAGCTATGGTTGGACAAGTGGATATTGATAGAGTTCACAGGAACACAGCCTGTTCTAAAGTGGAGAAAATATTTCAATTTTCGTATTTCAATATCACTTTATTGCTTCAAACGGAAAAAAATGAGCGGTAAGCTCATCCCCCCTGACGCTTTGCTTCACGTTCTAGTGGTCATCTGTGGTTGCACACTGTGTCAGTCTGTGTGGTTGTCTCAATCCACCGTCGGATTTTCCGCGATCATTGAGTCAATATTGGATCATCCGATCATGCCAGATTGTAATAGACCTTTTTATAACATCACAACGTTTTAAATTTAGAACCACCTTAAATGAAATGGATTTCAAGTTTTAAGATTTAAAAATCCTAAATTTGGATTTACGATTTGAAAAGGTCAGTCGGCCTCAGGGTGGAGCTGGCAGCCTTTCTAGTCTGAAAAATACTGTTTTAAGTGCATGGTGTTTTGGAGTTGCTCCTGAAAATCTGTTTTAGTCATTTTCTCGGATAATGATTCTACCATCCGGTCGCATTTTTTGGAAACCAGGATTGGATTCTGCAACAAATCCTGAGCACTCCACGTTGGAAAACCGTCGGTTAATTATGAAGGTAGGCAATATGTGATTGGTGATAATGATTTTAAAATCACTGTCAGGGCTCTGTGCCTCAAGTGCGTAAATATTAGTCACACTTTTGTAAGCGGAGTGACCGGCTTTACTGTTTATTCCCTGTCTTTTGAAATGGTGGTCAACCATGAGTAACAAAAACCTTACTCACAGCGGACGTGATTGGTAACGGGAAATACTCAAAATAGCGAGCTCGTCGTTTAGGGCGCTCCTAAATATTTGAAACTTAAAAATTCGAATTAAAGATAAAGCTACCGTTGATGGGTGAATGATGGCTGAAAATCCAAATAGGGCGTAGAGTTAGTGAATCGCGTCCGGTGGAAATGATGGTCCAACACTAGATATTTATTTAATACAGGAATGACGATCTATGGACAGATATTTTCGTAATGATTAGATTTCGTCTGTATGGATAGATTAAGATCAGAGCACGGGAACAAAAGCCCCCACACGCGACCTTCCCCTCCCTTTTCAGGAGTATTATTTGATATCAATAAACATTACGAGTTTATCAACGATCCACCATTTCAATGGAATGATTTCCACTTTTAAATGCGGACACACGGGGGCGGTAAAAAACCGTCGCATCCTGTCGAAAAGAAAAGGTGGGCGAAAAATACCGCACGCATTGTACATTTTTAAGAGAAGGTCATGAATCATTGAATCTTGACTTGAATCATGAAACGTCATTTCCATTGCTGGTACCTTACGCGATAGAATATTAGGGATCTAAGATATTCAAGAATTTAATTTAACACCAATTGTCACAGGAAAGTCTTACACATATATATTGACTGAGTCACACTGAGTTGTATATAAGAAATTGAGAAACGTCATGTGGATGTGTATTTTAAGAAACGTCACCCAATGTTTTTGCCGACTCTCTCAGTCTCAGTCTCTAGACTCTTCTCCGACAAGGTCATGACCAGATGACCAACAATGGGCATAGAAATGGACTTAAAATATAAGAACACTTGCGAAAATGCTGGAATACTAATACTGATTTCAAACTCAAAACTTCTCAACAAACTTAGAGTACAGACATTTCCCCACGAATTTTCACCGAGAAACGTCATGACCAATCTTCACCTCCAAACATTCATGTGTCCAAATAAAGGATATACCAAGCCTCCTTAAGTGACATGTTTAAGATTTTTGAAAAATGATAATCGACGTTGAGTATTATATTGTATTATATAATTATATATAATTATATAATATGATATATCTATGACGTGTGATATACCCGCAGGGGAACTCGGGGACGAACCCTCGATCGGGCATTGGATTCGTAATAAAGTCGTAACATAAATGCAAAATTGATGCTTTTACTTAATTTACTATAATTACTTTTGGAAGATTAACTCAACTGGTAACTGCTGCATCGAAGTATTCAAAGTTGTTACTCAAGGTTTGTTGCTCGAAGTTATTACTCAAGGTTTTTTCAGCACAATATATAAGTTCCAAAGAAGTCCACACACAACAATCAATATGCACTATGTCTATGCAGGATTACAGTGATGCGACCCAGTTTGTTATTTAGTAAGAGTAAGGGTCATTTAGTATTATTCAGTATTGATGAATATATTTATGCTGACAATATAAACAATGTAACCAGTTCCTAGAATTGGGTTATTCGATAGGTAGTCAGTGCCTATTAAAAGGTCGAAGTGTTGATTTAATCTTGAAATGGGCATGGGTTTTGATTCTGTGAAGGTAACAGGTAAAATTGTCCCATCAAAGTCAAATTTAACTGATTCACAGGGGTGGATCCTGAAGCTAGGAAATTTGAAATCAATTAAAGGAAGTTATAGATATTAAAACTACTTAAAAAAATATTGTTAATCACTGTCATTCAGATTAAAGACTAGTAATCATTTTCCACTACTGGTTTGAGATATTGACATATTGTCCGTTTCAGAAAATATATATGGTGAGTCAATTATACTCTTTCTTTCGCCCAGCCTCCTTCCCTCCATTCACCATTGGCTAATCTTAATTTTTTTATGCCTTTTGCATCTCTTGAGGAACATGGCTATGAATATAATTATTATAATTAACTAATTTTTTACTAAATAAGACTAATACTTTTAATAATAATTTTCGACAGAAAACATTTTAAGAAGTAGAGGAAAAAATAGATCAGTTTATACACTAGCGAAAATCAGGTAGTCATTAATAATATTTTCTTATTTACTTTTTTATATAACTTGCTTGGCCAAGATGTATTTAAAGAAGCTAACCTATTGGCTATATAGATATATAACCTTGTTTTATAAGAGAATATCTGGGGCAAAAAGTCTAATAAAGCTTGTCATCAGTTGCATAACTGGGGGGTGGCAAATGGCCCCTGAGTTTTAAGGCCCCCTACAAAAAATGACAAAATATTGAGCAATTAAACCACAAAAAACATAAAAATAAGCAGCCACCTTTTGCTTACTGATGAATGTTATCAATGTTATGATGCTTTAGAATTGTTTTGCAGGGATTTCATCATTTTCATGGCCAAAGACCGAACGAACTTCGTACATATGGCAAATTAATGCCTATAAAATACAAACTATTTTTTTGTTTCGAGGAATAAACCTTATTTTTATACCAACATATACAAGTTGAGATAGCATTAGATGTAGGTTGTAAATTTATCCTATTGTATTATTGGATCAAACAGGAGTGACAAGTCAGTGAGTATGACCCCAGGACAAAATAGCTCGAATATCATGTTAATATGACGAATCTCGTAGAGCTGGAGCCATAGTCAGGGGGGGATGGGCACTAGTGGTTGTGTTACGCCACTGCTCGTCTACTTGTCATTCGTGACAGGTTACCTGCAACAAAACTGGTGCTCATGTGTGTGGGAAAGCGTAGGCGTTGTGTAACTTCTGCCATCGTGGCACAGTTGATGATCTTTCGTTGAACACAGCACGTTTAATCTTTTCTGCTAAAAGTAACAAAAATTTTCAAAAAGCGGGATTCGCTAGGAAAAACATTTTACGAAACACCGGGGGGGAAAGATCAGTTTATACACAAGACAATATCAGGTATTCGCTATATATTGAATTTACTGAAATAATAACTGATTATTGACCGGGCGTGACTGCGTGAGGTCTGTACTGTGAAATATCAGACCGATGCCTTTAGCATAAAACCTCGATCTTATATTTCCCAGTACAGACCGAACAAGTGGAGTCAATAGTCTGTTTATCAAATGGCTGAACCATTGAACGGGCTGAACTGCATGAAACATCCGGGATACTGGCCCAGATACGGATTATACGGACTACGGGCCGGTAAGGCCATCCCTCAAATTATAATGAGATCTTGGAAGATCGATCCGAGAGAACGGAGAGATCGAACTTGTCTTTACTCAGTTTACTGCCTTGTTAGCCTGCAACGCAGACTATATATTGGGGTATATATATAGTCTGCGTTGCAGGCTACTGCCTTGTAAGTGTTCTCTCGTTTGGTTATTTTAACGGCACTGTCGTTCGTAATCCCCTCCCCGGGTGATATATTGCCCACAACCTCGTACCCAGGGTCTTTTCTCTACTTTTCTCTGTGCTCACTCTGGGGGGGACACCCGCTGAGGTTGATATTGCCCATTGCTTTCGAGAACGTGGCTAGAATATCTTACAGCCAAAATATAGGTTAAATAAAGGAAAGCTCATTGGAATTTGTTGCGCGTACGTGACACGAGCATTTGCGGTTGTAGTTTAGGAATGATAAGTTTCCCTGTAACTTGCGCGGAAATCCTAGATGATTTCCACAATGTTGACGTCAGTGACAGTGTTATCCCATTTGCCAGTATACACAGTATTATAAATATTTTACAATTTCAATTTGACTTTTCTCCTACAACTCGTACATAAACACAGCCTTAACACTTTTCAGCATATTAAGAACCATTTAAACTTTAATAAGTCGAAAAGTTCCGCCTAGTGCCTGGAAAACCGCCTTTATAGGGTCACGTGTACGGTGTACTTAGCTCTTCGCACTTACTATTTCTACGATGCTTCACTTTAGATGTTTTGGGGATCCAGCATTCCACTTCATAGTTTGATGTTACTGCTGCTCGCATTGTTTCAATCATCAGATTTGATAGCTGCAAACAAACTGGTCACGCATGACACTGACATTGACTTTCAAGTCGATTCGTATGAAAATATATCGCAGAAAATAATCGATTTTGTAACAAAAGGTGAGGGAAAACATCAAACTTTCAACCGTCTTGCGGCAATGACAGATAAATTTGGGAACAGATTAGTCGGCTCAGAGACCTTGGAGAATGTCATCGATTACATGTTAGCCCAGTTCAAGGCAGATGGATTAGAAAATGTTCACGGAGAACCAGTGTCAAAAATTCCTCATTGGGTGAGAGGAAAGGAGTCGGCAACATTATTAGAACCCCGTCATTATGAAATGTCGATGTTAGGTCTTGGTGGGAGTGTGGGAACAAAAGGAATTACTGCAGAGGTTTTAGTTGTACACTCCTTTGATGAACTGCATAAAAGAGCTGCAGAAGTAAGTGTAGAACTGATGTGAGCCGTCCGCCATCATTTTGATCCAACTCGAGGGCAGGCTGTAGCTATGATTTGGGCCCTCGGGCAAGACAGAAATTTGGCTCCTCGCTATTCCCTTGTCGGCCTTGTGCATCGCTTAACGTGTCCCTAGACGGTTGAGCCCTCGGGCATTGCCCGCCCCGCCACGCCACGCCCCTGGTTTGCCTATTCAGTTAACAATCATCCAGCCTTATGGCCTATATAATCAGCAATCTATCATGTGTGAATAGGAATGACACCGTACTAGAATCATTGTATAACATTTCAGTACATCTGTTATTTTCGACAATTCCAGGCAAAAGGAAAGATAATAGTTTTCGACCAAGATTACGTGAGCTATGGTGTTTCAGTTGCTTACCGAGATTATGGAGCCTACGAAGCCAGCAAAGTTGGAGGCGTTGCTTCTCTTATACGATCCATTGCACCGTTCTCGATCAACAGCCCGCATACAGGATGGCAGGATTACAGAGCGAACACAACTAAAATTCCAACTGCGTGTATAACTATTGAAGACGCTCAAATGTTGTCGAGAATGGCAGCCAGAGGAGAAAAGATTGTCATCCATTTATATATGGAAGCACAAAACCTTCCAAAAGCAACGTCAAGAAACACTGTTGCTGAAATTGTTGGTTCAAAATATCCAGACCAGGTATCGTTAAAATTGTTCTTCTTTTTTTCTTGGGGCTGGATTTTCTGACTTAGAAATGGACTAAAACGATTAATTTCCACTTGACTTCTTCATTTGCCATGTTTTCAGGTTGTTTTAGTCAGCGGTCACCTTGATAGTTGGGATGTTGGTCAAGGCGCAATGGACGATGGTGGTGGTGCGTTTATATCTTGGCAAGTCTTGTCAATAATGCGACAACTCAAACTGCGTGCGAAGAGAACAGTCCGTGCTGTTCTATGGACTGGCGAAGAGGTCGGTCTGATAGGGTCGCAACAGTATTACAACACGCATAAGGTAAATATATCAAAATATGACTTGGTTATGGAAAGTGACATCGGAACGTTTAGACCAAATGGATTAAAGTTCACTGGGAATGATGAAGCCTTTGCCATTATGGAGAAAATCATGACACTTTTGAAACCCATCAATGCCTCAACCCTCTACCACACAGCTGACGGTGGTGATGTAAGTTTTTGGATAAAGAACGGCGTGCCTGGTGGTAGTTTGTCGAACGACAATGCAGAATATTTCTATTTTCATCACAGCAATGGTGATACAATCACAGTAGAGAATGCAGATGATTTAGATCTTTGTGCCGCATTGTGGGCTGTTGTTGCTTATGTTGTAGCTGATATGGACGACATGTTGCCAAGATAAGATAGATAAGATCATACCTAATCATGTTCAGTTGTAATGAGAATACTGCTTGGAATTTCTATAAAACTATGAGAAAATCGACGTGCTTTGAATTGGTGTTCATACAACAGTGATTACTGGATAATCTTTTCAATTTGGTTACTATATAAAAGGATTTAAAAGCAAGGCCAAGAGTGAATATACAGTTGTTTAATAATTGTTTAATACATACATAATTTTATATAATATTCTTAAAATTTTGCATGTTGAATTAATAACTTAATCTTTAAATCATCAATTTGTAGAATTTGTATTGCATTAGTAATAGATTCACATTGTGTTTGCACAAATTGACGATTTAATTTTATATCTCTAAAAATATGTTTGTATCTCGAGAAAATTAAAAATCATACTAACAACCGCAGGTGTTAGAAACAATTATAATTTAAATTATAGGTATATAAAGCGAATTTATAAAGAATGAACTAGAGTTATTTCAAAACCTCGACAATGACTTACTCTGTAGTAGGGAAGTTAAAACTTGTAGAGGATTGGACCGATTGGTGACGTTAGCAGTACATTGTGGTACTGTAGAATAACAGCCCCATGATGCACTTCTAATCTCGATATTAGTTACCAGTTCTCTACTGCAATTTTGCAATGGGTCAGTGATTTATCAGTGAAATAAAATTGATGCGACGATGCTTCTTATGTAAACTTAGGGCCTGTTTACAAGGAACGAGATGTCCTGGCTAGGCAAGGTGAAAACTGCATATAATGAAAGACTAATCAGGTTAAGGTTGATGTGATGCGCTTTTTACCTCGCCTAGCCGGGATAACTCACTCCATGTATCCATCTCAGCAATAGCATGTTTGAAATTCCGATCCGGCAAATTTACTGCTAATTTTCTAAAGGCATCAATTAGAGTACAAAATCTCTCGGAAAGTGTTTGAATTATAGTTTGCATCTTCTACTCTTCTAAACTAAAGAAATTAAGAAAATATCTGTAGGTTGTAGAAAACGTCAAGCATGTCAGTCATCCTAGCAAGGAATAGCGATTGTTTATCATTACATTTTATTTTATATTCTCCAAAACTTCCACCGAATTCTCATTATACCACCGAGATAAGTCAGATAACGTCACGCAAATTAGGATAAAAGCCACAGACCTGTACGCGGCATATATAAACGATATATTAATATGGCCTTAAACGGTAGTGGATAACAGTGGATGGATTTCAGATAATAACAGTGTAACAACTTAGCATTGCTAAATAAATTTTAATCTATAGTCGACCTGCTTTGTTATTGTTTGTGTTCCCACTTGTATTAGCGCATGCACAGAGTTCTTGTTCTTTCGCGGTGTTGCCATTACCCACAAGATCACCCGATATCACACGATGTCAGCTGTCCTCCGATTGGCTAAAAAAGTTATCACACGACCAAGGAAGCGTGTTGATTGGTCGAGTGACGAAAGGTGAAATCAGATGACGGACATGTTTTTATATAAAAACTGAGAAATGTAGATGACTAGATGGAGGATAAATCGTTCAGTTCTGGGAGAAGTTCAGTTAAGAAAATGGCAAACTCATTCTCCTTAGTTTTAAATCGCGTTTGTCGACCAACAACTTTAAATTTTTGCATTCGTTCATTGTGTCTATTCCTCGTCGGGGTATCGATATCTTGTGTTTTAAATGTTATGTTGATTTTACCCGAGTTACGACGTAAAGTTGTGTATGAAAGAGACCTTTTGGAGAAACTTTATGCAACAATGTGTTGGTTTGCGCCGTCGTGTGGCCTTGCATCAACATTAATTGGATTGTTGTACCCATGTATTGACTCACGTTTGGGAAAGCCACATCATCTTCGAACTGAATGGTCTAGTGTTGTTCGTTGCGGTGCTGTATTCGTAGGAATTATCCATGCCGTTGTTGTATCCTTTTTAAAAACAATACGACACTAGTATAGAATTATAGTCATTTGAAGTATGGTAGAGACTGATTCCTATTTGGCTTTCTATGTAAGAAATTTTCTAGGTGTTAGAAAATTGGTTGATTGCGTGAGGATTAAATGATTAGCCTTTTTTATAATAAAAGATGTACAATTTTAATACCTTGAAGACCAAATGGTCTCAGTTAGAGAAACATCTATTGTGAGGACCATTTGTCTGACCAAGGTGATTTCTGACCAACGTACCAAGTGGATGATGCAATCCTCTGGTTGAAGAAATCGTTGAAGATATTATTAGGATATTTAGGTTTTCCAAAGTGATGTCTCATGAATGAATGGTATTCATACTTGTGATAACTACTATAGTGACACTAGTGTAATTTAGAAATGGGATAGCTAAAAGTCTTTCCTGATATACTTCAATCTGAATAAAAGTGGAATTTGTTTCAATTACATACAAATACTTTCTTGTCGTCCTTAATGTATTTAAAAGAAATTGCGATTTCAAAGTGACATTCACTTGTTTATCACTGTTGCTGCTTTTTCTGTTTTGCTGTGGTGGTATTTCGACCGATCAAAAAATGGTTTCGGTCTTGCACTTTTTGTAGCAATTTTTGCAACAATAGGTGTGTGGTTTCTAGGCTCTAACAGTGTGCACAGGTAGGAAGTGGTACTAATTTGATTGGAATTATTTGTTGAAGTAACATTTTTCTTGATAATAATAGACACAAATTTAATGACCTCTTTTATGCTATAGTTCTCTAAATAAGGGCAGTATAACTAGGGAACAATATGTAATGGTAAATGTAGTACTTTAAGCAAGAATCATTGTTACTACCAAACAAATCATTAATTTCAAAATTTAGTTTTCTTGCTTAATTAAAAAGGCCATGTTATATAACCTTGTTTACATTCTCCTATTGCACTGATTTCATATCATGTTTCAACCCCCCTCAGTGCAAAGGCTACTGACCTAGAATATTTGCTGTTATTCCACTCTTGACAATAGTCCTTTAATGACATTACCACTTTAACATGATTACAAAAAAATGTGGTTGTTGGGGAACTGAACTGCCCTGAATCCCCATCTTTTCAGCAAAACTCCATCATTTCTGCAAAAACAAACCCTAAGAAAAAGCCCAGACAAGCACCTTTACAAACATCAATGTTGCTATCTCTATAAACTATTTTATTTTTTTTCAGTTTATTTTTCAGTGAAAAAATGGCATTGGTTAATCAGTTATGGGTTCCTTGTTTGTTTTTTTCTGGTGGAATCACAGTTGGTAAAATTGGCAGACAATTAGCAATGCTTGAGTATGTACCAGCAGTGAAACTTCATGCGGACTGAGACGTTAGCATAGTAAATTACCTGTAAATAGCACATAGTTTGTTCATATTATTACAGTCAATTTCAGTTAGTTTTACCATAATGATAGGAGGTTCGTTTTTAAACTTCAAATCTTTGTCACAGAGCTTAGGTTCTCAAATTCAAAGTTCGTAAACTACTTCGATCCGACGAGTTCAATTTGATTAGGTAGTTTGTGATCTTGGTAACTGACGAACTTTTGGAACGAGAGTTTAAAATAACGAACTTCCAACATTACACGGGAAACTAATCTGAAAGTGACTGTAATCACAATCTTATATAAATGTACAGTATTTAGTCATCTTCAATGCACAAAAATTTTAGAAATTAGGGGTCGAAAATATTGAAATGATAGCTTCGGACGACTCGGGTGTATGAAATGAGCAAACATGTTTCTATGTTCAGTGACGTCAAAAACCGAAATCCCACCAGAAACACCATTTGTTTTTTTAAATTGTCCACCGAAAGAATCTTAAAAACATTCACACCAAAATTTTTGCGGGAATTTACCGAGTTTGGATTATATAGTGCAACGTATGTCTCAGTCTCTCAGAATTAACTTTTTTTAAACGCCGCATTGTGGGCACGTCACGAAAATGGATTGCTGGACTATCCTGAAATACTGTCGTGTCTCTTGAATACATTCAAATACATTGTGTGTTTTAAGAGAACTGTGACTGTGATGCACAAGTCTAGCAAAATAAGGGAGAATACTCGCACAAAGTTATGTATTTAGTTTATGTATTAGTATATTGAAGTATTTGCTTGAAAAGCGGAAAAAATTGAGACAACCGCCATGCATGAAATCTCCAAATCTCGAGGCAGTCTTCTCGTTGAACCATCGAACATGTAGTTTTACAAAAACTTTGGAATGAGAGGCTCGTTGTTGGCAATACGCCATGCATGGGATAAAGAGATTTCAAAATGTTTAGAATTATTCTGCTTAAAAGGACTTTCACATTACCATTTTACTTCAGAGAAAACGTGGCTGGACCGCGTGTGCGATCTCGAGTGTTTCTGGATGATGTGAAAGTAACTCGTATATTACATTATTGTACTGAAATATCAAACATTAAATTACATGCAATTGCATTGTATTATTTTCCATTTTGCCAAATTATATTTACTGAATTACTATCGATTGTTGACTTGTTGTAATGCCTGTGTAATGGACCACTTGCATTATTGACCAACTTTGTATTTGAACGACAAAAAGGGAATTTCCGTAAAGTGCATACAAAACTCAGTATAAAATTGCCAAGTTTAACAGTTCTTGCGAAATGTGCAACTTTACCTTGGGTGCCCGGCAGTGCTATAGGTATAGTAAAGAACGTTATACCAGGGGCTGGTTGTATAAAAGCCGGATAGCGCTATCCACTGTATAGTGGTTTTTCCAATCGCTTTTAAATCGCCCGTTGTTTGCTATAACTTTGATTAAATCTTACAGTATTCCTAAAAAGAGGACCCCTTTATTAATTGTGGGTTCCAAAGATTAAATTTTATCGCTTTTTTTAGAACAGTAAAAAAGAACAGTTAAAAAACGACTATCCGGTGCATAGCGCTATGCGGCTTTCATACAACCGGCTCCAGGGGACAGTTGTTCGAAAGGCGTTTAGCTTAAACGGTGGATAAGTTCAAAATGGAAAGCAAAACTGTATATTTATTGAACAACTGAGCTGAAATATTTCGATGTAAATAGTTTAATTGTCAATGGAAGTACACATTTAATGCATAAGATGCAGATTTAGTCATTCACAAGATGCATGAGAGTAATTTTAAACTTTGGCTTATCCACCGTTTAAGCTAAACGCCTTTCGAACAACCGGCCCCAGATGGATAAAAGCAAATTTCGAAGATCGAACTTAGTTGATTTTGACAAATGTACCTGATTAGGATGTTTACAATTAATAAGAAAAATTATGATAATTCGTAATGCACAAAGCTACAATAAAATATTGCAAGTCAAAACGTTAAACGTCATGATTTAAGAATTTCAAAAATTTCCATACAACCTAATGATATATAACTCCATTTGATCAACTTGGGTACTGGCTATCGACTGACAAACCCAGTGTTTAAGGGTACAATAATAAGCAAAGCATTGCCATTAGCAAGCGACCAAATGAAAATTCGTTGTCAGAGTTTTTTTTTTAAACCACTGTTATTCAATGAAATTCAATGTCTCATTGTATACACCCAGAGCGATTCGTCGTGTTATTTTCATTGTTAAATATTGAAATGCCGATTCTGAAATGGACCTGCAAACGTGCCGAATACAGTTGCCACATCGCAACTTGGCATATATAAAATCTCGCTTGCCTGATTATGCAAGAAACACTCAAACATATTGTGCTACAAGTCACTGTAAAAATTTCGAATGCTGAGGGTTATTGTTATTTGTGAAGTAGTGCATGGCCTGGGTGTATTCCTATCTGTGCATTCCCTATTATCCTTGACTTTGCTAGCATCTCTTGCCACATATCTTAAACAGTATATCATCACACGTCGTTACACATGCATAGCATCGGTTTTTAAAGGCTATTTAGCTAAATAATCTTATATTATACTACATATTGTTGAAATTTTGCTCTGCGTCCATGCACCATATTCATCACTCGATGGCTTTTTCGATAAATTCTAAAAATCTTTTGGCGTACGCCTCAGGCTTCACAGTCGAAATCTCTTGGCCATGCTAAAAGAAAAAAAAGAACGAGTTATGATCACTCGTAAAAAGAAAGTCAGGGGGTTATCACACGAAATACTTTATTTGCGGGGGGGATGAACAAGAACTCCATAAATGATGTTCAATTCCAATTACAGTGGATAAGCGAAATTATTGCGAACTTTTATCTCTATTTAATTTTAAATGAGCAGAGTATACTGGCATCACTTGTTTTATATTGTTTTTAAATTTAAATTTTAGTTCACTTATGGTTATATGTTAACATATAGTTTAATTCGCCTTAGGCTTAGAGATGTTATATATTTAAGTATTTTATTTTTATTATTTCATTTATTATTTAAGAAGATTAATAAGGACCGTGTACTGCGTTTGTCCTCGCGACATTAAAACATCCATCGAAGAATACACCTGAAGAAGAAACACAGTTATTCTCTTTCAGCGTAAACGAAAATTATTCAAGTAGAATATCGGATGAATTGGAAAAAGGTACCTACGATGAACAACGGATGGCATGCCCTATTTAATTGCACTCCCCCTTCCGGGCACAGACCGGATCTTATAACACTTCCGAGGGGGGTGCATAACATATTTGACTGGTGCATAACATATTTGACTGGTGCATAACATAGGTAACCAGTCATCCACCCTTTATCATTTCAATTCGTTTTTTTAAGAGGACATGCACACAACAGCTTGTTTTAGTTGAATTGTATTATCCTGTATAAATATTCGTATTAAACTTAAACTTAAACTATTATTTTACCTTGAAAGTACAGTATGCAAATAGTACAGAGTAGGCTCATATGTCATTGGTTCATTTATGCTAATACGTCGTTTGCAAATTTACGAATGGTTAATTTAATGTTTTGGAGTTAGGTTTGGTTATTTTACCTCTACGATTAAACGTTGATATTAACATTTATAATAAATATTTTTTTACATTTTTAATCTTCGTTTAAAACTGAGACAGGGCGTGCTTAGAAAACATTTATGCATCATAAAGAAGGTATTAAATAGTTCGCTCTAGATATAACCAAGGAACAGCGTGGTAATGTCTTTGAACAACTTCGTATAAAATGTTCTATAACAACTGCTTAGCGTAGATTGAAAACACGTTTCGACGTAACGGCCTTTGTTTGGGAGGAAACGCTGAGATGTAGCTATTTTGGTTTATTTTTGGCAGTTATAATACCACATTCACCTTATATTACAACTTATGATGACTATATTTGTTCTAAGCATGGCTAAGAGAGTAGTAGTAGTGTCTAGTGTTGGTCCGGACAGCAGTATGTATGTATGTATATCTTACCCCATGTTTGACTGTCTTCGCTGCATGTGCTGTTCGCTTTTTTGTACCGTAATAAGTTAATACGTCCACAATTCCTAAATAATATTTTTCTGCTTTGGGTGCCCCTAGAACAAATAATAATGTTCTGAGGATGGATAATCATTTCTTTTGCGAGACACACTGACACTGTATAACGAAAAGGATGGGTGAATAATAATACATTATACAAATGTGATTCTTTTCACAGTGCATGTGATCAGACGAAACAACTCGGCCACGCTTTCTGTGTAGTAAGTGCTAGATTCTGTGAACTAAGTCTAAGTTTTAACGTTACAAGCGGCAGCTAGGAAACTGTTGCGTCATCGTAAAGTCTTACCTTCTGAACAGGGAAGAGCGAAGAAATCATTTCCTAGTACATCTTCTGCTTCGAGTAATTCATTGCTATCTTGACTTACAGTTCTACTTTTTAATGGAGGTCTTGAAGTGGGTGTGAGGCCAGTGGGTGGTGGGGTGGCTGGGGGTGTACCCGGAGGTGTACTTGTAGGGGAATCCCCTGCTGACTCATTGGTTCCTGAAGCATCATAATCATTGGGAGATTCTAAATCACTCTCATCTTGACTGTCTATGCCATCATCACCATCTGATTCCTCGTCCACTTGATCAAAATCATGAATACCAACCAGTAAACTGTAATCCATTATCTTTTGCTTGCACAAAAACTGCAATTCAAACCACACCATGAGTAAACAAGTTACAAATCTATTACTCAGTAACTACAGTATGCAGGCCTCTACAATTGGCCATTACATTTTATGTATTGTACAGAAAACAGTGGGTTGATTGGTGTAGTTCAGGTTGATTAAGAGCATGCTTTAGAGACTATAGCTTTTGGTTGCCTCTATGTCACACCATGAGGCAGATTTGGTTAGGAAAAGAGAGAGTTCTGTTTATTGAGTGGTCAAGAGGCTGAGCACTAATACATAGTATGCGTAACTTGTCTTTCCTGAAATCCCAAAGAGAAGAACCAAAAAAGCAAACTTCAACAAAGCAGAGAGAGCTCTTCCCAAAGAGAAGAACCAACAGAACCAAATTTTAACAAAGCAAAGTTATTATTAAAATTATTAACTAAACATCAAAGGGAGGTAAAACATTACATCAGTATCTTCTCTCAGCTTCTCCATGAAATCTTTCTTCATTTCCTCTCCAAGATAAATTTTTCTACCATCAGCCAGAAAATCCTGGTCTTTCCATGTGGGAGATTTTTCAACCTTAAATCCATTGCAGAGCCAATTTAACAGGAATTAAAATTAAAGCAACTTAGTAACACTGTTGATTTGTAAATTATTTTTTTCCAACTTTACAAGGATGTAAAATGGCCCTAAATAAATATGCCCCACACATGCGTTTTACCTTCCGACGTGACTTTTCTTTATCCTTTTCTTTGTCTTTATCTTTTGTCTTTGCCTGCCTGTCAACTGTTGATCCCTTGAGATCATATTTCTTGTGGATTTTCAGTTTGCCAAATATATTTTCCATAACAACAAAATAGGTTTCCTTGTTTTCAACTGTCACACGATACATTCCCAAATAATGAGGTAGTAACGTATTTGAGTTTCTTTCCACCACAAACTGCAAAAACCCAAAAAAAATTAGCATGCATGAACAACTAAATATTTGTCCTTTCAATGACCTTTGTTGATAAGATCCTATGGCAAGACCCAAAGGTATACATACATAAAAAAAATGAGAAACACAATTAACTGAGGTTGGAGCTTTGGGAGAATCTGCAGAGCACATGTATATAAGCTGCACTTTCTTATCTTTTCTCACACCCTCTGCAGACAGTCAATATTTTTACAACACAAGAATCAGAGGAGGAAATGCAGTATGTTAATTTACCTGGTAGTACTTTTGCAATAACTGATGCATCATTTCAACTTCTTCTTTATACAGAGTTTTGGCAATAAATTTCTTATTTCTTGAGGCTAAAAAGGTTGCACCACTTCGTCCTGATGATAGACTTCTCAATGGTGGGACACAGAACGAATCCTTAAGCACAAATGAATAATAAAACAGTATTAATTAAATGAAACTACATCTCAAATATCGGTGCATCTGCCTTGGCATGATGGCTTGTCATTAATGAAAGAGTGTACTCACTGCATAAGCCTGATCATCAATGTTGAAACCTTCACGCAGCTTTCTAAAGACTAGTGGACAATATTCCTTGAATTTAAAGTGAGAAGGAAATTTCTCTCTAAAAGAAAACGTGAATGGACTCAATAGAGATGTGAATTGTTCAAAGATTATTTATGTACTGTATACTTCTCTAGCCTCTAGGGACATATGGAGCATTAAAATCTTCAGCTATTTTGTTTTTCAGTGATTTTATAGGTCACAGCGGTAAAGTGCTAAATGCAAAAATTGTAGAACTCTGTCTGTTGACAATGAAAACAATAAATAGTTGATATAATAAAGAATGGTTTTAATTTACAAACTTCTAAATTTTACTGTTGAAACATTTAAAAACAAATTTGTAAAGTTTTCATTGTGCAAAACATCTTGTGATGGAAATCCATTCGAAGTTTGTCAGGTTTCAAAATAAGATCATAATAATGTCTTGCATGGCAGAATAGCATTATGTGAACAGCCCAGGAAATTAAAAAAAAATATATTGGCTTAAGTTCAAATGTGAATCGATTGTATATACTTTATGAAAAAACATGTGTCAATATGAAAATGACAAAAAGAAAATGAGTGCAAGAGTATTTTTTAGCATAAAATATACAAATGTAAAAATGCTATATACTATCTTGAGTACATTCTTCTGTTTAATAATAGCGACAAATGTCATCAATTATTAAGAGCAGTATGTCAATTTTCAATTTTCAAGTACAGTACGATGACTGTATACTTCCTTTTGTGGCTTTCAAAACATCATCAAAAACCCACAGAAATCTATGTAAACACTGTATTGTGGTTTTTCACACATCAGCATTAGGCATTCTTTAAAACATTAAGAAAAATTGTCTACGTTTAAGTTTGTGAGTGTATTATGAAACGGTTCATATCGTCATTAAACCGCTTGCAACATTGCCAACAAATAAAAAACACATATCAGCACAAAAAGTCTGTCACTTTCAAGAATATAGAAACATAGGTTGTACCCTACTAAAAATGTCATCCGGACATGAAATTTCGAGCAACTGTACTGTAGACACCTGGCTGAGTCGGGCATCACTTTTAGATGTTTGCAAACGCTTTGGTTTGCAAGTGTAGCGGCGCGTGCGAGAAAAATGTTATCCGCGAATAAACCAAGCTAAGGCAGGGTTGAAACAATTTAATTAATCCCCTTTCACTTTGAACTATGTCTCGCCGAATGTATCAGGCTACGCTACACTCGTAAAGTAAGCGTTCAACAAATGAATTTTGACAACACTTTTATAGTCTAGACAACATTGAAACGAGTCGTTCACCTACCTGTTGAACAGATGGTTGTCCACTCGAATTTTCGAGTAAGCTTTGAAATCCTCAGGTAAAAACATCGGAGGGACTTGGATCAAACTTAGTTCGTTAATCTGCAAATATTTAGTACAATTTTAAGCCTAAATCGTTTGTAAACAGCAAAAAATCACGAAACATGTTTATCGCTTCATACCGCATGATTCACGCCCCACATAAACACACTATACAGCGGCTCGTTCGATCGGAAAAGCTTCACTTTTTGGCTCTTGGCCTTGAACTTTTTGTTCTTAAGCTTGAAATTCTGATCCTTCACAGAAGAAGCCATTTTTAAAGGAAAATGAACACTGTTATTTTTTCTTTGCCATTGAAATCAGAAATTCATGAGAATTTCTTCTCTTTGGAAAGTACACCGCTGACATCATAATATGTGCCCTCGTTCCGCAACATTTCGCATACATGATTAGCAAACATTAGCATTTAGCAAACCTTAGCCTGCGTGCACACCGTAGTGCAGACATATAGAGAAATAATACAGTATTAATTTTCTAAGAAAACCTGGGCCACTGCCAACTTTGTTGCAATATTTATCTAAACATCAAACAGTCATAAACGTGTTACAATATTGATATAAACAGGATTGAACAATATTTTGCAGTTGTCGTCAATATCACAGTTGTCGTCAATATTATTTTTTCACTTCCTGGGTCAAAAAATTTAAAAATGGGAAGTTTGTCCATGTACCAGGTTTCAGCGAAAGATGCTAGATTTACAGTACCGGCTTCCATCGTGATGATCGAGTGTGTTCCAAAGTTTCCAGAAACTCTTTTCCATCAGTAGAGGTGCGTACTCTATCTGTCTTGCAATGCTTGGACGGTGGGGGTTGTTAAAGGGAAGGTCATAGACGTACGACGGGGGCAGGGGGGGGACAGTTGCCCCACCAAAAATTTCGAGAATCAAGAAATTCGGGCAAAGTTCAGCCGAAACTTCGGGCAAACTGAAAGCTAAATTACACATAGCTAAAATTTTTAAAACCAAATTTTGTATATCTAACATATTTGTATTCTATTTCGCTATTTTTGTTACACTTTCTTAAAAGCACATCCGCCACTTTGCCAAATCTATTGTTACAAATCTGGTAAAAGTCTAATTCGGGCACATTGTATAATTCAAAAATTCGGGCAATTTTTTTTTGCCCCCCCCCCCAAACGAAGTTGCGCCCGTACGCCTATGGGAAAGGTGGGCGGAAGGGGAGTCACAGATGGAGCGTCGTGGGAAGTAGTTGGGGTTAAATGCAAAAGAGGTTAATCTGAGGGGGACTGGGGAAACGGGATAATTTTTTGAGGAGCGGGAAGAGTGTGGTTAGCTTAAAATAACTTATGTACTGCCCAATATTTAGGCGACGAGGTTTAACAGCGATATTTTTCGTAACGTCTGCTTGCTAGACAAAGAAAGGAAATTCATGTTGTGAAAGTGGAAAGTGAAAACATGAATTTAACAAAAATATAAAAAGAGTAAGCTTTTGAAAGATTAAAAAATACCAATTAATATCAAATTCAAAACAATAAAATCCAAAATTCAGGTTAGCAGATTAGCCTGTAGAAAGTGTCTACTGTACTGATATATAAAGTCTGCCTACAAAGTTAAAAATCTGCTTATTTTAACCAAGATATAGGCTTATAATTTTATAGTTGTTTCGTAGCCACTATTAGTGAATACTATACATGTAAATATTCATATATTCCCATTTTCCTGCGAAATTTTAGCCAGTCTGCTTGGTGTTGCGTCTTGCGCCTTATTTTCTTCTTAATTTTTACGATAAGTTGAAGTTTAAATGGCGAATATAACTCAAAATATATCAATTATAATGCGGTCGTGCGCATTCACTTTTCTTTCAGACTTATATTAATAATGTCAATGGATTCACGCTAATACGTATACATTATGAAATGATTGCCTTTTATACTTGTTGAAAAGTATATATGTACTGTAGCCACGAGCTGGATTAATGGATTTTAAATATTTTACCGAAAATCTTGCACTGACATGATGTAAAGACGTCACATATGTGAGCAATGTATACATATGCATGCATGGTCGAGGCGTGGGATGCTTTCCCGCCTATGTGCATGGGTGTTGGGTGGGTTACAAACTGAGAGGGAGAGTAAAGGAAGCCTCTAAACGATACATACCAAAACCCTTTTCGCAAGTCAACACAATATACGTTCTCTACTACACGTATTTATGCACCTAACAGTCAGTCGGCGTTGGTGATTGCGGTAGTAAATCGGCTGATTTCAGAAGAGATATTGATCCGATTTTTGCTTTTTTTTATTAGCAGCCCGAGACGAAAGGTTTCATTTGAAGCAAAAATGCACACTTTGTCTTTGATGAAATTGAAACTCATGCCATTTAGTAGTCTTAGAACGTGCGACTTTATTGGCGACTTGCATGACAATGTTCAGGTAATGTAGAGGTATTATATATTGTACACAATATATTATACTGGTAATCGTGCTAAGTACGTTTAAAACCATAAAAAACACACATTTTTTAAGTAATGGTGGTATTTTTTTCATAACCTTTTATCAATATCCTCCTATGTGCAAGGATTCAAAATCTCAAAAGGTTTCTTTCTGTGTCAGGAGAAGAAATAATCGTATTATTCAAAAATTACTATCAAATAGAACTGTTTTTGAGCTGTCGATGGTCTTACGGGATCATCGTCCAGTGTTATTACAGGAAGCTAAACGTGGTAACGATTAACGCGGTATTTGGACGGATATGATAATCGAAACAGCGAGATACACCTGATCCCTATTCTGATTATTTTTCATTTGATCTTATAGTTTCAACCGTTAAACTTGTATACGAGAATAGAGGTCCAGGGTAAGTCAGAAAAAGTTGGCCAAAACCCACCTGGCCACACCCTTTTTTGTTCTTTAAATCAAATTGAATAACCAAGCATTGATCGATGCAACCAAACAACACCCCCTACCCAAAACAACTAAACCAGCAACATGATCAACATGATGATAGAAATCAAACAACAGTGACCATTGGCTATATTTGGCGTATTTAGAATGCCTGTTTATATATATACATATATGCTATACTCCCCACAAAATCCTTTGTCAACAGAAACTATGCAGTTTGGTCTTATTACGATATTTTTGTTCGTTATAAAGGATGCCGTATTTAAATCTTTCTAACACCATGAACACACATACCCTAAGGGCATAACTCAACCAAACAACAACATTAAATTGTTTATTCAAGAATACAAAGCAAACTCTTTTGTAGAATGGTTACAACAATAGTTCACCAATGAATCAACCACCAAGCGCTTTCCCCATTGTTGTGTAAAATATCCGCCTTCTTGCCGATCATTTTGAAGATCAAGCATTTGTCCATTCTTAGTTTAACTATTTATTTTTTATTACAACAATTCAGGCACTGCAAGGTATATACCTATTTGAAGATGCTTATTTAACAAAAAAAAACAGTAAATGTCGACCCAAAATACACCCTTACCCCGTAGGGCAAGCTGCTGGAACGATGACAGTACATTCATAAATATCATCTTTTGAATTAATTTGGGCTTTTTGGCAGTTCTCCCAATCAAGATCAACATACGACATCACCAATCTTGAAATCAGAAAACAAGAAAACATTTTTTATCTATAATAATTACTGTCTAGTTGCCCCTGATATATAATCTTTAATAAAGTTAATTTAATCTGTATAGTACTGGTTTTAGAAGAGGAAAACCCCTTTCAGTGACATTGTAAATGCAGAGCGTAAATAGCGCTAAACATGCACACCCTAAGGCAAAATAGGCCCACCCAAATTTATGAAAGCTCGTATCGCGCACTCTCAGCAATAAAGACGTCCCTAAGCATATATCCTATTGAGATTTTAGTGATGCTCGTTGATATATTTGGCAGTGTACAATTGTTTAACGTGATACACAGAAGAAACTTAGCTGCGACTGCTTTTAAGACGTCTATATACAGCCTCCGCATGCATGGCACTGAAGGATTACAAATAGCTAAAATCACTTCCCGTAGGCATTCGTCTTTTTTCCAACCAATATTGAACCATCTCGTCTCTATCCGGAGAATTTATCAAATGCAACGAGAATGAGGTTTGTGATACCACGACTTTAACAGTAACTAAGAACAGTCTGAATTAGGGCGTGGAAGAATATATGCATCTCGCGTCATCTATAACGAATGTATACTTTTCTCTTTGCAAAGGTGGAGAATGTGGTCCGTCTTTTTAAGCACCAGAATGAGGAATGTCTGTATTGCATTTCCAGTGGCTGTATCACGTCTTCAATATCAGAAGTGTTCATCAAAGTACTCGTGAAGTGAAATTTAGGTTATAAAGACGAATCTTTGCATGCTTTGAAAACAGTTTACCGCGACAGAAACAGTGTACCGGGAATTGAACCCGGTAATCGTGTGTACAGTTAGATTCCATCAAGTTTATTTTCTATTCTAAGCACGTTTACGTCAGAAATAAAAAGTCTACCGAGTTGCCAAACATTCATCTTTGTATCAAGTATAATATATATCTTACATGAAATGAGATTTATCAATTATACGGATATTAATTGTCAACACGCAATGTTTCGCTTTGCAATTTATTCGTGAAAAGTTCAATTTTCGAATGGAAAACCAACCGTAAACGCGGTTCCGAACACACGGACACTGTTTTATACGAGGGAAACCAGAGTTCCTGGAGAAAAACCCTCACCGAAAGCCGCGAAATCAAACACAAAGTACACAAGCTAGGTTTCGAGATTTTATTAAAACAGTCATGTATTACAACAAAGTGTGTGTGTCTTACGAGTTACAAGGAGTGGTTTTGGCTATATATTGAAATCACGAGACAAGAAACGGATAATTTTTGTCCTATTTTTATTAATACTTCACCGGCATGTATTACAAAGCGTGTGTGTTCTCTTTACATATATATGCATCAGTAATATACAAGGACATTAATTAACTATTATATTTAATAAAGATCATATGACACATTTTAATTAGATCAGTGCATGTTATGTTTGACATGTTTTAGTACAAAGTGCATATATAAGTCTTTTTATAGTGTGCTATTGGTTTCTTAATGGTTAAGACCTGTGTTAAGACTGACAACAAACCATACATTTATGCATGCATGAAAAATGTTAATAAGTGATCGTGCATGTGTTTTTTATCTTACATAGACTTAACCCATGCATGCACTAATTCTGGTAGAGTATAATAAGGCTATACCATATAAAGATGTCCTAATATATATAAATATATATAAATATATATACACAAAAACTCAAAAAGGCCCGAGGTTATAGGGCACTTTGATGAAAGCTACGTTCGTCCATGCAATAACT